ATGCATATGCAGGGCGGCAGGTGTGGCACTGGGGAGCCGCAACGTGGGCTGGCAGACGAGCGATACGCCGTTAAAAACTTACATGAAGCCCGCTCCACCTGTAATCATGATATTCCTGACGCCTTCACGAGGCTCGAACTGGGTGGTGCCCGTGAGAACAGGCGCCTGCTGCCAGATGTCAGGTTCCTGAAAGTAGCTGCGATGGCCATTCATGGCGCCTAATCACCATCACGGGTCAGCTTCCCCATCTTGGGCGAGGACAAGTGAGAGGCCGGTTTTTTGCCAGTTGGGAGGTGCGTGCATACCGTTGGCCACGGCGGTCTTGACCGTGGGTCTCCAGCCAGGCTTCTGAAGCGCAGCAGAGGCCATGAGTGACTCGGGGGTTCTCGTGGAATTCATATTCACAGCCGGCGTTGCTCGGCTGGGCGATGGATTTTGGCTGCAGGCGTGCCGCTGCAAGGGTGATGAGGGTGACGGAGGCGACGAGGGCGCTGCGTCTGAAGAGTGCGACGACGAGGGCGACGACGAATAGTAAGAAGACGCCGCAGAGGCAGGATACGAGGCTGCCGGCGACGCTGGCGACGACATTGGCGACGGCGAGTGGGAGAAGCAGCGGCAGAGGCTCGGGTGTAGGCCTTGGAGCAGCCGTTTCATATCACGACGGGCTGCGGTTTCCTCGGGCTGGGTTTGCGCAGAATGGTGGACGGTGTCGATCCAAGCAGAAGCGATCGCTGGCTCCAAACGGGCAGGCGCCAGCGGCGGTTTATATTGCGCAGGCCCCAAACGTCACTCGCCTTTGCCAGGTTTTGTTCCGTGAGCCGCGGGCAATGTAGCGCTACGTCTACCAGCCTCGAAATTAGCTGACGCTCAGCTCGTCGCAGCGCTCGCAGCGTTGGCAAGGCTTCTCGTGTTTACTACAGCGCTCTCGCTGCCGGACAAGGCGCCGACTGCTCGGTCCGTGGCGAGTCTCAATCTCGGCGCTTCGTGCGAGGATCGGATCGGATCTGCCCCTCTGGACGGCTGCAGCGACTGAGCAGACAAGCGGCGGTGGCAGCGGTGATGACGGCGCATCCGCAGGAGAGGGTTTGTTCCATCTGGGGTTCCGGCCCGTCAACCTCGTTTCAACGACTCGAGCAGCGCATCGGCCTCGTCGCTGCTGCTAGCACTGGCCGAATCCACTCTTTGCAGACGATCCAGCTCTGCTCGTGATTGATTTGGCTGTTTTTTGTTTTTAATTGCGATATGGGGTGGGAACGTCTCACCAGCGCCTTGTCTGCAACGGGCATGGCGCGGATGCCTTTCTTGGCCAGCCCCGTCGCTGAGTACTTGAGAGATACCGGCATTGCAGCACACAACGACGTGTGCTTGCGAGTACAGGGCAGGTAGCGACGCGCATAAACGCCCCCGGCTGCGGTTCCCACAAGGCAAAAGACTCTGCCGGGTACCTTGCCACTCTCCAATCTGTGCCTGAGTACGTCATCCACAAGCGCTCTTTTTTGCCCACAGGCACCAAAGCATAATCACCAAGAGCCTGCATTGATTACTCGCAGCGCTGGACTGGCAGATGCCGTGATTATGGAGCTCGAGGCCCAGGCCGGTGCTAGGCCACGGATCCTCCCATGGGCAAAGCTGCCGAAACGACGCAAGCGTGTGGCCGCCGTGGATCGACAGGAGGTGCAAATTGGCCGGCACCACACCAGAAGTAACCTCATTTGCCTGATCGTGTCAAGCGTGTACTTGTATTGGCGCGGCTGCCAGCTTAGGACTGGATCCCGGCCCTGGCCCGAGGGGATTAAGCATTTTTAAGCAATTTGACTATTGGATCGTATCAGGGAAAATTCGTATACTGGACCTGGTCAGGTTACGACCTCACTGATAACTACGAGTATGTGCTAGGCTCTTTCGTGGGCAATAATCCAGTGGGGCTGTTCCATACAAGGAAACATGTTTCTCTTGTTTGAAACGCAAATTGGGTGTATCTAATTTGCTGATCCTCACTTATTTAACAGGAGCAGAAGAAGCAGAGATCCTGGCCCCGCGGCACATGTCAGAGCGATCCTCATCGGGGTCCTGGTCGCACCGGGCTGGACTCAATCTTGCTTTCATGATACACGTACAACGCCTCAGACATCTCCTTCATAGATCTGGCGTGCCGCAGACTGTGAACATGGTGGGATCACAGCATGCTTGTAAGGCCAGGAATGCGGGCACTCGACTCATCCATTGGACGGCCTGCAGCCACGACGGCTACAGCTTGTATGCGTCTGCTCTATCGGGTGAAATATTCTGAAACTTGTGCACAGCTCAGCTGCTGAAAATCCATGTAGTCAAGCCATGAAAAGCGCCAAGCCAATGGCCAATGCAGCTGCTTGCTTGGACTCGGCTGCCGTCGCCGGAGAATATTACGCGATGATTGGCATATCTCTGCCCTGCCGCCTGCAGCCCGGCCTTAGTGATGTTACATTCTTGGCCCTTGACCGAGATGTGCAGCTCAATATATTGGGCGCACGGCGTATATAGTAATGCATGTGCAGAGCAATTATCGTGGGCAAACAATCAGCCCCTCCCCCCGCTCAGCATCTGCGACATGACTGCCCGTCCAGCATATCTAGCAGCCAGTCAAATCGTTGAGACATACATGAGATGCGTCAGAGGCGTCGTTACTCAATAGCACACCGGGCAAACACGCCAATCGCTTGCCCGGGACGAGCCTCTTCCGCTGCAACGTGCATAAAGGATTGGGCGATTGTTGGGCTTTTTGTCTGTGAGGACGACAATTGGTGCGGGGAGATGACGACTGAATGTCTGATGATACATGCAACTCACTGCATCGGTGAAAGAGGAGAGGGGAAGAGAAGTCGAGTCTTACATCACTCAGACTGGGCGAGTCGTTTCTGGACCGGGCAGGCTGTTTGTCTATAAATACTCGGAATAGATATCGATCTCGGGCTTGAGGACTTAATCCATTTTACTACCAAGTAGTTAGCAAAGAAATCCTTCCTTTACAAGTCACCAACTTCAGGTATACCCATCATCAACCATCAATCATCATGACAACCACTTTGGTGCCTCTCCCTGTCCGTCGCCACCAAAGGCCCCATCGGGTAGGCGGCTGGCTGCCCAGGGACCCCAATCTTGTCGTCAGTTATCTGCGTGATCTCATGGACGAGGTCAAGAAGCACAGGGCATCTGGTCCACGCGGCAAGCTGATGCTGAGCGAGCCCATCCAGGATCTCAAAGATCTCATTGAGAGCACTGCTGAGCTTCGAATGCTGGCCCAGGCCATGTTTGACGAAGTCCCCGACAAGGCACCCTACAATGAAGACCCTGTTGGGAACAAGCAGATTGAAAGCTACAAGGAAATGCTCGAAGTGTTTGAGTTTGTCATGAACCACAAGGCCCCGTCGTGGAAGAAGCTCGAATACGACGTCGGCTTGATTGGGTTTCCATTCAACGCCATCTTGGACTGGCCCATGGGCACAGGCAGCGGATACGCCTTCTTCCTCAAGGCAGAGGTCAATGCAAAACTCAAGGTCATCCTCGACACCTGGAAACAGGAGGTTTTGATGACTGACAAGTCCCAATATGTCATCACCAAAGCCCCTGATGGATGGCTCAGCCAAGAGTCTCTTGTGCACATCCAAAACGACACCAACGTCGTCGGCGAAGAGCTGACTTTTGAGCAAATCTTCAAGTGTGATCCCGTGGGAGACCCCAAGCACTGGGGCTTCAAGTCTTGGGACAGCTTCTTCATCCGCGAGTTCAAAAACATGGACCAGCTCCGCCCGGTTGCCTTCAAAGACCAACCACAGTGGGTGGCCAACTCGTGCGAGTCCAAGCCCTTTGCCCTCCAATCAAATGTCCAAGAGTATGATTCCTTCTGGCTCAAAGGCCAAGCGTACTCTGTAAAAGAGATGCTCCACGGGCATAAAAACGCAGACCAGTTTGTTGGCGGCACCGTGTACCAGGCCTTTTTGAGCGCCACCTCTTACCACCGATGGAACTCGCCCGTCTCTGGCAAGGTCATCCACACGGAGATTGTTGACGGCACTTACTTCTCAGAGCCTACCATCACCGGCTTCAGTGCGCCCGAAGGCCCTGATCGGGCTGCTCCTGATCTTGCCCAGGGCTACATCAGCCACATTGCCACGCGAGCCATCTTCTACATCCAGGCCCCAGAGCCAATTGGCCTCATGGCGGCAATCTACATTGGCATGGCCGACGTCTCGTCCTGCGACATTTCGGAAAAGTTCAGCGGCAAGAACCTGCCCGCGACGGTCGAAAAGGGAGAGGAGATTGGCACGTTCCATCATGGTGGCTCTACGCACTGCTTACTTTTCCGACCGGGTGTCAATCTCGCTTTCGTGACGGAAGCCATTCCTGAGAATGCAAAGAAGAACTTGCCAATCCGCGGAGCATTGGCATATGCGTATAAACAAGAACCAGCGATGTAGTATTGGGCATATCATGCCTATTACTGGCTTTGGTCAAGAAGGAGGGGATCTATAATGGATTAACACACTCCTTGAGCATTGGATAGCTATCAGATACACTCGTTAAAATAAATGAATAAAGAGAAGTTTGACTATTGAATTTGTAAATTTGTAAAAGTTATGTTGTAAAATCATGGCAGGGCACTAACAACAGTAAATTCCCACACCCTTTTCTTGAAATGCACGCATAAAGAGAATTTCATTAACCGCTACCATAATTCAGCATGCTCTTCATTAAAAAATATCAAAAGGCGCCGTAAAAGTTAACCTTTTGTGCTTTGTCACGGCGGTCAAGTGGCAGGTGCGCTCCATCTTCAGCGATGACGAACTACGCTGCAGCGAATTCTTCTACTCCTGGCAGAAACGATTTTACTCAAAACTTCTACCAAGAGAAAAGACATTATAAATTCAGCAAATCTCTCATTCCAAACCCTTCGCATTCGGCCTCACATCTCCAGCATCTTCCAGCTACATCACGATTAGCAGCTGACACCACACATCGCAGAAATGCACGACCTCGAAAAGTCAAGAGATCAAGAAGGGCCTGGAAGCCCTTCCCCGGGACTCCTCACGCCTCAAGATGCACCAACCGAGTCCAAATCTACCTACAGCCCATTCCAATCCATCGCTTGGATGGTCGTCAACACCCTGGCCACAGTCGGCATAGCAAGTCATCCCTCAAAAGAAGGCATCTTTAAGACTCTACTAACAGCATCGTCTACAGGTCTTCACCAACAAGGCCATCTTTTCGGAACCCCGATGGAAGCAGTGCCAGCTCACCTTCGCCGCCATGCATTTCCTCATGACCTGGTTCACGCTTTTCATACTGTCTCGATCACCAATTGGCGTCTTCGTGCCTCGTCCGGCCCTCGTCTGGCACATCATGCCCCTGGCTACGGCAATGTGCTTCAACGTCATTCTTCCAAACCTGTCGTTAGCCTACTCCACGGTCACGTTCTACCAGATAGCTCGAATACTGCTTACACCAACGGTTGCCATCATGAATTTCACCTTGTATCACGAAGTGCTTCCGAAAGGCGCCATGCTCTCGTTGATACCAGCTTGTCTGGGAGTAGGCATGGTCACGTACTACGATTCTATCCCAACAGACAATCAAACTATCAAAACCACTTCTACCTTGGGAATTATATTCGCCTTCACCGGCATCTTTGCATCGTCTCTGTATACAGTCTGGATTGCCGCCTACCATAGAAAGCTCAACATGAACAGCATGCAGCTGCTCTACGTCCAAGCACCAATGGCTTGTCTTCTCCTCCTCTTCTCCATTCCCTTTTTTGATCAATTTCTTGTACCAGCGCATATACCATCTTCCTTGAACAAGGAGATGCTTGTCATTGCAGTATGCTCCTTACTCTTTCTGTTTGTGCTTATGAATTTGAACTAACATTTCCAGTCAATGGTGTTTGCTTCACTCGTCAACATCTCTCAATTCTTTATAGTGGCACAGACCGGCCCCGTTTCCAGTACAGTTGTCGGCCACATCAAGACCTGCACCATCGTAGGGCTGGGATGGATCTTGTCTGGCCGTCCAATTAGCGATAGGTCGGCGCTTGGAGTTGTTGTTGCGATAACAGGGATCGCCATGTAAGTACCGCAACTAACCTAGAGGACAGGCTTATATCCAACAAAGCTAACATATTAGGTACTCATTCATCATGTTGAAGCACAAGATGCAGAAAAGTGCTGGATGTAGAGTCGCAGCCACAGCGAAAATGTGATATCGAGGTCATTGCGGGCAAATGATTTGTTATTAGATGAATCTATCAACGAGAAAACTCTTGTAAGCATCCAAGTGTATAGACAACTGTAACGTAAAGAGACATAAAAGATTACAGATAACGCCGCTTCAGTGATAAAAGTGAGTTTACAGATTGAAACGCTTCCGATCCTTCTCCATCTTGGACTTCCACTCCCACTGAATGGCATCATCACCCTCACTTCCCGCTCGTCCAACTCCCTTGTCTACACGTCTCAGCTTCAACGTAAACCGCGGACCCAGCTCCTGCAATCCCGCTCGGATAGCTTCAACACCCTTGAGCGGGTTGCCCTCCGCATCAACGACGCTCTTCTCCGTCGCACGCTTATCACGGAACACGTATCTGAAACGCCTTACAAAGATGTAATCTCGCTGGTTGTGCAATGCGGTGACCTGCCGGCCCTCAAATTCTGGTCGAGGCGGGAACATTGTCTGGAAGAGCTTTGCCGCAAGGAGACCCAGCGGCGTCTTGAAGTTGTTCAACAGCAGCTCCGGGTAATGGTTCGTAGGGTTACCGTGGCCGGGAAGCTTCTTGCCCTCGATCCAGTTGGAGATTGAAAAGTGGAATGTCGGTCCCTTGGGGAGATGCACGACAGAAAGACCCGTGGGCTTCTTCTGGTCCTCCTTCATGAGAATAACGGCAGTGTAGCCTCGTTCGGCGGAGAATTTGCAGATTTCGCGGAGAGAGTATTTGTGGCCGTAGCGGTGGGATGATCGCGGGACGTAGTTGCTGTTGGGGAAGAGAGTGGTGAGGATGTGCGCCTCGTCATGGAGGGTGGAGTTGAGAGAGGTGGTGACGAGGATCTTTGGTTCGGGGGGAGGTTCGTCGGTGAAGAGCGAGGGGAACTTGAGAGCCAGCGACGTCGGCGTGAGGTCGAGATTCGTGCTTGTTGTTGAGGGAGCAATGCTGGGAACTCTCTGGGCTCTCTTCTCTCGCTGTCTCTCCAATCTAGCCTCTCGCGCTTCCTCATCCTCCTCCTCGTCCGAATCCAGCATACTGTCATTATCGTCACCCTCGTCCTCGTCCATCTTCTCCGCCGCCTCAACGGCCGCTCGCTCTTCAGCCTCGACCTGCTCCATGCGTCTCTTCTTCAATTGCTCAAGATCGACCACGGCGCCGAGGCTGTCATCATCTACATCATCCCAAACTCGCTTATGCTCCAAGGTTCGCGGCACATTTTTCGTAAGACGGGCCGCCTTGAGCTCTGGGTTCCGGCTCTCTTCTTTTCTGCGACGGTGTCGCTCCTCGTGGCGTTCTTTGCCGGATGCTCTCTTGTGGGCGACAAACAGCTCTTTGCGCTTCTGCTTGTTGGCAATTTTGAGCGACTGGACAGGGGGTTTTGAGAACCCCATCGTGACTGCGCTTCGGTTGTCGAATATCGCGAGGTTTGGCTGGGAGAATGGCGGGTTGTAAAATTCAAGACAGAGGGTCGCATTGGCAGAACCAGTTGTTAGAAAATTTTAGCGGGTACTGGAAATTTTTTACTGCGTCCACGGTACTTTGATAAGACTTTGATTAGATAAAGGGTTTATCCACATTGTGTAATTGGACACAGTTCTCATTAATATGGGTCAAAAAGCTCTAAACTCACGTCTGGGGCGTCTAGATGAACAGAAATAAACTTGAAAAAAAGTTTTGAAGATTGTCTTATCGCTCGCAGATGAAGCCGCGCCCGCATCGTGTATCAAATCCAAATCCGACTTTTCCCCCTCGCCTCGGTCAATCTCTCCCAAATCTGGGACATCACAAAGCGACAATGGCGATCAACGGCACCAAAAGGAGAAAATTGGCCCACGACTCCTCGGACGACGAGGCGCAAGCCACGGCATCCAGGAAGGTCCAGAAAGACTTCTTCAAGCAGGCGTCAAACTGGGACCTCGAAGACGATTACGCATCTCGCCGCCGCAAGAGCAAGAAGGCCGACAAGGAGAGCACAAAGCTGCCAATCAAGACGGCCGACGGCCGATTAGAGATCCTCCGCGAGCTCGAGAAGGAGGAGGACCTGGTATCCGTCGAGAGCGACACGGAATGGCTCGAGGGCCGAGAGGACGACATCGAGTCAGAGGTCGAGGAAGAGGTGCAAGAGGAGGCGCCCACCGTCTCCGAGGCCCAGCAGATACGAGAGGCACAGGAAGAGCTGGCAAAGCTGGCCACATCACTCAGCGAGGACCCCGAGGAACATGTTGGCTCGCTCAAGACCATTGCTGCCATTGGCGAGTCGCAGATCCCGGCCATCCAGATGCTGGCTCTCATGACGCAGATGTCGGTTTACAAAGACATCATCCCCGGATACCGTATCAGACCTGCTAGCGAAAACGACCCAGCGGAAAAGGTCTCCAAGGATGTGCGCACGCTGCGGCAATATGAACAGGCCTTGGTGCTTGGCTATCAAAACTACGTAAAGGAGCTGGCCCGGTGCGCCAAGCTGGACACAAACCCCGTAAAGGGAAGACAAAGCGTTGCGGGCATTGCCATCACATGTGCCTGCACCCTGATAGCTGCGGTTCCGCACTTCAACTTCCGTTCCGACCTTTTGCGCATCTTGGTGAACAAGCTGAGCAGGAAGAAGATTGATGGCAGCTCCGTCAAGTGCCTTAAAGCGCTAGAGACGCTGTTCCGCGATGATGAAGACGGCAAGCCAACAATGGAGGCTGTTTCACTGCTATCAAAAATGATGAAGGCTCGGGAGTACGAAGTGGACGAGAGCGTCGTCAACCTCTTCCTCAGCCTCCGCCTCCTCTCCGAGTTCGCCGGCAAAGCCTCACAAGACGCAGTGGAGCGAACCACCACCTTCAAGAAGAAGAAGTGGGAATACCGCTCCAAGCGAGAGCGAAAGGCCAAGAAGGAGCAAAAGTCTCTCGAGAAGGATATGGCCGCCGCAGACGCCATGGTCGACCACGAGGAGCGAGACAAGATGCAGTCCGAGACGCTAAAGCTCGTCTTCGCAACCTACTTTCGCATCCTGAAGATGCGCGCCCCTCATCTCATGGGAGCCGTCCTCGAGGGCCTAGCCAAGTACGCCCATCTGATCAACCAGGACTTCTTCGGCGACCTGCTCGAGGCACTCAAGGACTTGATCCGCCACAGCGACGACGACGCCGACGCCGATCTCGCTGCTCAAAACGAGGACGACGACAGCGTCTCCATGCGAAACCTGACGCGTGAGGCCCTCCTCTGCACCGTCACGGCCTTTGCCCTCCTCGAAGGCCAAGACGCCCACAACTCTCGCAACAACCTCCATCTCGACCTCACCTACTTCACAACCCACCTCTTCACCTCCCTCCTCAACCTCTCCGTCCACCCGGATCTCGAACTCACAAAGATGGCCAACACCACATCCACCACCTCCAAGATCAACGTCCAGACAACCACCGTCCTGCTCCTCCGCTCCCTAACCGCCATCCTGCTGCCCGCCTGGAACATCCGCTCCGTGCCGCCCCTGAAGCTCGCCGCCTTCACCAAGCAGCTCATGACGGCCGCTCTACAGCTCCCCGACAAGTCCTGCCAGGCTACACTAGGCCTGCTCAACGACATGGCGCACACCCACGGTAAGAAGATTGCCAGCTTGTGGAATACAGAGGAGCGCAAGGGTGATGGAAAGCACAATTCGCTCAGTGACACGGTCGAGGGTAGCAATCCGTTTGCCGCGACAGTGTGGGAGGGTGAGCTTCTGAAGAAGCATTTTTCGCCCAAGGTTAGAGAAGGGGCGAAGCTGCTAGTAAAGACTTTGCCCTCATAATTTTAATTCAATGTATAGTGGGGAGATGAGAAAGAAAAGCGTTGATTTAGATGAGCAATTGGGTATATAATCTGCATGACTGCACCGCAGTGGCAATAAATGCCGAGACAATAGACCGCTGAAATTATTACGCTCCTCTCTGAGCTCGCTCTGGCAAATCGTCATAAAGCGATCATCAAAACCTATAGTAATTCGATTCGCGTATCATGCCGACCCAAAATGATTATGGATAATCTTATCCATAGAGCATTGACGTCCTTGCGCTTCCTCATGCCTAATACCACAAAATAGCTGAAGTAGCAAAAGCTTCTATAGTCGTCATTATGCCCACATCGAACCCGATAGCCCCTTTATTGACTTTTTCATGGAGGAACTATCCTCTCCATTTGTATCCATAGCCTGTCCTAGATCTTGGTTACGCCTTGGCACAAAGACTGGGGCAACAGGAGAGAGTTTGCGTGAATGCGTATAAGCAGGGCCACTGCTTGGCTCAACGTCAACGCCAACGTCAATGTCACCGTCAACGTCAACCTCCGGACTCTGGGGACCAGCTTTGGTGTCGTTGGCCTTCACATCGGTGACCTTTGCATTGTTGATCTTTGCGTCGCTTGCTTTCATCTCACCACTATTTCGCGCTTCATCAGCTTCCTTGGCCTTCTTCTCTTGTGCCGTATGACGAGGGCACGTTTTTCCATGTTTCCCTAGCACATATTAGCTCATTTACTTAATTAAAGTACATTCGTGCTAAAAGCTTACCTTGTCCATCGAGCTCCCGGCAGGTACATTGACGGCTGCTAGATTTGACGTTTTCTTTGACAGGTGGAGTGTCAAGAGTGGGCGTTCCTGGATCGTTTAGGTCTGCCTTGGATAACGCCTCGGTCAATGTGTCAATCTCTTGGCCAATAGTCGGCTTTTTGTCTAGTATGGCGTAGAAAGCATCAAGGATATTCTCCAACTGGCCATTGCCAGAGGATCGTGGTGGAGTGGACAAAGGCTCAGGCTTCGCTGTTCCTCTATTGCTGTTCTTGCCGGCTAAAGAGTTTTTCTGAGATTCTTGGGCAGCGACGGGGACGGGTTTTCCAGCAACTTTCTGATCCTCTAAAGAGAAGAGTCAGCAACTGTAGTATTCCATGCATTGATAGCTGTCTAGCCGAGCCAGCTTACTTGGTTGATCAGATTCAGCCTTGGCACCAGAGGAGATCAAGAAATCTCTGCCCAAATTACCGATGACGGGACGGCATTCAGCTCTTCCAGTCGCAAAGTCTCCAGAAGCACCGTAATTTCGCCTGCTTGGAGGCGGAGCCAAAGGGCGAAGTGGAGGCACAGAGGGCGTGAAGTTTTGGCGCGGCGGTGCTGCGTCTTGGCCATACCGACTCTGCTGTCTTGGTTGATACGGTTCAAAATACTCTTTTCTGCCCCCTAGGCCACCGCCTCCAGCTCTATTCTTCCCACCTCCCTTTGCTCTTGAAAAGCTCTGGGCAAGCTCGATGGCCGCCTTCATCATCTCCGGATCGTTGTATCCGCTCATTGTGCCGGAGGAAAGTTCAAAACGGGTGGAATTAGGAGCAAATCCAGCGTCAAAATCCACTGCTGTCGCATCTGCAGTGCTGCAAAGAGGAAGAATCAGGAAATGTGGATGTGAATGTGAATGCGAATAGTGTTGGAAAAGTGAAGAAGAAGAGACGGAAGCAAGTGACTGGCGGCAGCGCGGAAGGCGTGACAGCCGCCGCTTGTGTGCGTGTAGAGAAGTGAATTTGGCAACTGGCAGCAGGTGTTGATATGCACGGGCAATTTCTCTATGCGCATCAGGATAAAAGCAGTGAATGCGCCTTGAACACCTGCATCAAGGACCCATCTGGAGTATCTGCAGCAACCCTGCAGAGCCACTTTGTGCAACACGTCAGACCCGACGGTGCCATGCAAATTCAGATGCGTGGGGTGTGTAATAACATGATACTAGACGGGAGTATTCAGACGAGGATATAGCAAACACCAAGCTAACAGTGACTCCCAGCTTATAGACACAGTAAGTAGAGATATTGATACAAAATTACCGTGTTCGCCTATCTTGGATTTTTTACTAGTGATAATTAATCAGCAGTGCTGGGTTATAAAATTATATACAAAAAGCGAGTCTCTAAACTCGATATATCAGCGCCGCTCGTCACAGAATATCAACCTCGCTGATGCCAAAGCAAGCCGCGGACAAGCTTGCTTAGAAAAAAACTCCCACTCTGTGTTATTTCACGCGTTTTGCTCCAATAGTTGTTTCCACAGAGGCTATTTGGGTTGTCTTGTACTCGGTGCTGGGCACTTCGCTGAGCCAAGGTGAATCGACCGGCGCCACAAGATTCTCGACGACGGCCAAGAGTGCCTCAGCCCCCGGGGTATGCCGAGAGATGGCAATCGACGAGACTCTTGGAATACCCAGTGTGTTACCTATCCTCTCAGAGCACGGTTTTGAGAAGCCTACGAGCCGTATCTTCTCCTTTTCCGGCAAATTTCGAGACGCGGCGGCAACCATTTGCGGAAAATGGTGGTTGAAAGCTGGTGACTGGCTGCCTCTGGCGACAAAGACCATAGAATAGTCTTTGGGAGAGGGATTTGCCACTTCGGATGGCTTTGATAGGGATCCAAGGTTTTTGGCGATTGAGTTGAAGCCAATATCTACACTTTCACTGAGTTCTAAACTTCGTGGCGTGGGTAATTTGGCCGCTTTTGCCGGCCCGTCTAACTTCGTGGCCATCTTCTTTTCCCTTTTGGTAGCTCGCTTTCCTTTGGAAGGTTTGACATGACTCCTACGGTGCTGTCCGATGGGGCTCAGGAGGCTTTAATGCCCTTCAGTTAGTCAATTTACCTTTTCTGAGTGAACGTAACGCTCTCCTCTTTGCGTCACGATGAAAAGGTTAATAGACGAGCTCACCTGCAGAGGAGTTCCAAGATGGAGTCCTGGTTATCAATCGATATCTCGGGCCTATAAGTCCTGCTGGTTAAAACCCCATAGTAGACTCGCGGCTGCCGTAACGTACCATGAAGACGTAGAGAAGGGCGTGTCAAGGTGATGGACAAGCCGCTTTTTCGCTGCGGGTGGTGCCATGGCCAGAGCGTGTATGGATATTCGGGTGGTAATACGCGCAAGACCAGGATTCGAGAAGGTATATGGGAGAAAGACTATCGCTGACACAGGGTGCAAAATGCAGTGGCACTCGATACGACCCGAGTCCGTCGGCTTTAGCTCTGAGATGTGCAGCTTCTTGGAGCCGCCCAGGACCCGCAAACTGAAAGCAGCCAAAGTAAAAAAAAAAAAAAAATCGCAGAGGCTCACCGAACCAGGTGGGCCCGCCGCAGAGCCTACATATTAGATTGAATACTGAATATGGGAAACCAAAGACCAATTTATCATCAAAAGCCACCTAATAAAATACTTTTTTAAGAGTAAATGAAGAGGCACTGCGCAAATACTGAGAAATCGCAGTGCAATAGTTCTCAAGTTACTTGGGAGGACATGTTAAGTCTCTGATGCCAGCGTAAAAACTGGCCTTACATAAGTCAACGGCGATGTATGCGCGTATTAGGAGCCTTGAGCTCATGGTGACCCTGTTTTACTATGAGATCTAGGCTAGAAAGAAAATTTGCCGTACTAAGAGCGCCACGCTGAAGCGCCCAATGGAAATTTCCATAGATATGGGAATCCACCTAGTAAGAGTGAGGCTTGAACTTGTGGTCCTCAAACACCAAAAGAAGCTTTGATGACGATGCTATACTTGGTAACAGTTGTTCACTGTGGGTCACCAAGGCTATATATACCGAGATAAAAGACACATACTCAACGAGTACATATTGATGTGTTGCCAATGAGGCTCATGAGGCTCTGTGAACTGTCGTGACTACCGAAAGAAGTACTGTATATCTCGGTTGCGTTTTATCCACCGCAGAGCACAAAAGGTGCATCCAGATTGCGCAGCAGAGAGAATCCACCCGTGGATGCGTGTATAAAAAGCCGCTGCCCCAAGCCAATGTTCCAAGAAGGAAAGAAAAAAAAGACCCCAACCGCGTCATCGCCATATCTTTGGGCGATAGAACACCAACAACTGCATCATCGCCATCTCTTTGGGCGATAGAACACCAGTAGCTGCAACATCGCCATCTTTGGTCCTATCGGGGCTCGACATCTGGACTGCAGCTGTCACTTTCGCCGTCGCGGCCCGCCGCACCCCTGTAGCCGCGCCTAACCACTAGCCACCTCCAGTTACGCATCACCCTCTCCGCTTCACGCACTACAGTAAGTGGCCCATAGGTAGGCAATTACCACATCTCATTGATATCTGTACGCCCGCTATTCCAAAGGCTGCCTGCAGGCAACGCTGGAGTTGCAGTCAATTTGCAAGGCATCTGCGGCATATGCAGCAAATACATTGATGTCACTTGGGTATCTCAAGCCCAACCCCCAGTCCACGTCCGAGCCCAAGTCGAGACCCCGGGAGAACACCCGGGAGGGCATCGAGCCTTGCATCCATTTATTCTGCCTTCTATTGTGGTTGGCGGCTCTCTTAATACCTCCAGTATCCAGACTGGTATTAATCAAGCAGACTCTTTGTATCAACACACATGTGGCTGTAAGACTAGTACATGTACCAATACACTCCGATATCTGCATACTTGGTACCTACCTGGCACAGCCTGCCAAGATCTAATCACGGCATCACAGTCGATTAGCCCCAATACATCTCTCCAGCATCGAGAGCAAACGTCGGCCAGTGCCATCGACAGCAGTTCGGCTACATCGGCAGCAGTATTATCTTTGTATTGCATCTTCATCATTCAAGGGAACCAAGACGACTCCCATCCTCATCAGTGCTGCTTCCAGCACTTATCAATCCGTGCCAGACTCATCGGGCACCCGATCCAGCGCTGCCGCCGCAGGTACTGCGCTAACAGAGGTAAGGCAACACCCCACCACAGCTGCCCGCTACCACGTTGGGGCCTAGTTATAGCTACCCCTCGCCTTGGTTCCACACAAGCACCGCGTCCCTCCAATGCTGCTTCTCCGAATCCTGACTTCATCGCGAGTCGACACCACTTTTTTTTTGCGGCGACTCGTCTGCATCTGCATCAGCATCAGCATCAGTCTGGCCGTCCAGCCTCTGCTCCCCTTGTCCGCTCCGCATCCATAGCCGCAGTTGCCCTCAGCCTCGTTACTCTACTGCAGTCCAGCCTTCGCTCTGCGCACGGCGGCCTTTGCAACCACACATGTTAATTCTCTATAGCTGCCGCCCAGACGGCCCTCGCGTCGCCGTGACGTCTTTGGACCTCGACGCTTCGTGCTGCCACCATCACCCGCATCGGCCAGATGGAGACCGTCCCAGAGACCTCCGAGATCCAGATTCCCAAGACCTCTCCTGAGCCGAGCTCGACCCGGCCGAATCCCTTTGACGACAGCGACGTTTCGTCTCGCAAGCGCCGGCGCACCTCAGCCTCGGGCTCGCCTTCGGCCTCTGTCGAAACAGGCCTGCACCGCTCAGAATCTGGCTCCAGTCCATTCTCCACCGTCAACACCAGCGTCGCCGCCCTGGACGACAAGATGAAGGTCGACCGGGGCTCCCAGCAACCTCGAACACCGCCCCAGGCTGCGAATTCGCCAGCCTTCTCCCCCGAGCCACCAACGTCCAGCCGAGTGACCATCAATTTAAGAAATGCGCCCTACAGCGATTCTACAGCCTCTCCCTCCGCCCCGCAGTACTTCTCTCCTTCCAAAGTCCGAATACAAACCCCCGAGGAGGACCAGGTTCAGAAGAGCATCGAAGAAGAAGCCGACCTTGGCCTGGCTCTCAACGGCAATGGACATCTGGGACTCGCGCATGCCTCGCCCGTGGCGTCTCCAAGCCCGCCTGTTGAAGTCATCACCATACAAGAAGACGATGGCGTGGCAGAAGAGGTTGAACTCGTATTTGACCAATCGCTCCTGGACGGTCCCATGGCAGATCCTACAATGGAATTTCCCTACAGCAATACGCAGAATACGCTACTGGAAACATCGACTCGCCTTCAAACTTACTTTTCATCTCGTTAGTATCCAACGTATCATGGAACTTTTAATAACAGGGTGCTAACAGTCCTTTTCATGCAGAGCCAAATCCAGACCCAGCCTCCATTCAACAGATTCGAGAATGGTTAGACAAGTTTCTCACATTTGCCAAGCAGAGCAACCCGCAAGTTGTACTCGAGTCGCTTCGAAGCAATAAATCGTTCTGGTTATATTTACCAAACATCATCGATGCTACGATAAATAGACAGTATGTCTCAAGTTATAACTGTAGAGTTTCAATTCCCATCTAACAATCGCTCTAGAAATGGCCTCTCAACTTTGCCGGGGGCGCAAGCCACGCGGGTAGCTGTGCTCGGCTTGTATCACTCGTTCTTAGCTTTCACAGCGCACCTCTTACTACTCGACTCTCAGTCTATCCAAGAATGGCAATCTCATCTTCAGCCCGACCCCGATGGCCCGCAGTTGTTTGCTCCCGATTATCTTCATCAGCTGTTCAGGCTGAAGCAATATCATGAGCAGCTTAGAGGCGGCGACTTCTCCGATTTTCCTCTCAACACACCTGGCTATATGAACGTTGGATCGTACTTTATACGTCAGCTGCAATCCTTCCTTGGAGGCAGTATTGAATTTCTCGGCAGCTTCGCAACAGCCCTTGCCGCGGTCGTATCAGTGGTCCCGAAATTGGTTGATGCCCTTGCGCCTGTAGCGCAAGTACTGGTTTACTGCCTGCATGAACCCGCCGATGCTATCGGCTTGGCCTCACAAGAACAACTAAAAGATGTCTATGACCTTTGGGAATCTCTATCCTCGCTCCTGGGTGTAATCATTGACAAGCATGTCGGCCATTTAACCAAGGACAGGGCCGCCATGTTAATTGAGGCTCTGAGTGAGATGCTTAGAATCTGTCTGCCATGCGGCCACGACAATACCAACAGGCTGATCGAGGACCATAAAGCAGAATACCCAGATCTCGTAGCATCGAGTGATGAAAACCTTTCGACGTCGCTGACTGTCTACGCCATCATGTGGGAGTGGAAAACGGACATGCTTGCGCGATTGATTCGTTCAACTCAAATGCAGCTGCGAGTGATGGCCATTGAAATTATGAGCACTGAGCTAATCGCGAGTTGGAGAAGAACCAGCAACCACGAGGTAGACCCGCAAGATCCTTTCCTCAGTCACCAAGGCCGCTACTTGCTTCGGATAAACCTAGTGGATTACCTCACCGGTTCAAACTGTCACCCTGAACTCGTGGCTGGGAGCAGTAATATCCTTGGATTCCTGGTCGTGACCAAAATGTACAGTGCAACGCATTCCGATCGTTTGTGGCAGGGCATCTCAGAGAGTCAAGATCCCAGGGCTGCAAAAGCTCTCACCGAGCTAAACAGTTCAATCGCCAATCTGCTTGATTACAATGAGCTCTCGTCTCTTTGTGAGAAGTTCCAAACACTTCCAATCCAAGACTTCAATCCATCGACAATAAATTTCTGCAGCTATATGCTCAAGGAACTGGTAGCGCGATGCCAAAGAGATGGGAGAGCACCTGGATTACTTCCATATGAACTCTGCCTAAGATTACTGAGGGAGTCGTCAATATGCACGTCAGATTCTCAGTCGCTCTATCCGGAAATTCAATCCGAAGCAATGGCAAGACTGGATAACCTGGTGGCATTGGGCATGGACGACCAGGACCGTAAAAAACTATACTCTTTCTGTGCTGAAGACCTGGCGGCAAACTCTCCCACTGCAATGGGCAGTCTATGCTGTTTACAAATCGCCATGAAGGGAAATGTGGCAAGCGAGCTGACTGTACTCATAGAGCAATTTGGTTTCGCGACGCTACTTGTCGAAGAGCTGGCGCATGCTATCAATGTAGGCAGGGCTGCCGGCATGCCTGTGGTGTTCTCTGGGGCCTCGAACCGACCAAGAAGAGAATTCATTGCAAAAGTTATTTATCATCGACCAGATGCGGTATCTGGAGATTTGGGAGAGAAACTCTGGAATCTCTTGGTTGGGACGGCTTGTCTTGGCGACGAGGACAGAAACTCAGGCTGGGAGGTCATTATGGCTTTCGACCGTGAGACGGCAGCCGGGAATCCGTTTCTGCAATCATGTTACTCCCTATACTTGCCCAGTCTTCCTCCTTCTTGCTTTTGCAGGGGAATGCTCAATTGCGTCATTGCACAGGTCTTTTACGCGGTCAACGACAATGCTATTGAGTGTGCTCTTGATGACCAGAGCGATGTACTACAGAGCGGCTTGGAACAGCTTTGGCGAATCATCTTGGGCGCCGATGATGCTGAGAGCGTCAGCATTGGTATCAAAGCCTTGGCCGTTGACGTTTATTTGGAAAGCAGAGCGATTTTAACATACCCCTTCAATCGGGCCCGCCAAATTCACTCGTCCTTTGTCGATCGCTGCTTGGGCCAATTGAAAGATGCCGCTAGGAAGATTAAAGCGTCAAGCGACGGGATATCAAGCGGTGAGGATGAACCAATGATCATTGTGACAAGTGAGGACGAAATCCACCAGCAAGAGCGCATCTTTGCCCGAACCCTGCAGCTTCTTGGGCTCTTCGTGGAAACTCACTATACAAAACCTGCACTGTGTGCTCCCGATTTCCGGCCGTTTGTTAATCAAGATCCAAACGAAGTTCAGGGAGATCTAACGATGCTCCAATATCAGTCCTTTGACAATGGCACACAAACAGAAATGAAGCCACTGCATATCGGAAAACTCAACACGGCAGCCTCTCTATTATCCAGCTTGAAGCTCGAGACAGGCTTCAGTCACTATCGAGTGTTTTATCAAGGCCAGCAGTTCCTTCCTACCGAGGAAGAAATTTGCAAATCTCTGGAAAGCTTGGAAGTCAACGAAGGTTTAATCCTGGTGAGGCGCGAAGAAGACGACTTCGACGCTGTAAATGCAGTCCGAGTCAAACCAGGCTCATCGCCTATTGAGATTCAGATACTGTCTCGCTTCCAAGAGCTATGGATGTATCTGGGCATGGAAGATGCAATCGCCAAAGAAGTCTATAGCCTCCTCGTCCAGCTGCCCACTGATGGCGGAATCATCGACCTTTTTGAGAGCCCAACAGTCGCGCACACGGATATTTTCCCACCTGGACAGCCTTACAAATCACTCTATGTCATCCGTGCATTGACTGAATACATTGAATCAATTCGCTTGATAGAATCCAGCGATGAAACGGGTAGAAAGGCTTTAAGATTCTCCCAGAGCTCATACGAGGAGGCGTTGAAGAAATCGTATTCTTTGGTCGTACTGGCCATATCCAATGAGAGTTTTCTGGAGCAAATCACCCCCGCGTTGCAGATTGAGCTCATGCAAGCCTTGATGGCAACCTTTGTGCGGCTCTTACAAAACACTTGGCTCCTATCGAGGCAGTCAGTCAAGGACGGCGCTACATACCCGTCTCCAAGACGTCTTGTCGAGATTTTATCCTACGCTTCAGAATCAACGCAAGTCGGCTCCGAGTCTTTAATCGACGGGTCGATTTCTGCCATATTGCGGTTGTGCCTCATTCACGACGATTTCTTGGAAGAAATTGCAAACCTTGACTCTTTCACGGACCTTGTAAAGAGCCTAATACTTTTGAATCCACGCTCAACAGTGAGGAATCGTGTTGTCGAGATGATAAGGGAGGCAGTGGAGATAGAAGAGGGCCTCATCGCCCCATCCGAAAGTGACGCTATCGCACCGTTCTATCCTCTGACGAAATTCGCTTGGTCTACTATTTCAAGCTTCCTTTCTGAGGCAATCAGTGTTCCTAGCCAATGTCATGAATTTTTTGGCGGTCTTGAATACCTACTATACAAGACTTTCCAAATAATGCCTTCTGAAGTGGATACGCCCGCCGTTGCTGCGCAAGTTTGCCAACTGCTGCTCAGCCACGACTCAACCGAGTCGCTCGATCAGCCAGAATCGCAAGATGTCTTGGCAAATGATCTATTGTCCATTTTGCTCGGCTGTCTACAAGTGGATGAAACACTGCCAGCTTCCTCAAGCTTGCCTGATGACATTGTGCAAGACTTGTTTTGGAGACACCTTTTCCCCAAGCTGCGAAGTCAACTGGGACAACCCGTGCAAAATGTATTACTGAGACCAGATACTCGACAGAAGCTGTACAAAGCCATTCTGAGATTGGCAGAAAACAATCAAGTCGTTCTCGGCCCGTTACTCCGGTCCCTCAACTCTCTTGTTCCGTACTATTCGGACGAAAGCGAAGGCCATTATATATACGATTTACCCTGCCAATTTAATCGCGAAAAGGCTATTAAGCCCTGCAGCTATGTTGGCCTGCGAAACCTCTCGAATACGTGCTATCTAAACGCGCTGGTCACTCAGCTTTTCATGAATACTCAGTTTCGGCAGTTCATCCTCAGCTTGGACATTCCATATAACAGTAGTTCCCAACAGCTACTATTCCACGTACAAAAGCTCCTTGCCTACATGCAAGAAAGCCATTGCCGATTCGTAGATCCCGAACACTTTGTTTTAAACATACGAACGTACGAAGACACCTACATCGACATCAACAGCCAGATGGATGTGGATGAATTCTATAACCTGTTATTCGATCGGTTGGAAGCACAGCTGCCGAGGGACGACCAAAAGAGGGAGCTTCGGGGAATATACGGCGGGCAGCTTGTCCAACAAATCAAGTCGCAGGAATGTACACACGTATCCGAACGATTCGAACCATTTTCCGCCATACAGTGCGATATCAACGGGAAACGCACGCTTCGGGAGAGCCTCGAGGCCTATGTTGGGGGAGAAATCATGGAAGGTGGTGAGTAAATGAATCCATGCGGCACTGCCTCGTATATATCTCTCCATCTGTACCTTGGCTAATGAAAATGCGGTTTTCTAGATAACAGATATAAATGCTCGTCCTGCGATCGACATGTTGATGCTGTAAAGAGGTTAGTAAAGAGAGACACCAGTTGATTTTTGTGGTGAATTATTTAGCTAACGAATGGTTTTCTTTCTTTCCTTTTCTCATCTGCAGGGCTTGTCTCAAAGATGTACCAGACAATCTAATTTTCCATCTGAAACGATTCGACTTCAGCCTTCGAACGTTTCAGCGAAGCAAGATTAATGATTACTTTTCATTCCCCCGTACGATCGATATGCGACCATATACGATTGATCATCTCAGAGACCCAGCAGCTGACGTGGGGCAAGAGGATATATTCGAGCTCGTGGGCATTCTTGTACACTCGGGCACGGCAGAATCGGGCCATTACTATTCTTTCATCCGAGAACGCACATCAACGGATGACCAGCCCCGTTGGTTTGAGTTCAATGACGACAACGTGTCGCTATGGGACTCGCGCAACATGGCGAACCAAACATTTGGCGGCCCTGGCCAACAATCAGTACATGACACAAACGGGACAGGGTATGCTAAAAACTATAGCGGATATATGCTCTTCTATCAGCGCTCCTCTTCCCTCGCTGCAGAGCAGGAGCAAGCGGGATTATCCACAACAACGGGGGCTGTCACCACCCCCGTGCAGGTCGAAGTTCCCCCGAATCTGAAGGAACACATCCTGCGCGAGAATGCAAACATCCTCAAACGGCACTGCTTGTTTGATCCCAATTATACGATATTTGTGGAGGCTTGCTTCGTTCAAGCAAAATTGTTTGGAAATAATTCGTCGCTCAGTCCATGGCAGCAGCAGTACCAAGATGGACTCCATGATTTGCCTCACGGATTGAAAGATTTGGCAATGGAGATGGCTCTAAGTCACTTGGATCAACTAGTGACGCGAATCGAGAATACGCCAGACTTGGAACAGTTTTCAGAAATGATTCGATTGGCTGTTGTTGAATGCGTGGACTGCGCCCTTGCCTTCTTTGAGTATTTCAGTAGGCGCCATGAGGCCTTCCGAATGCTCGCCCAACGTCATCCAGACGCCGCCGTTCGCAATTTTTCGTGCAAAATGCTGATTATCGCGATGGAGAAGATTGCCACCGAAATGCCAAATGTGTACGATCCGCTGAGCGCCAATATCGTCATTCAGGACGACAGAAGCGACATTGCTGTCGATTCTCCCGCCTCTCGCAGCCCGTCGTCTCCAAGGCCCTCCGTCTTGGATGAGGCAATGTTTCTCATCGACCATCTCTGGCGACACTTTCATCTCCATCTACGTTCCTGGGATGAGGTCTTTGGTCTGTTGCTCGAATTTGCGAAAATGGGTCCTCGAGAGGTGGCCCAGCTATTGGCTCACGATTACCTGCTTAAGCTACTGCGCATCATTGCGGCCGACACAATGACGGAATTGTCGCTGAATTATTCAAAGATGCTGCAGAACATCTATCGGCGATTGCCACGGCCTCCGCCGTATGCGGCAATCTTGGAGCTCATTGACTATTTGATATGGCAGCTTGAACCCTTGCTAGGCACACAGTACATCGTCGATACAGCAGAGGAGCGTCTGAACCGCGACGAGGCGCCGTTTCCTTGGACAGCAGATGAGGTTCAGATGATACACAGCCACCCAGAGCGCCAACTGGGCAGCTTTTTTGTCGAAAAACTAATCGCAATTGATCAAGCTCGCCCCACTACCCATCGCATTCTAGGCCGCCTGACGTCGCTCGCGCCTCAGATGGATATGAGAATCTTCCATAGTCTACGACGAAAACTAGAGGCAGACTCAACGATGCAGCCAATGGACCCGTTCCTGCGGGCCGCCGTACAGTATTTGGAATCTACACAGTCAATTCCTCACAGTCGAAACATTGTACGCTTCATCGCTCTGCAGGCCCGGAGCTTACAGAATACCGAACCGGTAGCCTTTTTGGAATTCTTTAGCGCGGCACTCAATCTGAAGAGACCGGATAGCGATATTGTACGAGCTATTCAAAGTTGCAGCCTCGAGACACTGCCAGACTGGGTGCCTCATCTACTCGCATGCGGAGACGGCGGGGTACGATACGACACTGTGCGTTTACTCGATGTCGAGCTGTTTGATCAGATGTCCAACACAGATGATGTGGACGAAGACGACGTATCGATGCTCCTCGAGAGAAGGGACAAGTTGAAAGAAATTGTCCAGAAAGTAGGCAGAGCATGCGTGTTTTATTTACGAGACACACACGTCAGACAACGCAATCAAATTGGACGCGACACTGCTCTTGTGATGGTTCAGGTAACATCCAAATGCACGCCCTACTTTTCCGATGAGCCAGGGGTAGACGATGAAAGAAGTATCGAATTCAATAACCTCCAGATTGGTGTGTATACTCTTCTTCTTTAGCAATTAACCGAGTGGCGATTTACTAATACTTGAAATTAGACACTGCAAATGCTGTGCGCGCGATGATTGTTGATGAAGTTGAAGATGACAACTCTGGTAAGCCCACGCAGTACCAAGCTATAGAACCTTGACTGATATTAGATATTTGTCATTTTCTTTTAGACTGGGAGGGCTCATACATGTCATCAGATCCGCTGGATTGCCAGCCGGACTTGGGAGTTGAGCAAATTGGGGAGCCAGACGGGGCTCTTGCGACAAGATGAGGACACACATTGCCTCCTTGTTGTGGGCAGGCTATGGCAAACATTATCAGAATAGTTTCAAGGGAGCAATAAGGTCTGGAGTTTGAGGGTTTGGCTGATAATCATTAGACGTTGGGCTTTTTCTTTTTTTTTTCACACGTTTTCCTCCCTTCATGCCCTATCCATCTTTTTATCGAGCGCTGCCGATTAAACACAAACAAACGAACAAGCATGAATGAGAATGCAAGCAAGTAAGATGAAGAAAAAATGGTGGATTTTGCGCATAGCGTCGGAGTGAACAGGCGCAGAGGAACTTGCAGCTCACTATGGAAACAGTGGCATTTCATGAATTACGAATTTAGGGTTACAGGAGGAGGGACTGCTTTATCCGCGGCAATTGGCAGAATAGATCGGTACGAAGCAACGTTTACACAGAAAATTTACTTTTTTTTTTTTTCCTTTGAGTATTTTTTGTTTATAACTGTTGTTACTTACTTTCTTCTGACTGGTGTGATGAAGTGACGTTGATGGGATACCCACATGGGCATGCGTGATGCAGCATGGTAAGGCTGAGGGGCAGTTGACAGTTTAAGCTTAAATCTGATGATCAAACGGATCGATCTACTACCTGATTAACGAAAGGCGCGGCCCCCTTGTCCAACGGGTAGTGTGAGTTGCAACGGTTGGGCGCTCTTGGCAGGAGGAAAAGGAGGGAAAAAAAGCTGAAGTGTGGGTTTCGGGGCCAAGAATGGGGACGACTCCGAGAGAATGCCGAGCGTGGTCCGATGTGCGAGGGGGGTGTGGGTGGAGAGAAGGGGGGGATGCCGAAATTGAAAGGACGTCATTTGGTGGTATGGGGATGTGGTTTGTTCATTTTCACATTGTTTTTTGAGGGATGTTTGTTGTTTTCTAGAAGAATGATGTTTATCTAATATTAATGGGGGTTTGTGTTGTATGTGCGAGCCTGGTAGGATGACTAACCAATAACTACCCAGTAAAAAGTTCGTTATACCGAGTACTTGAATTTCTCCATTGGATGTAGTATATCGTTTATACCAAGTGAAAGTGTACATGTCCTGAATTCCCCCATATGCAGTATATCGTTTATATTTCGCATCTACATGTATCCATATCCCAAATAGTCCTAGTCTTCACCAAGCCTGTCCAACACCGACGCCGGCGGAGCATAAAACGTCGTGCCCGTCAAGGCCGTCGAGAAATCCAGAATGCGGTCGTGCTTGCCCGGCGGATGGCCCACAAACATGCGCTCCAGCATCTTCTCAATCACCCACAGGCGGCGCGAGTAGCCGATGAAGTAGGTGCCAAAGACGCCGGAGCCGGGCGAGCCAAAGGGCATGTTGTCGCGCAGGATGCCGTGCTCGTTGCCGTGCTCGTCCTCGATGGTGGCGAGCGTCTTGTGCGCCTGCTGGTGGCCGTCGGGCCGGTCGTCGAGCTCCATGTTGTCCAGCTTGGTGCGGCCGATGATGGCCTCCTGGGCCTCGGTCGAGAGGCGGCCCCAGCCGGCCATGTCGTGGACGTACTTTTGCACGACGACGTAGCTGCCGCCGGCGCAGGGGGCGTCCTCGTCGGCGATGAGCACGGCGTCGGGCACGTCGGGGCCCACCGGGTTGGCGGTGCCGTCGACGAAGCCGAGCAGGTCGCGCGCGTCAAAGTAGCGGAAGCCCTGCGTGTCGTCGACGACGGCGGCCGCATCGCCGAGCTTGCACAGCAGCTGGCGCTCAAACTCGAAGCAGATGTCGCGGCGGTCGGCGCGGATGTGGAACAGCAGGTCGCCCGGCGTGGCCACGGCGGTGTGGCGCGCGCCGCTGATGGGGCGGAAGGGCCGCAGCTCGGCGGGGCGGTGGAGGCCGGTGCCCGCGGTGAGGGCGTCCCAGGCGTCGGAGCCGATGCCGACGGCGCAGGAGAAGTGCGAGTTGAGGTCGCGCAGGGACACGTTTTTGGCGAGGTCGGCGACGGAGGCGAGGACGGAGCGGACCGTCTTCGTAGCGGAGGGGGACGAGGGGTTGATGGTGAGGACGAGGAAGGTTGCGGACTTGGTGAGGGATGCCTGGACGGCTTGGTGTTGCTGGGACATGTTGATGGAGGTGTTCATGTTGAGAGATTTTGAGGATGGTGATGGTGATGGTGTTGTTTTGGTGTTGAGGGGAGAGGTGGTGGTGAAGCTGAGCTTGGATGAGATTGATGAGAATCTTTGAGTGCTGCTGTTATGAAATGACGATGAAGACGAATATCTCGAGTGAAGCTGAGGCGCGACTATGCAGAGGCCGTTGCGGCCGTGACTGGGACTGAGACTGCCTCGTATAAGTCTCTGGCTGCGCACTTGGAGTTGGAGGGCCCTTGCTGTGATGCGGCTGGCGGTCACATCCATGCCTCGGCTCTCAGCACAGACGCGAGAAAATGGGGAGACGATGTAAAAGAAGATGTAATATGAAAAAAGAGTGAGAGATTTTTGCTCATGTAGCTCAATTGAGGTAGCTTCAATTGATAGCTTCCGAGCTGTTGTTGATATGAATTGCACCAAGGGAGCTGTAAGTGACGTCAGGCGGAGGCTGCGGACCCAGTCAAAAGCATCCGAAGGGATTCCGAGATTCGGGCGGCCAATGGGAAGGTGGATTTTGGTCAGCGGGGCTGCTGTCTCTACCCTGCACAGGGCCCTATGATTTGATTTCTTATAGGAACCTTAGATTTGTATGTTGAGAGTTGTGTATGAATGAGGAAAATGGTTGATTGAAATTTGCTGGACACGTAATGAGGTAGGTAGATAAGAGGACGGAATTGTGCAGCTGCTTTTTATGTAATGTTTTTTTTTTTTTTCTAAATGCTATCCGTCATTCATTTCCCATAAAGGATATGTTTTTTTTCCTTTTTTTTCGCCGTCGAAAATGTGGCGTTGGGTTACTAACATGTAGCTAAAGTAATCTTGATATGTATATAAAATAGAGATCCTCACAGGTCCTACTACAAGCGCCCATCATAAGCCATGTTGGCGGGTTTATGCAGCAACTTTGGCCTCGGTAGCATCGCGGAGACGAGCGCTCAGGTCCTTGTCGACGTAGGAAAAGTACTCTATCGAAATGGCATTAGCAAGAATTTCAAAAGTTGAAAAGTAAAAGGACAGAGAAGGATTTGTTGTGGAGAGTAGGGTAGAATAAGGGACTTACCATAGACTCGGCTGCGGATGGAAGCATTCTTGGCACCAGACAAGTGACCAGCAAGGTTGCCAATGAACCTGTCCTGGTGGCCCTCCTGCTGGCCGAGGACGTTCCACAGGGCAGTGGCCTGCTCATAGTCCTCAGGGCCCATCTGGCTGGTGAAGCTGCTCACCTCGCCGGCCCACTTCTCGTGCTCTGTGATGGTGGAGGTCACCTTGCCGGCGTTCTTGAAAGTTGTGGGCTTAAGCGAGGCGTTGACATAGTTGGGGTCCGCGCCGTAGTTGTCTGAAAAGTTCATGTAGCCATCGCGCTGGTAAGGGGCGTAGACGGGCACCTTGGCGCGGTTGGTGGGGAGTTGCTGGTAGTTGACGCCGAGACGGTACCGGGCAGCGTCGGGGTAAGCAAACATGCGGGCTTGCAGGACTATTTTTTGAAAGAATACGAATTAGTAAAGCGTCGGTTATTGATTTTTTTTCTCATCTGCCGAGATAACAAGGATGGTGACATACTGGGATCAGCAGAAGGGGCAATGCCGGGCACCATTGTGGAGGGCGAAAAGGCAGCCTGCTCGATATCGGTAAAGTAGTTTTGGGGCTATTTGCTTCGGTTAGAGATACAAGAAACAGAAAAAAAATACCTCTTCCTATCGCGAATAGAGTATAGAGAGAGGGGGGGGAAGGAAAAAACTCACGTTGCGGTTCATGGTCAACCGACCAATCTGGCGCAGCGGATAGTCCTTGTGAGGCCAAACCTTGGTCATGTCAAAGACGTTCCACTTGTACGTCTCCGCATCCTTGGGCTCCATCACCTGGACAAAGACATCCCACTTGGGGTAGTTGCCCTGCTCAATGGCCTCAAAGAGGTCCTGCGTCAGAAAGTCGGGATTCTCTCCGGCAACCTTTGTGGCGGTTTGGGCGTCGAAGTTCTTGGTGCCGCCCTGGGCCTTGAGGTGGAGCTTGACATACTTGAAGCTGCCGTCCTGTTGTTGTAATCATTGGTTAGATTTGGGCACGATACTAATGCCTGCTCCCTGCATAAACAAGTTTACGAGGGAGGGGGCGGCGGGGGAGAATAGGCATCCTTACCTCTTTGGTGAACTTGTACGTGTGGCCGCTGTAGGCGTTGATGTGACGCAGCGAGGCTGGGGTGCCTCGGTCGTTGAAGAGGTGCATCAGCGCGTGGATACCCTCCGGGTTGCCCAGGTGGAAGCTGTAAACACCATCACGTTAGACATGCAGTTCGGCAACTTCTCCTCTTTTCTTCTTCTTTTTAATGGACAGACGGGCCGGTTGCCTGTTTTCAAAACGGCTAGTACTTACTCCCAAAACTAAGGAAACAAACAGATATACATTAGCGTTGTAGCTCTCTCTTCGTATCAACAACTGTGGGAACTGCCACGTACCATGTCCGAGTCGGCCAAGTTGGTTTGAGGATTGCGCTTGTGAGAGCGGTTAAGCGAAGGGAACTTGATGGGATCCCTCACAAAGAAGACGGGCTAATGATGTTGTCGCCGCGCGTTAGCAAAGTCTCTTTCGAAAAAAAAAAGGCCTCACCCCCTGCCCACTACGTTGCAGTTTTTTGAGCCCGTAGTGGGGGAGGTTTTATTGGGCGTAAGGGCAAAAAAGCTCAGCTCACAATGTTGTTGCAGACAAAGTCCTGGTTGCCCTCGTCCGTGTAAATCTTCATGCCCCAGCCGTGGACATCGCGCGTCGTGTCGGCAGAGCCTCGCTCGGGGCCGACGGTTGAGATACGGAGGAGCACGTCGGACTTTTTGCCGACGGTGTTGAGGAAGCTGGCAGAGGTGATGTCTGAGCAGTCATGTGTACATTCGAATTCACCATAGGCACTATTCACGGCGTCATGTTAATTATTTTGAGATTACTTGTGTTGTTGTCTTTTGTGTGCGGATCGGACTTACCCAGCGGCTTTGGCATGGACAACACTAGGAGACGGAAAACCATCGTGTTAGTGATATTTTTCAACATACAAGGCGAGTTAGAAGACCTGTGTGCAAGTGTATTCCATACCGTTCAGGAATTCGTTCGCGGTTAAAGTGGGCCAGCGTCTCAATCAGCTGTGAGTCCTGGAGCAGCACAAGTCCGCCAACGCCCGGGCCATTGCGGAATTGAACGCTGGTGGTAGGATCGGGGTAAGGGGAACCTGAGGATTGCAATTATGTAAGTCAAATTGGTGTTTTCCCTCGACTATCAGATGGGGGGAAGCATAGGGTTGATTGGTTGGATAAGGGGGGAGAGGCAAATTGGGTGGGTGGCTTACCCTCAGCACTGGTGTAAAACGAAGGCATTGTGAATTGTAAAAGGATGGTATTATGAGATGGGATAGGTAGTCTTTGACAAAGTAGCAAGAATGAGGATGGAGGGATGATGAGATGTGGCAATGTGCCGGGGATGATTGGATTGATATACTTGTGACAAGTTGCTGCCATCTACCCCCTTTACCTCTCGTTGTTGCTCGGCATTTGGATTTTTAACAACTCTACATGCTTAATCTAGTATGTCGTCTGGTATTACGCTGTACTCTGTAATACGCCATCCGCCATAGGCTTCGTGTTAGTCCTCGATATCAAATTTTCCCAATGACGCAGCTAAAGGCTTACCTACCGACGTCCGACCCCGAGCTCCATCCGAAGCCCATCCACACAGGGTCCAAGACCGCAAGCGACTCCAACAGTACTCCAAGCGACTTCGTACAGTGCATCTCGAGCCGAGCTCATGAAAATTAAGCGAAGCAACATGTTGATTCCTTGATTCGAACTATCTTGATGCCCAACAATCAACTATACAACTTCGTCAAGTATAGTCGCTTCGCCACATGCAAGCAACACCAAGGTTTCACCAACTTGCAGCTAATGCCACCCAGCAATCGGCCTAATACCCGTAGTCTCGAGGATCCCTGCACACCCGTCCTCATCCTATCAAGATGCCTCCAGCTGACATGCGGGCATGGCCAGCTCCCATCACGACGCCCGGGAATCCCGCGATATCAATCAATCGTTGCCTCGCGAGCTGAGAACGGCAAGGGTCCTTCTAGATTCGGAATTCGGCAATGGCTAGTACTGTCTACTGCGCGGTCCGTCGAGCCAACCAGAGCCCACCTTTAACCCCGAGCCAGCCGCGACCTGCGATTTGGCCCCATCGAGACTCTCCGGGAGGGCTCCGCCGACACGCACGCCGAACCGCCGCGAAGCCTAGCAGGGGGTCTCAGGCCCGCCAATGGAATCACAGCAAATACAGCTTCAGTGACGTACTCGTGCCCGCGAAGATGGCTGTCGGAATGCCCCCCACCGGCCGCCTGAGGCTGGGCTCCACCGCGGCTTTTGGGCTGTGGCTTTTTGATGCCGAGAATCGGGCGCTCAGCCTTGCTGTGGAGCTTTTGGCGTTCGGGCTAGCCTCGTTGGAAGCTTTGCCAAAGCTCGGCTTCTGGTTCCCGCGTCTTGTTATTTGCTGGGGGCGATGGGCGGGCGTCGGAAGCTTTGGAATTGCATGCAGGAGGTGCGGGCTTTGGAGCTGGTGAAAGAAGTCCGCGTACAACTTGGAATGATGACGACCTGGCGAGCGTTTCTCGGCTACGGGATGCAGGGGAGGCATTTTGTCTGGCTCGACACCGAGTAGCCGAGATGATTGTGCTTTGGGAAAGATATAAGAGGGAGGCCATGGACGGACTTGATCGAATTATCATCATCATCATCACTCAACAACAAAGCATCACCAATACAACAATTCATCTTTTTCAATATACACACCAACATCAACAACAATCAAATCATACTTGTCAATCTCACATCATACATTGTGATACAAGCTACACTCAGTGACTTACACAAGTTCATCCTCAACCAATAACCACGACTTGTTGAAACAACATTCATCATGGCCATCACTGTCCCCATCAACTCCGGTGACCACTTCGACTTCATCGTCGTCGGTGGAGGCACCGCCGGCAACACCGTCGCCGGCCGTCTCGCCGAGAACCCCAATGTCCGCATCCTCATCGTCGAGGCCGGCGTGGCCAACCCCGAGCAGCTCAACGAGGTCATGACGCCTTCCAACGCCATGAACCTGCGCGGCAGCAAGCACGACTGGGCCTACAAGACCACCATCGTCAAGCGGGACGACTACGAGCGCATCGAGAAGCCAAACACCCGTGGCAAGATCCTCGGCGGCAGCTCCTCGCTCAACTACTTCACCTGGATCCCCGGCTGCAAGCCCACGTTTGACATGTGGGCCGAGTACGGCGGCGAGGAATGGACCTGGGACCCCCTCGTGCCGTACCTTCGAAAGTCCGTCACCTACCACGACGACGAGGGCCTCTACGACAAGTCACTCGCCAAGATTGGCGGCGGCGGCCCCGTCAACATCTCGCACGCCGAGCTGCTCCCTGAAATGGCGCCGTTCCGCGACGCCCTGACAAAGGCCTGGGTGTCCATGGGCGAGCCCCTGACGGAGAACATCTACGACGGCGAGATGATTGGCCTGTACCACTGCGCCGACACCATCTACAAGGGCCGCCGCCAGGGCAGCTTCCTGTTCCTCAAGAACAAGCCCAACATCACCGTCGTGACCGAGGCCATGTCCAAGAAGCTGCTCATCGACTACGCCTCGCGCACCTGCAGCGGCGTCACCGTCGTGCTGGGCAACGGCCAGGAGATGAGCTTCTACGCCGACCGCGAGGTCATCCTGTCGCAGGGCGTCTACGAGTCGCCCAAGCTGCTCATGCTCAGCGGCATCGGCCCGGCGCGCGAGCTGGCCAAGTTCAACATTGAGTGCATCGTCGACTCGCGCCACGTCGGCCAGAACCTGATTGACCACCCGGCCGTGCCCTTTGTGCTCAAGGTCAAGGACGACTTCGGCATGGACAACACCATCCTGCGCAAGAACGAGCTCAACGCCCAGGTCCACGCCGCCTACGCCAAGGACCACTCGGGCCCCGTCGGCTCGGGCTTCCTCGAGATGGTTGGCTTCCCCCGCATCGACAAGTACCTCGCCACGGACCCCGTCTACAGCGCGGCCGTCAAGGCCAACGGCGGCAAGGATCCGCTGTGCCCCGACGGCCAGCCTCACTTTGAGCTGGACTTTGTGTCCATCTTTGGCAGCGCCTTCCAGTGGCACTATCCCACGCCAAAGACGGGCGCCCACACCACCGTCGTCGTCGACCTGGTGCGCCCCATCTCCAAGCCCGGTGAAGTGACGCTCACTGGCCCCAGCTACCTGGACCAGCCCGGCATCAACCTCAACTTCTTCGAGAGCGAGCTCGACATCATCGCCATGCGCGAGGGCATCCGCTTCAGCTACGACCTGCTGACCAAGGGCGAGGCCTTCAAGGACCTCGTCGTCCAGGAGTACCCCTGGGACATGCCCCTCGACGACAACGAGGCCATGCGCCGCGTCGTCCTCGACCGCTGCCAGACCGCCTTCCACCCTTGCGGCAGTGCCCGTCTGTCCAAGAACATTGAGCAGGGCGTCGTCGACCCGGCCCTCAAGGTCCACGGCGTCAAGAACCTGCGAGTCATTGACGCCTCTGTCATGCCCGTCATTCCCGACTGCCGTATCCAGAACTCTGTCTACATGGTTGGCGAGAAGGGAGCGGACCTTATCAAGGCTGAGCACAAGGACTTGTACTAAGCAGACACTATATCCCGTCTCCCCTTGAAACCCTCAGATAGCCCACACAGACACACACACACACAAACACACTCATTAGATTTTCACTGGGAGTTTTTTGGGAAACAAAGGGAGGATACAGAAAACACCACAACACACCACAACTAGATGTCTCTCTAATGTGATGGATGCGATGGATTTCATACTTGTAATTTAGATTTTGTTGGCAGCGAGTTAGTTACTTAATTGAGATGATGCATAAAAAAAAAATTCCCTCTAAACGTTCCACACTTGATGAGACCATCTATCCACTATTAGAGTGGCTTTTTTTTGAAATTTTCAGCTGGAATGAAATTTTCGGCTGGAACAATTAAGGGGCTGGTTGAGGAGGGTAACTATCACTCACTTGACACAACTGGGAAATAATTGTTTATTCTTTACTACAAGTAAATGAACGATACATTAGGTAGATGGATACTTTGTTAGTTCCAGTTAAAACTATATTTGCTCATTGAGAAGAGGATTGTCAGTGCCTAGTGAAGCAATTCTCGAGAAGAACAAGGAAATTTGTGGATGGCCGGCACACAACTCTCTAATTGCACCATAACAAGGCCGGTATCCACCAAATAGCTCGTATTGGAAGAAGAAGAAAGCGTTTTCATTAGTAAATCGCAAAGTATTTAACATTTGATCAGGTTAGATTGTATCCGTTCCTTGGGCTGAACGTCAAATATGGTCCAACGAAGTGAATATCAAGACAAACGAGGAGATTTGTAGATGATTAGCACACAAACTCTCCAATTGCACCACAACATGGTCAGTATCCACCATATAGCTCGTATTGTCGTTCTTGTTTCCAGTTTACGAGTGTTTATTTTTTATTTTGCGACTCCTAATCTTCCAATACCCACTTGTGAGTACCTTGGAGACGAATAGTCAACTGCTGTTCGCTTCTCTCTTCATTGAACCTCCAAATAACTAGGGGAAAACACCAGAGAGAATAAAGATTATCCTTGGCCAATGGGGCTACTAGTAAACAGTATTACACAAAACATGACATCATGTCCACCGTCATGCACATGTCCTTGTCAAACTTGCTCAGGTAGCACCACCTAACCTGTAACCGGTTGCAAGACGCCAAAATGTCGAGATACGATGGATACGCAAAAATGTACGAGTAAAAAGGACATGTTGATTGCGCCATAATCTTGGCAAAAGCAATCCTTCTTATCCTTGTACATACACATGTTCATTTCTAGGTTCCCTGTCTATCTGCAAGCTACTCCTAGACATGTATGTAAAGAACACCAAACAAATACCATATAATACTAATACCAGGGAAATACGCAAATAACATGAAAAGTTAGACCAGTGATTAATTACAATTGCTTAGGAAACTAGCATTAAGCTTTCATCCATGCATTATTCAGGAGGCTGGTATACAGCATTTTTCCAGTTGCTGGAGTGATGAGAAAAGTATCATTCAAGCTTTTGCTAGGACGGAAGATGCGTCTCCCGCTTCTCAACACCAAAGCTGACGGTGCAAGAGGTACAATTGATAACGATCTTAACCCAAGTATGCAGAAACAATGCATTCAAAAAAAAAAATAAACTCATCTCCCAGCCCCCCCTCTTTTTATTACCAACTCATTCTATTTCTCATTCTTCAAGTAAAAGGGCCCAAAACAGCAAAACCCCTTCGTGTCGCTCGGAAGATATTTAAAGTAAGGGGCAGCATAACCCCCGTTCTATTTTAAGTCTTCCATGGAAATCACATCCCGAAATCTGCAGCCAGATCTGCGTCCTCGCGTTACAGTTACATTGCATCAAAAACACCTCGCACAAGCATTCAGCTGCCACGGTACAGTAGTAGAGAGAAAAGCATCTTGCCAAACTTTTACTAGCAGAAACCTTGCCCTTGCGCTTATTGCAAGGTTTCTCTTCACAAAAACGAATAGAGAGCCCCTCGCCTGGCCAATCGCCGTCCACAGCACATGCGGTTTAAAAATAAAACACTAAACACTTCTTTAGGCGCCCGGTCTGTGACGCGACTGGCGAATCAGACGACGCTCTCCCCACCTGGATGTGCGTGACAGGGGCTGCTGGAGAAGAGCGCAGACACCAACCGGTAACCGTCATCTGTCACATTTTCTGTGGTTTCTGCATGTTGGTTCGACCCGAGGAATTGCTGCGTTGGCACAAATCAGGCCTCTTGGCCTGCTTTTTGTGTTGAGCGTCACACATGCTCGTCATGGCTCCTCTTTCAGCCGCACAATCAACTTTGCGAACCGACACCGAAACGGTCTTGGTCCTTGTCTTCCCTCTACTGTAACTCCTGTAAGCACAGCCAAAGGCACTTCAAAGTTTCTCGTTCCGTGAGATTCGGCAGCCTCCACTCCCGCAGCGGGGCCGTCACCACAGCTCCCACGACTCTCTGCATATGATTCCCTCTGCATGGCGCTTGTGAAGCGCAAACTCTCGATACCGGCCGCTGACAGACTATCATTGACGATCCATGTAAACAATAAGACTCTCACAGTAGTAGACCCATCAATAAGATCAAGGCCATGGGGGGCAACATACATGCATCAAAGTGCCTTTTACGCGCCGACCGTTATGCACGAGCCGGCCTAGCGTGCCGTTTCAACACCTCAAAATAACTCTGTTGCGTGGGGAAATCGTCTTGAGGCTCCATCGGCTTGGCTTCTGGGGCCTTTCTTCAGGTGACATTGTACCCTGTCTGTACCTGCTTCTGGGATGTTTTTGCCTGCCGCGATCTAAAGGACATTGATCGATATAACTTCCCAGCAGGATCCGCTCTCTTTGCATCTTGTCCCCATCCCTCTTTTTTTTTTTTCTTTTTCCACGACGTCGGGTCCCGGGCGGCGGCGGGCAGCAATTTCATCACTAGCAAACTCGCTCTTTTTGTGTTTCGTAGGTTTGTTTTTGTGTGAAGAGAGGAATGACAAACAATAGGCTGAGCCGGGCAGAGGCAAATCTTGGGGCCGCTATTCTCTCTCCTTTGCAGCGAGCATTGTCGACCAAACTCTCTTCTCTTCGTACACACTCTCCTTGATTGATGAGTTGTCATGGCGCTCAAGGACAGCATCTCCTCTCCTCTCGAGGCGGGCCCGTCCGTCCTCGACGCCCACCACATCCCTCCTCATCTCGTCCCCGTCCTCGAGTATACGTCGAGCCGGCTGGCCAAAAAGGCCGTCCACCTCACGCTCATTATCGTCCGCAGAGACTACCAGCTGCTCAACACAAACACAAACACAAACACGGCCTCTTCAACGCCGAGAACGCCCCGGACTCCTGCAACGCCTCTGTCGCCCCCCCTCTCCGGCGGCAGCACCGGCAGCCGTCTCGGCCTGTCCAGCCCCGTCGTGGCTCTGAAGCATCTCATGCGATCCGCCTCGCAGCACGTTGTTGGATCCGGCCGCTCTGTGCAAAGCCCGAGGAGTGCCGCGCCTCTCATCTCACATCCCTTTGCAGCCAACGAGCTGCCCAGTCCCCGGTTCCGATGGCCGCTGTCGCCCACAACGCCGCTGTCTCCGCCGCCCATGACGCCGTCCACAGCTTCATCGCTGACGACCACTGACAGCAACGGACCGCCAACCCCGAATTGCACGGGGCTCCGCTGCTTCTATTCTGGCGACTTGTCCCCGCGGACAGAAAAGATCCTCAAGAGCACTCTCATCAAGGCGGGGATCAAGTTTGGCGTCGGGTAAGCGCACATGGCAGGGCTGGAGCAGATTTCACGTACATGTATTGACCGCAATTCAGGAGCGGATGGCTTGTGCCCTTTACAAGCCCCAGCACCCGCGAGCTTGCAACCCAGCTCTTCCACAGCTCCGTCGTCCAAAGCGAGATTCTCTTCTCGTCCGACGGCCTGACTCTGCTGACGCTCGACCGCCTGTACAGCATCAAGAGCGCGCTCTCCAGCTACTCCAAGACGGGTTCCGCGCTCATGCTGGAAGATGCCGTCGACGAACTGCGCCGCTTTGTCCTGGCCCACAACGGCCGCCGAGTCACCAGATCAGACCTCGTCCGGTCCTACGACTGGCTCAGCGTCAGCAATTCCGCCATCATAGACCTCGATCGCATGTATCGACGAGCGTACGGCGGATACGACCAGACGGGCGGCATCGCCGGCATGGCGCCCGAAGCAGTAACCAAGCCATTCGTGCTCCATCTGCCGCCGAAAAGCAAGTTCGAAGACTGGGAAGACGGAAGCCTCAGCCCTTCGAGCACCATCCTAGACGACGACATCATCGGCGTCGCCGTGACAGCCGTGCACCTTGTCCGCCCACCAACTCCCCGGCGAATCGGCCCCATCTTGAAGCTGCAAACCGACTTTCCATCCAAATCCAAGTATCTGGACCTCGGAGACCAAGTACCCCAGGAAGACGAGGACTCAGAGGACGATGAAGCCCATACCGCTCGACCCGTGGATAAAACAGCCGCTGCCATGTGGAACAACCGCCTCACCATTGACCAGATGCTCAGCCCAAACCAGGACCTGCATTCGCCTGCCGTAGGGCCCATGACTCCCCACGGATACGAGGACATATCTCCCGTCACGCGCGGAGAATGGGGCTTCCTCATGGGCGGCAATGGGCTGCAAATAGGGAAAACAGCAGCGGTAGAGACGTTTTGATGCCTTGTATGAAGACCTTGATTGTATTGAGTGAATGTGGCATATGATTTTTTTCTTCTTCCCTCCTCTTCTCTTCTTCCTTTTTTCTCACATCTTCTTCTCCCTTTTCATTTCATTACTTTCTTTTCAGACAATTTCTTCTTGTTACATTCTATAAGTTTCTACATTTCATTTTCATCCAGGGAAGCGAGGTGAATCGGCGTTTTTGGGTGGCAAAACGGGAGGGTATATTAGAAAGTTTTTCGCACATACGCATCAAAAAAAAAAAAAAAATATACAAAATTTTTATGAAATGCAGTCTTGATACACATGTCTTTTACCTTGTCTCATCACCAACCGTAACGACTTGAAGCTTCTCGTCGGTTGCTTTTGCCCTTTGCAAAGCTCTCTTCCAGGGCGTCACGCTGACTGGCAACATTCCGCACCAGCTGTTGCAGGCTGTGCTTGCCGCTGTGTATGGCGCGAACGGGGTTGTGTGTCTGCTGCTCGCCAGCGGCTCTGAGCTCTTCGTTGTGTTGATATTCTCGGTCCATGTTGAAGTTGATAACCTTCTTCGCCATCTGTCCGTCTCCTCCTCCTCTGCCAAATAGTTCCCGTCTCGCTGCTGCAGAAAGATTCAAATCATCCGCAACATTGTCTAATGACTCCGTTCTTGTGTCTCTTGAACCGGCAGCTGCCTGGCTATTGTTCATTTGCTGAGAATAGGCACCAGGTCCGTATGGGTTTATAGCTTCTCCCGTTTCAAAGAGCGGCTCGTAGGCTCCTCCTGCCGGCGCCGTTGGAGTTGATTCTTCCTCGACGTGCATGGAGAAGAGAGACGTCTTTTTCGCTGGCGCCGGAGCTGGTGCTGGTTCGGCCTTTGCTGCTGTTTCTTGTGTCGAAGCTGCTGGTTTCGGTGCCGATGCTGTTGAAGCCTGGGCTGCCGTACTCCTCGGCTTCTTCTTTGTATTCCGAGCGACTGATAGAGGCTTGAACAGTAACGGCTTCCCCACGAGTTTGACATCTTCCGCAGGCTTCATTGTATCTGGTATTGATGGTTCGGCTGGTCGTTTAGGAGGTGGCAAGCTCAGACTCGATGCGCCATCAGTATTGCTATTAAAGCTACTTGAAACTTCTTCGTCGCGACTGAATCCTTTTTCCGCGCTTGTTTTGAGGTTGATGCCCGGTCGACTCAAAGTCTTGCCTAGTATCGGCTTCCCTGTGTTTTTGGGCGGAGGGAGAAACGAGCTGAATCCAGCAAAGAGGCCGCCTCCGCCAGTGCGCGCACGTTTTGCTGGAGGTTCAGTGCTATTCGCTGCGCTTGCGTCGCCAGAGGAGGAAACTTGAGCGAGGTTGAGGACGATTTTGCCTGGATTCGACCGGTCGACAACTTTTTGGAATGCGGGTTTCTTTGGCGCAGCGGCCTTTGCAACAGGCTGCGGCGCGTCGACTTCGACATCCGAGGAGTCGGACTCGGAGTAATCGACGAGACCCATTGTGTAGAAACGAGTTTGAATGCGATGACGGGTTGGTGAGTTGTATGGTAAGGCGACGAGCCAAGCTCTGATGTGACAATTGGATGTAGAAGCCAATAAAAGTGACAATCAGACGTAGCAGCACTGACGTGAGTTTGAATGGCGCAGTGGATACAATAGCGCAAGCGTTAGCGGTCGATGCGCTAGAGCAGGGGTCCAGCTCATCCGTATCTTATCTGCTTGTCGAGACCCTTTTAATGCTACCCCACGGCCAGCTGCTTGCAACAGCATCATCGACTTTGGCCTTGACTTTGCGCCTCCATGGAGCCTTAGCTTTACGACGGGAAAACATGTGAGCGATCAATGGCATGCCAGCGAATGCCAGTATCAACCCCATGAATACGCCCATCAGCTCAAAGTAACCCCTACAACCCACCCGCTTCCTCCAACAAGCCACCTTCAACATGTCTCTCATCCAGCTGGAAGAGTGAGTTTGCAACCCTGGGTGACGACGTCGATTGTCGACCCCATGGCGCATAGGCCACTCGCTCAACTAATGTGTTTGGCTCTTCAGGCTCGTCACGTACCAGCTTCGCACTGGCTATCTCAACGAAATCGCCGACGGCGTGGGCGAGCGACTCATCACCGTCAACGACAGCAGCATCAACACCGCGCCCTTCAAGTCAGCTGGCTGGCGGCCGAACTCGTCACACATCAAGCGGACACATTCTCCGCCGATTCCTACGGCAATTGCTTCAGAGTATTTCCAGGCGCCGCGGCAGGCAGGCCTTACGCTGGAAGATGGCTACGAAGACGGCGGTCTGCTCACTGGCGGGGGGGCCGACACCATGGGCCCAGGAGCAGCAACCAAGAGGCGCAGGCGCCGAGAGCAGATGGAAGAGGAAGACAGCAGTGACTTTAGCGACGAGAGCGATGATGAGTCCGAACATCGGGCGGCGCAGCAGATCAAATTTGCCAAGATGCCCGTGAGACACCGCGCCGGATCCTCACCCGGCCAAGCCTCCCACATCCCGCCGATGAATACTTCTCCTCGGGCCCCCAGGCGAGGCTCCCAGTCCTCGCTCAATATTTTGCCGGGACGGCCGAGACGAGACACCGTGACTAGCAGCGAGGTATCCTCCGAGAATGAGTTCGACGCGCCCGTTGCGTACAGACATAGGGAGGCTGCGCGCGCGGCGACGAGGGCAATGAGAATGCAAGACAAGATCAATGAGGAGCCCTCTCCAGGCGTGCAGATTGCGGATCCTCTACACGACGAAGACGAAGACGATTCCGACGAGGCATCGGATATATCGGGAGAGTATGTTGCAAGCATTGACGAGGCCTCGATCCTCGACGTTGTCGAGAACAACCCAATGAAAGCCCCGATGAATGCGTCCCCTACTCGACAAGTAGTAGGCACGCCTCCCAGAGAATTCACCCGACGACAATCTACTATCCGAATATCCCATGTGCATCCGACGCCGTCCGTTTTCGATGCGCTACCGCCTCCGCGCCCCATGAGCACTATCCGCCCTCTCAGCATGGTTCAACCTCAAAGTCTACTCTCCGCGGCCATAAAGGCTAAGCGGTACAAATCTAGCGTGCCCTTTCAAAAGTTTGCGCATTTTAATGGAGAGGGGACGCAGGGAGCTATTTCTATTCGCATCTACGCGGCATTTTCCGATACTCCTAGCAAGTACTTGGAAGTAGTTATTCGACCCAGAGTACAGAGTGGCCAGGGAGCAGAGAGGGCCGTCACAATAGCTGATCTGATAGGCCTGGGGCTGTATAGATACAATGAGGAAAAGAGGCAGCCACCGATAGCTCCCAAAAAGCGCAATATCAACTGGTACACGCTCAGGATGGTGGAAGAAGGAGGCGAGGTGGACGACGATTTCCCACCGTTTGACCGGACAAAACCTCTCACATCGGCCACTACCGTCAATAATGCGCATATGCGAGGCGGTGGGCGAGGGCGGTCCAACTCCAAAGTATACGACGAATTTGCCATTGTTGCCGCTACGGAATCAGAGTATGAGGCAAATCAGAAATTAACTCCGCAGGAAGACGAGGAGGAAGAAGCCCAGCCGTCTCAGGATAGCATCCCGGAGGAGTTAGTATCGCCCAAGGCTGAAACACCTAGAATCGAAAATGCCAATGCAAGTGGCAATAACTTGGGCATCTTTTCACCCCCGCAGTCGGATCATCCGCGACCAAATCCCATTTTGAATACAGCGTACCGGCCAAACGTACTCCTGGCAGATGCTCCCCAGACGCGGACAACGGTTTCCAACGCGATGCGAGGCCAGCAGAAGCTGCTACGGATCTTCATCATGTCGTCTGATACGGCAGCCGGTCAAATGGTGACGCTTGACATCACCACTGACACGTACCTGGCAGAAGTACTGGATCAAGTATGCCGCAAGAGAAATCTTGACAAGGCGAACCACGTACTGAAGCTGCCTGGATCTGGAGCCCTGGTCATGTTGGACCGGCCAGTATCATCGATAGGAAACGTCACGGATCTGGAACTATACCGACGTCGGTTTGCAACAGACGGCCCATTGGCCACGACGGGCTCTCTCGGAACCTCGTCACCGAAGATGGTCGCCATGCTGGAAGGGCCTCAGCCGCCACGAAAGGGCCACAAGAAGGCCTATACACCCGGCTCGCACCCGCTGGCACGCGAGGTCATCCAGCCCGACGAGCTCCCCAGCGCAAACTACAAGCGGTACACGGTGTGGCGCAAGCAGCCAATGCGGATTGTGGGCATGAGCGAGCGAGTCTTGGTGATTGACGGCGAGTACATCCACATTGTGCCGGCTTCCGGAGGCAAGGCCATGCAGGAGGGTGGAGGCAAGACAACGACGGTGCACTTCAGCAACGTGATCGGGTGCAAGGTGCCTCGAAAGCACCCCACCAACGTCAAGGTGAGTTCTCTAAGCCTTTTCAGCTTTATTCATTTCTTTCTTTGTGTCTTTTTACTTTCCCGAGCTTCAACTGGAAGCTCTGCCACGACATCCTCCCCGCATAGTGGAGTCGTGTGTTGCGAGTGGCGAGCTCAGCCTCGTTGTCACGTTTTCCCTTTTTTTTTTATTCTGGACCTGAATGATGGTAGAACGAGGCTAACCGTGGGGACTGCCAAAAATAGCTTGTCGTTTACAAAGCCACCGAGAGCAAACGCTACGACTTTGAGGCTCGCGGAGCTGACGAAGCTGCTGAGATAGTGGCAGAGCTGAAGAAGGGCATTTCACCTTATAGAGAAGTTTGAGCTTGCGTGTACTTGGATTTGAAGTGGGGAAGCGGGCGCTGGAATTGAGTTTGGATGCGGGCTGTGAAGAGGCCATGTGCAGCCAATCATGGTATTTCTTCTTTTTTTATTGTTCAATTGTGTAGCATATGAATAGCCTTGATTTCTTTGTCCTCTCATTACGAGTCAGATGCCCGAGCGAGGCAAAATGTACACGCGTTCCGTGATGAAGCCCAATACAAAGTCATCGTGTAAGTGACGACGTGTGGCTGAGGCATGCCGGAGACTTGCCAAAATGCCCACGATGGGGATGCTAGCACCGCACCCAGCCGCTGTGGAGCGACCTAGCAAGGGCCGGAAGTTTTTAGATGCGAGATACCTTTGGCGTAGGTACCGGGTATTACGTACGACAGGGGACGATAGCCGATGACATCTGGGGGCTTTTGTAGATCCAAGGAGTATTTCCGACGTGATGCAGTTCCCTTTTGGGACGCGCAGGCTGAGAAGGATAGTTGTATGATGACGAGTGCAATGTATTTTTTTATCCCCAAGAATGGTTACTTGTGATGAGTATGTCATTACAGGGTTGACAAGTGGGATACTATTGAGATTGACGAGAACCGTTTGATCGGCACAGCTAGGGCTGATGATGCTAACGCAGAGGGACTGATTCCATTCTGCCTAATTACTGGAGCAGGTGCGCTTGATATTGAGATTGGCTACAGCGGAGTTTTTGGTCCCGTTTGGGAAGTCCCAAATTGCCTGTTTGACGCTTTTATTCCAACGTCCACTATTCTTAACCTCTTGTTTATTCTTTGCATCTTTTTTGCCCTCTACGTTGATCAAAACCGCGAGCAATGCCACCTCCAATAACTCCTGCATAGGAGCAGCGACATACATGTCTGACGTGTTCTGTGTTGGACGCTTCACCCAAGCGTCACAAGTGCTTAAAGCAGGGAGCCGAAAAAAAAGCGGCAAGGCGAAACCCGAACGGGCACCACTACGGAAATGACAACATGAGCGATAGTATCGGCGACAACCGGCTAGGAAAAAAAGAGGAACAGCGCCCAATGTCTCGGCAAAGTTGTCCGATGCAGCGGCCTTGGGCATCATAGCGCGGTTGGTTCGAAACAAGATGCATCTTTTCGTGTTTTTTTATGACGCCAAGCGGGTGCACGAGCGGTGAGGTGAGCACGGTTACATGTACATACGGCATGAAATGTTACTGGTGGCACTGCAAAGGAAAAAAAAAGGGGGGGAGGTTGGTGTAGCACAACTTCTTGCGCCATTATTTGAGTCCTTGGCTGAGAGACGGATGTCTTGGTTTTGGATGGGGACGGCGTGATACCGCCACCGGTGGTAATTGCCCTGCGGATATGAAGCCATGTAGGAGTGTAAATGGGCGCAATTACGGAATATGAGACAGGTGTTATGCTTTGTTGTACAAGTACATGCTGGCCCCTTTAATTCTCCAAGGCTGGTGCGTTGGGCATATCGTCACCATGATAATCTGCCTTGCTTTCATGACATGGACAAGATACATAGGCATTCTCTTCCATGACGGGTTGTGTCTCATCATATTTCCATGCTATTCCTTTCTTGGTAGAATAATAAGTATCGGATATTTTGCAGTCTTCCATATCCAGCCTAATTAATAGCAGTGCTATATGTAATCAGGTTCAAGAGGCATCTCACACGGATCCTTTGACTTTGCCCATGTCACTAATAAACAATTGAAACAAGATAGCTCATTCTATTTTATTTCTCATGAGAAGAAAAGGAGCATGAAGGTGGTCAAATGGGAACGGCTGCAGCGAGAAGCCGTCCGCCTACCAACACACTGTTACACGCAGATATGCAACGAGCAACAAGAAGAAAAGAATAATACGAGAGTTGGTTTGAAGCCCGTCGTACAAGTAATCTCCCCAGTAGTAAATAATCATTACGAATACTATAACCTACCCCTTTTCATCAAATCTATGAGCATCTAGCGGGTTATCTTTCCCAAAACGCTGATTCTAGTAGGACCAGCCCAGGATCTCTCGAAATCTGCCCTGAAGCTCGATTTACTTGCACAACGCAGACGTCCCGAATCCTCCTCGATCCAATCAGCCCAGCCCGTCGATGGCACCCATTACTTACTTTCAAACATGCCATCCGTTTTCAACATCTGTCATGTAGCTAAATGCGTGTAGTACATAGTATGCTATACACCTAGAACTAGGCTCTGGATCCTCCACGCTACTGCTCCACCAGCCCGGCTTCGATCCTCCTAGTTAGATAGCCTAACCCGCCTTTCCTGACTTCTTTCATTTTTATCCTTGGCTGAAAATAACGACCAAGACATAAAAATCCAGACTGCTATTTTCCCTCCATTTCTTACCGCGGGTGGCGGTGGCTGGGCAGTACATGCTCCCTCTGGTTTGGGGGAGGCTTGGCTTTTGACCACCCCCTGTCAGAATCGGTACTTTGGGGCCATGTACCAGCTTAGATGGCAGGGCGTCTGGTTAGCCTCACGTGCCTGTGGTCCCCTTATGGCTGGATTTCCTATTCGGCGATTCATTCATACGAGCCTCTCTCTTACGTCGGACCTTTTATTTTGGTTGCACGATGGTGATAGATACTACATGGACGTATTTCCAAACAGTGGTAAAGTAGGTACAAAAAAGACTGCAGTCTCCAAGCACGACTTTGACCTGCTTGGCCCGACGCTAGTGCCATTTCCCTTGGACAGCTCAATCTGCCGCCACATGAAGCAGAAAAGGATCGCCAATCACAAAAGCCAGACGTCATCACGGGGAGGATTCCCTTTTTTTTTGCCGCCACGCAGCAGCAACACGAACACTGCTACTAATAGTAATACTTCAATCTGGCTCGCCAAATCGATTCCGCATAGGTATTCAATAATTACGTACAGGGCAAAGCACAAGCAAACAAGCCAGACCCGCCCCAAATTGACTTGCATTTGCTCCAATGATCCACCAACTAACAACAACCTCTCGCACTAACGACATACTAATCTGTCTCATCTTCATGTCTCTCGTCCATCCTCCAAAGGCGCTCCTCTCCCCACCAACGAGGGGGGTCCAAGCCACCCCTGCCCTGAATCTTGTCTTGTTAGCAATGGCGGAAAATCAGCCCAGGCAAAAAAAGATGGACGTGAAGACGGGCTGCCTCACCGCGGACGTGACACACAGAAGGTAGTACATACTCAGCACAGCACGTTGGTAGGTGGCTGAGACATTTTTTTTTCTTCTGCTTTCCTTGGTTGGTGTTCAAGGCATCCCCCCGACGACTAAAACAAGATTGAAATGTGACACAAGAGCCTGAAGCACACACCCCTTGGCCTTCTTCACTCGTCTAGTATAAATTCGTCTCTCTCTCTCCCCGTTCGTTTCGTATTCATCCTTTATTTCACACTTCTCTCTCCACATCTGCTATCTTGTTACTACCTAGCCAGATCTCTTATACCCACCTCGGTTTTAATCCATCTGCCACAAGAAACGCAGACAACTCTCAAACCTCGAACCTCTTCTCCATCTACCTAATCCCTTCCACAAACACACACATTCATCATGAAGTTCTCCAGCATTGCTATCTTTGCCGCTGCTGCCCTTGTTCAGGTACGTATCAACAGCCTTCCATCACTCGCTCCATCATAGCCCTCTTTGAACTATATACACCATCAACACCACCCCAATGTCATCATCGTGTACAAAACTAACATCCAAAACAGGCCAACCCAGCTCCCTCACCCGCTCCCTCTCCAGCTCCTGCCCCAGAGCCAGGCCTCTTCGGCGACATCTCCTCCTTCATCGACGGCGCCGAGAACAAGGTCTCAACCTTTGCCGCCGGCATCCACTCCGCCTGGGACAAGGGCCTCTCCCAGGGCAGCCAAATCAACAGCGCCATTGACTCCGTCTTCCACACCGACGCGTCAAAGGTCATTGCCAGCCTCACCTCCGAGGCCGGCTCCATCTTCAGCTCCCTCAGCAGCGTCGAGGCCACCGCCACCGGCGACGCCAAGGCCTCCTACAGCAGCGAAATCTCCAAGCTCAGTGCATCCCTCGCCAGCGCAACCAGCGAGGCCGCCGCCGCCGCCTCCGACAAGTCCAAGGGTGCTGCTGCGCCTGTTCAGACCGCCTACGTTGCCATGGGTGCGCTGATGGGAGGAGCTGCCATCCTTGCCAACATGTAAGAGGCAAGTGAATACTTGATTGCTGTGGTGTGTTTGATGGAGCCTAGTTTTGTGGCCCAGGGGAACATGAATGAATACACGCGTTTATATATGCGTGGGTGTAGGGAATACGACAAAGGAAAGGAGGAAGACAAAATACCCGCCAATTCACGAGAGCGCATTGTGGCATGCCTTGGTTCAGGGCGCCTTTTCATTATGAAATAACGAGTCTAAGACTACATTAGTCTGTGAATTTAATCCAACATCAAGTCTTGATTTACCTCGAGATCCATAAACTTGCTCATTGGGTGCCATGTCTTGTAATATACTCTTGTGTAATATGCTCTTGTTTAAAGAAGTAAAGGTGGGAATGCGTCTCAGTATTTCCATCGTAAAATCAGAATCAATGAACCACGAAAATCATCGAGTCTTCTTCGTCGTTTGTCCCCATAGCCTATCCACGATTTGGAAAATCGCCGTCACATCTTTGATAACGTCGCCATCGCTCTGCCCACCCAGCCTCTGCTGTATCTTATCTGGATGCCAACGCACTCGCTCCTCTTTGAGCTTCGTAGCAAACTCCTTCTCCCCAATATCCTCCAAGCTTAAACCGTAAACGAAGAAATCCCGAATTGCCTCTTCATTGACATCTTTTCGCTGTCCACTCAAGACTGGCCAAGCCATCTTGTCCAGAGTGCCATCCCAATTCGACCAAGCCTGCGCATACGCATCCCATCCATCAGCCCAACGCCGTCTTCGACGCCGCTCTTCAGACCGGCGCAGGCTTCGATCCATGTCTTCCCGCAGCTTACGACTCTGCCTGTCTTCTTCCTTCTTCCTCTTGCGCTCTTCCTCACGCCGCGCCTTTTCCTCTAGCAGCCCGGCATTGGTCTTCTCCCACATCTTCTGCCGAACATACGCCGCGTATTCTTCATCCGTCATTTTCTCAAGCTCTCCCGCCGACCCGACCTTTTCATCCGAATAGACGTGAATGGGCTGGCCATAGACGCCTTCCCAGTATGCAGCGCCTTCGTCATCCGCCATGGCGTCAAACAGCGACTCGCGGAATGCGGCCTCTGTGTCAAGCGGCGGAGGCTCATGGGGATTCGGCGGCGTGGGCGAGCGGTGTCGTCGTCGTCGGGTATGGCGATCGCGATGGCTGCGATGACGATGACGATGGTGACCAGATTCATCTTCTGGGCTTCGAGAGCGGTGACGGCGCTTCTCGCCCTTGAGCTTCAGCCGCGACCGCTTTGGCTGCGCCGTGTCCATGTTTGCGTCTTCGTCATCATTGCCTGCGGCTGGTTTGACGTCATTCGCGGGAGCGCTTATCGGCGCGTCCTCTTGTTGGTGTGTCTCTGGCGACTTGTCTGGGTTGATGGATGAAAGGATGTGCCGCCTCTTTGGCGACGGTGGCTCATGGCTCATGGTTGGGGCGCCATATTCAGGGCCAGGCAGAGCGTGGTTGTTGATGGAAGAGGCTGAAAGCTGCGGAAACAAACCGGCAGGTGTGTGTGGGGGCACTATAAATAATCTCCCGTAGCCTACATCTTCGCTTCCTAATAGGTCGCCCAAAATGGTAAAAAAAAGTTTTAAACAAAGAAGATGGCCAATAAATCTAGATTTATTATTTTTCTAATAGGTTGTTTTAAGTTCATTCTGTGATAATATGTAAATTGAAAGAAAAATTTGAACCCAATTTGCAGAGTGACATTCTGTGTTCAAGCGTCTTATGCGAGATCCTCCAAGTCAAGCTTCTTCAGCGGTGGCATGAAACCAAACCACGTTGTCATCCGATTTCGCCTAGACACTACCAGTTATATTGATAGCATCTTACCATATCCTTTTATCGCATTACCAGTCCAATTTAGTGAATCATCTTCTGAACCCTCTCACGCATACGCTTGAAGATGGCCATGCTAAAGCCCTCCTCCTTGTCCTTTGGTCGATGCTGCTGCAGGAAAAGCCACACCGTCAGCATCACAACACAGCATGCGAGGACAATGGGCTGTAGTGTCTTGACACCCTTTGCCTGCGCAATGGCACCGACGGCAAACGGCAGAGCAGCTGAGCCAGAGCCTCCAACGGCCGTCGCGAATCCAATGGCACTGATATGCAGAGAGCGTGGCAAAACTGTAGTCATAAGTACCACTGCCGTAGGATAGATGGGTCCTATAACAGGATCAGTACAGGTACATATATGGGCATTATAGTAGGAAAAGGTCGACAAGAAAAGTCTACATACCCAGAATCATGCCCAGCAATGCAGATGCCACGGCGGTGACCACCATGTTGGGGACGAGCCAGAAAATCAGCTCAAAGACAATAGACAGCCCGAGATACAAGAGCATAGCCCGGAAGCCACCCAGCCGAGAGGTGACGAATCCCAAGACAAGTCGTCCTACAGTCATGCCGCCCCAGAATCCAGTTGCCGTGGCACTACCGGCAAGTGTAGAGGCGCCACGGACCTTTGTCATGAAGACGACAATCCAGCCACCAATGGACACCTCGGTACCGACATACAAGAAGATGAACAGAGAGAAGAACCAAGTGAGCTTGCTCTTGAGCGCTTCCCTCGTTCGTCCTGATGTGGTATCTTCGCCAGCCTTTTGGTGGGGATTCTCGCTCAGGTATACAGCGCCTGTCTGGGTCCAGAACGTCGAGGTGGATGCGCCGAATTCGAATAACGAGGCGCTGACCTATGCATCAACGCTGTCAGCCATGGACTAGAGCTCAATCAACGGCTCAACAAGTCAATATAGACTCTCGTACCATGATGTAATAGAATGTCCACCAACCACCGTGTCCCTGCGAGCTGATACTGGTAGCAATCAGGGGAGCTATCGTCGCTCCCAAAGCATAACAGGCCTGCAAGATGCCTGATACTTCATGCGAATTGGCCATGTTGCCAATCCAGGCACTCCAGGCAGCATCCACAAGGCCATTGCCGAAACCCACGAGGATATACATGACAATGAGGACAGGGAACGGCGGGTGGAACGAGATAACAAGATAGGGAACCAGGCGGAATACCGGGGCAATCATGCCTACACCTCGTTGGCCGAGACGGACATGCAGGGGACTGTTGACAAAGGCCGCCATGGTGTATCCGACGAATGGCGACAGGAAGATGAGCGACACAACGGTGTAGGTGAGGTTGTAATGAGTTTCCAACTAAAGTGGTTTATTAGCATGTTCATTTTAATTTGAGAGTGTAGCGTCGAGCGTTATACCTGAGGAACAAGAGCCTAGAGAGATCGGCAATGAGTATGTATATATGAGAAACATTATAACAAAATCAAGAGTCTCATCCACTTACACCATACGAGCCATCATTCATTCCCAAAACAAAAAAGGACCAAAAGGTTGCAAAGACACGATACTTGTTGATGGGCGGCGAGTTCCACTTCACCTTTGCCTCAAAGGCATCTTCCGGAGGCGTCGAAGCCTCGCGTGTGAGTGCAGGCTCAAGAATCGGGGCATTTTCAAACGGCTTCTCGGAGACACGGCTGCCTTTGAAGACCGCCTGGGGAGGGAAGACTTCGAGTGGAATGTCTTCGGTGGTTTGAAGAGTCTCTGTGGCTGTAGATGTAGCCATTGCAAAGGACGAGCGACTGCAGCAGGCTGGACTTGGCTGTTTTTGTTGCGAAACGTTATCTCAGAGACTCAACGATCCAGCAATGGCTCCTCCAGGGCCAAGGCTGATATTAATACTCTGCGATGGCAATGCCAGGTATCTTCTCCTGGCTCCAGTTTCAATGTGATGGGTATATGTGTTGCTCCAGCAAGTAACGGTGAATCGGGTATTTAGATGTTTAGCGCCCTCCCGGGATTACCCCATTCTGCTCACCGGCTACTAATTACCAAGCAGAGATGACTCCAGTTCGTTAGCGGCGCCTTCCAATGCAATGGAATTGACTGTGCTTCGTATTTTTTCACGTAACAGAGCAAAACTTGTCAAGATCAGATTCGCCAGACGCGGTCACAAGGGCAGGCCTTAATAAGAAACCCAGCACGTAATCGTGGTTTTAAGCTACGGACTAGTCAAGGGGGGCTAGCAGATGGAGATCAATGGCAAAAAACTGAGCATGAAGATTGGCTTTCATAGAATAGGCTTGTCAATGGACAGTTAACAAGATACATTTCCAGCCGGTTACTTTCTTGTAAAGTGATCAAGTTGCATCTAAACATACAATAAACATCATGTGAGCCGAGGCCCTGTCTGTATCTGCCGACGCCGTCACTGCATAAGATATTGATGAACCTAGCCGACCTTCGGGGAGTGTCGGGCAGTGCGAGCATCAGCCCAGAGCACGAGGCTGTGCTCGTTTTAAGCTTCCAAGAGTCATTCTTGATTCTGGGTTTTGTGGGGTGCATCTCCAACGGAGATCCATATTCCGTTGCGGAGCCCCGCCTCCGGCAGTCTGGAAAGCAATGAGAGGAGGGCTGTAGACGGATATACCGAAAAGAAGTTGTGCTAGAAGGATGATTGATGATTGTTTGGGTTTGTAATCTGAGAGAGAATAGTGTCTATCAAATTCTGTCTATATGTACATGTACTTTGTAGCGTCTAAGCGTTCGAGGTGTCTCGAGATAGGTGCCATGAAGAAAGGCCAAAACATTAGGCTTGTGTATTTGCAATTCCAATTCTATACTGCACATGGCATTTCAATTATTAATTTGGATACTTTGAATCATTGATGGGCAGCGATTTGTTGATTAACTGCTGCAGAGATTCTCCGTGGCTATCTTGTGCATCTCCCCAAGTTCAAGGGCACTGGTACTCTAGGAAATTGTATCTTCGGCCCAAGAAGCCAGCGGTGTGTTTGTAAGAAGGATTTTTAGGATTCTATTACTCAATATTAATCTTGATCTACGTTCTCACTGTTGGAGAACAAGCATCAGATCGATTCCCATCAGAGATGTTGCTCCCGCCTTCGCGTGACTCATACCGTTTAGAGACTGGAGCTAGTAATCTTCAAGAATGGTACATAAGGCACTTATGCAACGCCATCAAGGTGCATCCGTTCAACTTGTGGTAAAATTGAATGACATGTGTTACTAATTTACTTCGTGGCTACTATTAATTGTCTCTTAAATTGAACGACATTGGGGAACGGCTCTTATAATTTTACGCCATATCGCCAGCTCCATCGCCAAGTCGTGGAAATTAAAAGTTTGAGCCCCGTACAATAATCTTTAGCAGCACGAGGCATGTGGGGCCCCTATTTGTGGCTTTGTCCGCCCAGGGCGGTTTTAGGACACGAATTGGCGGATCTCAACCAATCAATCGCCCTGTGCGCAGAATCGCAACGCCAAAAAGCTTCAAAGTCGTTTTGCTACGTCGCCTCTTTTTCCACATCCTCGCGATTCGCCCGATCCAGCAACGCCCTGCCCTTTTCCAGCGCCCAGAGCCTCCAACGCCTTGCGCTCCGCTGCCTGGACCTCAGCCCAGTTTCCGTGCAGAGAGAGGCGAGCGCTGGTGCGGGAGGCCATGCCGCGCAGATGACCCCGGCAGCAACAGAGTTCCCCTATTTGCACGAAACAAGTTGAGTTTGCGCCTGCATCGACTAGAGATCCATCATGGGCGGCCTACTCTTACTCGTGGGCCTATGTGTAAGTCTGCATGCGCTGTACAGACTTTGAGGTTTCGTTGTGCTGACTTTGGGCGTTTCAGATTGTCATGGCAGTGGCGTACGCAAACACCTACACCGAAACGAGCATATCAAGTAATCATTTAGCTAACAGGAGCACAGTTCGTTTCTAGCCGGAGCCCTGCCATTGTCGATGACACTTTCACAATCACAGCTTCGTTTAATATCAAGCATTGGAGTTGGCGTGTTGGTTGGGACATCTCTTATCGTTATTATACCCGAGGGCATTGAAACCGCGGTTACGCCTGGAGAAGCCTCTCATCTTCACAAAGTGCGAAGTCTAGTGCGAAGATCGCCATGGGCCCTCGGAATCGAACCCCGAGATATCATCGAAACATTCCCCGTTGTGCGGACTGCCGCCGCTCGAGATGTGATACCAAGCAGCGACTTGGCTAGCATTTCACCACGAGTCCAAGTTTCACAGAGCTATCAAGCTATCAAAAGACAAAATGAAGAAGAAGAGCAGCCGCAGGAACCACCCCAGCCCGCCCCAGAGCAGGAAGAAGACGAACACAAAGAAGACGAAACGGAGCACGCGCACAGCCATGAGGTTCCAACGCTTGAAATTGGATTCTCCATGATTGCTGGCTTCATACTCATGTTCCTCATCGACCGACTTCCCAGACACGCCACAGAGAGCCTACGGTCTGGACCAGAGACCCACCATATGAGCCTGGATGACCTTGGAGGGGGCGATACGGCATCCATTGATGAGGAGGCGGACGGTTTCCTGAACTCGTTGGCGCCAAGCCCTCGAAAAGCGCGGAGCTTGGCAACAACTACCGGATTGGTGATCCACGCCGCAGCCGACGGTATCGCCATGGGAGCATCAGCAACATCATCCAATATGCGACTGGGCTTCGTCATCTTTATTGCCATCATGATCCACAAGGCCCCCGCCGCCTTTGGTTTGACTTCAGTGTTGCTGAAGCAAGGACTGTCAAAACGGGCAGCTCGGGGTCACTTGGTGATATTCAGCTTGGCCGCACCCGTTGGTGCTGTTTCAACATGGATCATGATCACGCTGCTTGGTGGTGATCACTTGCAGGGAAACTCGGGCCAATGGTGGACAGGCATGCTGTTGCTATTCTCAGGAGGAACGTTCTTGTAAGTTGACATCGTCATGGTCTCTTGGGTTGAATAATCCCAGTGAACTGACTAACGTTATATACAGATACGTTGCAATGCAAGCTATGCAGGAGGACGGCAGTAGTCACAGCCACGAGCACGGCTCCGGCGCGAACGGCTACTCGGATGCAAACTCTGCACATCAGCGAAAGTCAAAGGGCCCCCAGATGCGAGATACGATTGCCACGGTTGTGGGCATGGGGATTCCACTTCTTGCGCAACTGGGTCACTAGAGGTTTCGCTGGATATCTGCGTTTTTACATACAGACATGTATATGTACTGGATATCAAAAGAGATCCAGCAGAAAGGAAATGGTTCAGTTATTTCTTTCTTATTATTTCTTTCTTATTATAAAAATGCATTTACTACGGGAAGATTTGCTACATATGTAGACGGATTTGCGAATAGTTATAGAGTTATCATGTCGAACGGTTGACATTGTTGGTTGCTTTGATGGCTTATCATGCGCAGCACATCATTTTATAGAGCACGATAGATGTCTGGCATAGCTTGGCAGGGACAAAAGCATTGGTACTTGTAATTGAATCATTTGACTACTACTTCTATTGCATCTACCATCTCTGATGCATCTACTCTTGTGTGCATTTTGGCTATGGTATCTAGGCATGCACGCATATCAGATGCAGTGATGGCCAACTAGCAAATGCACGCATCACGCCACCCATTAAAGCTACAACTGAAGCATCATGGCGCCAGAATCGGATTAATGCCCAACAACGGGTCGATGCAGCATACCCAGCAGTCCAGATTGGCTCAGCGGGAACTGACGTAGCACAAAAAAAGGAACAGTGCTAGGTATCCGAAGTAGTGCTTTAATACCTACTATTTTTAATCAACTTTTAGATGCGCCACAGGTAACGTTGTGAGAAGAGAGGGGATCTCCGATTTCTGTAACCCGATGGGAATCAAGGTGAAACAAGCTTTGACGAGGAAGGATCCCTTGCGAAACAAAGCGATTTTCTTTTTTCAAAAACTTGCAAACGCGATCGGAAGCCCCGTTCTTTCCAAGGGCGCCATTTTAAAGGCCGATGCCGATATTGACGATGATTGAGCATCATTACTGGCATGTCCCAAAATAAATGAATGGATGGTTTAGCATTGCAGGTGCAGGCCGCTACAAGTAAAACGACGCCACGTTAGATGGAGACGGAGATGGAGAATGCAGTCCCCATGTATGTACGTGGTGCCACTGCTTGGGGATATCGGATTTGTCAGACCAAGGCCAAGGGTGCAGTAGGGCATCCAATACTGCGCCTCCCGCTTTATTGATGGCTTTTGGTCAAGGAATGCATGCTCTAATAGGCAGAAAATCACAACATCTTCAGTAGAGCAAGAATTGGGCATACGCACATTAGTACTAAGGCATACTGCGCAACCATGGACGCAGGACGCAGCGGTCAGATGAGGCCACTGCTGCGTGTGTTTAGGCATGTATGTATGTACTTGCGTATTGATATCTGCAGCCGTGAGTCGCATGTATACAATGAGCTTCCTAAAACAAAGGTTCAATGTTGTACCTCTGCCGAGCGACATGGCCAGTCAATTTTCTCCCTGATAGTATGGACAGCATTCCAGCGTGATTGCGGGCCGGAATGAAAAAAAAAAAACTAGACTGACTAGACGGTCGAAGCTTTTGTTCTGAGAAACACAGTAAGCACCGGCTGCCCCTTGAATATGACGATCGGCCGAGATCCAGCCGCTTGCGAGGGATGTACAAGTAGCTTTTTGCGAAACGCAAGTAAGTTGATGCTAATTCTCAGCTTGCCTATCTTTTTAAACTTTTCAGCCAAGTTGAGAATGGAAATCCGATAGTCTGCAGCTGTCTGTTAGTAATGCCACTTACACGCCATCTCAGCTCTGCCCTGTGTGGTATTCGCAGTCCAGCCAGTAGAGAGCATACACATCACAAATGCGCGCAATGCGGAGAGCAATAGTTGGTATAATTTACCATGTACAACATTCTGGTCTGGTGATCAGATTTTGGGTTGCGCGCCGCTTATGTAGTATCAGCAACAGGCTCGGCACTGACTGAGTGCCCCATGCATGAAGCATCCATCTTGTGTCCTTTGAGGCCTGACGCGGAGAGGGGCTCGGTGGGACCAGGTCCGATACACGACGCATCAAGAAAAGCCTCCTTGCTCAGCGCCGTTGTACAAGCAAGCCGCGGTGGCTCTGGTGCTGATGCCGGGTACTCCGTAGCGCCAAAGCTGCTGCGCCGTCAGTGCAGCGTCAAGGCGGCTGCTGCAAGGGCATCCAGTTCCAAGTCCCCCGCCTGCCAGAGCCAGTCAGTTGAGGCGCCGCATGCGGGCTCGCAGCCGCTGTCTCAAGGGCCACAGTGCCGCTGGGGGGCGTCCAGGCTAGCAAGTACCGCTACCTCGACTTCGTATACCTCTGATCACCAACAAGCAAATTCAAACACTCAAACGGTGTTAGTGACGCCTCAGTTCCCTTCTGCTGATGGCAATGTACCAAGGCCCCCCCCAGGCGCCCCTCCTGTGGCTCCGGCATCTCCATCTCCAGAGCAGCGCCTGACGAGGCGGATCGCAGCGCACGCAGGTGGACACCCAGCGCCAGGGGGCTGTTGCGTGCTGGCGGCGGCTGTTAGCGAGCTGCGTACCGCGCCTCCAGCACGTCGCGGTGGCGCCCGGCTGATCGGTACGCGGCGCACTAATACGGCACTACGACGGCACACCATGCGGACACCACGCCCAGGTACCTGCGACCGCCTGACAAGATTGAAACGATCAACTGCTCGCACGCTCGTGCCGCTGCACGCCTCGCCAGCCTGGTGCCCGCCAGCGCCGGTACGTACCTGCACAGTAGCGCCGGCAAGGGGCGGTACCGGTGCTGTACGCGCAGCGTCGCAGTGCCGCCCCGCGCGTCGCAAGTACACGCCCGTACTCCACGACAACGACCCTGCCCAGTCCGCTCCAGCTTTGGTCTCCAGCAGACCCTCAGCGCCAAGCGGCACCCGCTTTCCTCCATTTCCAGCGCTGCTCCTCCTCGCACTCCCGCTCACCTCGCTGACCGATTGCCCTGAATCGCCATCACGCTGGCCTCGACTGACTGACGACAACTTCGCCCCGACAAGCCCAGCCGCTCCTCGCTCGCCCGCCTCCACGACTCGGCGCCTTCAGCCAAACCACAGCCAACGGCGCGCGCCTCGTCCCCGGCTCTTCCTGCCCGAAACACCAGATACGGAGCCTGCCGAAGCAGATCAGGAACCAGGGATTTGCTCCCCTTCGAGGCGGTCGACCAGTGAACCCACCAATCCATCTCATCCATCATCCCTTCGATATCCGGCGCCGCCAGTCACTGCTCCGTCATCCAGCCCGCAGCCGCAACACCAGCACCAGGGAGTCGCCCGAAACGCGCGACACGTCTTTGACGGTTCTCATTCGCCCTTGTTCACCGGCAGCTTCCACTCGCTTCATCCCCCCATTTTGGACTTTTTTGGACCTTCTGGGCCGCCTCTTGCAGCACCGTTTAGGAGGTCGACCCATGTCCTGATCTACCGGTATGCTTACTCTTCTTTTTCCCTTCTCTTCTACTGCTCTTCTGGATTCTTTTCCTTTCACTTTTATTTGCCCATCCTCCCTCCAGAATCCTCCCTGATCCAGTACCCTTTGACGTTGGCTGTGCTACTTTGGATTTAATTTACCAATAATGCGTCCTTGAATACCTCAGCAACAAGGACAGCAATCACTTTATCCAACACACCTCATTCCCGGCAGGAGAAAGCATCAGCGTGCATATATGTAGTCAAACAAAGGCATCTATAAGCTAATATTCGCCCATCATCAGGCTCGACCAGGCCAGGGCCCTCTTTTTGTTCCTTTTTTTATTTTCTTAACTCGATATTTGTCATACGTCCCCGACCCTTCTTGCTCATCAAAACCTTGTCGAGCCCGCGACTATTTTAATATTCCACTTTGATATTCGCATATTTCTCTCAACGTCTTCTTTCAGCAATCATATCGCCTGGGCGAACATGGCTGGCTTTAACAGACCAATGAGCTTTTCCGAGAGGAGAGGAAGTTTGCTGAGTGAAGAGTTGACACTCAATACAAACAACTCGCTACTACACCAGAGAGTCGAGAAACTGCCGCAGCAGAGTCGCCAGATGAGAGGGCCGCCTACGCCTAACATGCCAACGCCGGCAGCTGATTTCGATCAACAGCTGACGGGGTCGGCTCCCGATCCGCCAACTCCAGCCGCGTCTCCTGGACCTGCGCACTGCCAGCCAGACTGGAGCAATGCTGCCGACGACGAAGACTTCTTCCTGGCCAAGGTCCGACAGCATTTTCAGAATTCTTCCGGTCCTCAGCGGACCAGAATCCTGGCTGATCTGTTGAATCTCTGCACGAGCCAACAGCTTAGCTTTGTTCACCAATTTGTCAGCCCGTTGTTGAAAAAGGACCCGTTTACCAGTCTTCCAGACGAGCTATGTTTACGGGTACGAATCTGCGCACACAGTGCTCTGCTTTTGTTTTCGGTTGTCTTTTTACCTCCTGCTGACGAATTATACAGATATTGTCATTCATTGACGATCCCAAAGTCCTGGCGCGATCGTCGCAAGTCTCAAAGCGTTGGCGAGATCTCCTGAGCGATGACATGACGTGGAAGAACCTTTGCGAGAAGCACGATTATGGTCGCCGAATGTCCGAGGTCTCGCCCTCGGCGCCAATCATGACGACGCGATCCTCGGCCTACGCTGTAGATGTCGATAGCGAAATGTCCAGTAGTTTCCCGGGAGCCTTCCCCTTCACATCGCACGCCTCTAATGCGATGAGTTTCGAGAGCAGGAGGCCCAAGATACGTTCATACAAGTCTCACTTCAAGCAGAGATACCTGGTGGAAGCGGCTTGGAGATCTGGCGGCACAAGCATCAGCCGCAACATCACACAAGAAGGAGGCGTGGTTACCAGTTTGCATTTGACGCAAAAGTACATTATTGTCGCACTCGACAACGCCAAAATTCACGTTTTCGACACAGATGGCAACTCCATGAGGACTTTACAGGGTCATGTTATGGGAGTCTGGGCCATGGTGCCCTGGGGGGACACCATGGTCAGCGGTGGATGCGATCGCGATGTGCGCGTGTGGGACTTGAAGACTGGGTAAGTCGGGCATCTGCAAATCGTACCTGCTTCTACCCTTATCTCCCCCTTTACTAATCCAACGATAGTGCCTGTTTACACACATTGCGAGGTCACACATCGACCGTTCGATGCCTGAAGATGGCCGATGCTAATACCGCCATTTCTGGTTCTCGAGATACAACGCTGCGCATCTGGGATATCCGCACCGGTCTATGCAAGAACGTCCTTGTCGGACACCAGTCAAGTGTACGGTGCCTAGAGATCAAGGGCGACATTGTAGTATCCGGAAGCTACGATACGTTTGCCAGAGTCTGGAGCATCTCCGAGGGACGATGCTTGCAGACACTGCAAGGACATTTTAGCCAGATTTATGCTATTGCATTTGACGGCAAGAGGGTGGCGACTGGGAGCTTGGATACTAACGTTCGAGTCTGGGACCCCATGACTGGGTAAGTTTCTCGTGCTATTGCCCCCCTTGTGACTTGCGCCGCGTCGCTAACCAAATTCTTCTCCCTTGCAGAGAATGCCTTGCCATTCTCCAGGGCCATACATCTCTTGTCGGGCAGCTGCAGATGAGAGGCGATACTCTAGTGACGGGTGGCTCTGACGGTTCAGTCAGAGTCTGGTCTCTAGAAAAGATGTGCCCTATCCATCGCCTTGCTGCCCATGACAATAGCGTCACAAGCTTGCAATTCGACGATACTCGAGTTGTTAGCGGAGGAAGCGACGGCCGAGTTAAGATTTGGGATCTCAAGACAGGCCACCTGGTGCGCGAGCTGATTGCTCAATGCGAAGCGGTTTGGCGCGTTGCTTTTGAGGATGAGAAGTGTGTCGCATTGACACTGAGGCAAGGTCGCACAGTAATGGAGGTATGTCTACTATCCACGCTCCACATGAAATCCTCCCCCTCCTCTTCATCTTACATCGGCGGAACTAATTTGGACATAGGTTTGGTCATTCTCTCCTCCTGAAGAGATGCTTTATGATCGCCCTTTTTCGCTTCAGCAGCGCGTCCTCGAAGACGACCCCGACCGCCCAATGAGCGCCATGGCGTTTGATTACCGGGGCAGCGATGTGTCAATGGCTGGCCTGGGTCGAGAGGCTTCTCAAGACTTGAGTATGGTGGACGCTGGCCCGTCGACAGCTCCGCTCCAAGGAGGCAACATGACTTTTTTCCACGAAAATTAAGCAGTGAATATCCCCTATACGGTTTGTTTTAATGCGACCTGATTCGGCTGGCGCAATGATGGGAGCTGTTTTTTTTTTTTTTTTTGCTCTTACAGTGAAAGAGAAGAAGTTGGAATCAAGCAGGATTCGAATAATGACGGAGTCAAGTTGTTTGAGCGGCTGGCTCGCCCGCTTTGACTTTTATATACATGGCGCGCGGTTCAGGTTATAGATCGCGGCGTGGATCTTGTGGGAAGCATATTTCATGGCGTTGCTGCATCATTTTGGAACTTCGTGTATAGCTGGAAGAAATCGCATCACATATGGGCATGACGATGGGGATGTTTATCAATTTGAAAACGACAGGGTCGTGGAGCTTTATTTCTTTTTTTTTTCTCTTTTTATGCTGCAGAAGATTGGTTTTTGATATTTTTCTTACAAGATGCGCCAGCATGGCCGGAATTCTGGGCGTCTATAGTAGCTCTAGCGATAATACCAGTGAATATAGGATTAGGTAGAGGTAGGCTCGATGCGACAAGTGATGCGACAAGGAGGGAGAGGGCCAATTATATCTTCATAGCCTCTCTAGATTAGAATAATCATACCCATCTATCCAATTTTGAACTGCACATTAAATGGCGTTTTGCCAAGATGGATTTCGTCAAGCTGGTAGATTTGAGTGGATACTGAGAGTCGTACCTACCTTGGCAAGCTTGGTAGCCACATGGCGAAGAAGCGTCATTGACGTCATTATTGGAAAAGAAGGGACCTTTGGCACGGCAGAAGGTGAAGCTTTGGTCAATTGCGTCACAATGGCATAATATTGAAAGAAGTTTGTTTTCGATTTCGATTTCTCGATTTGAAATTTAAAGTTGAATATATATATCAACCTGCCTATCTGCCAATTCATCTGCCAATTCATCTACCCATCTACCTACCAACCACATAACCACCTTACCTCTCTCTCTATCTCTCTCTCTCCAACAAACTCCGTTTTGCCCATTTCAGTCTTTCTCTAGATCCATTGCAGATTCACATCTCCAAAATGATTTCCACAAGATCAGCAGCCAGACTACCACTGTCTCAGGGCAGCAGACTTGCTCTACGCGTTCCGAAGCGCCAACCCGTTCGTTTCCAGTCCACCTCATCTACATCTTCATCGTCATCAGCCGCAGCAGAAGGCAGTGGCTCGCTTGGAGCCGGAATCATTGGCGGCGTGGCTGGAGCAGCGATTTTCTACGGAATTTACTCCTTCACACCTGCTGGTCGGACGGCTAGCAAGCTCAACAAGGCCGTGAAAGAGGCTGAGAAGAAGTACCAAGAAGCTGCGAAGAAGCTGCAGGCGAACGCTCCGAGCTCTTCAGAGGCCGTCGATTACATCAAGCAGTTTGCCTATACCTACGTTGGATGGATTCCCGGCGGTCGTGGCTTCGTGGATACGGCATTCAAGGATTGGGAGACTGTGAGAAAGGAACACGCTGAGGAGGCGGATAAGATTGTCAACGATGCGTATAAGAAGTTTCAGGACATTTCCAAGTCGGGCCTGAGTCTCGAGACTGCGTCGCGTGCCTTTGACGCTCTTGCGGATCTGGCAAAGCAGATTGCTAATCTTACGGGAGATGCTCTCTCGGACGTGATTGACAACCATCCTCAGCTGAAGGAGAAGCTTGGAGGCAATGTCGACCAGCTGAAGCAAATGGGCGAGCAGTACGGCCCGGAGGCGAAGAAGCAAGTGGACGAGACTTGGGGCCAAGTCAAGGACATTTTTGCCGGAGGATTCAGCGCTGCAAGCGTGGCCAAGGCAAAGCAGCTCATTGAGGAAAAGACGAAGCAGGTGCAGAAGCTCGGCGACGAAGCGTGGAAGAAGGGCTTGGAAGAAGCGAAACCGCTCCTAGACAAGAGCCCCAAGGTCAAGGAACTGGTGGAGAAGAATGCCGACGTTTTGAAAAAGGGCCAGATCAAGGAGGTCTTTGACAAGGTGCGCGATGCGGTCAAGTCGGGAGACTTGGGCGATTTGGAAAAGTACGTCAAGCAGGCCAAGGAGAAGATTGGCGACAAGGCCGACGAGGCCGGATGGGGATCTTTGAACCAGTATTTGGACAAGGTGCCCCAGGGTAGTGAGATCTTGAGCAAGTTGGAGGAGATGGGACGGATTGCGCAGGAGCATAAGGAGGATGGGGAGAAGTTGCTGAAGGAGACAATGGGCGATATTCAAAAAGTGTTGGAGGAGAAGAGCAAGAAGGCAAAGGAGATTGTTGATTCTGAGAAGAAGAAGAAGGATTGATTCATGGTCGCCTCTTTTGCTCAAGTCCTATATCATGATGGGATTTGACGAGTGTCGCTATGAAGAATCGACGCTTTATACTCTTGGGGTTGATGGATTGTCTCGCAGATGGTGAACAGAACCTGCGATATATCTTGAGATGATAAACATGAAGCTGTATTCTACTATCCAATCCGAGTGGCTGTAATCAGGATGGAGTGCTTCACAATGCATAGGTTACATGGTCATTGTAATATTACTTTTTCACGAGCAAGGGGACTGACTCATCTATTAACTCGGGCCAAGCATATCGCACGATACTTGAATTTCATGGCATTGCAACTACTATTACTAATGCTAAAATTCCTTGCAAGTTGATTCTATAAAGATCTTTCCTGATAAGTAATTTCCATATAGTTGAGCAAAGCAGTAGCGGTGAGATTGTTTCCAGAGAATAGTTCATTTAACTTGTATAGCAAAGGAAGTGTCAACGATATATAGAGCTAGTACATGCTTAGCCTGCTGCGACCCTACTAACCCACAGCGAGCGAAACGCTGCGTTTAGCCTGCTGATCCCTGGTCAAGACGAGACAAAGACGCACGTTGCGCATTCCCGGGATAAGAGTGGATGACCTCTTGTGAAATGTAACCACAAGCTTCGTCTCTTCACATGGAAATAGCAATGGCTCTCGGCCGATCATTTTACGGCTACGACTCCGGTTGGTCTGATGATCAACTTCGGTGGATGGCAGTTGCGAGCTGCATCCTCCCCTTATCGCTTGTTGATACGACCCAACTCAACGCTCTGAGTAGCTCCTTTAGGAAACTCTTATTCCATGAATATGGCCCGGTGATAAGGAGGCGGCTCCCAACAGGCCGAAGCTTCTTTTCGAGGGATCGTAAACCTGGAAGGCCCGATCTCGTGGGATTCGGTTCTTAAAGGAGCGAGGGTCGGAAGTTTAAACACTTTTTTTCCTTTGTTTTTTTCTTTTGTGCTAAGCGAATAGGTATCATCGACCAGCATAGAAGGGAAACAAGAATGATATTATCGACTTTGGTATTGCTGTTGTTGGCGGAGCCGTCTTGGCAGAGCCCCTTGAAGACGCAGAATAAAGAAAAGCGTGCGTTGAGACCGCTTAGTTTTACCAGGAATGGGACTTTTCAGATATCCATCTTTGAGGATCTTCACTTTGGAGAGAGTGAGTTTACTGCCATGTTGTGCGATACTCGAGTGATGTAGCTAATCACTGCTCAAAGATGCGTGGGATACGTGGGGACCTCAGCAGGATATCAACTCGGTTGTGGTTATCAACAAGATCCTCGATCGCGAGTCTCCCGATCTTGTCGTCTTGAATGGCGATCTCATCACTGGAGAAAACACCTTTCTTGAGAATAGCACGGTGTATGTCGACCAGATTGTCCAGCCTCTTGTTCAACGGGGCCTGACTTGGGCGTCGACATATGGCAACCATGATCACAACTTCAACATATCCGGCGAGGGCATCTTGGCGCGAGAGCATCTCTGGCCGAATGCCCGCACCACCAGCATGGTCCCTGGCCCAAATGCTGGCGTTACCAACTACTACTTGCCGGTATATGCGGCGGGGTGCAATGAGATAAATTGCGCCCCTGAACTCTTGCTCTGGTTCTTTGATAGTCGCGGTGGCGTCTACTTTCGAGAGCTCAACTCTGACGGAAACCAGGTTGGCCAGCCAGACTGGGTTGATACCAGTGTTGTGGATTGGTTTCAGCAGACTAATCAACGATTCATGTCAAAGTATAGACGGGTCATTCCATCGCTGGCCTTTGTGCACATTCCCACATACGCTTCACAAGCTCTGCAGGTAGAGAATGGACAAACTAGTGTTAACCCACATTACCAGCCGGGTGTCAATGACGATTATCCAGTTGCTACTCAAGCACAGGGATGGTGCCCTGATGGGAGTGACGATGGGACGTGCGTATATGGCGGACAAGACGTCCCTTTTATGCAAGCCATTACTTCCACGCCCGGCTTGATGGCAGTGTTCTCAGGCCATGATCACGGCGCTACTTGGTGTTATAAATGGGACAGTCTGGTCCCAGGAATGACGGTTGAGGGTACAGGAGTCAACCTCTGCTTCGGACAGCATTCCGGATACGGAGGTTATGGCAACTGGATCCGCGGGTCACGACAGGTCCAAGTTGACCTGAGGGCTCTTCGCAGCGCCTCGTGGGAGGCAGAGACGTGGATCAGGCTGGAGAGCGGCGATGTTGTGGGCTCTGTGTCACTGAATGCGACTTATGGGAGTGACTGGTATCCTGCCACTCCAGACAATATGACTTATTGTCCGACTTGCAACTACTCCATCATTACTCCGGGGCCGGGATCAGGGGCCCTCCAGAAGAAGGTCGTTGAGAAGAAGAAGCTCCACATACGCCACCAGCTTTGAGCTATGGAGTCAGGTGCCGAATGTTGAGAGTTGGAACAGTATTTGATTCAAGGCGATTTTTGTTTAGAATGTATCGTGTAAACGGGGTCTTTTAACTATATTCGTAACAGCTCGAGTGAATATATATTCTTTGAACGCGGCTGACTTGTGCTTTGTTCCGCGGGGCTAGTAAATGGAAAGGAGAAGAGTCCTTGCTTGAAGTGGGATCAGAGATGTTCTTTGTTATGTGATGTGGTCCTATTGAACACGAATATAGATGTTGCTCTGTGTAAATATTGCTTTTAGTGTACTTTTCTCTCCTGGAAATGCAAGTCAGTTGATACTCTACGTTGTATGACAGGACATCCGTGTTGGTTAAAATCCAAGATGAGTCTAAACATCTTGAAGCCTACGATAGGAGTGTGTTGAGTGACTTGTAGTGATTTCTCATCATCGCTAGATGACTGCATTTCGAATAAAAGTGGACAGCTCAAGGGGACCACACAGATCCTAGTATCAGCATGAAAGAAAGTGAGAAGAGGTCGCAATATCTACACAGAGGGATATCTTGATTACTTTTTTGGAGACCTGCATACTAGTCCCTCTATCATAGTTCAAAATCAATGAAACCGTTTTGTTGTGTACCTCTGGTGTCGCTTTGTTCCTGATGCCTTGACGACACTGCGCTATCGCGTGGGGATGCATCTCAAAGAAGAGATGCTCCTGCATACCATAGGTTGAAGAGAAGATGAACGCTCCGACAACAAAGTTTGGAGGCTCTAGCTCCTCTTGGTTTTGTAATGAATACCCTTCTTTGTCCAAAAGTGGGTGGCTGGGTTCCTAGGGTGGATGTTTTGAAAGCCTTTCTTTGTTACAGAGTGATATGCTAGTCTATGCTCTTGCTCTCTCTCAACTGTATAAAACAGACCTCTCTCGCTCCGAAACTAATCAATTTCTCTCAAACCAACACACTATTCACACCAGCCATTCTTGTCCCCTTCGAGGAAGACACCGCGGCAAGCTGGCTGGGCAAATCGGGAAACTATCTCAATTTGCTTGGCCGGCTGCTGCTCCCTCAGATTGTGGCATCGACTTGGAGCCTTTGGATAGCAATACAGACATACAGGGCTATCTCAAAGACCTCCCCAAATTGCTCGGCTGGGAGTCTCGTTTCGGAAAGGTCTTCAATGATGTCTTTTTTTTCTTTATCAATTTACCGCTGACATCATTGCCACCACCGCTTTTCGAGGCACAGCCATCTCGCATGCTTTACGGTTGAGGACGAGACGATTGATATTGATGCCTTGTTACGACTAAAAACGCTTCTATTACGAGTATCCCTTGCTGTTTCGCAAAGAAGAAAGAAAAAAGTTTCGCGTCGTCGTTGTCAATCGTTTTCTCAAGCGTTTGATCACTGCTAGATCCTGTCGAGCGTCAATTGTTCCTTTGCTTATACCACAAAATTATTTAAACGGCTTTGGGTCTAAGATGGAGAGAGAATGTGAGGGACAGTTGTCTAGGTTTCTTTGGTTTCTTGGGTGGACAAGATGAACGTCATTCCATCCTCAGCATCACGCCTTTTAATAGGGTTGAGGCAATATTCACTGAGCAGCATCTTTCAACCCTTACAACCATCTCAACACAACTCAACATCTCTAAATCATTGGTCACAGACCATTCTATGAAATCCAGCTTTACAAATAATCGAAAACCCGCTTGCTATCCTGTGGACTGCGATGCTGCGATGGCCATGTCTATGTCGGGCCACGCGAGTTCGAGGAAAAGGACCGAGGAGCATGTATTTACACTAGAGGCGGCGAGGGTTTTCTTGGAATTAGAACAAAAAGGTCTACGATTAGCTATATTTATACCTAAAATAGTATTCTTATCATATAAGTAAAACAACATGAAAGAACTTTCACTCTTTAGAATTGTGGGATACATCCACCAGTAAACACCATACAAGTTGACAAGATTAATCTCTTGTGCTTCTATATTGCACACAAGAACTTATAGAAGTCATTAGAAAAGAGAAGAGCTTGGGAAAATAGTCTCAGCAGGATACCCTCAGTAACTACAATGCAAGTTCCATGCTTATCATTAACCACCAGCAACAAGTGACTGCCTTTGTAGTCTCTCTTGGATACAACATTTGAAAGGGCATTCACCGTGTAGGGATGGAAACAGTTAATAAATGCTGGACTCGTCTTCACTCTGTATTTTACCATGTGTTGGCTACGAGATTAAATATGTTGTGTTCTACGGGAGGTTATAACTCCGAAATGCTCATTCTCGTTCTGTAATTCATTACGCCAATCTCAGCGAGTATCTCACCACCATCGCGATCCCATCCACGCCTCTGCATTATATCTAAGCAGAAGAATAGCAACGTTTGGACTCTAAATCCAAAAACTAGAGAAGAGTGAAACGTTTTCTAGCAGACGTTTTGAGGAGTTTCAATGACAATGGACGGAATTTCCCCTGCCGATTATGCCCTCAGGCTTATGCGTATCAAAGCCAGCACTGAACGCTTTCACATGCTTTCATTTGAAGAGCGGTCCGTTAATCGTTCTCAAGCGATGGAGAAATTGCAGCCCATGATTGACAAGCTTGGTCAATCCACTACGAGCACAGCAGACTTCGTGGCTAGTGCCGAGGCATCTTTCACACAAGAATCGGTCAACGTTTTCCCACAGCACGCAAAGATAATAATGAGGCTAGCTGCCGAAGTCGCCGGCAACAACAGGGTCCTCGGCTGGATAGCCGCAGCCAAAGAGGACACGGAGGAATATGCGTGGTTGGAAACCACCGAGACGCCGATACCGCCTGCAGACATATTCCATGGACTTGTCGATTCTTGTTAAAGCTGCCCCCGCGAATATTCAAGACTTGCTGCAATCGCGAGCAGAGCTAGCAAAGATGCTTTTCAAATCGTTTGAACAGCGCATTCTCGAACTCACAGTCGTATCCGAGGCAAACGCAGCGACCAACCAGCAGCTCAGAGAGGAGCTCTGTTCTACCACCAAGCTTTTGGAACAGCAGCAAGTTAGAGAGAGAACTCGGAAGGCCTTTGAAGATGTATGGTCTGAATATGTACCGTCTGAATATGTACCGTCTGAATATGTGCCGTCCGAAGATGACGAGTCCGAAGATGAGTCCGAAGATGAAGCGTGCGCTCCCAGAAAGCGTCGTCGACTTGATCTGGAGCGCAAAATCAAGCGAGAAAGCTCCTAGTGAAGCATTATTCAAGCCACGCGTCGAAAACGAGTTGCGCAGAAATGATGTTGCTTGCGACTTGGAAACTTGCGTATCTGCATCGTGGATATGGAGAGACATGGATATACTTGTGAATAGGGCGGGAGAGCAAGGCTCGGCTTTATCTTATTACTATTTTTTGCTAGCTTTGCAATATCACAAATTTGCCTATAAGTGATTTAGGCATAGTCTTGCGAGAGCGATGGATTAAAAATAAACAAAAGCTATTTTGCCACGTACTTTCAAGATGAACAATGCTCTAGATCAAGCATTCCATAAAGAAAACCGCCTTCTCATAACTGGCGTGCTGGATTTCCGTTCTGGGCGCTACCCTGAATTAGAGCCGAGTGTGGCGCCGGCAGTGACATTGCATCACTGCTAATCGATAAGAGCACCCCAGTCCAACGACTTGACCTCGCTTCAGCGTCTCTCCGGCCTGATCACTGCATCTTCCAGCTTTGCCAGCCCTGTCGACGCCACAGGTGCTATTTTTTGAGAAAAGAGGACAGGGAAAAGAACATTTAGAGATTATATACCGCTGGGCTTGTCTCGGCATCCACGGCTTCCAGAATGACGGATCACGAGAACTCGAGCATCAGACACAATGACCACTTGCTCTTGGTAAAGCTCATAAGCTCTGCTTTTCCCTCGAGATACTTGATGCTCATCTATACTCACAGGACCAACCTCTTCTACGCCTCCCCAACGAGCTGCTACGCAAAAACTTCCGAGCCGCACACTTCGCCATCGAAAAGGACACCTCGACGCTCAAAACGCTCCTCAAAGACTCCGCGACCTCAGCCATCTCCGGCCGGGCCTCGCAGCAAGATGTGCTCAAGAACCTGGACGCCATGATTAGCCGCATGCGTGGCGTGAAGCGCAAGCTGGGCGCCTACGCCGAGGAGGAAGGCCGGCTGCACACCCAGACCGCGGCGCGGATACAGCACCTGGATGAGCTTTATACGATGCACAGCATAGAAGACGTCAAGTACGAGGCTTGGAGTAGGAAGAGGCTGGATCGGCTGCTGGCGGATTACCTGCTGCGGCATGGGTACAACAATAGTGCAAAGGAGCTGGCGAGCGAGAAGAACATGGAGAACCTGGTGGATGTCGACACTTTTGTTAGCATGAGCCAGATTCGGGAGGCGTTGCTGAATGGGAGCGTTACTGAGGCGTTGGCTTGGTGTACGGAGAACAAGAAGGAGCTTCGAAAGATGGAGGTGCGTTTTAGCTACGATGCTTGTTTTTTTTTTTTTTTGCTACTTTGAACTTGGCAGCTAACCTATACTCTCACTCACAGAGCAAGCTTGAATTCATGCTTCGCTTACAGCAGTACGTTGAGCTCATCCGGACTCAGTCGCAGCCGAAACTCGTCGAGGCCATTGCCCACGCCAAGAAATATCTCATGCCTTACTGGGGCACGTACCCCAAGGAAGTCAAACAGGCATGCGGCCTCCTGGCCATCCCCCCGGATAGTTCATACGGCATCTACAGCGATTTATACAAAAACTCTCGCTGGAACGAGCTCGCCGATCTATTCACCACCACCCACAACAGCCTCCTATCTCTACCATCCGTGCCGTTGCTCCACGTTGCCTTGTCATCAGGACTATCGGCCCTCAAAACGCCAGCCTGCCATTCCTCCCACGACGCTGACGTCTACAGCGATACGGGCTCTTCTTCCGCGCTGGGCCATGGCGTCTGCCCAATCTGCTCCACCGAGCTCAACGACCTAGCTCGCAACGTCCCCTACGCACACCATACCAAGAGTCACGTCGAGCATGACCTGTTCTTGCTACCGAACGGCAGGGTGTACGGAAAGGAGCGCTTGGATGATTACTCCAGAAAGTCGGGCTTGTCTCCTGATGAGGTCAAGGACCCGGTGACTGGGCAGACGTACCCGGTGGATCTGCTCAAGAAGGTGTTTATCACCTAAAGAAAAAGGCCTTCAGACGTTGTTTTTATTGGGTGTGAAATTACGCAAGTATCAGTTTTGGTCTATGCAAGATTTTCTTTACACGATAGCTTTTACTCTGGAATTGGGACATGGATTCGTTTGGCTTTATGGAGCAGTCTGGTTTGGTATTTTTTTCATATCAAGGGTATCAATAATTTCGTGGGACTTTTGGAATTCTTGGTGTTATTGTCTTCTCCTAACCGTTAGCCCTAGCTTTGCTTTTAAAATCTGGATATTGAACAGCCGTACACATTCTTTAAAACTCCTCATTAATTTGCATTGTGAACATGTATTGAACTCCATCCAAAGAACCCTCTCGTACAAGATACGAATCACACACGTCAAGTAAGAAGAATGAAGACAAAAACAAAGCTTGTAGAGCTACAGCCTCATTTAACGCATACATAAAAAAGTTTGCCTTGTAAATGACAGTTTGCTCACATGCTTTTTCCGTCATAAGAAATGACTTTTTATTTGACTCTCGCCTCCCAATTACCCCATTTTGTCCGTTTTCCAGTTGCCTTCTCCCAACAATCCCAACAATCCCGATTTTCAAGATTAATAACCAGGTTACAAGGCAAAAGAATAATACAAACAACACAATTGAAGCAAAAGCAAGTTTAAGAAAGGAAGGCTATCAAAAGGTCTCTCCCGAGATTAGTGATGCAGCCCGTTCAAACACCGTTCAGTCCCCGCCTTGTTTCATCCTTCATACTTCACATATCTCCCCTTTTTCTCTTTTTCAATTACAGCTCGAGTGTTGCCCAAATTCAGCAGCATATACAATTAAAGTTATACCACCCATGTTTGTTTATAAAAAAAAGCACATTTCAAAGCGAAACAACGTCAAGAAAGATAAGAAAGTGAAACTGAAGAATAAGAGCTGTTATAAAAACCCACATCGACCCAAAAAAGGTTCGACTTGATAAAAAAAGGGCATAAGCAGAAGAGATACACGGATGGAAACAAAAAAAGGAGAAAAAAGCAAAGAGGCCTCTCATTCAACGCATAGATGAGCGAGACCCCTTCGCAGCAGAACCCTATCTGCTGTTTCCTCCAAATGCAAAGCTACCAAAGACGCCGCCTCCGCCTCCAGGTGTCATCGGTCCTCCCATTGTAGGCAGGCCGTTTGTATTATGGCCCTGTTGGGCCGGGGTTGTCACAAGATGCGCAGGGCCCGTATTCGGAGTGCTGGGAGTGTTTCCGTTCTGGTCGCCCTGGCCCATCATCGACATGGGCAATCCGACATCAGGGATGCCAAGTCCCCAGACTTTGCCGAGATGATCATCGGGAATCTCGCCGTTGAAGATGCGGTCGCGCATCTGGAAAAACACCTTGCCAGTAAGGAGAGAGTCTGAACCAGCCTGGTGAGCAGACCCGATTCGCTTAACCTTCAAAGTCTCTGCAATATTCTCCAGGCCAGACTTGTGCTCGAATTTTTGCAAGATTTCAGTGGTACCAGGATCGCTGGGAGTAAGCATCCCTGAGTTGTGAAGCTTGATGGCATACTTCATCAGATGCTTTACATCGTACGTCATGGGGAAATACAGCTTCATCTTGTGGTCAAAGTCGATCTCGTCGTTTGGAAGGGGCATGCAGATGAGCAGCTTTGTGAGGTAGCCAAAGTCGTAGCCGCCGTGGAAGGATATCCACCGGACGTTATCGAAACATACCAGGCCGGACGGTATTAATAGGGAGGCGAACTGGTGGGGGTCAATACCGTTTTGCTCGAGGGCCTTGAAGTCGATGCCAGCCTGCTGAAGAGATTCAATCGATTTCTCATTGTACATGTCGTCTTGTAAAGAGAATTTGAAGTTGAACTGCCATGAGTAAGGGAATGGTCCTTGCCCAATATGCCGCCTTGTTGCTGCACTGAGTCCCAGCTCCGGGCCAGGCCGCGCCGGTGGCGTCTCACCGTCCTCGTTGAATAATGTGATGCCGATCTGGATAACTTTCAACATGTCGACGTTTGTTCGTAGACACTGGTAATGATAGTCGCTCTTTCCTCTGAAACCACCCATAGGTCTTGATACGACACCAGGAAACTCCGTGTCCTTTTCAATTCCCGCCTCAAAGTTAGCCGAGTTCTTATATATAATAGTCGAAAGCCAGACAATTGGCATACGCTGCCCGCTCGCAAATTGCAAAGTCGTCAACAAAAACTCACCATAGCAATGTAGGGGTATTTGTCAATAATATCTCTCAGCACAGCCATCTCCTCTTCCAGGTTATGTTTCCAGACTTCGCGTATCCTGCCCTTATTTGATGGCTGCGGCCGCATTGTGGGATGGTCCATCAAGGAATTGTGCTGCATTTGGCCACCGTGCTGCTGCTGTTGCTGCTGCTGTTGTAGAGCAGCGGCGCCCGGCCCATGCGCAAACCCCATCCTTGCGCTCTGGCTGCCAAAGCCCGTGTCTGGGAAGCCGCCGGCGCCATTGAGGGCAGCAGCGTTGAAGGAGTTGATGTTGTTCGGCGTGAAGGGATTCAGTTGGGCGTTGGCATTGAGATATTGGTTGGCCCCCAGAGGCCCTCCCTGCGGCTGGCCGTGAGAAGGGAACCCAGGCTGGTGGAAAGGCGCGCCGACGCCGGGTCCGCCGCCGAACCCTCGGAGCTGTGGCGGCATGGAATTGGGATTGAGATTATGAGGCGGTTGGAACGGGTCTATGAATGGAATCCCAGGGTCGGGAATGAACTCGGCCGGAAGAGGGCCGGTCGAAACGAAGGACGAGGGGAGTTGGTGAGAAAAGGATCCAGGATTGAAGTGTCCTCTTCCTCGATATCGCGGGGTGAACGAGAGCGGTCTCTAACGTGACGAAGGGGGGCGAGGTCCTGAATCTCCACGGCCTCTTCGTGGCATTGGGTACGAAGAGGGGGGTGGGCGCAAACAAGGGCTGTTGTTCTCGCCTCTGCGGCTGTCAACTCTCGAGTCAATTGCGAGACGCTGGCTTGAGACGGGGGGGTTGCGTCGTCGGAGCGATAAGGATTTTGGCGATAGACAAAAAGCTACCAAGGTACAGATGGATGCGGCTGGCCGAGCAGGGATTTCTCGTTACCTGTCGTTGCTCTTCTTTTTCTTGTTTCCTTTCGGGTCTTGTCTCTCGTCGGGACACCTTTCGTAATAATCGGTAACGAGATACTCGTGTTGTGAATTAGCGCTCGGTGGTAAACTTTGCAGGGAGGAAAAAATATAGAGTTCAGAGGCAAAAGCTAGATAAAAGAACACGATCACTGGTGGCCTCGTTTCTGGAGGAGGTGACGGAAGCGAAAGCCAGTACCGCCCAGCAAATAGCCGTAGATGGCCCGTGCGCCGCATGCCACCTTTTTCGGCCACCGCGTTATTCCGGCCCTCCCCCAGGAACTACCAGCTGCGGAACTTCCAATCCAGCCTCCGTTGCGATATCACCAGCAGAGTCCGATTGCAAGCTACCCCAATTGGCACCATGCTTGCTACAAGGTATTAAAATGGCAATGAAATTTTACGGTGCCTTCTTCTTCGATATGGCCGAGTGACTGACGCTTCAACCCCGCCTCCAACAGAGCACTGCGAATGGCCCACGGGCCCAAGCCCAACATCACCGGCTTCAACATGCGAGCCTTCAAGGAGGCCACCGGCCAGCCCCGATACGACCCTTGGGAGAGAGCGTTGGTCTACCCTTTTTTTTTTTTTTTTTTGCATTTTCAACTAGCTCCGGATTACGACCAGAGATGGCAACAAGAAGCAACGAAGAGCAAAAAGCTAACGAGAGGATGATGCATATAGCGAGGCATGGCGATACAAGGGCACCTTTTCCCGCTGGAACAGATTCAGAAGCGGTTTCCCCGGGCTGGGAATCGCCACGGTTGCGTTTACTGGATACTGCGGCTACGAGTACCTCTTCCTGAAGGATGAGCACCACGGCGAGGGTCACGGCGAGGGTCACCACTAAAGCGTTGTTTTGTTCTGCGACGGCGGCATTGTTGGAAAGATGGTTTTTAAAGAGGCAAAGCGGGATTGAAAATGAGAAAGGGAGCAAGTGTACATATATATCTGCTGGAAGAGAAATAGGGAGGAAAAAAAAGAGCTTGGGAGACGATTTACGCTGGGCAAAGAATCAACACAAATATAAACTCAATTTAAGAATACTATACAAGGGAGCTGTGAGATACGAAATGCCGACTGCGTGCTCTATGATTGTGCTCACTAACGGCGGATTGCGGTCCATGTCATGTAGACTATAGATCACAGGAGATAAATCATAGGAGATAAATCATAGATAAGTACTAGTAGCAGTAAGCTTAGCTGGTAGTTTTAAATGTACAGAAGAATAAAGATAGCATAGCGACTAGCACTCAGGCAATAATAGGAAGCAGCTGTATTTGGGTTTCCCAAAAAATGGAAAATTTTAATATTTTCCTATCATAAATTCTACGTCTCTCATATAAAACGCTAGTTTTCATTCTTTGCTTTCAGGGGATGCAACTCAACAGCTGGCGCTCTCAATCTCTTATCAATGTTTTCTTTTCCCTCAGAGCTCAATTCCAGCAGACATGCCTCCCTCCATTGTGTATCGCGCGTACGGTGAAAGAAAGGGGGGAATAGGAGAAAGAAAGAAAAAAAGGGTAAAAAAAAAGGGGGGGTGATGAGGGGTTCGAGATCAGGAGATGATGAAAGAAGTGAAGAAATTGAAAGCAAAAAAATCAGGAAGCAAATGGATTAACAAAATGAGGGACAGGAAAAAGAAACAAGAAAAATGGTCATCATAAAAAAATAGAATCCGACTCCATGTTTCATGCCAGAACATCGTTTCGTAATACCGGCTGATTGTAAGAAAACACCCAGACATGCCGAAAAAATTGAAGATATGCGGGTGTATGAGATGCTATTGCCCAACGCCGTTGACAACGTCTAGCACCTCTTCGACAGCTTCCTCGAGCTCGCTGACTCTCTCCTTGAGGGTCTTGTTCTCGGCTTTAAGGAGGCCCACGGTGTCCCAGGCGATGCTGGCGTCCTGGCCCTGGCAGTTGCGACATCCCTTGATGTCCCTGTCGGGATCTATCTTGAACAGCTTCTGGAAAGTGGTCAGCTGTGGCGGTTGGGAGTTGCGGACTGGTCGGTTGGGTCCAAATGTCGAGGTCCGTGATGGAGGTCCGGACGGAGCGGGACCCTCTACGTCCGAGATGATGCTTAGCGCCGTGTTGGTAGGGCTGCGAGGACGAGAGAAGATGCTGGCGGCTTCGACGCTATCTTCGTCCGTCTCGAAACTGAAATCGGTCTTGGAGGTCTCACCGCTTCGCCTCCATCCGCGTCTGCGTTGTTGGTCTTCTTCGACGCAGAGGTCTTCCGAAATCGATCCTTCGGATGGCGTCAAAAATTTATCTCTGGCAGCTGCTCGCTCTTCCATCCTCAACCTCTTCTCCTTGTTTAATTCTTCCATTAGCGTCTGCATCTCGCTCTCGGTTTCTGCTAGCTTCTGAGCCATGCCCTCCAGCTGCATCTTGAGATGTCGCGTCCTGGTGTCGGCCTCGGCCTTTTCGTCATCCGTAGCCTCCTTTTCGGCCAGCATTTCCTGGATCGTGGTGGCCTGGCGCTTGTAGGCAGTTTGGTACTTCTTGAGCAGGCCGGTTGCCGTCTGCTGCAGATTCATAAAAGCTGCGGGCGAAAAAGTTTGCCCGTCCGGAGGGTTACCCTTGGGAAAGAGCGACGTTTCAATGTTGAGGCCAATGAGCTCGTCGCTTTGCGGCACCACGACGGGCGCAGGGGCGAGAGCTTTGATGGCCGGCATCTTGGAGGTGATGAAGGAGAGCGCGGAGTTGCGAGGAGACGAAGAAGAAGAAGAAGCGGTATTGGGCCTGTTGCAATCGCTCAGATTCGTCACGCGTCTGTCTTGACCGACTTCTCCAAAAGAGGTACGACGCGTCGCAAAAGTCGAAGTCGGATTTTCGGAATGCAAAGAGTCTGTCGAGAGTGATGCTTCTGGTTGCGCTCCGGGGGCTTGCCCTACTGGTAAAGGAATGTTGCTACTGGTGGTAGTGGTGGAAAATTCTGATCTGGACCTCGAGTGGCCTCTCTGAAGCTTGGGATTATGCCTCGGCTTCACAAATTGCGACAAGTCTGGACGTCCAGCGCAGTCTTGATAGGAGATGCTGGTAGATTGACGGAGAGGAGAATGTTGTTTCGGAGGAGAGGCAGGTCCCACATTGAACAGGGCGTCTCTTCGGTCGACGACGAGGCGAGAAGAATTGGGACGAGAGCTCGGGGTTGCTCGAGGTGTCGATGCAGAGTCTAGGGCCAAGCTTGAGCTCGGTGAGAGAGGAGGAGTTTGAGTCTGCTCATACCCCTGGCCGGGGGTTGCTGTCGAGCTGCCCATTGTACCACTACCTGGGAGCATTTTGCGCTGGCGCGGTGAAGGATACTGGACCTAGCAACGGAGTGGAGATTTGGGCGGAATATTGGACCAGACCAGCGACCAGCCCCCCAGTATTTCGCGATCGTTACCGATGCTAGACGGACGCCACAGCGAACTGGCTGCCCTCTAGCGGCAGCACTACAGAATCTCGCTTTGGCTCGAGGCAATCTCTCTGTTCAGGCGCTGTATTGTGACCTGCGGTATCTATTGGCTGCGGTGGAAGAAGTGGGCGCCTGGACGCTTCCGATTTGCCTTTGCAGGAAGGTGAAAGACGGCCAGGTCCAGCCCCGAAGGGATTGATGCGAAATCAAGGCGAATTTGCTCGATAGCGCCAGGCTCAAGGGACTGGGGAAACGTGACCCCAAGTTTTCGGCGGTCGCCTTGAATCCGACAGTCGGCGCAAAGAGCCAGCGTCGATCCTACTGTCGCGAATTAGCATTTGCTGTCCCCTAGCTGACGACCGACGGCTCCACCGAAGCGCAACTCAGTGTGCCTGTAGATGCAAAAAGCACATGCTCAGTATGCAGACCTACTAGGATGCAAACGTAATGCACGCCCGGCTGCCAGGGCGCGACGCTCTGTCTTTGGTCAAGCTGCTGCGCCGTCCTGCAGGTTCTATGCAGAGGATGCTGCGAATGGTGTAGCGGTCACGCACAACCTCGACTCATGCAACACGACTCCAGTCTTTTTTTTTTTTTTCTTCCTCTGCTTGGCAACTGTCTGGGGGGGTCCCCTTGGCTTATTTTTCCCTCTCTTCCCGGCGGATCTTGTTGCTCCGTGGCGACCAAAACAAACTTTGTTTCGACGAGCACGTTATAGCTGATGACGCTTAGACGGCAGCTGTTGTCTCAGATACAGCCGGACGACGGCATGCGAGAGGCCCGCCTGGAATGCTGATACGCCGGACGTCAGCTGCTGGTGCTGGATTGACTGCTTGACGGCCCACCCGATCAGACGTCAAGCCCTGCGAACTCGCTGGCCGGCATGTGCCTACAGAGTCTGCAGTGCGTGGGATGTGCGTGCAGTAGATGCACATGTAGCGGTACCTGCGAGCACGAGGCCTGGCGTGGATTGAACATGCGGTATGTACCTGCCTACAGGCCGAGATTCTGCGTGTCTGTCTGTCACTCGCTCGCTTGGCCTGTCCGTGGATCCGCGCGGGTCCAGCAAAGGCTCCTCTCTCCCCAGCTTACTGGTGGTGCTAGCAGTGGATAGAGCGAGCTGTACAAGAGTTCTGGCAAAGGCGGTCAAGCGACAAGAGCCAGCGCCTGGGTAAGCAGCGAAGAGGTGAAGAGGAGAAGGGCGCAGAAGAGAAGAGAATGGCCAGAGGTGCAGATTCGCGACGCCGAGAGCGGGCAGGGAACGCAGGGAACACGCACAGAGCAAGGGCAAGGGGCCGGCAGCGCTGTCTTGCTGTGCCTGTGCCTGTGACTGTTCGCATCCCTCGCTGTAGCTCCAGCGCAGGCCAATGCCGGCACATGGACGCAACGTGGTGGCCCAGCACGCACTGCACTCGTTAATCAAAAGCTTCAATGTTCTGCTGCAAATCTGAGGAACAGCCCCTCCACCGGATTGGCCGCCTCAGCGTGCCTGGCTGCACCATCGCGCTGGTCTGGCTGCGTGTGCCTGTGGTGCGGTGGGGAGATCTTCGGCCTCCAGTCTTTCCAGCCAGTCTGGAGCAGCGCCGGGCCTCCAAGCTCGCCAAGCTGCCTCAGGTACACGAGCGTTTGCCACCCACTACAGCAGCTGCCTGAACTGCCTGCTGGCTGCGCTGGCATAAGGCGCTCAGCCCACTGTCGCAGCCGACATCCATCCCCCACTCCCCGATACACGTACGGATACGCAACTCGTTAATTCTCTCAGTGGCTTGGCTTGACTTGCCACAGGTCTCAGCCACATGATTCAATGCTCTTTCGGGTTCATAGAGCAGATAATGGCTGAAGCCAGAGAAGCCTCAATTACATGTACTTTTCAATGGCAGTCGGAAGAGCAAAGTGTCCCATATTAGCTGCATGTGGAACCTCCTCGCAAAGCAACAACTGGAAGAAGATTCAATAATCTTCTCTGCGTACTTCGTAATATAGCCCTGTAAGAGGAATATTGCGGGCTCCATCAAAGGCTATCCAGGATTGAGTTTGCCTATGTTTTCTTATTTCAGATATCATGTATATTTAAAGATAGTTACTCCCATTGCATGATCTTAGCTCGTCTTATTGATTCTAGCTCTTCTCTGTCGAATATCAACAAGATCAATGTAGATAAAACAAACGGCAACCAAGCCAAGCTTCTTTCAAACTTCAAGTGGTTGTCCTGTACGTAGATATAGAGACCTAATACAACGACTTTCTCTTCACTTCTTTCAGAGCCCCTTCCTTCCATTAACCAAGCAGTCTTACTACTACTACCAAGGCAGTTACAAACACTCCTTCACACACGAGCATCAAGCCACATGCACTTACATCATATACATCTTCCCACCAGGCCAAGCCCTCGTCAATCTTTCTACTTCATCTTCCCAAGCGAGGGCAAAAGAAGATATTCACAGTCACTTCCCGCAAGACGAGTCTACACGCTCAACACCATCGTTTCGATTCCGTCCAAGTATACAAACCCGGCCCTGGCGACCCAACAGAAAAAAACAAGACACAACAAGACATACATTCTCTCGCTTTTGTCACATACGTATCCAAAAATCACTTCTCTTCCTCTTCTTCTCTTCCGTCTCCTCTCGCCATGTCACCAACCACCAAACACGCCCGAAGACGCTTCCGCCACCTCTCCAGCCACCTCCTCATCTACTTCGTCCTCGCTTGGTCCGCCGCAAACCTCATCCTCGTCCTCTTCTCCACCGTCGCCTTCATCGCCGCCCGCATCCGCGTCTCCCGCGGGCCCTGCCAGCAACTCGGCGTCGGCTGCGACTTCACCCGCTGGGGCTTCTACCTCTTCGCCGCCCTCAGCGCCGCCATCAGCTCCGCCACCGCCGGCCTCATGGCCCTCCACACGCTGCTGCGGCCCCGGAACTCGTCGCTCGATCCCGTCTGGGTCTTCCGCGGCGTCTTCTTCACCCTCATGCCCCTCATGACCATGGTGTATATCGGCTGGAGCACCCCGGACAAGCCGCCTGGCATTCTCAGGTTTCCTCGTCGGCAGCTCGACGTCTTTGATGCAGATGTCCCGGAACAGCTCCCGCTGCGTGGCATTGGCGGTGCCTTTATCTTGGAAGTGATGGACCCCTGGAAGGAGACAATTCCGGCCTTTGTCGTGATCCATATCAACTTGTGAGCAAGAAATTATATCATCATATTGAAAAGGGAGGAAACTGCTAATCAACTGCAAGGTTTCTTGGTGCCCTGCTCGCCGGATACTCTACCGCAATCTGCCACGCAATCGTTCCTCTGCGGCCTCGTGCTTCTGCATCTGGCCATCGGCGAAGTAAAAGTCTCGTCCTTCCGCCAGTCGCATGACTCCAAGGCTGTCAGAAGGAAAGGAAGGGCTAATGGGTTCATTTCTCGTTTGGTGTAACATGCGGCGTTCTAAAAACGGGATTCATGGAGTATTTGGGCGATGCTCGATAATAATGCATGAAATATTGGATAAGGAAAAACGCGACTTTTGGCAGAGATGGTTTGTTGGCTCGTCCTTGACAGCGTACATAATTACGACAATAGTCTCATGATGATAATGATGATAATTAGCATGCACTCACACAGCTCACAGACAACTTCGAACTTGTGTAAGGTGCACGCTACTAATATTCATGCATAAGTCGATCGACGTCGTAAAACAACCGCTAATGTCCTAGATTCGCAGCAAGTACATGTACTTTGTAGCCCCTGTCGTGGTAAACGAATTGAAAGAAAGAGACAGACAGGCATTGACATCCCTGGTACCGGGTAACCAACTCCGAAATGAAAGCAACTGGCATTTTTAAAGCCGTATTCCGAAAGAGCGCACACCAACGCCTCTCTTTGCCTTGTAAAAACTCATTCCATCATCAAAGCCGTGTGAGGAATCATGGAGAAATAACGCCGTTAGTGGGGAATTAACAACAAGTAGGAGAGAAAGAAGAAAAGTCCAAAGAAAAAGAAGGATAAAGAAAACAAAGGCCCCCGTATGTACCCTGCCAGGCCCCTTTCGCTGCGCCCATGAGGTTTTCGTATAGGTATCATACTGCTTTGTACAAACTTTCGCTTAATTAAGGAAAGATAATTTCAAGCTGGCGTGTGCACTCAATGCATTCTCATCGCATTATTCAGCACCCCTTTCTTTCCATGTCACCTTCATCGTAGCTCAACAGAGGGAAAATATCTTGGTCCCGCAAAGCCTTGGGCAATGACAGACTGGACGTCGATATTGCTCGTTGGGTCATGAGAGGAGCTCCACATTTTGAGAAGAATGTAGCGGGCAGAAACAGGTGGCTCAAACTTGATGGTGCACTTGCTCTTCTTCTTCTCGATATAAAAACGCGCATGGGGAGAAAGCAAGCTGCCGCCGAGACCGACGGCACGGATGGCTTCTTGAGTGGCGTTGGCATGGGCATCCATTGCCTCGGAGAGAGAGGCGCTTGGCGCATTGATTAGATCATGATCATGATCCTGGTCGTGGTCGTGGTCGTCATCTCTACCTCTAGGTCGATGAATAATGTTATGCCGGCGGCTGTGATGAAGAAGATGGTCGTCCAAGGGATCTTGGGGGCTGAAGGGCAGGATAATATCGTCTGCATCAGACTCTAGAGTCTCAAAAGGTAGAGAGCCAATGCGATTCGGGGTCCGGTGAAGCCGTGTTCCATCATAGCCATCTTCATCATCGTCTTCTTCATCGCTGCATTCTGTAGTAACGCGAAAACCAGCAATTTCCCTACTAAACTCCTCGGGCATGTCAGGGCGACCTTCATCGTCATCGGTTCGATAGACGTAAGATCTCCTGGCCCTTGTGCTTGTGGTGCCATCATCATGGTGCTGGATAGAAATGATATGGCGAGGCTCTTGCTCTAGGATCAGCGCATTGTTCGCTTCTCCCGTCCTTGTCCGGTCTCTAGCTGTTTGGCCGTACTGGATTTGGTACTGAGCTGTCCGATTAAGTATATCGTCTTGATCCATGGTGATGAAAATCATGCCCTCGCGAACACTGGGGGAATCGAGTTAGTAGGAGAAATCACCAAGACGTAGCAGTCTCCCCAACAAGATTAACTAGGAAACCTACGGATGCGAAAAGTTGGTGGCGCAGGGTGCCTTGATAATCAGCTCCTGGAGTGTGAATACCGTCCCGCCCTGGTGCTGCAGAATGATATTACATCTGTTTCCCTTGGTGCAGTATACCGAATTGTCGTCTTTGAGAATATTCTCGGCCGCGTATGATGAATGGTTCGAGAACATGCCACCGTCACAGCTCACAATCTCCATCCGCAGCTGGCCCGGGTCTACTTGCCCATACCTACCATAGCGAAAGGCCTTGGGCCCGCCGGACCCCATTCTGTCCGAGTCGAGTTTCCGGCGTTTATTCCGGCGATTGTCGTCTGTGAACTCATGGGGCCGCAGAGGTTGGGGAAGTGAAGTGAGGGTGGGATCTGGCTGATCCAATAACGTTCTAAGGCTGGAGTTTGCTCGACTGAGGGACCGACCCAGCTCTTCGATATTGGGCGTCTGGGGACCGCCAAAGCTACGCGGCTGAGGATAGCGTCGCAGTGAAATGCCCGTAAGGCGCTCTAGCTGACGCTCCCTCTCTTCGGCGCGACGGTCAGCCTGCTCGTTGAGGTTTCGAATCCGCTCGGCTCTCCGGGCTGCAGTGTACGACGACCAGTGAAGACGGGACAGCGCACGGGGCGGTGCCGGGAGGCTCTCGCGGACTCGAGGGGTGTTTAGGGTCCGTTGAGGAGGCAGCGGCGGAGACAAGGCTGGGATGAGTTGTTCGTTTTCGACTCGAGGCAGCCGCGGGTAGGAGTTGGATTCCGAGCCCGATCTTGACGCCATGACAGACAGGTCGCGGTACGGGCACACGGATGGTCGTCGCCGTTGAGAGCGATTCGACGGTTGTCAGAGAGTTGGAAAGGCGATGGTCGAAACGTCCTGGCGTGGTTGTTCGTGATGGAGCGGCCAGGGCTGGTTGCGCCGTCGGGGTGGCAATACTGGAAGCGTGAGTTGGGCGGCGTTCAAATGACCCAAGCAGACTCCATATAATATGCTGTCAGCCCGCCCAGGCTAATAAGGTTGCTGCTGGTGCTAGAGGGCGGCAACTTTATTCGCCGATGCTGGGGCTGATAAGAACGGACGATAGTTGAGAAACCGTGCAGGGAGGATGGAATCGAACAAGGTTTGATTAAAATAGAAGATGGAAAGTCCAGAGAAGAATGCTGGATGGCTGTCTCGGAGGAAGAAAGGATGAGCGAATCTGGGACCAAAGGTCTTGATCAGCTCATTGTCTCTTGCATCTCCCAGGCAGCGCGGCTAGTGGCCGGCCTCAGCTGCTCGCATCACTTACTTGTGCCTGTCAGTGAGGCACGCTGACAGCAGCGGGGTTGCCTGAGAGGATTCGCGGTGGTGCGAGGTGATTCAGTATTGATTTGTAGCGACTTGGAGCTGGAGGCTGATGGCTATTGCCGTTTGACGCCCGGTACAGATGATGTTTGATCGACTATTGGTGGTACCAGGAGAGCCTGGATGTGAGGACAAAGAGAGCTAGATGAATGAAGAATGAAGAATGAAGATGGAAAGCTGCAGCGTCTGATGTTCCGTTGCCGTTCAATGGTTGGAAATTGGAAGCCCCGGCTCTGGCATCCTGACCAGTGCACGCGGGGTCGCCTGGTGCTAGTCCAGGCACTATTCGGCTCTATGCCTTAGCGGCTCAGAGGCCGACTTGGACGAGCTTAGCGGTGATCCATAGCGGTCTGGGAGTGCATTGCAGGCAGCCCTAGCGGTGCAACATCGAAAATGGCTGGCCAATGGGGTCATGCGACTAGCATCCGTCTGTGGGCTTTGGCTGGGTGACGGAGGATGCATACAGCAGGTATTGGGGTAATAATCTGATCATTGATGCTATGTAGAGGCAGTATTGCTTCGTTGATATTGAATCCTGCCTTATCTACGAGGGATACGGAGCATCTGGTCGGGTTCTCCCCATTCGTTGGACTCAAGTCGGATACATGCTGCCACTTTATGCCGGAGACAGCCCTTGCAAGACATACATGTAGGTAGTAGATATGCGTGGCGCAAAGCAGCTGGCAGGGAGCACTGCAACTTTGGCTGTGAATGTCTGTCTGTATGTGGTATGTGCAACCAAGGTTGTGCCGACAGTGTTACTAGCACGGAAGCGCTCCAGCTACTTGCATCGGCCATCAAAGCTGAGCTGGCTTGGCTGCGGAGGCTTTGCTCATCGCCCACTGACGTGCGGTCCAACCACAAGCTCGGGATTTCAAGGCTGATGGTGTCACAATGGCTTGGCGAAATACTCGCATCAAAAGAGAAAAAATACAGGGCATGTGTCAAAGTGAGTTGAGGTTAAGGTGTCGAGCCGCAGAGAATACTTTACTGGGGCTAGATCTTACTTAGATCAGCCCCACTGTTAAAAGATACTTGACTATTCCACAGTGATTCATCCACTCCTCCAGTACTGCTTTAACAGCGTCCCGCCGTCTCTGGCGCCAGCCCACCCGCGTATCAGCGCTGCACGGCTACAGGCGAGGCTGCGCTCATTCTCATCCGCTCGACATCCCATCTCTGTATCATGGCTCAAGGCCCAACAAGTAACTTGCATCGTTTTTGACGCTGGCCGTGTGAATGCCTTTTCAATTTGCTACCAGCACCGGAGCTTGTTGGATTCATATAACACTCTTGACCCTAATTCCCAGCCCTATCCATCCATCTCTCTAGAAGCTCCCACTCGATAGTCCTCACGAGACCCGCGCAGCCTTGCCGTTTCTACTCTCAAACAACGCAATCCATCTCTCAACTAATCGCCACACGACTTGATTGATCCCAAGAGGACGGACTCCATCAAAGATGGAGCACCAACCAAACAATGGTGTCAGTGACGGTAGCACAGCACCCATCCCAGCCACCAACGGCGGCACAGCTGGACTGAATCCCGAGCTCGCTGCGCCAGATGCCATGGCAGCCGCCATGATGATGTCTGGCCAGGCCTTCATCCCGGATCCCTCTCTCGGCACCACCATCTCAGATCCGTCAATCATGGCTCCCATGATGTTCAGCAACGGCCATGCCGCTGCCGGCCTCGCGCTGCCTGACAAGGCCATCACAGCAGGTAAAGACAAACCCAATGCACTCACTCAGCTGCCATCTCACAGTTTCTCATCAGATGAAATCGCCCTCTATGACCGCCAGATCCGCCTCTGGGGCATGGCCGCGCAGGCCAAGATCCAAAACGCAAACATCCTCCTCATCACCATCAGAGCCCTGGCCAACGAGATCGCAAAGAACCTCGTCCTCGCCGGCGTCGGCTCCCTCACCGTCCTCGACAGCGCCATCGTCACCGAGGCCGACCTGGGCGCGCAGTTCCTCCTCTCCGAAGTGGAATCCCCCCTGGGCCAGAACCGCGCCGAGGCCGCCAGCGTGGCCCTGCGCAAGCTGAATCCGCGCGTCCAGGTCATTGTCGACTCCGAGGGCGTCAAGTCCAAGGGCCCGAGCTACTTTGCCAACTTTGACATTGTCATTGCTACCGATCTGGATCCGGATTCGTTCAATCTCATCAATACGGCCACGCGCATCAACGGCAAGGCCTTTTACGCCGCGGGCACTCACGGCATGTACGGCTTCATATTCAGCGATCTGATAGAGCACGACTACGTCATTGAGCGCGATCTGGGAAACGTCGCCACCCAGCTCAAGCAAGAGACGCGCACACGCTCCATCGTCGACGTCAAGACCAAAAAGGAAGGCCCCAAGGTCATCGAATCCGTCACCAAGCGAGAGCTCTACTCGACCTGGTTTCTCGCCAGTGACGTTGCCAGCCTGCCGGAAGAGTACACAAAGTCCAAGCGCCGCCTAAAGAGCGTCTCCCCGACGCTGTCCTGCCTGCGCGCCCTGTGGGAGTTCATGCAGATCCAGGGCGGCCGCCTGCCCAGCAATCGCGAAGACCTTAAGCTGTTCACCCAGATTGCCACGCAGAAGCACAAGGCCCTGAGCCTCCCTAGCGAGACGCTCAGGCCGGAATTCCTCCGCAGCTTCCTGCAGAACCTAGGCAGCGAGATTGCCCCCGTCACGGCCATTCTGGGAGGCCAGCTGGCGCAGGATGTCATCAACGTCCTCGGCCAGAAGCAGCAGCCCATTCAAAACATGGTCATCTTTGACGGCACCACCATGGAGGCGCTCATGTATCCCCTGCACCCAGAGGGCATCCTCGGCGCCAACCTGCTCTCTCTAGGCGGAGGCGTCGATACGTTGATCCCAAACGGAGGCATCATGTTACCACCAGACATGTCCGTCGCCCTCGGCGGCAACATGGTCATCCCACCCCTGGATCCCAATGCCTTGGGCCACCCGCATGGCATGCCGCCCATGGGCGATTTGCCCCCCATCACGAGTGCTGATTTGCAGGCGCAGATTATTTCCGCTGCTGCTACTCAGGCCCCTGGCATGCCCGTAGCAGCGGCTGCAACCGCGCCTCTTGCGCCTCCTCCGGCCACACAACACGAACAACAAGCCAGTGCCAGTGCCAGTGCTCAATCTAGTATACCCACAGAAGCACCAATTCAGGATGCCCCTGCAAGTTAAAACATCATTGACGGACCATGAGAATGAGCACATATGGGAATGAGACTGAGAATCTAGATGTGATGGTACGCACGACTTGACGATGAGAATATTATACGACTTACAGGACGATTGGACGTTTAATCAAAGAAAGATCGACTCATACTTTGATATACGTGATGGAGGAATAGGAGAGAAGCAGATAGGATACAGAAAAAAAACATAGGATTGGGTTTTATTTTGCATGTAGTAAAGGTTCTAGGTAGTTTACACAAGTTGCACATAGCGTGCCTTTTCAATACATTTCTTGTCTTCAAAAAAAAAAACAATTTGATAATCACAATCACACATACAAGGATATCAAGAATGCAACAAATACAGTGAACTTTCAATTCTTTTAGTTCTCTTGGTCCCTAGAAAATTGAACACAAGAGGCCCTCTTGCCTGAAAAATCCATTTCACAACCAGTCCCATCTACCTAATACCACAGGTAGGGACAAAACGATAAAAGACAGTAAACAGAAAAACAAATAAGAAATGCCCGACCCTCCGTCTTTCCTTCTATCTCAGCCATCATCATAGCATCTCAAAGTCCCCCGAGCCCTCCTGAGTCCCTTTACCCCTTCCGACCTTCTTATGCTACCGAGTCACCGTTGTCCCAGAATTTTTTTTATCCCTCTTCCCTTTCCCAAATCCACCTTCCATTCCATTTTCACAGCCAGACATAGGCCATAAAGCAAATATTTCATTCCCTAAACCGAAGATGGGATTATGAAGTATAGGTGAAAAGGAAGAGTGTAAGTAGAGATGGCTATATGGTATAACCGGAAAAAGAAAGAAAATAGATAAACGCAATAAGGAAAGAATCAAGAAGTGGTAAGCCATGAAGAAAAAAAAAAGTTCTCGCGTTTCCAACCTATATTAGGCTGGAGGATATACGAGGCAAATCATTCCCATTGGCCACCCAAGAAGAAAAAACAGCCGAAGCCGTCATTGCAAACAGCCAATAGAAGAAGTAAGACGTAAGAAGAGAAGAATAGAGGTATAGTCCTGAGAGTTCCAAGCCAAAAAAAGCAAGATAGAGCTCGCTAAAGCACAAGCGCAAAGATGTAACAAGAAACAAAAACGCAGTATTGAAAAGAACAAATTTAGGAAAATCCAGTTCGTCATTTCTTTTAGACGCCGACGTAATGCCGAATTAAGTAGCTGTTGGTATAGCTTTTTGGTCATTTGTTTTCCTCTATGGGATAACAGGTCATCTCGTTAGGTATTTACGTTGCCTGGGCTTGGTCGATAGCTCCTGTGACGAAAGGGTATAGCAGGAAATGGCTATTTCGCCAGCGTGGCAAAAAGAAAAAAAAAAAAGGTATAGACAGATGCACGCGAGTATATACGTCATCCGATGGCATAGAATACTTGTGTTGGCAGATTACAGCACAAGTTAAATGTTGATACTCTCTGCTTGAGAGGCAGAGTCAGCTGTCGTAGTTGAGGTGCCGGTAATGGTCTCTTGTTCGGGTTGAGTGCCTGCTAGTGCAGCTTCCCTTCGACTAGCCTTCTTCTTTGATGCCGCCCGGCTAGAATTTTTTGACGTTTTATTTCTTCCGGTAGAACGGTTAGGCCTGATCGATTGAGAAGGTGCCGCTCTGTCGGATTCGTTAGTTGTGGTTGGTTTGGCCCTTCTGGGGCGGAGACGACGTGATGTCGTGTCATTCTGAGAAGTCGAAGCGTCAGCAGAGACTGTATCCGCTGCAGATATAACTGGGTCGGTAGTAGTATTTTCGCAAGTCTGGGTAAAGAGTTCCTGAAGATCCATATCTTGAGCCATGGTGCGTCGCGGAATGGGAGGAATGTTTCGTGGGAAAAGAGGTGGTAAATGGGTAATTGGCTCGGCAAAGCGGACAGACCAGTTGGGATGGAGCGGCTTGGTCTGAGGCTTGTCATTGTCTGCTTGAGCAGCTGTTTGGCCCGGCGTTTCCCGTCTCTATCTGGAATCGTCTCGGTCATTTCCCGCTTCCGCTCTATCTTGCTTGTCGGCCTTGCTTCGCTTCCGAGGCTGGTTCACATTCCATCCCCTAATTTGCGTGGGACCAGAACTTGGGAGAGCGGCAGACGAGCCCGTTTCTTTATGATCATAGGGAATAGTCTTTAGCTCCGGTTTGTTCGACCACGCCCGGTGAGCGGGCACTGGAGCAGGCTGTAGTTTGCGATATTTGCCAGATCCGGCATCTGAAGATCCCGAAGGGGTAGAGCGATGGCGGTGCATCGAACTGTGCATGCCCTGCGGTGTTCCCGGGGGACTCTGGGCCATAGGGCCGGACATTGGCTGGGGGTTGCCAAAAGTCGGCGATAGGATCTGAGATGAGATCTGAGATGCGTAACCAGGGCCAGACGGTCCCATGTAGGACTGCGGCTGCTGAGGATTGGGCAAAATCCTTTCCGATCCGAGCGGCTGCATAGGAGCGAGAGGGGGCTCTGGGCCAGCAGCATAGCCATGGTGGTAAGCCCGAGATGGAGCAGGGTTATAGTAGTTACTCATGCCGTGCACACTTGGCCCTCTCATTGGATCGCGCATCATATCATCTTGAACAGGCTGAGCGCGGCCTCGAGGTGGTCGAAGAGGCGGGAGAGGCTCAGCGTTTGCGTTGTGAGAGAAGGGCATCCTTGGTGGAGGCTGTGACGCATAATGCTGTGATGGTGGTGGGGGCGGAGGGGCCTGAGCAACGGGGGGCGGAGGGGGAGGAGCCTGCTGATGCCAGTAGACAAGAGGATATCCTCCGCTGGGACCTGGAGGAGGACCAGGGGGCGCTTGTGTAGGAGCTGGGCCGGGAGCTTCAGGTCCATAGTTTGACATTCGGCTGCCTCCATACGCCGGTTCCATGGGACGGCCAGAACCCATATGAATATCTCTTGGTTCCTGCATATAGCCGCCATAAGAGTAATAGCCCTGATGCGGTTCCTGGACTGGAGGGCCTTGAGGCGGATGAGGATGTTGCGGTTGATACTCATTGGTTCTTGGCGGTGGTGCGTGGATCATGGGCTGCTCAGTAGGTGCTGCCTGGTAGACGATGGGCTCTGGTCCCTGAGGGGGGACAGGAGCGTGAGGCTGGCCAACGGGTGGTAATGGCGGAAGCTCTTGTCCATGCTGGGGATTTCGGATGTATCCCCCCATATGCTCCATAGGGCCGTGCTGTCCACCGATGGAAGCATGTCCCAAAGGTGCAATGGGCACCATATCATCGCGCTGGGCTCTTGTATCGGGTCCGGATTCGGCAATGAGCATCAGAGGAGCTGGCGTCTTGGGCACGTAACCCTCGGGCTCCTGCAGACGTGTCTCGACGTTGCACAGCTCAGCCAAGAAATTGAGGTTGAGGCTGTTAGTGTCAGGGGCCGGCGCCTCCTCAGGTTTGGAATCCGTGAAGACATCTCTAATGGCATCATATCTTGCAGGCTTGGGCACGGGCTTGGGCGCAGGGAGAACGGCTCGTGTAATCTCTTCGGCCTCAACAAATGCAGTCGCGTAAGTGAGGACAGAAAGAGCGGCGAGACCACCTTGGGTTGGTTCGGCTGTCTCCTCCTCTGAAACAACCAGCTGTTCATCAGTCGTAGATGAAGCCTCTTCGATATCAGGCTTGGATTCAAGTTCCAGTGCAGCTGTGCCCAAGGATCGATCGCGAAGCTCTTCGTCAGTAGGCATATACTCTGAGATGGCAACATCATCCAAGGGGATGCCATTGATCTTGCAAAATCGGCGCATAGATGCACTCATTTTCACTCGCACTGGCGCATCAGCCACACGACGGTTGTTAACCGTCCTCTGGTATGAGCGCGAAGCGTGAGAGATGCGTCCAGAAGGCTCGGCAATATATACAACCGGCTTTCCGGGCATGACAAACGGAACTTTGGGCCCCTGTTCGTTGGTGCTGGTAGGCAAGAAGATGCCATACTTTGGATGGACGCCGTGTTTTTTGACGAGGGCCAGGTCAAAGTCGGATTCCCGGGTGTTGGAGTAGTCATAACCGTTGCACCAGTAGTCAAAGTGCATGCCGTTGCTGTTGGGCGTGTCGAGGTATTTACCTCGTTTGGCGCGGGTGTGGCCCTTTGTAGAGTCGTTGGAGCTATCACGGAAGCCAATGTCCCATTCATCGTATAAGAAGAGACGTGGAGCGAGAAGGCGACTAGCAAGCCCTTTCTCTTTCATGGACGGCCTCTGGTTGTAAGTGCGGCAGCCATGCTCATCAGGTTCTCCGATATTCTTGGGTAGAGCTGGACTCTTTTCGCGAGCCGGTAATTTGCCGTTGAACTTGACAACAGTAGAGGTAGCGCCGCCGTTGGGCATATTGACGGGCTCGGGAGACGCAGGGGCTGACTCCTCTTCTGCGGGAGCACCCTCGATGTGGGATTCAATCTCGGTTGCGAGAAGACCCTTGGCAGGAGCAATTGGGGCAGCCTGCAGCAGCTGGCTATCAAAGTTGCTGCGAGTTGACTTCTTTGGTGTCGGCTGGCCATCTGGCTGGTCCTGGGCGCGGCGTTTGTTACTGCCTCGGCCACGGCCTCTGCCTCCTCGGGAGCCGGAAGAGTTGGCGGCAGCCGTAATGGCAGCAGCAGCCTCAGCATCGCGGGCTCTTTGCCACATCTCCGTGCCGTCAACACGTGAGGGATAGGGGACCAGGTGGCCATCTTTGTAGCACTCATAGATGCCGAAGTCATCGTCGAGAGATTTGTCAGAGATGACTTTGTACTCATATTGATCATCACGGACCTGAACGTGTTAGTGAAAAAGGTTCTCGGCTCAGTGGTATGATTAATAAACAGGTAAGTGGCTGTAGATCCGCAAGAAGGAAAGCCGGTAAGAGGCTGCAAATTGTGATCGGGCATGAAGGAAAGCTAGTCTGACTGACTAATACACATAAAGAAGAGAGAGAAGAAAACGAAAGCGAAAAAGAGAATAACCGAGTACTTACATCAACTGGAAGATCTTTTGAGATCAGAGTGGAAAGGATACGAAGACGGTTAGCTTGACCGTCGTCGAATCGTTCTGTAAGGTCCTCAAGGCCATTCTGAGGGACAAAAAAAAATCAGCTTCTGTGTACACTTGGAAAAGGCAAGGGCGGCGAAGAGAGGAAAAGAAAAGGCAAGGAGGTAACATGTTTCTTTTCAGAGATATACCGGAACAGTCACGGCGTCCAGGGATGGATGATCGGTAAGCAGGGATAAACAAAGATAAGCATACCTCGAATTCCTGTTTTAGAACATATTGTTCGGCACTGTAAGTGCCCTCGGCGAGGCTCAGATTGGCCTCGAGCTGGCGGTCGAAGAGATGCAGCTTCTTAGCCAGCCTTTGGTTCAACTCGTCGACAACGGGCCAGTGCTCGGGCGCAAACCGATGGCCGTCTGTCCTCTGCAGCAGCTCCTCGATGCTCCGGTCAGCGAGCTCCTGCAGAGCGGGCTTGAGGGCATGAGCCACGGCTTGGTAGGTGGCCTTGAGATCTCTCTGGCGCTCGTAGGCGGCCTGGACGCGAGAGTCGGCAAAGCTCTTAGCCCGGCCTCTGCGAGTGCCTCCACGGCCGGCCTTTGCGAAGTTTGCCTTGGCGACGCCTGAAGTAGAAGAAGCACCGCCTCGACCGCCACCTCGGCCTCGGCCAGCACGGCCACCGCGCCCACCTCTGCCGCGCCCACGAGTGGCTGGCTCCCGAGCGGACGATTCAGTCTCAGTAGCCATGATGCGGGATGAGCCCGGGCATGTACGGGCCTGCGACTGAGAATGCGGGCGATGTGATGTGCAGCGGATGTGTTGGGTGTGTGTTAGATGAAGAGAACGAGGCGTAAAAATGGTCAAGTGTGTGAGAACCGGGGTCAGGCCAGCCAACCAAGTTCGGCAGTAAGCCAGACGAGCACGCGCGCCGCGCCGTGCCGAATAGAAAAAAAGAAACAGCTGGGAGACGAAGAGAAAGGAGAGGCGGATTCAGCGGGAAGAGCTCATCCGGTGCAAGCAGAAGGGAAGATGTGATGGGTGTAGGATGAGTCTGGGAAAAGACCGATGGCGCGGTGTTGATGGTTTTTGGAGAGCAAGTGTTTGAAAGAAAAAAAGGGTCTGGCTGGTACTAGAGGTGATGTGCATGGGCGGTACGAGTTGCGTACGCTGGAAGCACTAAGGCCGGGGAGTACCTTTTTTTTACCTTTTGGGTGAAAGGAACCTTAATGCTAACAGAGGCGTCTACTGCAATAGGCCGGATGGGAAAAAAGGCTGGGCGGCGTAAGGATGTGCGGCCTGCCTGGCTGACAGCTGGCCGTGCAGCACCACAATAGGCAGAAAGCAGGGACAATAGCGAAGCCGGCAGCAACCATGCAGCTGCGGCGAGCAATAAGTGAAGTGGTTGTCAAAGGGCCTTTTTGACGGGGTGAAGCGTGCAAGAAGACGCGGCAATGCTGGGCTGCGAAGAGAACGAAAAAGGTGCGGCCAGTCCCTTTTCTGGGCCCCCCTCAGCCTTGGCCCCGGCCCAACCGCCAGCACAGTGACTTTTGCAGCGCACCGGCAGCGCAAGGCTAAAGTGGGCGCCCGGTCACTGCCAGGTACCCGCGACTTTGCACCCCAGCGCACCGCAGGTCCTCCAGGCCGCTGCTTTCAGCGAGTGGCGCCCCGTGATTGGCGGCCGGGCTCTCAGGAACGTGGCGCTAAGCCGGTTCGGTGCAGTATGGCCTTATTCCCGCGCCTCTGGTTGGTGCGGGCGAGGTGAATCTCCGGTTGCCGCGCTGGAGCGGGCTGCTGGGGGGCGCTCTGGCTGGCAGCAGGTAGCGGTGACTTGCAGGGACCCGGGGCGAGACGGGACGAGCCAAACCAAACGAAAAAAAACCTCCTGTTCACCGCACGGCGGCGAGGTGCAGCTGCGAGACTTGAGCATGCGCTCACTTAACGAGACCCAAGCCAAAGAGCGGAGCAGAGGCTTTATTGCTGCCCGGCAAAAAAGTAAAGCTAGAGTTTCTTTTCCCGCGGGAGTACCATTTTTTATACTCGACGCAAAGGCAAACAAGGAAGAGCACGGCCATGTGTTAGTTCGTGGCTGTTCTAAGTTTAGGTATCGTCCGTGTTGTCCACGAACTGCAGCATAGCTTTCCAGCGGCTTGTAGCACAACATCAATCTCTGCGCTGCTCAGGTGTTCACTGCAAGATTGGTGCCTCTGCTGATGCAGAGCATGTCCTTCAGTTGGGGGACACGAGATCCTGTTGCTTTGCTGGGAGCCCTGGAATCTCCCCTCCACTGCGTCATCCCCGTGAACTGCGCTGCCACGTTGGGCATGACATGCAAAGCCTGATTTGTTCACCTCAGCAGTGATTCACCACACAGTGCTCCTGGGGTGGGCCGCCTGCATTCCGTGATGCTCCGCGGAAGGAGGCTAAAGCTGTGCGAGAGTGATTTGCCGAACAAATGTCACGTTGAACTGACTTTCTGCCACCCCCTTGGGATGGGAGTAATGGCGCCTGGTTATTGGCTGGCACAAGTTGCGATACAGAGGCTACGAAACAGCGAAACACATTGACTGCATGTTTGAACAGTCTTCATTTGGCTGACTTGCACGTATTGCTCCTCCTACGCCGAGCTGCTGATGTGTCTGCTTGTAATTGAGGGCGTCTGCAGCTGCAGGCCAATTTCTCTGCGGCACAATGGCGGCAAACAGGACCCGCTCCACTTATATCCCCGATTGCCTCTTTGGGAACGTTGGCTGCGGCGACGGCAATAGGCTGGAAACGTGAGGTACCTTGCTAGCGAGAAACCGCCGGCTACGTGGTGCTTTGTCTTTGGGGAGCCTTGCCGAGCAGCTGAGTGATTGGTTTTGAGATGGCCGCGTATGAGCTGCTCCTTGCATTGTCGTATTGGGCTACTGCACGACGAAAGATGATTGAATCATGTTCATTATGCACCTGCATTCGGAAGCGAAGTGCCATACTAGAAAGAATAAAATGAAAAAAGGCCTCGTCAATCCGAGAAAAGCCAAGCCGCTGCACAAGATCTCAAGTCTCAGATTCTGTCATCTGCAGCAGCCGCTGTAGCGCAGCGGGCTCTGGCTCCGCAAAAGAAGCCTGATGTGTGCTGAGAGACAGAAGAGCGACAGGATCGCGCGTTAAACAGGGTCAGGCCTTACAGGTTTTAGCGCGGCTCTCTTGGCCACGGCACCTAAAAAATTGCGCTTTTTGGGTCTCAACCGCTGTAGCCTTCGTCGCTGATTGGGCGCGTCTCCGTCGCAATCCCGCTGCCGCCATCCCGCCAAGTCTAGTTGCACCTTGGGGGAGCTGCTGGAGCTTTGGCGCGTTGTACGGAGTACCGTGCCGTAGCTGGTTGGTCCCTTGATTTTTTTTTTTTCCTTTTCCATCAATCCGATTTGAATTCTTTTTTTTTTAGTACACGCCCCATAACGTTCCAACTCAAAACAACAATTTTCTTTCAGTGCTTGCCGCTGTTGCTGCCATTGGATTTCTTCATACTTTTTGCTTCAACAAAGTATCATTCTATTTTCACTGCAGCAAGCTTCAATGGCCAAAAGACGAAAGCTGCAGCACCAAAAAGGCCCCCAGAGACCTACTGCCCGCCCACAGCAAAAAGATCAGGGTCCGTCCAAGAAGCCCCTCCAACCTGCAAAGAAGCAACACCGCCAACAGCACCATGACGAGCCCGTCATCCCCTTCAGCCCCAGCGACCGCATCCTGCTGGTGGGCGAGGCCGACTTGAGCTTCGCCGCCTCCATCATCCAGCACCACGGCTGCACAAACGTCACGGCAACCGTCCTCGAGAGAGACCACGCCGAGCTGGTCGAAAAGTACCCCGCCGTGGATACCAACATTGCCGTGGTCAACCGCCGCCCGGACGCCGATGCTCCTCCGGCAAGCCCCGGCCACGGCGCCGGGTCTGACGCCGGTCACTCGGAAGAAGAAGAGCCCGCCCAAGACTACTCTGACGAGGATTCACAAGCAAGGCGGCACAAGCCCGTCGCCATCACCAACAAGCTCATCTACAACGTCGACGCCACAAAGTTCCCGTCCTCCATCGCTCGCACCCCCCACGACCGAATCATCTTCAACTTCCCCCACGTCGGCGGCAAATCCACCGACGTCAATCGCCAGGTCCGCTACAACCAAGAGCTCCTCGTCGCCTTCTTCCAGCGCGCCCTCGCCTCGCCCGCCGCGCCCCTCGCCGCGGGTGGCTCCATCGTCGTCACCCTCTTCGAGAGCGAGCCCTACACCCTCTGGAACATCCGCGACCTCGGCCGCCACGCGGGGCTGCAGCTCGAGCGCAGCTTTCGCTTCCAGGCGGCTGCGTACCCGGGCTACCACCACGCGAGGACGTTTGGCATCGTGAGGAATAAGAAGGGCGAGGAGGGTTCTGGCTGGAAGGGCGAGGACAGGCCGGCGAGGAGCTATGTGTTTATGAGGAAGGAGGAGGTGGAGGATCAGACGAAGAATAAGAAGAAGCGGAAGCGAGGCGGTGATGACTCTTCGAGCGATGAGGACGAGGACTAACTTGGTAGCCCCTCCCCCCCCCCCCTGTCTTGGTGCTGTATATATTTGATGGGGCTATATAACACATGTATGCGTACACATGTACAATCTTGGGGACATTTAGACGATATATGGAAAAAATGGGCAATGGCGTTCTATGTTGGGATACGTTCTGGGCGCATTAGGTATAAATTTTTCATCTCTCACATTTTAATTAAAGAAGAGACCCAAGCTGGTCTATTAGCACAATGGCATCATGATATACAAGTTGTAATCCGACACCATACTCTATCCCCACGATTTGTGAAACAAGTAACTTGTATCTTACACCCGGCCACAACTTACAGCAGTAACACCGCTCTCCCAAATCCCCACTCACCAAAAGCAAAGTACTCCTACAAACGTCTACCTGGAGCCAAATCATGTGTGACATATGCAGCAGCACCATATTCCAGCATTTTACGCAACGACTGTAAATTCCCGCTCAAGAACAATCGATTTTTTCTCTTGTTATCTCATGTGGCGTACCGTGCCATCAGAACTGTTTAAAAGAAAAGAGAAAAACAAAGTAATTGATAAAGATGACGATAAAGGTAAAAGGTTAAAAAAAAAAAAAAAAAAGGTTCCATTGATACCTTAGTATTCCACTTTTTCCTCAAATCCCCCCCAAAAAGCCCCAAACCCAAAAAAAAAAAACTCCAATATCACCTCATGTCCTCCAAAAAGAGCAAAGAAAACAACAACTATCCTCTTCTCGGCTACTCCCTATTGGTGTAATAAAAGAAGACGGTATCAAAAAATGATAAGAAAATGAGATAGAAAGGCGGAACGTCGGATTTTTTTTTCTTCTCTCTCTAAAAAAAGCCATGTTCCACCTTTTTACCGCTCCCTACAGCCAAGGGAGCCCATGAATTATTAAATAATCAATAAAAAAAAGGGAGGGAAGCAAAATCCCCAGAATGAAAAAAAAAGGGGGGGGGGTAAAAAGAATAATAAAAAGAACCGTAGGTATAATACAATGCAGATTTCTATCGTGACCCCTGAACTCCCCGTCGAAAATAAAGTTGAAAGCAAATAGTTTGTGCATTAATGTGTGATATGTGCAAATCCAGGATAATCTTGAATTATACTGATACCTTACTGAAAGTTTTTTAAGATACCAACAGAAAATTAATGGCTCAGCAGCTCTTTTTGGAGGGCATTGCCATGTTCGTCCATGGACGTCTGTTGTCCAGGCGGGCCGCCATCAGAGTTTGGTCGGGCCACAGCCTTCTTCCGGGCTTGCTCTTCTTCGTCAAGCCTCTGCGCCTCCTCATTCTCTCGTACTAAAGCCTCTTCTTGCTCAAGCAAAGCCTGCGCCTCCTCTGTGCGAGCTGCACCAGGGTTTTCTGGGGGAGGCGGCGGCGGTGGAGGGGGAGTGGCCCCATCTGGGTCATCTTCTTTCAATCTCTTCATCTCAGGTCCGTCCAGTGGCGAGTCGACAGAGTCGACAGAGGCCACAATGACCTCAGCATCTCGCTTTCGTTTACGGTCAGCAGCGCCATCAGGCGACTCCTCTTCCATATCACTTAAAACAATATCTTCTGCAGTGGCCTCTTGGTCTTGAGAAGAGTCTGGGCTCTCGCCAGGCTTGTCTGCTCCAGAGGCCGACTTGCCATTAGTAGTAGCCTGCTCACTGCCTGCGCTCCTCTGCGCGGTCTCAGATGTCCTCTTTCTATGATGCGCTTCGTACTTGGAAACCGCACGATCCAAAAAGTCCTTGACGTATTTCTTAATGTTTCGCTCCTGTTTTTCGGTGAGGGGCGCGGCAGGGTCGCTGACACGGTTGTTCTTGTAATCAGATGCCACCAACTTCTTTGCAACATCCTTTCCAAGCCTCTTCAATTCATCCTTGGGAAGCTTATGCCGAAACTTGTCCAACACGTGCTTCACAGGAGGATATACCTATTCAACATTCTTGTCAGCCTTGGCTCTGCGGCAGGAAAGGTAAAAATTTGAAATCGGAATGATACCAAGACATGCAGGGAATATTGTGGAATGACATACTGTGTGTTCGTAGAGTTTCATTTGCTTCTCGACTGGCAGAGCCCGCCACTTATCTTTTCTGGACTCCTTTGGAGAGGCTTCGGCTGGTGCCGGGGTCTGCGAAGCCGGCTGTTTCGGCGTGCCCTCTTTGGTCACCTTGTCAATGATGCTCTGAATAAGAAGCTGTTCTTGGATGGCCTTGGATGGAGCTTTCGGTGTCTGCTCCGCCGCCGGCTGCGTTGGCCGTTCCCAAGTTGATTTGCCTTGCTTGTTGTAAAAGTACGTGTTACCATTCGCATCCTTTGCGGTAAACCAACCTACGGGCAGGGCATTGTGGAACGGTCTACGTTGACGATGGCCATTGTTGAAAAATGAGTTATTCCTTTGCGGCACATTGCTTCGCGGTCCCTTGGGAGCGTCAATGGGTCGTGGAGAGGCAGTCTTGGGGGTCGATTGAGAGCCCGCAGCCGCAGCCGCAGCCGCCTCCTCTTCTCGAGCCTGCCCTCTTCGCTCCTCAAAGATGGCTGTGGTTGCCGGTGCATTGGGGTCAACTTTGCGCCTTCGTATCCGGTAGGCGACCTCGAGTTTGCTCCACTCGTCAAGCAGTTTCTTGGACTGGGAAGAGACATCTTCATGCTCGGATTGACAAAGAGATTGGATCGTCACCTCAATATTGGAGTCTTGAATCTTATTCCTCGTTAGTCTTGGGAACTTGTCCAAGATGGCCAAAACTTGTAAGACGACATTGCGATCATCGATGAATGTGTTGAGGGTTGTTTTGAGGATTTGGTATGCGTGCATGCGCATCACGGAATGAATAACGCGCTCTTCGTCACAGCGTTGAATACGCTCGAGCAGCTTGACGGCAATCCACTTCTCCTTGCATTGCATCAACGTAGCCATGACCTTGCGAGCATCGTCATCATCCAAGCTTCGAGGCTGTATGCTGTTGACATACTCCTCGTCGTCCTCATCGGGACGCTTCTTCCGAGGCTTCTTGGGGACATGGGTATCCCAGCCGTCGGTAGCATCGATACCCAGAGCCTCGACGGTGGCAGTAGGCAGTTTGGTGGCGCGCTCTGTCTGCGTTTTCCCTCCAATGAAGCCAACGCAGTTTGTTTCTCCGCAATAACAGGGCTGAGGCTCCGCGCCGTAGCGATCGACATTGTAATTGAACACGAGCTCTTCGCCCGCCTGAATCTTGCGCAGAGCAAAAATACCCATGCGAAGCTTGTCGCCGACGACCCATTTGTCCACAAAACAGTTGGGATTGCACGAGTGGTTGCAAAACCGACCTAGATTTCCCTTTTTCGTGGCGTCTACAAACTCGTTTTTGTTGAGCGACATGAAGTAAAAGTGCTTGATGCCCTCGTCGTCATACTGAAGCATGCGCCGCCGAAACGTCGGTTCGTTGATGACCTCGCCGATGTACTCGTAGATGAAATCATTGGGCTCGAGCATGGCGTTGGCGCGAAGGCCGAAGCCCTTCTTCTCCGTCTTGATCACCGTCACGTCTGCATACTGCTTGCGCTGAAAGCGCCGGTTCTGGCAACCGCCGCCACAGTTTCCTGCATTAGCGCTACACTCCATCTTGGTCGCACGGTTGATGCAGTCCGACTCCTCGCCACAAGCAAAATTTTCGCCATCCCCTGCTTCGTAGTCAGCAAAACAATGGGGAACAAGATGAGGCTGTCCTATGATGCAGAAGACCACGGACGAAAAGAGAAAGGGGGTTCAGGCACAGAGAAAGGGGAGGAGGGACGGCCATGACATACGCCATTCTTCTCTGCAGTCGCAGTCCAGGGAGTCGTTGTCGGTTGAGCCCAGATTCCTCGATCCATAGAGACAGTCAGGAATAACCTGGAAAGTTGTGCACGACTCCTCGGTTACGCCTGGGAGGTGGGAATATAGCGGGACCTCGCGAGCGGGCGGCTTCTGGGACGACTTGCGCGACAACCGCGCAGGCCTGGTGGTCGAGCTGGGGGTGCCGACGCTCTCGCTCTGCGATTTTGTGCCGTCCACGGAGCTTGGCGAGGGGGCCTCGCTGTTGCGAAGCTTGGGGGTCGAGGTCGAGCCTCTCGCGGCGGATTCCAAGTGCGCGCCGTTCTCGACGGCGTCCTCGAGCTTCACCTTTTCCATTCTGCTCGTTGTGTTCTCGTCATCCTCCATTTGACGGCCTACCTGGTCTGCAGTGTGGAAGCGAGGAAAGCGAGGGATGCAGCAGTTGCTCCTCTGCCAAGGCAAGGGGAAAAAAACAGCCGGATTCAAGGGTGAGAGGTTGCTCAGAAGGGCGTCGCGGTGGCTGTCTTTTTTTTTTTTTTTTCCTCTTTTCCCTTAGAAGATACGCGCAGGGCAGGGTGCCGCGTGCGGAAAGCGAATTAGTAGAGATTGGGTAGAAACGCGAGGGTGGCGGAGAAGCGAATGCATTAAAGGACCGGCTGCTTCAAGATTCGCATCGGCAGTCGAGGGCTGGCAGGCTGGAATGAAAACAAAGCAGAAGCTTTTCGAAGTCGGGTTTGCACCTCTCGCCTCGAGCCAGAGAGGCGTCCCAACTAAGCTGGCCGTCCAGACCCTGGCAGTCGGAGTTAGAGGTACCGGTAGCGGTGCCAGCGGATTTTCTTAGGGCCGGCGCGCCGAATTTAGAACCACCAGGGGGGACTCAGCTGCCGCTTTTTGTGGTGGCCCTTTGCGTCGAGATGAAGAGGAAGCATCAAATGTATACACGTATGTTTCTTCTTCTTCTTTTCTTCCATTGATTCGTCCAGATGCAGACACCGCGGCATTTGCAGCCTAGGCCGTGCATGTAGCTAATGGAACCATCACGCGTAAATGGCAGCATTGAGGTGCAGATGGAAAGGAAAAGTGCATTACTTAGGCAGACGAGAAGAGACACATCCATTTCTTGCTGCTGCTAAATGTGTAAGTACTAGAAGTAGTGACCCAGATTGGAAATTACGGATATTATACAGAGCACACACTTGCAATAGGCATGGTGGTTATATCGAGCCGCAGATCTCCCCAAAACGAAATCAAATGCACTTGGTGCACAGTATTAGGCTCTAATTTGAATTCAGCATGCTGCAAGGCAAGTTCTAGAAAAAGGTTCGCTCAGCTGCAAGAACAGATTGAGCCAAGCTGTGACATACAGTGCATGGACCAATGGCAGCATCTTGGGCTCAGACATTTGGCGCCAGGCCGTGAAAGCCGTTTAGCGCCCTCGCAAGGGGGGAACCAAGATGAGTTGGCAAGGTTGGATGTCGTCAGAAGCACAGCACAGGTCCCCAAGCGAGGACAATGCGTGCAGTATTAGCCTTGCTTGTGGTGGCATTGAGCAGCTGGCGAGACTTGGCCTCAGCCTTACTGCTCAACCGCCAAAGGTGTCTCGGGCAGCCAGGCACAAGCGGCCTGACTGATTCACTTACACCAGACAGACTCTGTCCGCCTCCAGCCCGCATGCCTTGCCGGTCACAACCCGCTATTCTCGTGCCACATGAGTGGGATGCAGTTGAGTGAATAGTCCTGCACAGATCAGGGCTAATTGATCGTGGGCCACCATCTAGAAGTCTATGACAGGATAGTCGCAGAGTCGCATCTTGACCGCCACTTCAAAAGGGTGCTTACCCCAAAGGTGGTCAACACCGGCGTTGCCGTCTCTCAGAAAGGAACCCAAACCCAACAGCCTTGGAAGCGCATGGGAAATATTGCTTAGCGTTCCGGCTGATATGCAGATTGGTAAAAGGCAGCTGAGAGAAAGAAGGAAGAAGGGGAAAAAAAAATCAGCACGAAATTGGCCGGCAAACGGAAGCGGTTTGCTGCCAGCGAATTACATGTAGAGGTTCAACCCCAGGTTTGGCCATGCAAGCGTTTGTTGCTGCGGCCACGTGGCGACGTAACAGAAAGGCAGGCATTGAAAGTGGTACGACCATGTTGAATTCGAAAAGATGCGATTGGGAGATGGACATGATTCATCAACCAAGGGGAGCCCATCCCGGAAAAAAGGAAATAACGAAGCAGTCTTGCAAGGCCAGGTAGGGAAGCATCACTGCTCGAGTGTCTACCGCCTTTGCGCAAGATTTTTTTTTTTTTATGATGTGTTGTACATGAGTGGGTCTTGTGGGTGCCAGCTCATTATGCATGAGGTATTGGCCGCAATAAGGAACCGGTTCATGTTGAAATAGCGAGCCTATATAAGAGGCAGGATCCGATGGTTTAGTCCAGGTAGTCTTTGTGTCGTCGACCGAGCGGTGGCAGAAAGAAAATGAAGCAATTGCCAGAGGTGAGGCCGCGATGCTTTCGCCTCGCTTCATGGTTCGTCTGAGTCGCGGCTAACGGGACGGGGACGCCACCGTCCAAGAATATCCCTTCTTCCCATTTGTGCAGCCAGCCATACTCGCCAGTCACTTGTGACGAACCTTGTGTGGATTGCGCTGCGGCAGAGGCATCTGACAAGAGCGCAGAGCGCGGCATGATTGGTGCGGCGCCGCCCAGTGGTCTTGTGGCCATCCAATCTGCTCTTGAGCAGCCGCAGAGCCAGTGGGCCAATGGGCGAATAGCAGTCAGCTCGATGCCGTGCTGCATCACGCGCGCAACAGACGTCGTTTTTACTAACTCGAAACCTCTTTCCGGAGCCTTGCTCTGCAGCATGTACTATCGTGCGCGCACAAGATTCACGGAGCGAATGGCCGCCGCGATGCATATCTGGTGCGATGCGGCCACTTGAGCGGCCACCCCCACCATTGCTCAGCAAGCAAGCAGGCAGGATGGAGTCAGTCAGCCAGACGGGCAGGAAACGAGCGCAGAACAGGACGACGGATGACACGAGAGCCAAGACACAACAATGAGAGAAAAAAAAGCGAGCTTGCCGCTTCTGGTGCTGAGGGACGGACGTCAACGCAAGACAGTCAGGCGGGCGATGGCCGGCGTGGGATTGGCCGATTGAGCGCAACCAGGTCCGCCGCGATGCAGCTGCACGTCAGGTATGGCCACACCCATTCGACGAGAGATGCTTGACGGCGTCTGGAGCGTCGGCTGTGTGTCGCATCGCCTAGGCATGGTAGCGCGCAGCAAATCGGATGGCGCCGTGGCCTGGCCTCGTTCAGCACCCGAGCCTGCTGGGGTCCATCGACAGCACCAACCCAACAGGACGACCAAGGGCCTCCTCGGTAGTTGGCGGTACTGGCCAAGATGGTTCGCGCACCGCTATATTAATTCCATGGCGATCTGAGGGTTGTGCCGCCGGCTGGTGGAGGGGAGGCGGGACGAGGCAAGCAGTACCAGCATGATATGATGATATGATACATGCGACAGGATGGATGGTGGATGGTGGAGGGCATCAGATGGATGGGACGAGGTTGAGCCCTTTTGCCTCGTTGTGCACTGCACGGTTTGGCAGCGCCAGGGCGAGGGAGAGATCCAGAGCCACGACTTTCACCGAAGTTGCCATGCCCTGGTACGACGGGCCATACAAAGGCCGCCTTGGACGACGTATCTGCGAGAGGACCCGCCTAGCCGCCTGCGTGCGGACGACGAATGAAACCTTGGTCATGCCGCAGACCAGGCAGTGACTTGCGAGGTACCGCTGCTGGGGACGAGATGGCGGGCGATGACGATGGTGCTGGGCCATGGCGATCGCGAGATGCGGTACGATTGCGGCTGCGGCCACGGGTTGTGTCGTATCGTATCTTGTCGTGTCGTCGTGTTGTTGTTGTTGCTGGTGGTGTTGCTGATGCTGATGCTGCCGCTGTGCTGCTGAAAGCGCTGGCGTTGGCTGGCGTTTTTGTTGCTGGACCCATGTTGAGATGGGTCGGTACAGCCAGCCTGGAGACAACTTGAACTCCAAGGCCCTCGCGGCAAAGTACCTGCCGACGCTCGTTTTCTCTCCCACGACGCAAGTACCTCGAGCCAGGGCGCCATCGCCCCGTGGCCTCCCTGTCGCTCTGGTACCCGTGCCACCGCAAGGCCCGCTCCCGGCTAAACAGGCGCCCGTCCGCATGGCTAAGGCGCATCCATTTCACTAGACACGGCCGTCTCACTAAACGGAGCGTTCCATCGAGGACAAAGTCGAGAAAAGGGCCTGTCCTGTCTGGGCTCGGCTCTTGGAAACAGAGCAAAAGAAGGGAATCGTCTTGCCGTTCTTCTCTCGTCGTCGTTTCTTTTCTTTTGCAGCTCTATATACACACATGTGCAGATGCAGATGCAAGCATGTATGTGCAAGCACCTACAAGCATGTACGGGTATACGCCACTCCGCCATGCTCGACCCAGCTGTACAGGTGCCGCTCCTCACGGAATAGCATCAGCTACTGGTACTAACCCAGGTATTAGTCCTGGTCCGGGGCCCTCCCACTCCACCCTCAAGGATCAACCCCCCTCCCTCGCCGTCTATGCGAGACAGCGGTACGCTCAAAGCAGGCCTTTCAGGCCTAGCAGACGGTCCGGAAGCAGCAACGGCGACGCGGCTCCCCATCCATCTAACGATGCGCTGCAGCTCCCCGGCAAGGCCTGGCAGACCTCAGCAGGCATGCGAGTCGCAGAATTGCCTACTCTGGCCGCGACTGGGCCAGACTGGATCAGACTGGATCAGCCAGACACGCCACTCACAGCGCCCTCAGCCAGGTTGCCGACGGCCCTCCATACATTAGCGTGCGGCGGCCTCTGGATCGTTAATGTTCTGTCAAATCGCCACTGCAGGGTGCCGTCATACCTCAATATCATGTGCGCACGTTGTACCGGCGAGTAGCTGGGCCAGAGCTGCGAGTCGTGGGTACAAAGTACATCCCGTGCAGTCTGTACATGCTGTGCGTCCAGATTCCTTGCTCCATGCTCCATTCGCGGACGATGCCACCAAGGCCGGCCAGGGGGGGTGGTCTGGCGGGCAATAATTTTTTTTTGTGTCTTGTTTGAATCCAGATCCAGCGGGCAACGATCATTCAGTCTTGGGAAAGGCGTCAGAGCCCGGAACTGACGCTCTTGCATGCATACAGCAACAACCCTTGCCTGCACGTCTTGGTACTAGCATCCTCGCAGTACCACCGGCTTGCGGGCTATACAGAGCGACGTGCGGCGCAGCAGGGCCTGTTGGATGTCTGTCCGGCTCTGTCGATAACAAACTGCCTCGCGGGCTCTCTTTGGCCACTCGCAACGGCTCCCCTGCTGCTCAGCTCTGCCAACCGCACCGCCAACCGCCCAGTAGCCGAGGAAGCACAGCAAGAGACGACAGAGAGGCAGCGAGAGACAGCGTCAGGTCAGGTCGGGCATCCTGTAGGATAGGATACTCGTATCCAGATCCAGATAGGCCTGCCTGTGCCTGTGCCTTGCCATTCGCCCCAGCCCACCGTGGCAACCTTTGCTCTGCTCTGCCCTGAGAAAAGAGCAAGAGACAGAGTCCTACGACGTCCAAGGGCTCCGGATTTCTTTCTAATTCCCGTCCTTTCTGTCCTTTTCAACACCCCCCCTCCGCCTTTTCCTCCCTCCTCCGTCTCTTTTCTCCTCCAGCATCTGTTCTCCTGCTCTTTTCTGCTCTCGTCACGACCACCACGGTTCCCAGCTCGCATCGGGTCATACATATCTAGGTAATCCGCAAATTCTCAGCGCCGGGGTTTCGACTGGACATAGCAGACATATTTCCTCCCGGCAAGGACAGCCCAGGCCTTATTTATCCATCCATCCCGGCAATCTGCACCCTTCTGGTCGTCCTTTGCATCTGCTCGCTTCATTGCCTGCAACAAGCGTGCTACTGCATGTCGCGGATCGACGCTGCACAAGCGGCGCCTCTCCATCTCCATTCTGCTTGTTTTTGTTTCTCCTCGAGACCCGTAGGAGCCCGCTCGTATTAGCCACGAGGTCCGTGGGAAAAGAAAAGCCGCGCGCCTGCCGGCCGGTGTTGTGCGTTTCTTGTTATTCGCGATAGTGGGCTCAAGACCACATCGACCGAGGATCCAGGCCCTCCACCACTGGAGCCGCGGAGCAACGCCCGCCTGCAGGGCATGCCGTTTTGGACGCAACTTGTTTCTCGACTAGCCTCTGGCCTGCGTTTCCCATTATTACTGGCTCTGCAGCATCTGCATCTACATCTGCCTGCTTGAGAGGGGTCTGTGGAGGAGTGGCTGCACAACCACCACCGTCAGCTTTATCTCGACCACGGCCGTGCTACGATACTCGCTCGCTTTCTACCTCTCAACGCTGCCGTTCTTGATAACTCGCCCCCGGCCGTGCTGCTTCGCCGAGGCCATTTCTTTGGTTTTCGTCTACTTCTTCTTTCTCTCGCCGGTAGTTTCAAGTCCTCCTCCTGTTTGCGGCGTCAATGTTTGTGCGAGCGCTGGCACCACGTCCTATTCTCCTTTGCTCCTTGCCTCTTTGACATATCACCACGCCACTTTTTTTTTCTCCAACAACCCCTCCTCCCAGAAACCATGGCTGCTTCTTTCAGCTTGGACGAAAAGGTTTGTTGAAAAAAATCTCTATTTCTATTGTGTATTTGCAAGAAGTCAAGTTTACTTTACTAATACGCTTTTGCTCAGCGATTTGTTCTCGCGGAGATGATCAAATGCAGTACCGTTGATGTCGAGATGTTGATACGATTTGTGGAGTCAAACGTGTCCGATCCCAACTGGATGACGATGCAAATCCCGTCAGGTACGGTGAATTAGATGATGCTGCATTCCTAGTTTGACCTTTTTACGATGCATCAGCATTCTAACTTGATTTCTAGGCCGCAATCTGGAACAGTGCATGCAAGTCGCGAACCGGTCACCGACAGCCCCAAACCACAGATCCGCAATGTCTCAAAATGATCATCTGGCCAACAGTGGTATGAATCATCCAAGACAGATTGCGCCGAGAACCAGTCCTGGTGGCCAAACCCCTGGGGCTATGCCAATGTCGCCCGTCAATATGCCTCCGTGGCCGCCAGCCGATGGTGTTGAGGATAGGCGAGCACTGCCCTACGAAGCTCCAAATGCTGCCCCTGCTCCCCGAAAGAGAGGGCGTCCTTCGCGAGTGGACAGAAGCACAGCTGTACCTCCTCGTCTTGCCAACATCGCCCCCAGACCTCCTCAGTCTGCTTCAGGCTCCAACACGCCTCGGCCTATTCTCCCGGCTATCCAGCGCCCAGCTGATACTGCTGCTCGAAGTTCTCAGCCGCCACCCCCCGCGCACGTCCCGCTACTGCTCGACTCTCCCCCGAGTAAGAAGAGGAGAAAGACGAGCGCAGGTGCGGTTTCAGTCTCCACCCCGCCTCCTCTCCCTGCTATTACCACACCTCCTGCGTCGGTGGATCATGAGAAACGACCGGTAAGTAGCCAAAAATAGCAAGCGCCTGTATGCTGGTCTAATTCACGGCGATAGCGAGAGCTGAGCGAGGCAAATACCATACACGTGCGTGAGAATATACGTGAGATGGGACAAGTACCATCCCCTCGCCCAATGCCACTGGAACCGGAGCCGCGGCATCATGCCTCCCTCATGCCTGTAGTAGCATCTACGGCATCATCTCAAATCAAAGCGTAAATAACAGTACTGGCCACAGCTTAGCACTCTCTTCTTTCAGGATTTCTGTCAAAAGGCCCAAATGGCTAGGTTAAAGGAACACCTATGGTGTGTGTTTGTTTCTACAATTCATGTTTCTTTCTTGGTAGTGTCACAACATTATACCCTTTCAACTTCTCCCACGATCCCCATTTCATGTACCTGCAAATTTTCTTCCTTTTACGCTTCTCTTTTCCTTCTTTACCTGTTCCTATTCCTGTTCCCTTTCCCTTTTGACTTTCCTTTACGATTTGTGTGGAGGTTGCTTTAGAGCATACTGGCGTTTTGTTACTACATTACCTGCGCGGTCGGCTGTTTGATATTTGGAAGCATCTATGTGCACATGGATTTGAATGAAAGTGATGATTCTAGGTTTTGAGAAACGAAACGAGCTAGGTAATCATGAATGACATGGCCTCGAAGCGGGGTGGCACCGTCTTCCCGCTTCTTTTCCCCTCTTCCATTTCTCTTCTTCTTTTCCGCCGTTTTTCTTTTCCTTTTCTTTTCTGTTCTTTTTTGCATCGCACAGGTAGATAGATTGAGGTGCTGTTGAACGGCATCTCATCCCATATTTTTCTTCTTAGGCAAGCCCACATTTTTGTATCACATGCTTAATCAACGATTTGAGTTGGTTTCTTCCTTTCTTCTAGCATATGGTATAAAGAGGATCTGAGGGTTGTACGATTTAGTACTGGTAGGTAGGTAGGTAGGTAGGTAGGTAGGCCTTTTGCTTAGATAGTTGTCTTTATGTATAGAGTTTATGTCTGGGTAAATGCGAGTGTTTGATATGTGCCTACCTATGCAAGCATTATGCAGCGACGAATAGTCCGTTTCGAGTTTTCTTCTTAGGGTATGACGAAACATTTCCCCGCGTTTTGATTGCACGGAAAAAAGAGTGAGAAACAAAACAAGCCATAGACCCATCCCTTCCCTTATGACGCGGGGGTTTCATTGGTGCTGCAACACGACCAAGGGAGGGGCAGGTTCAGGTCGTGATTCGTTATACGGCATTTTATTAAGTAACAAGGTAGGTACTTGAGCGCTGGGGTGCAAGGTGATGGTGGACAGAGGTAGATACATGTAGTTGTGTTGCGATCTAAAAATAGGTGGGCGGGTGTTAATCTATCTGATACCGATGTCGATGTTGCGGACTGGGGCTGGGTAACTACATGTATCTGCCTAGAGTGGTAGTAGTGATGGCTTTATGGAATGGCCTGGTTTGCGTTTGGGTTGTTATGTTGTCTGCTAGACAAGGTATGTGGGCATTATTAGCAGTAAATTGGGAATTGTAAAGAACGGGTGTTGGTGTTGTATTCTCCGCCATGAATATTCTTGGATATTCCGATTTTCATCTATGCGAGTACTTGGACATGTATCCATGGATGAATGTCTGTTCAATGAGTTGCATTAGCATCTCTCTCTAAAGCAGGTTTATTATAAAAGAGCACTGCAGCTTTTTAAAACTTTATTCGTTTTTGTATTTGAAACAAATCGCTAATTTACATCAAATTCTTCATAATTCTTTTTTAATCCTTTTTTTTTTAATTGCTTCTCCTTTCGTATCTTTACAAAGCCTTGACAATCTTCTCCAGAGCATCAACCAAGATATCGGCATGGTGCTCCTGGAACGTCAGCATGGGGCGCAGACGCACGGCGCTCGCACCGCTGCCGCCAATGTTGATGCCAAACTCCTTTGCCTTTGCGAGGAACTGGTCGCGCTTGGGGTTGTCAAAGGCGATGAAGGTGCCCTGGCCCTTGCCGCGCAGGTCCTTGAAGTGCTCGGGGTACTTCTTCTGTAGGCCCTCGAGCTTGGAGTAGAGGTAGTCGCCGACCTTTGCCGTGTGGTTGACGAGGTCGAAGCGCTCAATTTCGCCGACGATGGCGCGGAAGAGCAGGGCGCGGACGGGGTCGCCCATCCAGGTGTTGAACTGGCGGTAGGGCTTGTTGGGTCGCAGGGCCGGGTTGCCGTAGTAGAAACCGGCGGCCTGGGCCTTCTTGGAGAAGGTGACAATGTCCGGGGGGTCCTGCAGGTTCCAGTGGTCGTGGGCCCAGAACTTGCCGGTGGCGCCGACGCCCGTCTGGACCTCGTCGACGATGAGCAGCACGTTGTGCTTCTTGGTCAGCTCGCGCAGGCCGCGGAAGAAGTTGGGCGAGGCGTGGTTGTCGCCGCCCTCGCTCTGGATGGGCTCGACGATGACGGCGGCGGGCGGGATGTGCCACGTCTTGATCAGGTGCTCGACCTCGTCGAGGCTGGCCTGCTCGATCTTGGCGTTCTCCTCGGCGTGCTGGTCCAGAGGGTACTTGAGCAGGGGGAAGGTCGCCTGGGGCCAGTCAAAGGCGGGGATGTCGATCTTGTGGATGGGCTTGGAGCGGGTGGTGGAGAGCGTGCCGAACAGACGGCCGTGGAAGGCGGTCTTGAAGGACAGGATGGAGAGCGAGGAAGAGCCGGGCGACTGGTTGTTCATGGCGGAGTCGAGCTCCTCCTGGGTGAACTCGACGTCGGGGCCGCCGCGCTCCTGCTGTCGGCGGTAGATGAAGGCGGCCTTGAAGGCAGTCTCGTTGGCGTCGGAGCCGGCCATGGCGGTGAAGACGTTGTTGAGGCCCTTGGGGGCGACCTTGAGGATTCCCGTCTTGAGGATCTCGGCGTAGTCGTGGGAGGGGAAGTTGCCCAGCGCAGGCCGGTTGATGATGGCGTTGACCATGTCGGGCGTGGAGGCGGCCTTGGCCAGGGCGGGGTTGTTGTAGCCCACGGGGATGGAGGCAATCTGAGCGTAGCTGTACGGATTGGGCCATGCCGTGTTAGCAACGAAGCTGGAAGGATATCAATTGATGATACATTGATGCACTTACACGTCGAGGAGGTAGTTGCCATCGGGGTCGGAGATGTAGTTGCCAATGCTCTTGGTGTAGTCGGTCATCATGTTGATGCTGCGCGTATCAAAGACTTCGCTCAGCTCGGCAATCCGCTTGGCGCTCTGCGGTCCAGGAATGCTGGCCTTGAGCACAGGAGCGTCGGGCTCGCCCTGGACAAAGGCCTTGTTGGACGCCATTCTGATGGAGGCGCTGGAGAAGCAGCGGGCAGAGTTGAGGGAGGCGGCGTGGAGAGATCGGATGGCAGGGCGCAATGCCTGGGCAGCGCGTAGGGCAGGCATCTTGACGGCCGTCTTTTATATCTGGTCTTTATACGCCTGGGACTTTTGCGAGTTTTCTGTTATGTGTCGTGACTGATGTGCGTAGCGTCGGCTTGAAGCTCCGTTGGGCTTGCCTCCCTTTTTTCTCTCTTCTATTACCTAATTGAGACTGGAGATGCTTCACGCGCTTTCCCCTCACAGGACGTCACGCGAAGAGGCAAAAGGGACGAGAAGAGAAGAATAGTGTCGTCAACAGTCTCACCGTCTAGCTGCGTTGGTGCGTGCGACGTCGTGCTTTATATCAACGGATGGCGGCGGCTTATCTGCGGGGGGGCGCAATGCGGGGGAAGCTCCATTGGACGTGCTAGGATGAGGAGCTCAGGGGCGCTAGAGCACCATGACGGCCTAGACGGCGCTGCGGCGTCCACTGAAGGCCGCTGTGCATGGCCTGTTTGCTGCTCTGGCTGCTGCTGGACCGGCACCGAGCCGGAATCGGGGGAGCCGGTCGTGGAGCCGGTGCGCCTTTGGTGGCTGGGGCGGATCTGCCCTTTTTACGTTATTGGATCAATGAAGCTTTCTTGACAGGCAATTGCAGCGAGGGGATGGCCAAGTCGGGCAGGGGACCTAATCATCACCATTCCATGGTCTTCGGGTAATTGTTTCTGCGCCGTCGTGGCCTGCCCTGAATGTTCCTGTGATGATCTAGAAAAAGGTAGATTCATAACGCTCTTACACACTAAAAGGCACTAATCGTTCAAGATCCATATTCGTATATCAAAATTGGATTCGATATCCATCTTTTCCTCGTCTCCTCCTCCCCGACCTCGGCCCCCTCGCTGGCCAATTGATCAATTCCTTTGCATTCCCAGTGGCCTTTGAAGCGGCGCACCTGACCATGGCAACTCATGCACGAGAAGCCCGTTTGTCTTACGTTTTAGTTGGTCCAGGCGCATCGGGCTTGTCGCGAGAATCTCCCCACGTGGGGCTGTCCGTCTTTCCCCAATGCTGCGACTACTTGTATGACTATGACTTATCGGTGATGGAGCGCGTATTGGCTCGCTCGGCTTACTATGCGGAATGCAGCGTTAGTGCCATTGATCCAAGATAAGGCAATGGAGTGTAAGTTTGGCGTTTTGGAGACGATGCGACAGACAGGCTCACGCAGGCTGTCACATGCGTGCTTGGTCCATGTACAGTAGCATTTTGGGCGGCAATCCGAAAGGGGAAAGAAACAGAACGAATTTGCCCTTGTTTTTGTCCTTTGCATTACTAAACGTGCCATTCCAGTTGCCGGCCCGGCTCGCTGCTGTCTCTTCCGGGACTTTTCTTTTCAACGTGCCGTCTTCCGGCTTCCGGGCATGCATGAGTCTCCACGGAGGTTGTTTCGATGCTCGTTGAGATTCGACCTTGTTGCTATCTAATATCCAAGCATGCGGCCCAACATCCTTGAACACGCATCTAATATATTTATCATCTTATCTTAATCTCATTTACCAATTAATACCATCATCATCATTTAGTGATTCTTTTGTCATCATCTCACCAGCCTTAACCTAAGAGGCAGCGCTCATTGATGTATCCCCAGTTTCTCATCAACCACTTCAGCTGTGGCTTAATCAAGTCTTGGTCCACATAAAAGAAAACCCTTTTTATCTCGCAAAAACTCGACTTGAAATATTGGGAGAGTATCTTGTTTGATATGTTATACTATTCTACAGTAAGAAAAGCAAAGTTGAGTATTGCCTGGATGTATGAGAGTTGACCCCTGGTCTAGTAGAATCCTAGGAACCATAGTTTGCTGCTCCTACTGTAGAGAAGTCTGCATATTAAGAAATGTACAACACTTAATAAGCGGAGCAAGCAGATATGCTCATGTTATTGGAAATAGTTACAGAATGCTGGATAGTGAAATAATGTGCGGAATAGCAATTTCCATATCAAGTCATGTTGACCACATGCGTGCCAACCAAACAACATATTTACATTCAAATAATTTCCATCTTCTCCTTTTCCCATGTTCATCTCGAGACTGAGCGAGAGCATCAACCGCGAGCCCGTCAGCCTCCCTATTCTCCTCCTGCTCGACACACCAAAACATGGCATTCGTGCTCCTGTCCACCCCATCCACATAGCCCATGTCCTCCAATTGCTCCTCAATCTCCATGAGCAACTCGGAAAACACCACCTTCTCTGCGGCCCGGCGATGGACGAGGCGAGGAAACACCCGCCGGATATACGACGAGTGCGTCTTGATAACACACCTCCGCGGTTGGTAGTCGCCGGAGATGATTTTGGCCTTGATGATGCTCAAGGCCTGTCGCAGAGCCTCCATCTCAGCCCTGGCCTTTGTCTGCGGAAGAGCAGGATCCAGGAGGGCGCTCGCGTTATAGGGCGATTCAGGGCCAAAGTAGACGCCCCAGGCTGCTCGAGCCCCGGGGGTCCCAGGGTTTCGGCAGGTACCCCCAATGGACAGGACGAGGCTGTTGGACTGGGTGTCCTGCTCCTGGATCTTCAGGACGCCTTTGCTGGCATTGTAGACAAGGAGCTTGTCGTTTGGGATGTGGCGATGAAGGGATTCGTACGCAGGGTTGAACTTGCGGCCGGGAATCTCGAATTCGCCACCTCGACGTCGATAACTGGTGTATGGAGGCATTGTCTTGCTGTGTAGTCCCACTGCCTTTGCCTTTGTATTGGAACGCTTTACGGATCTTTGTATCGGACAGCGTGCCGGAAACAAAGAAACGGCTTAACAGGGGAGTGATTACAGTGAAAGAGGAAGCTATACGAGAAAGAAACGAAACTGAAGCTGCATAATGGAAGTGTAGATCTCCATATATACCCATTCGAATAGCATTAGAGTTCCCCAGCAATCAAGGTTGAACGGGACCTGAGTACGTGTACGAAGAACATATACTTTGTGGCTACCAAGTCTGCAAACATCTCGCCAGCTTTGCCGTCCAAAACTTGGACATTTGAAAAGTTAACGAGAAAATCTAACTTTTCTCCTAAAGAAAAAGACCGAATCAATGAACCTACACTTGATTCTTTCGTCTTACCGATGCGATACTTGACTCTCTTACTTTACTATAGAAAAAAATCCCTCGCCCTGGCTGGCTGTTTTCGTGTTTTAACGAACCATAATTGCGCGAACAATCTTTGAATCCCATCTCCACCACCTCGAGCCCATGTTCCTGGTCCATCCACGCAAGCTGCCAAGCCGCCTCGCTTTCTCCTAGAAATTGATGTTTCCAAGTAGGAAAGAATAACGACTCACGTTGTCCATGATTACAGATCAGTCTTAAGCAGTGTATATCTCCCTGCTAGAGCGGAAGGGGCATTGTACGGAACTGAGAACCATGTCGTCGCCGAATCGGTCCTACAACTATTCGATTGGTAAATCTTAGCCAGTGCATCAGGAACGCTATAAGGAATATGCCTATCTTTGTCACTATCAATAGACTTTAAGCTAGAAGCTGTGGATAGAGTCCAAGGCTAAAGCGTACCTATGCGGCCATAGTGAGCTAATACTATCTGGAATTTCGTCGAGTGAGGGCAAAACCTCATTATCTATCATCATCGTGCCGCCACTCACTGCGAGGTTTATGTGTGAATTAGGAGCATAGTTTCTACATGGAGGCGTAAGCCGCCGAGGCGGTTGCGTCGCATTATAGGCCTTAGGATAAGAGTAGCATATAGGTATTTAAATCTTCACATATACCTGATGAATAAAATCCACTTACTCTATGATAAGCACTTTTCCGGTGCTAATCGTTCGTCTTCGAGTCGAATAGGCGCCTTCGTTCTTTAAGAGAAAAAGTTATTCGGCACCCCAATTCTGTTATCCAGCACTCAAGCTATAGCATCCATCAAGTAGGCTATCAAGGTCCTACTGCTGCTATCAAGGTACTACTGCTACTACTGCTACTATGCTATTTTTAAACGTGTTTAGCAGTTGTGTTAAATATGTGGACTGGCTGCCTTATTGAGCTACAGCTGGTGTGCTAATGAAATTGAGGCGCTGGATAACTTCTCCCTTCTTCCAGGTTTTTGCCGTAGCACTCCGCTCCAATGACTCGACACACAAAGCTAATAATCAAATTTTAATCACAGGCAAAAAAGAGACGCATATAGATGCTAAAAAATGATAGCCATGACGCAATTCTACCAATCTTATTGCCAAAATAAATCGCCGCCAAAAGCCCGAGGCAAACGCAGCTATGCAGAGATGATGCTTTCGTCCACTCCAAGAAAAAAAAAGAAAAGAGAAAAATAGAACAAATTCTGTTGCCATGCTTATAACATGCAGTAATCCGCCAAAGAAACAATACAAGCCAACATCCTTGCTGTGTCTGCGTGAAGAGCATAATAAAATCCAAAAGGGCGTAGACCAACGATATCCAAGTCGGTCACGGGCCCAAGCCAAATGCGCCAAGTGTATGCAAAACTAAAACCTTCACAATGCCGACAATTTCCACTGCCATAACTCTGAACGGGCAAACCTTTGCCTCTATGCTTTACAATGTCTAGCCGCCCCATAGGGCCGCAAATAGGTCACATCTCTTAATGACCACCTTGCTTGTCTTCTAATTCTCGTGTGTATTTGACAAACGTCTTCTTGTGGATCTAAAACGCGACGGATATTCAGCACTGTATGATTTGAAACGAATATCAAACTTTGAAAGGGGTAGAATAGCCATTACTTACCATGCCAGCATATTTGCCGTCCCTCAAGACACAAATGTACCGCAAACCTAGCTTGACAAAACATTCCCACGCCAAATCAATCGGCGATCGAATATCTAGTGCAACAGGTGCCTATATTTTTTGTTAGTTAGAGCCTCTGCCTCATTTCTCCGCCAGAAAATATTATCAACGACTGCTTACAGGATCAATATATTGGGTGAAATCTGTAGGATCGGGCCCAACAATGTCGTCATCTTCGTCAAAGCTTTGAACCTGGTCCATCAAGCAGTGACTGGAGCCTTCGTCTTGCAACTGGTCCAAGGCATATTGGAGATCCGGCGCAGGTATAAGACCTACCAAGACATTGTCTCTCAGGATGGGCAACCCGCCATCCAGTTCGCCGTGGAGATGGAGGATCTCCAGCTGGCTGCGGAGACTTGAAGCAGGAACCGATGGCGAGTTCGTAATATCAATTATTCTCTCTCTCCGGTAGCGGCGGACCAGATCCGACAAGTCGCCGCTGAAGATGGGCTTGTCCTTATTATTGAGGAACGGGTATGCATTCATGTTTGTAAGAAGGTCCTATTGCTTGAAATTAGAGGATTGCTTTCTGTTAATCACCTCGTCACGCTTCACTTACGTAGATACTGCACGGCTCAATGGCATCTGCTGTCCATTTGGCCACAAGGATCGATAGGGAAAAGGGCAGAACATAGTCGAGACTTCCAGTGAGCTCGAACAGAATGACAGCCAGAGTCACAGACAAACGTGTTACTCCACACATGGTTGCACCGGCAGCGATGAGACCATAAACTCCGGGCTGGATACACGTTCCATCCGCTGCGGTTGCACAGCCGCCCCAAACACTCCATTCAGGGGTGGCAAGCACCAACCACTGCGCAAGGTGTCCCACAATCCGTCCCATTAAACCTCCGACAACCATGGAGGGGATATAGATACCGGCAGGAACTTTCTGCTCAAGGGTTAGTATGCCACCTCAGGGCTGCTAAAGGTAATACGGATAATACATACAATTCCAAATGCAATGACAGTCAAGAAACCCTTGATTAAGAAGGCAAGAATGAGCGTCGAGAGAATTGAGGGTATGTCATCCATCGACCTCGGGCAAAGCCCCAGGCCATCGATTCTTGTGCGATCGCACGGAGAAGCCAAGTTGAGGAGCAATTTTTGAACGGAAACTTTGGTCAATGGGTTCCAATAGCTCAGCAGGCCAGTGACAACAGCTACGAGAAACACCTCCAGCATTGGATACGCCTTGATAACCCTGATTCGACGGAACGACTGTGCCCAATACTTGGATGCTTTGATGAAGAGGGCTCCCATGGCGCCTCCAACAACGCCGACAAAGATGAAAGATCCCAGTTCAAAGTACTCCCAATCAATCAGGTACCGAATCTCAAACATGACGATTTTGTGAGTGCCATAAGGATTCAAGAACTTGAGAGAAAGCGCGGCGATGATACAGGCGAAGAATGTTCGAAAGAGCGTTTTAGCCGGGAAGAAGTATGACACTTCCTCTAGCCCAAATAGCACTCCTCCTAGAGGTGCGCCAAAGGCCACGGCTACACCAGCCGCCGCGGCGGCAGAGAGAACCTCACGCCTCTTGGCATCATTGCGATCGTATTTTGCAAAAAGACGACACGCAATGTTACCAACACAAGTGGCCATATGGACAAACGGGCCTTCCTTACCGATGCTTAATCCCGAAGAGACGCTCAAAATCAGCGACACCATCTTGAAAATCAACGTCCTTAGGCCAAGGAAGCCGTGAAGAACGAAGCCGCTGAGAATGACTCGAACCTCGGCGACACCACTTCCTGCTGCTGAGTAGTAGACCATGGGAGGATTGGCTGGCTTCCTATCAACCACCTGTCGAGGACTGGCACTTTCATCGCCAGGGCTTTCATCCGGCACAGGGTGAGCGCTCTCGGCAGCAAGATTTTCGTCCAAGGTGGTCAAGCGATAAGCTGAGGGAACGACAGTCTTTGTCCACAAGGCCACCCAACAAGAGGCGCAGGCAAGGAGAACGACGCCTCCGACATAAAACAGAAAGTCCGTCCACTTCTCTCCAAAGGGGTGATAACTCAGTGCCTGGGACCAAGTCTTCCATTCTTCACATTCGGTGCGCCCTCTAGGACAGCATCTCTAGACGGTCTATTAGTAAAAGGAGTCAAAGGCCTCTCTTCCCTGAGAGAAACAAGATGCTTCTACCTACTTTTTCGTCAAAATACCAGGCCTTGGTGCAATAACCGTCCTTGTAATCAAACACAACAGACTCGGCTACATCGACCGTATATGCTATCAAGGCAATAACGCAGCCGCAGAGAGCGCTGAGAATCCAGCCCTGACTACCGTCTACGGTCTTTAGGACACGGCCCCAGAAATCCTTTCTGCTGCGAAGCCCCCTCGCGCGGTAGGAGTCGGCAATCGTATCGTGCACCCAGTCGGTGCTTGTAAACTGATCGTACCATACTCGCTCGTCGGGGAAGATGGAGCCTTTGGACTCTGACATGGATCGCTCTGTGAAGACGTTGACTATGCGCTGTCCCCAAGAAGAGCGGCGGCTGTGGTGTCGGGCGCTCGGACTGCCTTCTGCACTCGTCGATGGACGTTAGCGGTTGATTTCAAGTACCGGTAGCAAGAGACATCAAATGCTCCATACCCGAGTAGCTCTGGTCGCGGGACAAGTTGGGACGGCCTGGCGAAGCAGCCCCGCCGTGGATTCGCATGTGTGATCGAGAGGTGTTTAAGAGCAGCGGAGCGCGCTCGTCGTCGTTTGCCGAGTTCTGGCGACGCATGGGATGTGGCCGGCGCGAGAGGCGGGGAGAGGCCGGCTGCGACATCGACCCGTAGCCGTCTCGTTCGGCCATTGCGGAGGAGATGCGAGAAGAGGCTCTGAGATGATAACGGCGGATGGCTGCTGCAGTAAGGAGGAGCAAATGTTATATGATGAAGGGCCTCTGGATGTGGTAAGTGTGGATGGGGCTGTGGGCTATCAGGGTGGTATGCATTAGCATGAGACAGGTCATTTGGGGCCTCGGATCGGCTTTGGCTCGGGGATGGTGCGGCGACTTGGGGCGTTTACATGGAGCAAGAGGGCTGCTGCTGGCTGGCAGGAGACAGAGTCACGTTGGAGTATTGTTGGATGGTGGTCTAGTTCCCCAGACCAACAAGAAAAGGGGATGAAATGAACAATGGATGGCGTTTGCAAGGCTGAACGCTGCAGTCTACATGGCGCATTGCCTAGCTCTAGCTCCAAGTCTGGGGTCGCCTGGGGCTAGCGCTAGCCTCAACGTCTGACCCGGTATAGCCACTGAACGGCACCTACGAGGCCACAGCACAGCGCGGTATAGGCCAGTGGCTGTCAGGTGAGCCGCTTTGATGGCGGTCGAGTCGAGCCATGACGCCAATGGCGGGCGGGATCCCAGCCAAGATGGAGCTTTGCGGGCATCTTAGGTACAGACAGACAGAATAGCAGCACTCTGTGGAATTACCAGCAAAAGATTTTGTTCTACAAACATTCCGTGCTGCCTTGTCCTTATCTGCAGACATGCGCCGTAGCCGGCTCGGTAATTCGGAACCAAGCATGGTCCGCTAAGGCATGCAGAGCCGATGGTGATGTATTGCATCCAAGGGTCCCGGGAAAGCATCGGATGGGCTGCAGCATCCATGTAGGACCCTTGGCATTTCATCATCCGGCATGCATCGTCGGCGAGCAGCCTTGCAGTTCTGCACTGCACACTTGATTGGCTGTATACTGATACGAAGCAGACGCTGGAGAAAGAGGGTGCTGAGCAAGATCCGTATAATCAAAAAAGTAGCCATCGCAGATCGAATGCATAACCCTACGTATGCGCATACTTCTACGCCAAAGCAATACGATCAGCGCTGCAAAGTAGGGAGATTAATAACTCTTATCAGCACATCATCTGCCGTTGCGTGCCCATCACTTTGCCCCCTCTTGTCTTTTTGATAGCGGCTTGGTAATTTACTAGTGCTATCACAAGAGCAAGTTGGCGGGCAACCTCAATTTTGGGCTGGAAAGCGCGGCATAGCGCATTCGCACATTGGCTAATCCACATAAGCATATCTGATCCATGCAATACTCCTACCTAGGTGATTTCTAGAAATTTGTCACTTAGTATATATGAGAGGAATGATTTTCCGTCAAGCTTTGATTGCTCCTAACCAAATGCATGGTCCTATTCCAGGAATATTGCCACTTGTAATCATTGCCTCCCGGCTTTGGGCTGCTTGTTGTCGCAGCCATTTTCTGCAGGCGATCACGATTCGCCATTCTACCAGCCACTCCCATTAGTAGCAGCCTAGAGGGTAGCATTAGGTAGGATATACACAACAGTGCAAGGAGCTGTAGGCTACATGTGATACTACGCAGTGCGGACACCCTCAGATTACAATTTCAGTATTTCCATGGGAACAAAAATGTCTTGATGTGGAATCTCTCGCATCTGAGCAGAAACCGCTTACTACCGTATCTTGCGTCTCGCTTGGCAGAAGCTGCAGGCCATCTTACTGGACTGTGGCAGCTACAGGCAACCAGGCGAGCGCTAACAGTGGCGGACGCAACGTATCTCCGGCGCATTAAGCCGTACCTTAACGCCAAGGGTGGACGAAAAATTCTTATCTTATCAGCCAGGAAAATTTCATGCTCCATCGAAAAGTTCCAAGCCAAAGAGCGCCATAGCGACCCGTCTCGACCAGTTTTCTCAGACGACGCTCCTAATCCAGTCGTCCAACTTGTGCTTTGTTTTACACCGCCGCGCGAATTGAACCATTTAATTCACCAAACTACACAAATTCAGCCATGGCAAAGAAGAGAAAGGCCTCTCGGCACGCCGCCGAGTCCAGTGGGCCAAAGGAGCTGGACCCTGCGGACGCTCGCCTCAAAGTCAATACATACGAAGATGTGGCCAACTCAGAGGACGAATTCCTCATGAACCGGGATACAATCATGCTTGACGATGAGCCCAACATGAAGCGCAGGAGAAAAGAAGACGAGGAGATTGATTTTTCAGACGAGGAGGTGTTTGGTTACGAGAACGGGGACTCAAATAAAAAGGCCCGGCCGAGTAAATCAAAACGAAAAGCCGCGCAAGACTACTCAGATGATGAAGCGGATAAAGCCAATCCAGAAGAGGACGAGGAAGAGGGATGGTGGGGTGCATCTAAGAAGGAGTACTACAATGCCGACAATATCGAAACAGAGGCGGATGCGTTGGAGGAGGAAACCGAAGCGAAGAGAATACAGCAAAAGAAGTTGGCCAAGATGGCTGAAGAGGATTTCATCTTCGACGGAGATGAGTGGCTGACAGGCGAGCAAGAAGAAAAGGAAGGCGCAGAAACAGTGACCGAGGTCCTTAAAGAGGTCGAGGTGACTGATGACATGAGCACCGAGGAACGACTGAAGCTGTTATCTGCTCGATACCCCGAATTCGACTATCTCGTCAAAGATTTCCAAGACCTGCAGCCACAGCTGGATATTCTGAGGGCAGACGCCAAAGCCTCTGCCCCCAAGTCTCTAGCTGCCATCAAGTACTGGGTGCTTGGGTGCTATGTTGCTTCGCTAGCCAGCTACTTGGCCATCCTAACATCTCCAGCCCGCGACGCGGCCAAGGCACAAAGAACTATCGATCCTGCCGAGCTGCGTGAACACGATGTGATGGAAACTCTTATCCAGTGCCGCGAGGCATGGGAGCGTGTCAAGGACATGCGATCCCTCAAGACATCCGAGGAGTCATTGGCACAAGATGCTGACTCTATTCTTCAGTTGAACGGAGATGAATTAGCTGCCCAGACTAAGAAGAAGTCCAAGAAGTCAAGAGAGGCGGATGCTGCTGCTGCGGCGAAGAAGGCGAAGAAGCTGGCAAAGGCCAAGGCAATCGAGGAGACAGTTGCTGATCTTTATGACTTGCCCATCAACACAAAGTCAAAAGCAAAGAAGAAGGATCAGACAAACAATGCTCATGACGACGATAGCTCAGACTTTGGTGAAGAGGAGGCTCTGGACGCTCGCGCAGCAGCTGACAAGGCAGCGCGCAAGAAGAGCTTGAAGTTCTACACCTCCCAGATTGTGCAAAAGGCCAACCGCCGCGCTGGTGCTGGTCGCGATGCAGGTGGTGATATGGATATTCCTCACCGCGAGCGCTTACGAGACCGCCAATCACGTCTCCTGGCTGAGGCTGAAAAGCGAGGCAAGAGAGATTCCAAGCTCGGCGCGAACCTCGGCGAGGACAGTGACGAAGAGGATTCCAAGACCGCCAACGCGGTGCGCGATGATGAAGACGACTATTACGACATGGTAGCAAACGCTTCCAAGGCTAAGAAGGACGACAAGGCGGCTCGATACGCAGCCTACGCCGCCGCAAGCAAGTCCGACAGAGTGGTAGAGACAGAGGAGGTTGGCGAGGACGGCAAGCGAAAGATTACATACGCCATCCAGAAGAACAAGGGTCTAGCGCCCAGAAGAAGCAAGGACGTCCGCAACCCCAGAGTCAGGAGGAGAAAGCAGTTCGAGGCCAAGCAGAAGAAGCTGAAGAGCATGAAGCCGGTGTGGCAAGGTGGCGAGCCCAAGGGAGGCTACCGCGGCGAGCTCAGCGGTATCAACGCTACTGTCATCAAGAGTACGAAGCTGTAGAATACATGTACGCATTGCGATTAATGGCATATATCATTTATGGAACTCGGTGTATAAACTTGTATCTGCCCGGAGGTGCGACTTTCTTAGAAACATGACATTATTTTAGGCTACCTACATATTCATTGTATTAAAATGCTCTTCTTTCTGTTACATGTATGCGTTTTATAGGCTTTCCTTGGTCGGCATCTGATGCTTGGGTTTCAGGGTAATGAAGTGGTGTTGAAGTGCAGGTAGACTAGAGCTGTCATTTTGAGCCCCACCCAATTCATCACCTCCAGCATCTCTACTTGGCCTCAACACCACTTCAGCACGCAGGCTCAAGACCACAATTTTTCTGAGCGACAGCCAGTACACGCCTCAATGACGCCAATTCTATAATAATTTCCCTCAGACCCCGCAGCAACGCGCAAACAAGGCCACAATGGCCACTCCCGACGCCACCAAGTTCACCACTTCCGACCAGATCTTCTCCGCGAACCACACGCTGCCCCAGATTCGCTCCATCCACAAGGCCCTCCATGTCGAGATCGAGGACAAGGCAAGCCGCCTGCGCACGCGCGTAGGCGGATCTTACCGCGACCTGCTCGGCACGGCCGACACGATTGTACAGATGCGCAGCGACAACGATGCTGTGCAAGAGCTCCTGGGCAACATGGGCTGGCGGTGCGGGAGGACGGTGGTCTCGACAAAGGTTGCTGGATTGGCCAAGTTTGTGCGCAAGGAGCAGAAGTCAGAAGTTGCCGAGTCAGCTCGAAAGAGGTTGCTGGACGGGTGTCTGCTACTGGTTGGCAGACTGCTCAGAGGCCGCGGGGAGGTGGACGAGAGAGTGAGCATCGGTGATAGGCTGGTGTTGGCGGCCAAGGTGTGGGTGCTAAGTCGCCTCTTGGTCAATAGCCTGGGGAACGAGTTTCCCAGCGACGAGGCTCGACAAGCTGCTGATGCTTCTAAAAAGAAGCTGGATAGCTTGCGTCGGCGGCTGAGGACGACTCTGGAGAAGACCATGGAGAAGGCTGGTCCCGACTCTGATAGGGACGACGTATTGAAGTCCCTCGCGGCTCACAGTCTTGCGAATAGCTCTGGAACCAAGGATACCTTGCGGCACTTTTTGGAAGTCAGGTTCAAGGCCATCTCCGTGGCTTTGGATTATGAGGAGGAAGACGGGCGGGCCAGGAGTCCGGACGATGTCATCCAAAGCCTGAGACTATATGCACGAACTTTACTAGACGTACAGGCCTTTGTGCCGAACAAACTCTCCCAAACACTCAATGCCCTAACAAAAAAGCCTCTCCTGGAAGATGCCTCCTTGCAGAATTTGGAAGGGCTGCGACTCGATATTTTTGAGAGATGGTGTGGTGAAGAGATTCAATATTATACGCCCTTTATTCGCCATGATGATCTTGATGGAACGCGGGCAAGGGAGATGTTTGACAGCTGGGTCGAAAAAGGCGAACAGGTGCTACTCGATGGGCTGAAGAAGACTCTGGAGCCAATCCACGATTTCAAATCCATAACAGAGCTCCGGACGAATCTGCTCCAGCTTTGGATACGCGAAGGCAGCAAAGTGCGAGGTATCGACCCCGAAGAGGTGCAGAACAATGTACGAAAGGCCATCAATGCGCGGATGCTCGCCGTTTTGGACGCAAAGGTTTCCAAACTTCGTCTTGTGGGCTCAGAAGTCAAGGCGACGCTGGAAAGCTGGAAGGATGGCGCGACTGGGAAACTACCAGGCCTTTGGGATGAAGAGGGCTACGAGGATGCGTTGGCTATTGGAGCTCGTCCGTTTTTACAAGAAGTGGCGTCACGATTCTATGGCCGCAGCGACGCTGTTTCCAAGGCGCTCAACTGCTATTCTTCTTGGTTTCACATCACCGACGACGTGAAAGAGGTGGTTGGGCAGTTGGAGAAACAGCGCTGGGATAACGATTTTGACGAGATTGAAGATGAAGAGACGATAGAGGCGAGGCAGCAGTTGTTGAGCAAGGACGATCCGAAAATGCTGCAACAAAAGTTGGATACCAGCCTTGATGCGTCTTTTGAATCGCTTGGAAAGGAGCTTCAGCAGCTATGGGACAGCAAATCCGAGAGTAGCAGCAGCAGTGCTGTCGCCATGTACTTGGTTCGAGTCTTGCGTGATATTCGTCGCCAACTACCACAGCGCGACAAGCTCAAGAACTTTGGCTTGGATTTGGTGCCTGCCCTTCACCAAACGATTATAGCATCGACATCAGCATCACCCGTGGAAGAATTTGTGAAGACGGGATTATCTGGAAGAGTTGCAGTTGGAAGGCCGTTGTGGGAAGGCGACCCAGCACTGCCCAATCAGCCGTCTCCACAGACGTTTCAATTCCTCCACAGCCTGCTGCTGTCCTTGTCAGATGCCGGGGTTGACTTGTGGACCGCGGCTGCAATGTCCGCTTTGAAGAAGCATGTTGGTCAGCAATTGTGTGAGGCGTGGAGCCAAGAATTACAGAGCCTAGAATTCTACGAAGAGGCCAAAGGAGTGAAGAAGGGTGCTAAAGAGGTGAAGGAGCCGGAGGATGAGAACGAGAAAGAAGCAAAAGAGCCACAAGTCGATACAGAGAAGGAAGCAGAAACAAAAGAGGAGGAGAGACAAGAAGAAAATGATGGGGAGGAGAAGGAAAACGCCGGAGAAAAGGAAGAGCCGGGTAGCAGCGGGAAGGACCAGGACGTTGAAAAGAAAGATGATGGCTCACCCTCTGGCAACGAGCAATTGCGAGATGTTTGCATCCAATGGCTCTTTGATATCTCGCTTCTACGCCTCTCAATCGGAAACGTAGCAGGAGATACAACACAAGAGTTTCAAAAATTGGAAGATGCGGTTTATGAGCGCACTGGGTTGGAAGATGCCTCGCGACAGCAAGTCGGCAAGACGGCCAAGAGCTTCTGGGGCCGAACGAGTCTGCTTTTTGGATTGTTGGCATAATAGACACACAGATATAATAGCGGATTGTCTTTCTTTCATCTTATAGAACTATTCACCACGACTACATCTCAATTACATAAACACTCTTCGCATCACAGCTTGTGCCTCTTCTCGCCGCTCCCAAGCTTCCGAAACTCCTCCTGCGGAACGCCCGTCATGAATCTCTCCAGCCCAGCAAACACCTCGTTGAAATTATTCAAATTCACAACATTCTGCTCCGGCCCCCTAATCAACTTCTTAATCCCCAGCAAACTATCCCCCACGAGATGATCCCCCAGCCTCTCGTCCACCTCCTTCAGCACCAGCTCCCTAAACTTGTCGTCCTCGCCCTGCTTCACCTCCTCAAACACCTTGTTCACAAACCCACACCGTTCCAGCTCCGCGCTCATGATCCGCTTGCTCATAATCAGCGCCTCGTTCGCCCTCGCAGGGCCCAGTCTCGTGACGAGCGCGCGCGAAGAGCCTCCCTCTGCGACGAGGCCTATCGACGAAAAGGGCGTGAGGAGGAACGTGTGCGGCGCGCAGTAGATGAAGTCGGCGTGGGCGATGATGGCGGCGGTGAGGCCCACGACGGGGCCGTTGAGCCCGACGACGAGGATCTTGGGATGTGCGGCAAATGCTTCTGTGATGTTGAGATTGAAGGCGACAAAGGTCTGGAGGAGCTGCTTGCGGGCTTCGCTGGGGTCGGTGGGATTTGGTCTGCCGATGGAGACGTCTGCGCCGCTGTATATATTTGTTAGCGATGTATCCGATTATAAGAGTATTCATTTCTCATGTTCGTTTTCAAGGCATTTCCTTCTGAGAGCCATCACGTCTCATTACACAAATGCGTGAACTTGAAGTAAACAATAATAGGAAATGAAATGACCTACGCAGAAAAGAAGCGTCCCTTGCCGAGCAACACAGTGACATAGACCTCATCGTGCTTGGCCACCTCCCTCATCGCCTGCGAGAGCTCATAGTACTGCGCCTGGTTGAGCGCATTGAGCTTCTTCTCGTTTGCAATGGTGATGACGGCGACGCGGCCGCGGTACTCGATTGAGATGACGCTGGGGGAGTCTGAGGTCGACATTGTATATGTGTATGTGTATATATGTTTGTCTTTTTTTTAAATCAAAATTAGAGTAGAGTGAAATGCTATGTCAATCTTTAAAAGAACAATATCGCGCTATCAGGAAGTACAACAAAGAATCTAGAGATCGCCCACTTAATATCTAACATTGCCAGGTGAGATTTGTCGGTTGACTGTTCCGGGGTGATGCAGGGCTTCCCCAGACATACCGAGGTCTACGGGCCGAGTTTGCGGGGCTGCGACGGCATGAGTGCCGCAAAGAGCCTATTGGCTTACCCTGGCGATATCTCCCAGAAGTTGAGATGTACAAGTCAGAACATTGAAATCTATAAGCTGCTTTTGCTTTTTACTCTGCCCACTATGATCTACCTATGTAAACTTGAAAACCCGGGTATTGCGTACCACGTATAGTACAATATCCCGGGTGTAATGACATGCTTTGAAAAAAACAATTATGCCCACATGCTGTTGACATGCATTTAGAGCAGTTGAATGACAGAAATGTTATATACACGTCTCTCCAACTGCGCCCGCTCATGTAATCGACATCCCCCCCACTTATAAACTTCAAACCTTGCCGCCGGTTTATGCGTTTTCTCGTACAAAATTTCACCCTCTATCGGCGCGCTCGGATTTGTCGCTGCTTCGGAAGGTCTAGAGGCAGCGTCAGCTTCGCCACTTGCAGCGTTCGCTCCTCAGTCTTGTCCTTGATAGGCTTCACTCTTGCTCCAATCTCGTGGAAGTACTGGTTCATCACTCTCTGGTCCAGCTTAAGATCATCCTTCAGAGCCTGTGTGTCCACTTCAAAGTTGTCGACGATACAAGCCAGGGCGCAGCAGTGCGCAATCAGGAGGTCAATGTGGAACTTTCTCAGTTGACCGCCGTCTGAGAATTTGCGACGAATGTTCTCAACGACAGCTTCGGGAGCTGGTGCCAGGAGCTCTCGAAGTTTTTCTCGGGGAGGCAGCTGTCGAGTGCCCTTTTGGCGGCCAGGCTTTGAGTAGAGGTAAAACAGGAGGACAATGGAGAGGTATCTCAGCACGCGCAACCGCATCTCTGCAGAGTCGTTGGAGGCAATGGCTTGCACACGAGAGACAACATATCGAGATTGGAACTGAATGCTTTCGCCGTGCTTGGCCTTTTCTTGCCATTCTCGGATAGGCACAAGGTTGATAATGTCTGCTCCGATGAGTTCTTCGGGGCGGTATACGTCGTAGACTTCGCTGGCATCGACATTTGCCTTGGGCACCGGCTTGGCTTCGTCGACGGCTGCCTGCAGCTCTTCTCTCGAGGCCATTGTTGATGTAACCGCGCCAATGGAGCTGAGAATGGCTTTGGAGGCGTCGTCCAGCTTGACTGGGGTGCTGGTGTCGCCAGGCTTCCTCTGCGGAGCAATGGCGTTCAATACCTTGTCTTGGATAGCCTTCTTGGCCTTTTTGGTTCCGAAAGTCTGACCAAGGTCTGTTCTCTGGTCCAGCATGCTCTGCTAATCGGTTAGCATTTTTTCCATACTTCACATATGGTGTTTTTAATTCTGAGAAGCAAACGCTTACCTTCTTGCCCTCTTGCTCTGTTGCTACCTGCTTCGATCGGACGGCACCGCGCACAACCATCTTCTTGGCCTCAACAACCTGTAGTTTGCCGGTTTTAGGATCGTAGATGCCGATATAGTGGTTCAAAAGCGGCTTCGAGCCTCGTTCTTCTTCTCTTGCTGTGTAGTCCAGATTTCGGTGTGTTGAGGAGTGAAGCAGCAGTCCCTTTTCGATGGCGGTCTTTTTTGACTTTGAAGAGGTCGCATTTTTAGGGAGATATGAGTGAAACGTGAGATTCGAGGGCATTTCCATGCCTGGGGTATTTGCTGTATCTTCATTAGCAAATGGGTGAAGACTCAAATCAACCGGCGCATTGCATACCAATCACAGGAGGACATGACTTTGGGCGAAGAACAGAGGAGACTGTAGCAATTGGATGAGGCGCGTCGAGAACGACTTTCTTCTTCGACGACTCCGATTTCTCCCCGTCCCTCTTCCTCTTCTTGTGGCTCAGATCAGACATTTTGCGCCGAATTTTAACAATGTCTCTGCAGTTGGGCGACGAATTCGAGGTGGGATCTTTCTGTTCCAAAAATTTTTGGTTATCGGGCGGCAGGAAAAAGTTCGCCGGCAATTATCCGGGCGGGCGGTGAGAGGGCCACCCCACTAATCTAGAGTGACGTTTTAAAGGCTGCAGAGACATGGAAGCTAACAGCACCTAACTAGCCAAGCTTGGCTGCCCAGATTCATCTTCAGATCTCAAGGGGGTCAAGCACTATTCGAGAACGAAGAACCATGTTTGCAGCCAATCAGGTGCAATAAGCTGCTTGGGTCGCCGAATTGGCATATACCCAAATTTCAACGCAAGAATCAATTAGCGGGGCAATAGCGAAGCTGGAAGCTCAAATATTGCATCAGCCATGTTCGCTGTATAGTTGGCCATCATGTGAATAGTCCAACGCAAGGAGGTCGGCTGCATGATGAGGTTGGACAAGTCTACCTACGTGGACTTCGCCAATTCGTCGCCAGGTGCGCGCATATACATATCTTCGGTGAGACAGCCACAGCATATTCTTCCACCTAACAATATCGTTGTAACTCCTGAACCATAGATTATCCCAATAGCAACCGACCAGCAAACACAAGCTACATGACAATGAATATACACGAAACCAGAGTCGGGCAATAGGTAGTTACACCAGAATTAGTAACTCATTGGCCACGATTCCTTCGTAGCCAATCAACCCCATCCGCCTCCTCCTGGCGCAGATCTACCATACAAATCGCGCCATTTCGCGCTTGTGTAACGGAGCACTCGTTAGCAATGGCGTTGCTGGCAATGGGCGACGCGACTTGGACACCCTTTCAGAATGTTGAACTTGGTAATCAAGCACCTCTGCTCAAAGTCAACATCTACAGATTTGACAACTGGCATTGTTGGCGAGACACGACCTGACCATGGCAACTCCCGCTGACGAGACCGAAACCACCTCGCTAGCCCAGCGAGCACCGGTTGAACTTATCCCATCAAGAAGCTGGCATCTATGGTTAATGGTAGTGCCTGGTCTAGTCGTCTTAACGTACGACGCGACCCTCGAGCAGAAGAACCCGTGTATTCGATCTCAATTGAGAAGCTCTTCACTCAGGCTGAAATGGGGTGTGGGAATTCCCTTTCTGAAAAGCCCTAACACTGAGACTACGATTGAAAGTGAATCTGCGATGTCATTCCCTTATCCCACTGCATTTCGAAAGTTACTCGAGTCTCGCCCGCAGAGACAGGTGCTAGAGACAATACATATCAAAGGCGATAATTTTTTCTTAAGTTTATTGTCTGGTCTCCCGGGATTAGGGATTCTCTCGGCTTTCGTTTCGGGACTATCGTACGAGGCAAAGACTGGTCCTATACTAGACGAAGAGAATAGACAGGAGCCTCTGGCCCAAGAAGAATATGGATCCAGAGGAATCACCCATCAGCAATGGGGCATGTGCTATTCAGTGTTTAAATTCACGCGCACCTCGGCCATTGAGCGTGAGATCCTGATCCAACCTACATATGTGACCATAGGTATATTCCGCCGTGGTCAAAATAATCCGCAAGAGCGGATTGTGTTCGTTGCTCACCCAGCAATGCTCTTCGGGGAGCTTCGCTGGGGTATTTTCCGGCTTCGCGGGCTGAGCAGTGCCTTCTTATCTTTGAGACAGGTCAAGACTTTTAGATTGTATAGAGTGAGTACTTCCTGGTGGTTAATCTTTAGGTTTTTGTTCTAACACAGTGATAGTGTAACCATCAAGAGGGAACCCATGAACGCATCCATCTTGATAAGAATGAGGCCGCGGATTTGCAGGTCCTTCTGCATATGTATAAGAGCTGGTTTGTCCCTGGCCATATTGCGCTGGCTTGGGCGAACTGGATCCATCAGACGCTGAATAACAGCTCGCTCGATGTGGTCGATGGGACGTATGCGATTGAGGTTGTGCTCGATTGGTCGGCGAAACGAATCTCAATTGTGATACTCTTTCCAGTGCTGCTGAGCTTAGCAATAGGACTCTGGCTTAACTCAGCCGCCTGGACAGACCTCGCAACTATACAGACCGCTTGGGGTACTGCGTCATATGTTGTTACTGCTGGAGGCCGTAAGTTTTCACTATTCATACGGAGTTTGACACTATGAGCTAGAAGCTGACAGATAGCAGTGCTTGCAGCATTGCTGGCTATTATCAGCAGCATTGCGAATGAATAATCGTATAAGAGGACGAAAGCCCTAGGCTGCTTCCGCAGATATAGGCAGTTACAGACTGAAATATGGTACATTTGGTGTACCGGCTATCTAGGTACAGAGCGCAATAGTAAACTTGAATTGAGCGTTAGAGTGAAATGTTATAAATCTCTGAACAAATTGCGTTACGACAGCGTGTTGATAAACTTGATACAGTGCTACAACTAGGTACCTATAAAACGAGAGATCTTCTTCAGCTCTAGTACAAATGACTTCAAAAATCCTTTTAGCATATGACATGTTCGTCTACATATACAACGAAGCCGATTTTCAATTGGCTGGTAACAACGCTTTAGCTTGGTCTAGAGCCGCGCGACTTATAGCCCATACCAGCAAGTGGGAAGCGTGGAATCTACAAGCGATCGGCGTATACTTCTCCAATTGAAGGCACTGCTGCGCTGCAATGCTAAATATTCTGACTTTGGTCTATATAGTCTAGTTCATTTTTTCAACTCATGTAGACATTTTCAGTTTACGGACTCTGTTTCTTCTGGCAGTGCTTGCCCAGGCCAAGACAAGAGGATTGGCCGGCGTTTGTCCGAGCGAGCGGCGAGAGAGCTACCCCACTGATCCAGAGTGACGTTATCAAAGTTGCAGGGATGCGAGCATAGCTCCAGAGCTCTGCTTCCTATCGATAATGCGCTATCAGCTCGCACACACAAATTAGATCGAAAATTCCATGGTCACACGAGCTTTGGGTGGAATACCGATAGCTCTCACAAGCTGCTATTCCAGCTATTACAATCATATTCAAAACGTCACATAGGAGCTCAAAAGTAGTTTGGAAATGAAGTAAAATCTGCGTTTTTGTTTTTGTCAAGTTGCGAAGATCGGTCTTAAGCGCGCCTATGGCAGCAGTTTTTTGCTTCATGGCCTGCGATCCATCAAAACGGTGCTTTCACCCGACTGAAATTGTTCAAGGCCCCATCCTTCGCGTTCGTCCATTGACTACCATAGCTGAATTGGCGAGGCGCACCGGCATGCAAAATCCAATTCGATCGTCGCATATCCAAGATTGGTGCAGCAGCTGAGTTGGCGTCGTTTCATCGTGAACTCATGTTGTATGTGAAAGATGTGTCAAGTCAGGTAGAAGAGCGAGTCGTTTATTTGCTGAGACCTCAATTAGCACTCCAATTCTGACTGGACAAGTCGATTCAAAGACACTTACGAGCGAGCCCTCATCTTTCTTCTCTTGCGCTTAAGGCGACGAACGCGCTTCTTCCTCCATTTGGCTCTCATCTTGAACGATGCGTCTAAGCTCGTGTTAGCAATGTGATTCTTGCGCCGGCGCGGAAATCAATTCGCATCATCGGAATGCATTGGAGCAATTCCAATGCACTCTCGAGCTGCAAAACGCCATGGAATTGGCTGCGGAAAGGGCTGCCTTACTTGTTCGTTGATGAGAATCGTTGTTGGGATGAGGTAACAAGGGAAAGAAGCTTTCGCGGAGCGGGGGAATTTCAAGCACTTTGACAAGCCTTCCGTAGGGCACAAACCCCCCGGGCATCACGTGATGACCCCTCACCGGGGCCGTGCATTGAATCAGAGCTCCTACAGTGCTAAAGTCATATTTTGCAGTAATCGTACTGTACGCATCTTCATGACAGCACCTGAGATGGCAGGTGCGTTGTAAGTCAGCCCATTCTGCAAATTCTAGGGTAGATGAGGAAGGCAGTAGTAGTACCTTGATAGACTTTGGAACGCACCCATACATCTCTTTTTCCCTCTTTGCCATTTCCTCGTAGACTGAAGATTACAATCTTTTCTGACGGATTTCATTTACCACGAGCCTTGCGCAATCGTTCACCATGGCGGCCGCGGCGGATCATTTAGATGTCGGCAGTGATCAATATATCGAATCGGCAGCCGCGCATCTTCGCTTCGTGGACAATCGCATCAGTGACCAGCTTGATGAAGACATTCCGATCTAGGAGCAGGAAATCTTCAAGATAGGACGGGATCCTGATGCAAAGTAAGCTTGTGATTTATAGAACGCTGAATCTATGGAATGTCTAACAATGACCGCAGCTCTTTCTCTATTCAAACCGATTCAACCAATCTCATATCACGAAATCACTGCGAAATCTATGTGATTGTTTACGAGCCATCAGTCAACCACGTCTATGTGCGAGATCGCAAGTCTGTCAATGGGACATTAGTTAACGGAGTACTTATCGGCGTCGGGCCCCAGATATCCTCAGGGTATCTCCTACAAGACGGCGATGTTATCGAGATTCGACCCCATTGGAAGTTTCATTTTCACCAACCTCGAAAGCCCCCTCTCCGTCCATTAACGGCTATTCAAACTGAGGAATGCCAAGTTAGTCTCTCCCACTGTTCTAAGTCATGCTCATCATCTAATAAGCATAGCTCTTCGAAAATCAGTATATCTTGACGCCGCGCTGCCTTGGCACCGGGGCAGAGGGAACTGTCTACCTAGCCCTGGAGCCGAAGACTAAGCGACAACTTGTTTGCAAATTGGTCAACCTAGGAAGACAAGATGGAAAGATGCCTCAAGATGAGCTTTATAGGAAGCTCCAAGAGATTGATGTCCTTCGACAGCTTAAGCATGTGCGTCTTTTACAAACGGGATTTTAACAGTCTTCTATGATATTAATCCGCCAACAGCCCAATATCTTACCTTACATTGATGCCATTATCTCGCCACAGTCCTTGTAAGTCGAAAATCATTAACGATCAAATGGAGCTGGGGCTAATTTAACCCAGATACATCTTCACTGAGCTCGCGTCTGGTGGTGATCTCATCTCATTCATGAACCGCCATGAATGTATTGAAGAGCTTGATTGTCGGATCATTCTGCGGCAAGTAGTACGAGGGCTCGCCTATCTTCACAGAAAAGGCATCATTCACCGGGATTTGAAACCGGAAAATATCCTGCTGGCATACTCTCCGAGGATATCTTGCCATCGAGTTATGCTCTCGGATTTTGGTGCTTGTGCTGTACCTCGCCGGAGCAGAATGACAACAGATGTCGGTACATTCGATTACAAGGCTCCGTAAGTCTGAGCTTGTCCCTTTTATTTGAAGAAAATCCAGGCTGATATATTGCAGTGAGGTTTTCTCAAGTATAGAAGCTCAAACTACGGCAGTCGATATGTGGTCTCTTGGCCTCGTAACACTTCGGCTGCTCACTCTTGATGCCGAGGGCTTTGGAAGTCTCACACGAATGGATCAATCATCTCTTGAGAAAGTAGTCAAGGCAATAATCCAAGCGGTGTCTCCAAAGCTCTCTTCAAATAGCCTTCGATTTGCTTTAGCTTGCCTTCAGTTGACACCAGTAAACCGAATCACTGCTGCTGAAGCGGAGTGCCACGACTGGTTTTGTACTCCACAGAAACATTTCGAGTTCTTCCAGCAATTCGACCGGCGGTGTTTCGAAGGAGCTGCGAGCGACAACGCCCAACTCAAGCCGATGCCATGGGATCTGGCTAGCCTTCAGTTCTTTTCACCCATGTCAACACCTGCCAAAACTCTCGCCAATAGCGGTGAAACTTCAACTCAGGGGGACTCACCATCTTGTATAGAGAAGTCAAAATATTTTGGCGGCGCCCAGAAGGATGTAAAGTCAGCTGAGCTAGAGCTAGCAACGAAACTATCGTCACCACCCCAAGAATTTGAAGCGCCATTGTCCAAAGCTAAACCGGTAGTGGGCTACCCAGAGGCTTGCAAAACGGAAAAGACTCTGAAGACGCTACACAAGGGTAGTCACAAGGGTTATCGGAAAGTAGAGGCTCGAATCCTGACGGCTCAACAAGTACGAATCTGTGATGTCCTCCAGCTCCCGCTCACTGATCTCGATAGGCATCTGAAGCCGGCAAACACAAGCCCTAGCAACCACCGAGAAGATGTACTGGCAGAGCTGGAGCGGCTGAATGCTAAATTTTTAACAAATAAGATGCAGAATACTATGGGAAACGAAGATACTAGGGCCAAGAAACATTAGTATCACATGTGTTGAAATGTAAATCAGCAACAAGCTGGTGAAGACGAACGCTGGGTGAGTGTATGCTATCAAGGACGAATTGACTTTTCTGCGCGGGCATAGTTTCAGATTTCGATCTCATTTCAACTGAATTAGAGTAGATATGAGAGTCCCTATCACCGTCTTGATTCGAGAGTATAGACAGACTGGTGCTATTATATCTGACGGACAGCAATGACACTTAGATTCAAACAAGTTTTAAAGATACAATCATCTCAAGCGGTGCTGTCGTATACAACTTGGACGAAGAAATTGAACAGAGTGCTTGATTGTTCAACCGAGAAAGATGCTCTTTGTGTTGTAAATGCTAACCATCATCCACCCATTGACTCAAACCATCGACGACCAAACACAACACAGCAAAGCCTCAACCCTCAACAGGCTTTCTCACCTTCTCACAACTCGGCAGCGCAAAGCCTCCCGCCTCAACCCATTGCAAACCACTCCCAATCACCTCCAGCCTATCCCCCCTCTTCCTGCGCTTCCACATCTCCAACGTCTCTTCCACCGGCTCCCTATCAGACGCTTCATCCACCCAGCCCCATTCATACATCTTCTCCTTCTTCTCCCTCTTGTTACCCCCTTTCCCCTCCTCTTCATCATCGCTATCCACCCCATACTCAACAATACACTTATACCCCTTCCTCTCACACCTCTCACACCCCTTCTTCTCCGCCCCCTCCCCCCTCCCCGTAACCACCCCCCTCGAACACGCCATCCCCTCCATCAAACACTGAAAACACGCCCCCAGCCCCGAAATCCTCGTCCTCCTCTCCCCCAAAAACTTTGGCGGCTCAATCCCATCCCTCACCGCAACGCCCTCCACATACCGCGGCAGCGCCCCCCGAATCCTCTCCTCATTCTCGTTCCACAGCCGATAAATCGCCTCTCGCAGCACAAGCATCCTCGCCCTCCACTCCTCATGCGGCTCCTCCGTGCCATCCTCCATCCGGCACTTCGCCAGCCCCAAGTCGCGATCCACCTGTTCCACCATCCGCATGACTTCCTCGTCAACCTGCGCTCTTGAAAAGTAGTTGCGGCGGGCTTTTGCATCGTGGATGCGTTTCCAGGCTTCGACCCTTCCTCTGGCTGATGTGGCTTTCAATTCTTGAAACTTTGTATTTTCCTTTTCCTCCTCTTTTCCTTCTTGTTCTGCGTGTACGACTAGTTCTTGCTGGTTTTGCTCCCGCTCTTGTTGCTCTTCTCGCTGGCGTTTGGTTTCTTGTTGGCGTAGCGCGGCGACATGGCTGACGGCCAGGAGAAGATTAGTCTTCTCCTTCATTGGCCTTTTCTTGTCTTCTTCTCTCCTTTTGTTGTTGTATAAGTTGAAAGGTAAGTTGTTGCTGAGATGGCTTCTTGCGGATGGTATCTTGTAAGGATCATATGATAGAGGCTGAACTCGACCATATTCAACCCGTTTTATATAAAGTATCCGAATAGATTGCTACAAACGCAGCCGCAACGTCTAAAAATAAAACAAAAGTACATTCAAACACTTATGCCTGTCCAAGTCCTGGTAATTGTTGCAAACAACACGGGCCGAACACTGCGGGTATCCCTGGAAGCTTCATTCAAACACGACATCACAAACAAGAGACAAGGGGACGCAAACACATGCGTTTTGTCTGTATGTAAAAACATTCGGCAGCAATGGTATTGGTATCGTGGACTAGGTTACGCGCTGAAACGCAACAATCTAAAAATCATACAAATTCACTTTCACGCACAAAAACCAGTCCTCGCCCATAATCCGATCCCACCGCTACCCATGACTTTCTCGGTCATGAGAACGAGCCATTCCCATAACCATTCCCTAATCCGCAAACCGATGCCGTGGCCCAAGAAAATAAAAGGGAAAAAAATCCTAAACTCCATGTCCCAAATCCAAAAAAGTTATCAACAGCAACGGCATAAGCGAGAGACAGCGGACTGCTAAAATCATACGTCCAGGAAAAAGAGCGGTGCAAAGAAAAGTTTCTCTCCAAAGCTACTCCGGACAAAGTGCAATCATATGTTCGCAATCGCTTCCCATTCCTTCATCGGTCGTTTGCGCCCCAGTAGCCGGTTCTGGCTGCTGGAAGAAAGTGCAATAAAATCGCGAAAAAATTGCAGTAAATAAGGTCAGTCGGGCTCTAGCTCGGCTAGAAAACCAACGACATGAAGAGAATATAAAATAAGAAAACGCCTGAGCCATGAATATACCGAAAACCCTCAAAGGATGAATGTCAAATAATCAATCAAACGCCCGCTACCAGTACCTGAGCGGGGATTCTCTCGTCGTGCTTGGATTTACCAAGCACCTTCAAACGCCACCAAAATGAAAGAAATGTTGGAAAAGAAATGAAACAATTGAAAAAAATAATGAAATCCAGTTGGACTTGTGAGGAATAATACTGGTTTTGTCCAAATTGATGTCCAGCCGTGAGGCTTCCGGTGTTATGTAGTGTTTTGCCTTTTGTATACCGTATGGTTGTTGTCAAGTGCCATGGTTGATTCGCGCCATTCGCTTTTTGAAGTTTTTTTTTTTCTTCGCTCTGATGTTTTATGCAGACCCTTGTGAGAGGGGACTGCGAGGCGTAACATCGCCACTACGTCGGCGGGTTAGCGCTTGTGCTTTGGCGTTTGCTTCGTCAATGAGCCGCTGCTTCTTGCGGACGACGGAAAGCCTGCCAGAGATCATGGAAATCACTGGGTATTGAGGTTAGCTTTGGGTGTTTGTTTCAAAAGGAGAGAGTGAGAGTAAAACTTACTTTTCTTGATATGAGCCTCTTCGTCACTCTCGAGATCGCTAGTACTCTCCCTCATGATTTCGCCGCCAGATGCTACCCTTTTCGAAAAGTTGGCATCATCACCACTGTCTAATACAGCCTCGAGCATGCGAATGGCAGTAATGTATGAGATTTCACAGCCAGACAAGTTCTCGTTTGTGACTTCGTCAATAGCAGCGGCTCGACTCATCTCGAGAGCCCGATCATACATTAGCCTTTCAGCAGTGATGCCTGGCGTGAGATACACCTGCTTCATTGCGGACCCTGTTGAAGACATAATAGAGTCCACTCCTTGGTTTGATGGGTGGCTTGGATGGTCTTCTGGTAGCAGTTTCTGAGCTTCAATCAGCCTTAGGCGTACAATCTCAGACTTCTCCAGAACTTCGTTGAAGCGTTGGCGCACCCATTGCACAACCGCGTTGATGCGTTGGACTATAGACTGGGATACGGCTGCCGAAAGACCATTGGCGACATCTCCTTTGCTCTTCATCGACCACCAGATACTGGCAATGTCCATGGCCCGAGCCAAGAGAGAAAGCGACTTGACATAAAGCACCAAAGCCTCCTCGGAGAGTGCCACGATGGCTTCTGCCGTCAGTCCATCGTCATCTGCTGACATCTGCTCGGTTGCGATGCCACCTAGCCCATGGTTTGTGGATGGCGCCATGGGAACAAGCTGCTTATACTTGACCTCGGCAAATCCGTAAACGCAGTCACTTCGGGTGGCAAAGTCTTCGATGGCCTGCGCAGAGCGACCGTCTTCGTCCTCCGAGTGGATGCTTCGCCCGTCTCCGATCAGTCCCGCCGAAGTTGGCGGCGTCGGATATGCCGGGAAGGGATGGTACATCGGTGGGGATTGTCCCTTGGGACGAATGGGCATCCTGACCCCGAAAAGACGCAGGCTGGCATCTTGAATGGCCTTGGTTATGGCACTCGAAGCAGATCCTGGGCTCGCAGACAAGGCCTTCTCGTATGACGGGCGGCGGCCTTGGGTGGCTCGGCCCTGCGCTACAAGCTGCGTTCGCGATGCAGGTGCTGCAGTGGCTCCGGTGGTGGAATTCGGTGCTCCCTGCTGTGAGTAGTGGCGAGCCAGCTGCCTTGTCTTTAGAGACGTAGGGCTTTGAGATGCGAGCTTTTCGTTCGCGGCCAGCTCATCTGCAAGGGCGTTTACTTCGACGTGCCTTCTCTCCACAACCACATAGTCTCTCTCAAACATGACATCCTGCGCGGCCTTTTCCTCTTCGTCCGTTAAAACCTTGCCGCTCGGCACTCGAGCCTTGCGAATGTCCTGGATGAGAGATGACGGAGGCGAGGTATTATGCAGCGACGTTTTGGATATCCTAGGATGATTTGGGAGTGATGCGGCATGGGGTGCTGGGGGTGGGCGCTGGATGCCCAGACCAGCCCCGGTCTCTCGAGGTGAGCTTGGCCGTTTGTGGGCCTCGCCAGACTGCGGCCGATCTCGGCCCTCGCTGGTGTTTTCCATTATCGGTGATGACCGAGGCAGCTGCTCTCGAGATGACCGAGCAGACCCAGCCTCGATCGCTCCATTTCGCAGGGATCCGACGCGTGGTGACGATGTGGTAGCCTGTCCGTGGGAAACTGTCCTCAGCTCACGCCTGGCGGACTTTGGGATGTCATCCTCGACTAGTCCGGGGATTTCGTTGACGACGACGGGGTGGGCAAAGAAGTTTTCAAAGCTCATTCGCTCCACGGGGCTCCTCTTGAGTAAACCTCTTACTAGGGATTTCATTTCAGATGTAATGGTCACTTCTTTAGGGAACTTGATGACGTCTTCGGCAGCCTCTATCTTCCTCAGCAGTTCGACGTGGTTTCTGGCGCGGAATGGGGGCTTCCCCGAAATCATTTCATACAGGACAGTACCGACAGACCACAGGTCAGCTTTGGCGTCGTACCGTTCGTAACGGAGGATCTCCGGGGCCATGTACAGAGGTGAGCCGCAAAGGGTGTCGGCGAGCGACGTTGATGGTAATACGCGGGCGAATCCGAAATCAGCAAGCTTCAGCATCGGTAGGGAAGCGATGCCAGACATGGGTATTAAGGAATCCTGGCTTGCCTCCATGATGGGGAGGTTTCGCTTTTCCCGGAATGCTTGGGACGGCAGTAGAAGGAGATTCTGGGGCTTGACGTCTCGGTGGACGTAGTTCTTGCTCCGTAGGAATTCCAGGGCACTAGCCAGCTGCTTGAGGAAATGGCGGATGACAACCTCGTGAAGACCAGAATCAGGGGCGCTGGGGTACTTGCGGGCCATGTCGTGGGTGGCAGGATGGGTAATGAGCTTGTCACGTTTCTTGATGAAGAGGGAAAGGTCACCGAGCTCGCAGTATTCCATGACAAGATTAATGTGTGTAGCGGATTCGAGACAGTCATGAAGGGCAACGATATGTGGGTGTCGGAGGGTCTTGAGGATCTGGATTTCGCCATATAGGTTTTCTTTCAGTTTCTTGTTCAGTCGATCTAGCTCGACGGATTTGATGGCCACGGCAGCTCTCGTTTCCTGGTTGAAGCCAAGCATGGTTAGCATACACATCATATTGAGAAACGAAGGGGCATGGAGATGGAGATGGGATGGAAGAAAATCAATGGCGAAAGGATGGCGAGATCAAGCGGAGCTAAAGGAGGTAGCAAAGACTGAACGCTGGCAAACAACAGACTGCCGCCGATGACGATGGACGCAAGCACACTTTTGGTGCAACGCCGTCCAGGAAGTATCGTACCTTATGCCAGCCCATGTAGACTTGGGCAAAGCTGCCTTTGCCAATCTCCTTGTCGATGGTAAACTGGCCAACATTGCGCCCACCCGAGCGCCGGGAGGAACCCTCTTGCCGGCTCGCCATGGCTTCCTGTGTAGCGTTGTCGATGACAGGGAGAGAGCGAGATCGGTCACAGCCCGTGGGCTTACAAGATTCGAGGGTCTATGCTGGCGACCGAAGCTGTCATGTAGGTCTAGACGGGCGTAGCTTCAGATGAGCAGCGATGGTGAAGGAAGTAGAAGAAGGAAACGAGCCCACGACGCGACGAGACAGGGCTATAAGAGAAGTGGGCGAAGGGAGATCTGTGTGACAAGGATAGGAGGTCGGTGTAGTGGTAATCGAGAGCCTAGAACGGAAAGTCGATGCTTTTGTTTTAGGGAAACGGCAGGTATCAGATAGATTCGAAGAGCGTATGTCGCTGGAAGTTGATGATGGCAGGTTAGCAAAGCCGCAGGGGACGTAGTAGCATGTGAGTGTGAAAGGGTGGATGGAGGGCGGGGGATGGTTCTGTCGTCCCGCGAGCGGTGATGCGATGTGATGCGAGAAAGGAAAATGGAAACGAGGGAAAGAAGAAGAGAAAGTTGGAAGTAGAAACAAAAACAAAAGAAGGCCAGGGGAGTGTCGGAGAGAGGCCGCAAGCCGAGTCAGACGAGCGCCGGCGTGCAGGATCCTGTGGTCGAATTGGGGATCGGACGGGATAGCTCTGGGGGTGACAAGGATCGGGGGAGGGCGTGACTAACACTCCAAGACAGACGAAAACGAGCAGCGGTACGGCGTCCTGGCACCGGCAGCCCGTCTTGTCAAAGGCGCCCAGCGCTTCCTGCGAGTTGAAGCGGTGGTCCGGCTGCCTGTATGGCTGGCTGCCTGTATGTATGGCTACCTAGGATTGATGCAGATGCATGCACCCGGATGGAGAATGTGCGTGCCGTGCTGAGCTGTCGCGGATGATGAAGGCGCAAGAGACGCTTCCTGATTGCGACTCGAGAGCGGCGCCAGGCAGAGGTCGCCTACCCGGATGGATAAGGTCGTCGACTGCTGGGTTTGCGGGGCGTTTGCGTGGGAGGCTTTCAAGAGGCTGCAGCGCAGTTGATGCAGATGGAGACGCAGCCGGGGGTGGCTATTGGGTACACGGCCGCAGATAAAGCAGCACAGCGATACCACGGCGCAAGTACCGACGCCACAAGGCCTTGGGGCGGGCTCGACGGGGTTTGGACCGCCTGAGAGGCGAAAACCAACGCTTGACAGGAGGAGATGATCGATCCGAGGGTCCCAGATCGGGGGTGGTCAGATGATTAAGAAATGATAGCGCCAGAGAAGAGAGGAGAAGACGAGCTAGAAGAGCGGCAAGAAGATGTAACTACTGGTAGGAGAGTAAGATTAGAATTGAAGTGATTAGGAGGCAAAAAGGGAGGACTGGCAAAAGAAGAGGAGAAAAGGGAGCGAGGGAAAAAGACGGAGAAGCGGGCGATGACGAGGAGATGGAACGAGATGGTGCAGTTGTTGACGAGAGAGAGATAGACGAAGGCACAAGCACCGCCCATGGGAAGGTCACTGCTGGATGACCTACCTGAAGGGCTTGTGATGCAGTGGGAGAGCGCCTTGGGAGGTTGCTGGCAGGGAGCAATGGAGGGCGCGTACCGGGTACTTGTGGCCCCGGGCCTGCCAGGTGACTCCCGCAGCGGCATCAGCGCAAGGGGGGGATGCCGCAATCTTGCACGAGTACCTGTACCTGCACCCAGATGGACAGCTCGACCAGCTCAGCCAGCCCAGGCCAACCCCAGCGCTGTGACCTGGGTGACCACAAGGACTCTCAGCGCTAAGCCAGCCCCCCCCCCCCCCCCACCCCAGACGGCTGCTCGAGGAGAGCGCTGCGCAACTGCGTACTCGTACCGGTACGACGCAGGCTTACAGGCTTGAGGCCATATCCGAAGTACAGCCCAGGTACATCCCTAACAGGCTTCCCCGCGGAACGCACGCGTAATTGGGCCCCATGTCGTATGGCTCGGTACCTGCAGAACACTCCAGTGGCAGGAGGCGACCAAGCCTGAAGCGGACGTCGTGGGTCGTTCGAGAGTGCTGAGAGAAGCAGAGACATCATGATGATGTTTCCTGTACTGAGGCTCGGCACGGCTGGCTCATAGCAGCGAGCTGGTACTGAATACCGAGTAAGTGTCTCAGCTAGCCGTGCGCCACCAGCAGCGCCGCCCCGGAACCAAGTCGCACGGGCCCTCGGTTTGACAGCGCTTTTGGTTACTACTAGCAGTAGCAATGAGCGTGCCAATTGTCGTGATTGACAACAGCAGCTGCGCGATAAGGGCCAGGCCGACACAATTGCTACTGGCGCAATAGTGCCGCTACTAGTACGAGGTAGTGATACTGCTACAGCGTCTGAATGGGCGGCTTGGAGTGGCCGGCCGCGCCTAGAGGCAGGGCGGCGCTGTGAACATGGACAGGCGCAGGGCACGGAGCAGCGTGAGGACCATCGTCCATGCAGGCTGATTGAATGAATGCAACCGGTAATATGGAGCCATCTGCACCAAGCGCTATCATTACTCGGCATGCGCCGTACGGGCGAGATAAGAGATAGGCAGATAGCAGCAGCGATAACGGCGTTTGCATGCTCTGCACTGTAAGAAGGACAGGCGGGCATTGGGCTTTTGGCCTTGAAACTCGCGCACTGAATGGCGCCAGACCGACTTGGGCGCATGCAAGCACGGCATCATCCCTTGACATTGGCCGTATCTTTGCCGCACGACGCCCCCCCTTTATTCCCGCCACGGCCCTTATCGCGGCATGTTCTGGGGTCGCGCAGCCTCTCTGAAGCGCTGGCGGACAGAGGCAAGACGCTGAGCCAAACAAGCAGGCAGGAAGAAAAAGATGGAGCCCCGGGGCCGGCGGGAGGAAGGGATCGACTGGCGTGCATTCGAGAGAGACTCGCATCATTGCGCTACCGCCATGGCCCGTCCGGTACTTGCTGCGTCTAGCTGCCTTTTGGCTTGCAGTGCTGGGGACAAGATTCGAGGCTAGAAATGTTCGCACGTCTGGGCTGGAAGTACCTGGAAGATGCCAGCGAGTGCTTTGTCAAACGCTCATCGAAATGGCGTGCTGCATTGCGGCGAGTCGCTGTCGATGAGGCGTTCTGCGCACTCGCACTTGGGGAGTAGGGAGCAGCGCATTACAGTAGGGATCTCGCGCCTTAGCACGCATGATGGCATACGTACGACGCGCTTGTCTGTCGTATGTGCTACTAGCAGTTGAGTCAGAGCCGAATCGGTGCCTCAGTTAGTCTGGCCTTGATGCATTGTGAGCGGGACTCGCAGCAACTTGCTCTCTCTCTCCCTCTCTCCCTCTGCGCTATCCAAGTACCGCTACATCTTCCGCAGCGTCCACGGAGAACCACCACTCGGCTAGAGATTTGGCATGGAGCAAAATCTGGTGCCGCGTCTTTTCGTACTCGGAGGTCACCTTGAATGGATTTGATGCTGTATGCACATGCACCGCAAGCCTTAGCGTCTTCGGATTGCAACCCCATCTGTGCCGGCAAGGCGTAACCAGAGCCCAGCCCAGCTTTTGCCCTTTTGAACCACCTTTGAACCCACCGCGAGAGCAGGACCCTTAAATCGGGGGACCACTTTTGAGGCCGCTAAACCCACTCCTCTGCTGCTGGTCATTCACGTCCAAGTAGTATATACTGTAGGACTTTTTAGGCCGTGCTCGAGGGCGCCAATGTCGAAGCGTGAATGGTTGGAGGCGTATGAGCAGGTTGGTGACAGCTCGACGACTGAGTGATGCTTCCTCGTGCCTGGCGTAAAGGAGGGCACTGCCTCTGTCTGTGACGGCGGCTGCCTCCGTTGGCACATTTCTGGCGACGATTGGATTAGCTTGGAAACTTGATCAGAATGATGCTCATATGTCGGAATTCTGGCGGCAGAGCTGCAAGGGCGGTCAAGAGCTGTAGAATGAGGCGGCGCCATGGAAAAGCATGAAACAGACCATTGATGCTTATACTTTGTATCCCGCGGGCGCGCTACAGCACATGAGAACATGCCTGTCAAGAAGGTACCTTGACGCCTGATGAGATGGATCGGTACTGTATACGTGTAGTGCTCCGCGCTTCGTCTACCGAGTACGAGAGACCCGATTCCGCATTCTGTACGAGCATTTGCTGTACTGTATGTTTCTCAGACAAGGAAAAGTTGCTGCTGCAGTCTGCCTCAGTATGGAAGGCGGGAAGCTGGTCCCAGCGTCATTTCTGCCGGGCAGTTTCCCCCAGCTAGGCCTGAACAGGACTCACCGCACTGGCGTGTGAATGAATGCATCACCAAGGTTGATTTTGCTTCTGGATTCCCCACGACTTCTGCCTGATGTTTCCGCTTTCTTTGCTTCTTGTTGCGGCCTCTTCTTGTTTCCTCTTTTCCGATATTCTCATCACGCAGCCGAGACTGCTGCTCATTGGTGGGCCAACTGCAGTAGCAGCCTACTCGAGACGAGCCCAAGGGTGGCGTCGCATCCAATCAGTCTCTCTCATCCCCACGATGCCATCGTTTATGCTGTGCAACGTGAACCGTCATTAACGACGACAGCCACCATGCTGGGAGAACCTCTGGACGGCTCCCGCAAGCCAAGAGTACGGTGCGTCTCACCTCCTCCCTGCATTCGACAAGTGCCGGCGATATGGACTGGTAGTACATGGCTGCGTCCTACTACAAGTACACACTCTGCGCTTCGTGATGAGTACTGCTAGTAGGTATACTACAACAGTCTACAAGGATTCAACACCGTCTTTTTTGAATCGTGCCAAATAATCTAGCCCAATTTCCTACGTGGGATGGCTTGATTTGACTCTCAAAAGTGGCCCCCCTTGCTGCAGTAGACAAGCCTGAAGGGAATCTGGCCAATCCCATCTACAGCCGGTGTCTGCAGCTGCGTACGGAGTTGAGATACTGCAGCAGAGCTGTATACTTCAAACTCTCGACTCCATTCCTCACGCAGTAACGATGCTTCTCGGTGGGCGCTGACCCGTCTTTCAGTGTTCCGTCTATGCAACTTGCAGCCTGTTCCTACGACTTGTCATCTATACTCTGCGCATACTCCTGGTAACTCAAGTACCAAGGTAGTCATGATATTAGCCCGGCCGCTGCCACCAGGCATTACTCGTGCAAGAGTGCTACAATACGTGTCCAGATCCATATTCAGACTTTCTATCATCTTTTTACTCGCCCGGTGAAGCAGCTCCGAGACCTTGGACGCCCCATCTTTCTTGCTTCGAACCCTGCTCGGCCATGGTATCTACTAGGCACTGGGCGTTGAGCGATACTTGCTCCTTTGGTCCTTGACTTGGTCCTACCAAAAGGGTGGATGTCACAAACACGGCATGTTTCTCTTCTTGTACGCGAGGGACTGTCGCACCGGGACCTGTTATTTTTAGTACCCCTGGCGTTCTAGACGGACTGGAGCCCCAACAGATCTCATCGCATGCCCAACATCATATGCACCAATCGAGCCACCCCATCTTCTTGCTTGGCTCGACTCGGCCATGACTGACGGCCTTTGACATCACCGCGCCGGCCAGGGTCCTGGGTACCTGGTCTCATGGCTTCGAGCGCTGCCAAATCCCTCCAGAATCGCCTGATCGGATTCCAGCTCGAGGGCATGGAAGCAGATTGTCTGCTTCCTGTTTCCTATTATACACCCAAATGCTCATCCATCACCTGACACTGCGTCTGCGTGGCCTGGCGCCTCCCCGCTCTTCCATCTTGATGCTGCTATCGCCGGCCATCGAGCTATTGACCACCAGCCCAGCCAGCACGTGCAGTCGTAGGGCGATGGAAGGCCTCACCTGTGTATCACACGCCTTCTCCCTTCTCCCTTCTCGTTTCTTTTTATTCACGCAAGGATCTCGACGCCAGTTCACTTCCAACGTGCTCACCGTGCTTGGAACGGCTTAGAGCGGCATCGCGGCGTCGGCCGTCGGCCGCCATCATCTGCTGTGTCCCATGCGGCTGACTCGACTTGAACCGATGCTTTTGGAGAGGGGGGAGGGATCGACGTGAAGAGGAGCTGTGCATAAGGCCGAGCGACAGGCTCAGAAACATGGGTCTTTTTCCCTGTTTCTGTTTGACGCTCGGCATCTCGGACGCTAGCATCGAGGCAATCGTGAGCTGCTTCTTACTTGTAAGTCTAAAGAGGTGGTTCACTGCCATCAAACGGCCTCGCTGAAATGGGCCGAGCTGGCTTCTAGATATGCTTCCCTGCATAGTCTACTGTTTCTCGATCGGCTGCGGCTTGAGTGGCTTGCGATAGAGCCGACGATACGAACCCGTGCAGCACAGAGCGCGACACAACACAGTCCTGCGTCCTATGAAGACGAACCACGTCCCCTGGCGTGTAAGCCACCTCCACGCCTGTTGTTCACGATGAGGCGAAACCCCAGAAAAGCCACGGCCTGCACATCATGACATCAGTGCAAGATGGAAAGATCTGCACTTTGCAGTCGCCATCAGGCAATCTACCAATCGCCCTCCCTTGCATGCGAATTGCACATCTCATCTTATCCTCTGCAAGGGTGAGGATCGTAGACTGGGTTTTGCTGGATTGAGAGTGTGGTAATCTGTTGCATGCCTTGTACACATGTCAATGATACCCCTGTCCCCGTAGGCTTGAGAGAACATGCTGGACGGCCCTCTTCGTAGATACACCACGGCTCATTATCCTGAACCACTTGAAGACATTTGTTTCTTTTTTTGCGCTCGCTTCACAGCGCCCTGCATCTCATTTCCGTCTTCCGCGGTTAATTAAAACAACAAATCAAGAGACACCAGCGCGACAAGACGGCCATCTTAATCCAATAGGATTGTTTCATTTTTTGCACCACATCATGCTTAAGCGAAAGCCGTCGCAGGCAGGACAGGCCATTTCCCCTCTCCAAAAAACTTCACTTGACACTCCATAATCTAGGCATCCGCCCCCTCCTGCAGCAAACACCATCAGCCTATCATTTTCTTTGTCTCAAAGACAACACCATACTCTACACTTTTTTCTTCTAGCGAATTCAACTAGCAGTATAAGGGTATATGCAGAACCTGGCTGAGATACCACCCCACCATATAAAGTCCTACATATACACATCACCACTACTACACACTCATATAGCACCGCCATCACACATCACCACACACCCTCATTGACATGTCTGCCCACCCCCTTCCCTTTTGCTTTTTGCATCCCCCGCTTTCAAGTATGAGAGAAAACTATCTTCTTTCCCCCGTCTCCTATTGCATACGTGTATCCGCATTTCTCTTTTCTAGGCACCACACTTTTAGTTTTGGCATGCGTGGATCGTGCTACTACCTACACAGAGTAGCATTAATCAAGCCTCGGCTAATCGCCTCAACTCATGAGCACTTTACTCCTTAGATCTTTCTAATCAAACTTACATAGACGCCCTCCAGGCAGAATAACCCATCATTGTAAAGTCCTAGACCTTCACATGCCGTGAATTGGTACTAAAACTATGAATCAACCCCCACGCATTTCACCCCCCATTCTTTTTTCATCACCAGTAACCCTCTCCTGCTGCCTAGCCGTAACGAACAAGTAAAGAATTTACAAAAATTAGTTTGAACCTCCGCGTTAATGCCTGACTGCCCTACCTACTTCACCAAGGTCTTGGCCTTGGGACGTACAGAGCACAAAAAAAAAAAAGAGGTAGGACGAGAGCGGGAGATGAAGAACAAAAAGTGCCGCTTGAGCCGCTCCAGCCAACGGTAGGAAATATCATAAACGCCTACGAGGATTCACAACGGCCACTTGAACGTAAATAAAAATAAGAGAGCCGAGGGGGGAGCATGGGGTGCTTGTATCAAATAACAGAGATTTGAGTCATTCTCTCGCTCCATGTATAAACGAGATTCACAGGCAGGACACACGACAAATGATATTCCACCACAATTCATGTTAATTGATCGTTTCATGCCTTCTAACCAAGGCATACCTACACTACTGACACTCTCTGCGCCGCGGACGAAGATCCGCCCGACCTGGTTCTTTTTAGAAAACAGGGAACATAGTCCGACGCAGAATGCAAAATAAAAAACAACAAGAAGAAGAAGAAACAAATAGAAATAACAAAACAAGCCCAAAACAGTAATCCATAATATGCTCCCGTTCCTATGCTGCTTCATGACCGGTCCTGGCTATCCCTTGGGTATCTTATATGTTTGACGTGTAAATCAAAAAGGAAATTCCTCGTCTCTCTTTTCGCGTGGGTCGCCCTCATAATTCCCGGAGCTCGCGCTCACGAGGCAGCGGCGTCTACTTCCCGTAGGACGGTACGCTCTGAACTTTTCCTCCTTCAGACTGACTGCTAGAGGAAAAGCTGTCACTTGTCATTTAGTGACCCTCGGATTTGGCGACGGTGGGCAGCTCCTTCAGAGCCTCAGCAATGATGTTGAGACCCTTGCGAAGCTCCTCTTCAGTGATGACGAGGGGAGGCGCAAAACGGATGATATCTCCGTGGGTTGGCTTGGCCTAAAACGGGGGTCAGCAGAGGAAACGTAGCGAGAAAAAGAGGGGTAGAGAGGCAAGGCAGCCATAAGATGCAAAAGGGCCAACTTACCAAGAGGCCCTTGCTCTTCAACAGAAGACAAAGGTCCCATGCAGTGCGGCCTGAAGCAGCCGCCTCGTCAATGACAACGGCATTCAACAGACCCTTGCCGCGAACCGTCTTGATAATGGGCGACTTGAGTGTGGCCACGCCATCACGGAAGAGATGACCAAGACGCTCGGCCTTGGCAGTCATGTCCTCCTCCTCAAGAATCTCCAGAGCTCGGATCGATACTGCACAGCCCAGGGGGTTACCGCCGTAGGTTGAACCATGAGTACCGGGCTCAACAACCAGCATAATCTCCTTGCTGCTCAGGACGGCGCTGACGGGGTACATGCCGCCGGAGATGGCCTTTCCAAGAGTGACCATGTCAGGCTTAATGCCCGACCACTCGGAGCAGAGCATGCGGCCAGTTCGGCCAATACCGGTCTGGATCTCGTCACAGATGAGGAGAACATTGTGCTTCTTGCAAATAGCGTGGACCTTGGTGAGGTAGTCGTCGTCGGGAACAACAACACCGGCCTCACCCTGGATGGGCTCAACGATGAAGGCGGCGGTATCCTTGCCATGGGCCTCCAAAACCTCCTCTAGGTCGGCCACGTTGTTGTAGCGGATGGCCTTGCCAGTGGAAGGAGAGGTGGCGCCAATGTTGGGGACATAGGGGCCATAGTTGTCCTTGGACTCGGGATCGGTGGACAGAGTGATGGCGGCCATCTGTGGCGAGCGTTAGTACGTCTTTGTTGCCCAATTTGTTGCAGAGTCGGGGAGAGGCTCGATTCTTGTTTCCTCTTTGAACTCATAACCCATGATTTGGGACTGTACTGGAAAGCTGATGAGAGAATACTTACAGTTCGGCCGTGGAAGTTCTCGGCAGCGCAAAAGACCAAAGCCTTGCCCTCCTCAACGCCCTTGACCTTGTAAGCCCACTTGCGGGCAATCTTGATGGCAGTCTCCGTGGCCTCGGCGCCAGTGTTCATGGGCAGCACCATGTCGTAGCCGAAGACGCTGCGGACCTTCTCGGCCCACTTGGGGAAAACATCGTTGTGGAAGGCTCTTGAGCTCAGAGTCAGGCGGGAGGCCTGGTCGACGAGAGCCTTGACGAGCTCGGGGTGGCAGTGGCCCTGGTTGACGGCGCTGTAGGCAGACAGGAAGTCCAGGTACTGGCGGCCTTCGGGATCCCAGACATTGACGCCCTGGGCCTTGGAGAAGACGACGGGGAGAGGCGAGTAGTTGTGAGCCGCAAACTGGTTCTCGGCGGCAATGGCGGCTTCGGTGGAAGAGGCGTGGAAGCGGGATGCAGCGCCGTTGCTGGCAACAGCATCGCTAGCGTGGGGAGCCATGATTGAGGCTGGATAGAATTGGTGGTTGGTGTTTGAGAAAGAAGAGGTCTGGATTTGATGCTGTTAGTGGAAGTCGGTCGGATTTGCAAGGAATGGAAAGTTGTTTGCGATAAGCCGAACACGGAGGAGGAGGGGCACTGATAGAGGATAAGCGCCGATGGTGCCAATGGACGTACCAGCTAGATTGTAATTGGAAGCAGATGCTGTGATTAAAAAAAGACGACGTTAGAACAAGTCTTGTTTCCTTTTTTTGGTCTTCACCTACAAATTCACAAATCGCTGAAGCTGATGGGAGAGAGAGTCAGTTCCCAAACCACCTGACCACGGGGAGACGACGCCAGTTATAGGGCCGTGAGAAAGCGGGCAGCGATAGAAGCACCGACGCCGCGTGGAATCAATGTGTCACGTAGTCGAGCTGGATCCAGGCATTGGAGACCAAGATACGCCGCCGCTATACCCCTAAGTGCAAGTGTGAGCGTGTCGCAGCACGCCGGTGGAGCAGAGGCTCCAGGCGCTGGGCGCTGCTCCCTGTCGCTGGAGAGCCAACGCCGTCGAGGTGCCGGTGGTTTCCTTGGACTCGCCGCAGGTCCGATGGTCCAGACACCGCCGATGCCGTAGGGCGCCCCAGAGAAGCGGCCGGCTGGCCTCGGCATTTTGGTTCTGGACCCCTAGCAGAGGGTCTCGAAATGGGCTAGACTGGTGCGAGTGACGATGGGGATTCAGCATCTGGGCAAGGCAATGGGCAATCGGGCTGCTATTCGTGCTGTTATTCTCTCGGGTATCTAGTCTGTACGCGAGGTTCCAAGCATCTATTGCCTGAGCTGCATAGACTAGTAGTAGGTAGTAGCACTCTTCACGTTTCGAGGCAGTGGCATGTTGGCGTCGATCCCCACATTCGGCGGCTCTCATGATTTCACACTTTCTGTAGCATCCGGTCCGGCCACCAAGAAAAAAAAAGGGTGGGGAGCCCTGTCGACGTTTTGAGAGATGGGCCAATGAGCAGCGCTGTATTACGTATGTTGTTTGGGCTGTCTGTGGTCTTGTGAGATCTGTCAATGGTATCTACAACCTATGACGAGCCACAGGACGAGCGAGTGATGTAATGTGAGATTTGGCTGCATGGGGGATGCTTTTGTCGACCGATGCTTACGCTGATGCTGATGCCGAGACCGATATTGTCGCAGAGGATGTGCCAATGCTACTGCTGCAGGCTGGTAGAGAGATAAGGCGGTTGCTGCATCTGGACAGTAAGAGACGGGGTCGTTCTATCTACCTATGTATATGTATATGTCCGATCACGCACTGATTAGATGAGATTAGATTACGTTGAACCCAAGACGGCATTTCAATTGGTCTCAGTACCTTGAGCATGTAAACAAGCCCTACCTACCTTTTGCGATTACCGCCTTCTCAGTCCTTCCTCGCATCATCATTCATCCATTCAACGACTGCTATCCAGCGGCTGCTATTGGCTGCTGGTGTCAGTGCCAAGGTCCAAGTTCAAAGCCGTGCAGGCGCATCTGTACTTGCAGGGGCTCTAAACAACTTAAGCTCAAGGACAGCGCTCCAGGCAGATGGACCATAGTACCAAGGTGCTGGGCTCTTTTCAGAGGCCATAACGAAGATGCTGAAAACAACATGCAAGGCAGAGTAGAAACCACGAGAGTTGTCCCTGTCACCACCGACTCCGCAATGCATCAATTGGGCCACGTTGGAGCAACAAGCGTCAGCCAATCCGATTCAGCATCCATTTTACTATGTAGCGTGACGGGAGCCTGGTTAGCAGCCGCTGGGCGCTAAAGGGGCTCCTACAGGCTACAACCACGGCTATAGCGCGCCAACTCAGCATTTGAAACCATCCACGCATTGAACCATGGCCGGCCACCAACGCGCTCCTTCGGCCTCGTTCAAGAGCAAGCCGCGCCTCTCGCCCGTTCCGCTGCGGGACATTGTCATTCTGCGGCTGCTCAATGCCCTGTACCTGGCCACCTTTTTCCAGCCCGATGAGTTTTTCCAGGCGCTGGAGCCGGCTTGGCGCCTGGCCTTTGGACCCGGAAGCGGCGCGTGGCTCACATGGGTAAGTCTTTTATACACAAGTCCATGTGCTTCTTGAATATATACACACATGTATATCACAATTCTGCAATTGATATGCTCGGAAAAGATAAAAGATGGAAGAATCAAACCTGTTAATCTCCCCTCTCTCTATAGGAATGGCACCACCAGCTGAGGTCGTCTCTCCATCCTCTCCTCTTCTCTGGCGCCTACATGGCCGCAGATCGTCTATCCGCCGTCTTTCCCCCAGGAAATGCTATTCGCTCTGCTGCAGTCATTGTTTCTCCTCGCATCTTGCAGGCCATTATTGCTGCTCTGGGAGACTGGTACACCTGGCATCTTGCCTCCAACGTGTATGGCTCTGATAGCAACGCCTCCTTCTTTGCTGTAAGTCTATTCCCTCCAAGCTCTCCTCGACTCCCCAGTCGAATCACGCCACTTACACGATGAATGAAACCCCCCTCAGCTCTTCATGCAACTTCTGAATCCCTGGCAATGGTACTGCTCCACGAGGACTTTTTCCAATTCTCTAGAGACAACTCTCACGGTCATGGCCCTCTGCTACTGGCCCTGGCAACTCGTCGGTGTTGCCCCCTATTCCATCAAGGAAAACTCCAAGCCCTTCAATGTCTTGCGCGGCAAACTATGGCGCCTCCGTGCTTCGCTGTGTCTCGCCGCCTTGGCTGTCGTTTTACGCCCTACCAATATCCTCATTTGGCTCACCATCGTCTTCATCGCTCTAACGAGAATCACGCTTCAAGGGAACTCGCCCTTGAGCTTCGGTACCGTCTTGGTTCTATTCAGAGAAGCAATCCTATGCGGGTCTCTGGTGGTGGGCTTGTCTGTCCTCGCTGACCGGTTCTACTTTGGAGAATGGGCCTTTCCGCCTTACAACTGGCTCACCTTCAACATCTCCAAATCGCTTGCCGTCTTTTACGGCCGCAACCCCTGGCACTACTATCTCCTCCAGGGCATACCTCTGCTGTGCACCACAAGCGTCCCTTTTGTTGTGCCAGCACTGTTCAAGCCTTCGTCCAAGACGGCAGATCAGGCCAACATACTTCGGACGCTCTCCTACGCTGTTCTCAGCACCGTCGTTGCCCTTTCCCTCATCTCCCACAAAGAAGTTCGCTTCATCTATCCTCTCCTCCCAGTTCTCAGCGTCCTTGCCGCTCCTCGAGCCGCGTCCTTCTTCACTTCGGTCACGCGAACAAGTCCGCCTCCCTCCATCTCATCCGCGGCTCAAATCTCTGCCTCTCAGCCCTCCGGGACAAAGTCACCGGCTGCTCGCCGCGCTCGCCTCCGCAACAAGCCTCTTCTCTTTACCGCCTTGGGAGTCAACATTGTCCTCGCCGGCTATCTCTCTTTCCTGCACCAGCCCGCACCTCTTGGCGTCCTCTCATTCCTCCGACAAGAATATGAACGCATCCATCCGTCTGCCGTTCATCACGCCCATCTAACCCACTACTCCAATGTCACGACATCCACCAACGATGACTCTAATAAAGAAGACCTCTTCGCTCTCTTCCTGATGCCGTGCCACTCCACCCCCTGGCGCTCCCATCTCGTCTATCCAGGACTGTCGGCCTATGCGCTCACCTGCGAACCCCCCCTGCATACCCAACCAAACACCCCCGAGCGCGAGTTGTACCGCGACGAAGCAGATCGCTTCTACGACAACCCCATCCCATTTCTACGCCAAGAACTCTTCGCCCCTGGAAACCCCGTCGTGCCTGTTCCCCGATACATTGTCGGGTTCGAAGGCATAGAGCCTTGGCTGGGCGAGTTTTTGAACACTCCCGAGGGCAAGCGACTGGGCATATCGCAGCTCACTCGCGTGTGGGCGGGCTTCAATGGATTTTTCAACGAAGACTGGCGAAGAGAGGGTTACATGATTGTTTGGGATACGGGGTTGTACGAGGGATCCGTCACAAGGGCCTAATTTGTCCATCTCTTTGTTGCAATTGTTTCGTTAATACTACTATAGCTTCCCGGTGCTCGGCAATGGTCTTGTATCGCAAAAAAGCAAATAGCATATAATTCATTCATGCGGCTAGACATACCAAGTATAACTCTACGCCTAATCCCAATATAATTAATTTATATAAAATCTTTGAATATGTATTCTCCTCCGTAACCAAACTCACAACCTTCCAATAGCGAAGGGGTTCCAAAGGAGGTAAGAGCACGGCTCGCATAATCGTATCACCCACGTTTGTTCAAAATTACGTCAAAAACAGCCGTAGCAAACCGACATGTAAATATGTCTCTTTTTTCTCTCGTAAAACTAGATAATTTTTGAAGACCCTAATATTCCCCACTTCCTACACATGCTTCTTCTTCTTCTTCTTCTTCTTCTTCTTCTGCATATTCTTCATCTCCCGCCTTTCCGCTTCAACATACATATAGCAGCAGTGTTTTTGACGTAAAAAAAGAAAGAAACCTCTCTTTTCCTCTCAAATCCCCTTTTACTTCGAGAAGAAGAGAAAAAAAGGGGGTAAGAGTAAAAAAAAGGGGGAGGCTTTTGAGTACATGATGGACAAAGGAAATTCGTTAATTCTAGAAAAAAGAAAACGAGATGAAAAAAAAAGAACAAGATAAAGGGGGTGGTAAGAAGAGAAACTAAGAAAAAGAGATGGAAAAAAAAAAGGCTCATCCTATCAACTCCTCGTAATCCTTAGATTCATCTTCATCGCTTTTAGAAAAAGCTCATTTACAACTTAAGAAAAAAGTCACTATGCTTGCTTTTCCTCTTGCTCCTTATTTTCTACAACGGGTGGCAGCGGTTGTTCCAAAGGTGGGTTAGGTACTTGAGACTCAGGTACTGTTGTAGCTTGCGCTTTGGGCAGGGCCGCAGCCTCGGCAACAGCTTCTTTGGCAGCATTGGCTACCGGCACTGCGACATTTTGCGGCTCAGAGTCTGACTCGCTAATGACTCTGTGGATAGTCATGCCTTGGGCAGAGTCTCTCTGAGCTGGCTCAGCTTGGCCAAGCTTCCTGTATGCTTCCGGAGCTGCTGGTGGGACGTTTGCTCTTTCGTTTGGAACATCTCTAAACGCAAGCTGTTGAGCCGCATTTGGGAAGAGCTTCTCGTCTTCTTGGTTGAGATCTCGCTTTATATCCAGACTCTTACCCCGTGGTGCCAACATACTCTGGTTGAATGGTTGATGACCGTCTGAAGGAGGCGGGGATTTGTTCCGCTTGTGATCAGCAACTTCTTTGGCCTCTCGATATTTGTGCTTGATCCATTTAATAGGTCCTTTGGGGTCATCCTTCTCATCCTTGGAGCTATCATACGTGTAAGCGCGATCGCTGACGCTTCCCAATTGCTCAGTGCTCTCGCCAGTGAAGCTCTTGCGAGGCTTGGCAATGGCACTTCCAATCGATGTGGTGCTAACATCTGCGTTATGGTTTGAGCCAATGTTGAATACTGGCGGCGACGCCCTGGGGCTGGTCGGCCCGCTTGGGAAATCATCTTTCTTCGTCCTTGACAGTCTCCATCTGCTCTTTTTCTCTTTATCCGCAGTCTCAACGATTGCCGGCAAGGGGGGCTCTTGAGCCACCTGCTCAAAATCCGATCCGTCATTGAACGATGAATTAACTGAAGCAGGAGGGGACTTCTTTCCCCGTGGCGCAGAAACATCCTCGGGTCGAAGGTTATGCTCATGGTAATGTGAAATCGAATGATTATGCGAGTGATTATGCGAGTCAATGTGATTCTGATTCTGGTGAATGACAGGGGTCGAGAGCTGGTGATGCAAATCCGGCTGCTTTGGAGAGTCTATGGCCGGTGTCGAAGCAGAAGGCGCTGGCTGTGGAACTGAATGAGGAATAGTACTTGGACGAGGTTGGGGCTGTGTTATGGGCTGTGCAAAAGGAGGTGCTGCTTCCAAAGGGTTTCCTGCTTCCGTGCCTGGTGAGGCGGAGTGTGGGAGTGAGGAACACGAGCTCTGGGCGCTAATACTCATGCTGCCTGGTATCCGTTTCTTCTTGAGCTTGTTTGGCTGTCTTTTATCGCCGCTACTGCTCTCGTGGTTTGGAGACCGCTGGAACAGGTGCTCTAATTTTTGATGATGCTTTGAGGACGCCGAGTTGTCGTGCGGGACGTCCAACAGCCTCTCTTGGCTTCGACCAGCTGATAGTATGCGATCGGGGGCGAGGTGCATTGAGTCGAAAGTCGTATGTGATGGGGTCGGCGTAGCAGCTCTGTAGGGGGTATCAATGACGTCCTGCTGAGGTAGGCGAGCCGGTGTCAGCGGCTCCAAGGCTGGTGAATGTGGTGCGCGACCAGGGTTCTCATTCTTTTTGAATTTGCCCCCTACCAGAGCCGGTGACTTCTTGGACGGTACGGTATTGCTTCTAGCCAAACCACCACCAGTGGGCGTTGCAGCCAAGGCCGGGCTGTTGGGGGTGACGGCACCATCAACCCTGGAGTGCCTGGAGGACACGGATCTATTTCGTCGAATCAAGCCATCTTTGCGGATGCTCTCGGCACCAGCACTGGCGTTGGAAGCCGTTCTCCCCAACCCCGAATTTCGATCTTGGTTCGGCGTACGCGGGGGGTTGGGCGTCGTCCCAGAGGCCACTTGCTGCATCATTGTCTCGTCTGCCTCGGTGCCCTGCATCCCAATGAGGAAGTGGTCTTGATTTTCGATGAGAAAAATGATGACGCATTGATTTAGGCGATACTCTTCAGGTGCCATGGCATGCGAGGGGTGGGATAGCATGCCGGGCTGGAAAATGGCAGCTAGGTTCTGCGAATTCATGCGGTTTTCGTCAGACTTGGCGGCAAATACGGCCAGCAGATCCAGGATGTAGAGAAGCAACTGCTTGTTAAGCGGAGGCAGTTCCGTAATCAGCTTCTGGTATTTCACAATGGCTGCCCTCTCATCAAAATTCTCAACAAATTGCGGACCCTCGGTATCTCCAACTGCTTGCTTTGTAGCTCCACGAAGGGGGTCGCGGAACTTTTCGTATAGGTCTAGGGGTACTACGGGTTCGGGTAAATCGTTGAGATATCTCCGGAGCACGTTGGCAGCATCGTGAACGGTATAGCCTTCCCAAACGAGCCCCTTGCCATATCGATCAGGCGAATCGAAAATCGTCTTGAGCTCTTTGATTCGTTTCTCGGAACCACTCAATCGGAAGATGCCTTCAATACCAGTAGCTGGGGCGGGTGTTAGTAGCTAATCATAATTCCACGAACCGACCGGCCCCCTTCTTCGTCAGACGTACCCTTTTCCTTCAAGAAGACACCGCATTTAGCGACTACAATAGGAACATAGCCGTAAATGTAGCTCTTTCCATTCTCATCAACAAGAGAGATGGCAACATTTGCGTATGTTATGCTCTGTCGGAGAGGAACACCAAATATGCCTCCGCTGCCACGGTGGTCTAAAAATTCAGGAGATTAGTTCAGTGTGTAAACACAAGTAAGATGGCGCATTAGGAGAAGCGTTTCTTCTTTTTCTCTCGTTCAGTTCATGGACATGGACAAAGTAGCCAAGGGACGGCAGAAACGATTAGTTGAAACAGCCAGGGAAAGAGGGAAAAGGGTTTGTATCGCTTGACACGCCTTTCAGCTATGACTATTCAATGGCCAAGCAAACTGCGACAAGAAGTCCCTGGCTTCAATAGGCATGTATGGTACGCAACGAAACGCAACCTAGCAAATTGAAAAAAATCGATACCAGATGATCTGAATAGCGACCAGAGCTTCCTGAACGAGGCAAGCCGTCTGCGGATAAAGGTATGAGGGCCGACGGAGGGGAGTGTTGTGGAGGTTGAGAGCGTACCCTGCTGAGACGTTTCCTGGTGCTTGGTCGGCAGCTTGAAGTTCTTCCACCACGACTTGAGGTCGCGTTTGTTCGGCGGCGACGCAGGGGTGTTGGGCATGGCGGGCAGCGACGGCGGGCTGCCCTGATGCGGATTCGGATTGCTGGACGTCATGGCGGGCGCCAGCGCGAAGAGGGCAGACGGCGAGAGACGGGCAGCGCAGCCAGAATCAATGGGCGGGCAGACTCAGCGAGGCCGCGAATTGCCCAGGTCGACGGAGGGAGGGCGCAACGAGCGATGGACTCGGTCCCCCGAGAGGGAGGGCAAGAGAGGAGAAGAGAAAGTGGTGAGCGTGAGCGTGAGCGCGAGCGAGAGTTTGAAGGAGAGGCGAGAGCGAGAGGCGAGAGGCGAGAGGCGTGAGCGAATGCAATGGAGCAAAGCTGGAGGTTCGCAGAGGGCGCCAGAGTCGGGGAGGTGCGTCAACGAGCGTCGATGATTGCGCAAAAACGAGGAGCGAGTGCCTCGTGGTCTCGTCGCTTAGCTCAGGCGGATGAGAACGAGACGCTTCGGCGGGCAGCGAGCGGGCGGGCGGCAGAGCAGGCGATGCGAGGGTCAAGTAGCGGCCAGATGCCCCGACAAAGGCCCAGCGACATGAGGGACGCGATTCCAGCGGCGGCGGTGATGGACGGGCGCGGAGCGAGGTTGGAGGAGGAGGCACGGCGTTTGGCTGAGAGGCCGGCGGTGGTGTTGCAGCTTTGTCGCCGTGAGGTTTTTGGTGGCGGGTGGCACAGCGTAGCGGTACGGCGGGTACTGCGAGGGCGCCGCGGGCCAAGTACTGGGGAGTACCTCGCGGTAGCAGCGTCGCACTGGAGCGAGGAACCACGGGATGGCAGGTCACAGCGCTAGGCGCTCTAGCGGCCCCGAGACACGCAGACAAGGCAGCTCACCAGGCTCTGCGCTGCCCATGTGCCGGGCCGGTACCTGTGCCATACAAACGTGTACGTGGGCTGCAGGCACGCTTCTTTTGTGGCGCGGGCTTATTATTAGAAGCCCCATGTGCGTGGGAGAAGCTGTTCTGATACATGATACACACGATACATTTGATGACAGCCAATGCTTGACGGGGCATTCCTTGCGGGAGGATGGCTGTAAAACACAGGGGGCTCCAGAGTAAGGCCGCTGCAGGCCCAGGACAGTTGCAGTCGCAGCGGCGGGAAATGGCTGGACAAGGGGAGCAGGCGATGATACACCACTAATACAATACTACAGTCTCCGTTAAAGCTGAGCTGAGTGCCTTGGAATCAAGTCTTGCACTGCTTCTTACATGTTCTTACATGTACAAGTACTCTTACGCGCAAACCAGCCCCTCCATGCGCGAGCAATGGCTCCGACCAGGGCAGCGAGGCGGTGCACGCGCAAAAACGAGGGGGAGGCAGAGGCATCGGCAGACAGCAAATGACGTTGGGACAAGGCGTTAATTTCTGGATGATCGGCGCCTGGATCTTCGAAAGGCAGCGCAGCGCAAACAAGGCCATGACCCCTGCAAGGCGCTGCGGCGGACGTCTCGAGAGGAGGGGCCGCGACCTGGTGGGTGGACTGGACTGAGCTGAGCTGAGCTGAGCTCGAAATTGTCTCTCTCGCTGTTTCTTGTCCTCATGTCTATTACAGTATATCTGAGTCTCAATGTATGATGAATCATACGGCTATCATGTACCGCCCAAAAAGGGGGCGCTACAGCATAGCTGAGCTGCTAGCGGCCCAGTATGACAAGACTACCTGTAGACTACCTGTACCTAGCCAAGGGAGATGACATATACGATGACTTCGTATTATACCACCTATTCCAACAAGGTCAGAGCTGCAGGCCAATATTGATTAATATTGATTAACAGCTCCATCGCCCTTCTCTTTTTCCAGCATAGCCATATGGGGTCGTGCCCGTGCTAGCGGCAAGGCCAATATCGCTCCAATCCTGCCAATCTCCAGCTCTCTCTCAACTTCAGTGGTTCCAGCAATTGAGTTTACATGCATATACCTATACGCGGGCACTTTTAGGCGCTTAGCACCATCGACAACTTAGCTCGCCCTGAAGATGCCAATCAGACGTCACGGCACAGGCTCTTCGTATTTTTGTTGACTCCCAGCCGTAATCTGGTGCGCGACAGGCTGCTTTGCTCACCACCAGCAACATCAACAATCGCTGAAAGACGGCTATCGAGGTACACGACGTGACGAGGCTTGTTCACGACGCCGTTGTGGCTTGGACGGCCAGGCTGACGGACGTCGTATCATCGGCTTTCTCGTATGTAGGTATCCGGCCAACGACAAGGTTACGGAGATATCGTCATTTTCACACCAATCCCATGCATTTGAAACCTCGCCCGGGTTCCCGGCGCTTTTATAGAGAGCGAAGAGGCGATTGCTGCATTGCGCCTTGACCAGGGGATTGGATAAAAGAGCCAAACATCCGAGCATAGCCACACCGGTCCGTCCCAGTATTTGCGACTCACGATGGATGATGTTCGCGATTAACGATGCAGCCGAGCAATCCAGGAACTGGTAAAGCAATACGGATTCTGACGTCTTTGTGTTATATTCTAAACCAGGTCCCATGCTATCGTCTTGCACTAATGCAGGCCGGGGTAGAGCTGAGCTGTGTAAATCCGATTGTAGATACGAGCCACATAGAGAAAGAGAAGGACGATGGCTTCAACTTGCTGCTCCATCGAGAAACTCTATAACAATCGTGTAACCTTGACCTCATTGCTATGGAGCTCGTCTTTGCTGTTTTAGCCCGGCAGTCTGCTCCAATAGAGATGAAGAATTCGAACTGCGAGCAGCCGCAGCGCCCTGATTATTAATTCTTTGCGATATACGAATAAAGATACTCAAGGCTTGTGACTTGACCACATTCGATATACGAGAACGATAATAGCATCCAAGAGGTATGGTCATGTTGACTATAGTACCCATGTAAAGAAGGGCTTTCATAAACCCAGAAGAACTTGGGTTTAACAGTCGAGTAGAACAAACCCAACAGAAATAGCTTACTCTAGATGAAAATAAATGAAAGTAAAAATAGTAAATTATTGAAACATTTTTTGATCATTGCTTACCGACAATGAAATTGCTCCTCTTCAGCTTGCGCACAAGTGCCATCACCGCTTGGTGTTGGATAGCCTCTCACAGCATTGACTCTCACAGCACTTACTCTCACGACCAGTCAGACCAACAACCGCCTTCTTAGACTGAATAAGCCACAGATCAGCTTTCCGTAATATCCGTTAAATAATAAACAAAAGTAGAAAAGAAAAGAAGTAAAGCTTGAATGGAGAGGGCAAACGTGTGTAATCGCGATACTGTTTTCGCGTTGGGGCTCTTTGAGATGGTGATCAGTGTGAGACAGGGAGCCAAAGATGTTATATGAACAGCTTCAAAGTCGCTGCATGCTCCAGTATTGAAACTGCTTCCTTGAGCTACTACTTTCTATGATGTGCTGTCGTAAGCTCGTGCTGAGATGCTGGTCCGTCTAGATGCTCTTTGTCTAGCGCCCTGTTTTGGACAGCCACTACGTTGTCTATAAGTGATATCGCCTCTTCGGCTTCTTGATTATAAAGATAGGCTATTATGAGTGTCAGTTGTGATGTCAGTAGAACTGTTAGTTGAACTGTTGTTGAGCCATATTACTTCCTTTTCATGTTCTTCCCTGCATCGCCCCGATATTCTCTAGTATTCGTGTCGTCTTACTCGCCTATCCATTTCCATATTCACGGCGTAACTCTCTGTAAACCTATACTGCGATGATATGTTCTGTATGCTCCTCGCTTAGTATTCTACCTCTAGTCGCTACCACATTCCCATCAATAGATACCGACTTCTTAGTTTGACCGTCAACGCAATGTCAGACTCCGAGCAGTGTAGTGACGTCAAGCTATCCAAGCACCCCTTCATTCTATATCTTTGATAGGCTATTAAACGTTCTAGCCGGTTGTTGAGGTTCAAATTGCCTACTGAGATCCAAATGTGGTAGTTCGGTTATTCTCCGTTTCTGTAGAATAATGCGTATTATATCTCAACCTGTTTCAATTCATAACGCCGTGGCTCTTAACACACTGGGTCCATATCAGTATGATAGCCAAGGCAGATGCGCGATGCACTCCGACGATATCCGTGGCAATATTTCGAGACATACAGTTTATCTTTTCAGGCATCTAGATGAGCATATCAAACAGATTTGTTATAAATTCTAGAAACTTTTTGTGAATTTTGCAAACGACGGCTTATACGATTCTCAACCACTTTCCTACCTTGGTCTGCATCCAGAAATCACCGCAACCCACGAGCTCTCATCCCCAGTCATTTGTAACGAGGCCCGTGGTTTTCGAGAGTTGGTCTCCATCAATTGCCAACATGGACTGCTGTGTAAAAGTTGAAGCTACCCATTACCATTCACTGAATGTGGTTGGGCTACAGTGCATATCAGGCAATACAAGTCTCGACACTGTATAACCTCGCATTCGCTCTAAGCTACATCCGTCATCCGTGCGCAAAAGAAGGCTTCCACACTTCAATGTGGGGTGCGAACCGTCTCGAGCAACTTTGAAATTTCATCGTCATCAGTCTCCAGACTAAGAACCTCCAAGCCAAAACCACCTTTAACCACCATCTAACCGTCCTTTTCACCACCTCCAATACCGCCACAATGGATATGTACGCATTCCACGTATCCAAACTCCAAAGCAAAAAAGGGACTACAAACTAACACCAATCGCAGGTTAACAAATGCCGAGCAGCGCACTCTCGAGCAGCGCATGCAGAAGCGCCAAGTCAAAGAGTTCGTCAGCGTACGTCTCATCTCTCTCCTCCTCGACACACCCTCGAAAAGCGATATGAATTCCCCAATTAACAACAATCCATTGTCTAGGCTTTCGGCGGTCTTGTCGAGCACTGCTTCACCTCCTGCGTCGACGACTTCACCTCCAAATCTCTCTCCACCAAGGAGACCGGCTGCCTCAACCGCTGCGTCCTCAAGTGGATGGCCACGCAGCAGCGCGTGAGCGAGCGCTTCCAGGAGCACAACGCCCAGATTACGCAGCAGATGCAGAAATAAAAATACAATAAAAATAAAAATAATATAAAACTATTTATCAGGACAAAACGAAAAGGCAACAAACGAACTAATGTTCCTCGACATAATAATTTTTTTGATCTTGATGGCGGGATAAAAGGGCGTACTACTTATTTTTGGCTACTTCTCCGGCCTGTCTAAAGCTATCTGTTGGGAAAGGCGTGTGTTGAAACCTCTACACTCCGAGGCATTGTACGATATAAATAGCTACCTATGCCAGGAAACCACCTTGACTCGAGGAGATGAGTCGTTTGTATCAATATTACGGGAATTCGTTAGAGTCAGGTAGTTGGGTAGCTGGGAACGAGAGCTGGTGTTGTTGGTTAACGTCTCAATGCTGGAAACCCGATAAACCGATTTACACAAAATGGGATAAACATCTCGCTCAATGGGAATTAATTTTAGATGCTCGAGTTTATAGTTGTATACTTCGTATCCACAGGGGAATTCTGCATGTGACATCTGATGCAGCAGTAGCCCAGTCCAACATCCAACGCCTAATCCTGAAATCCATCATCATCTCCGGCACTCTCGTCTAGTAAACTCAAATCAAATCCGATATTTATTCATTTCAGCCTTCAAATTCGTCGCTAAGCACATCTCGAACGGTCTCAAGCTGTGCCACCACCTTCTCCTCTAGCAGATTGTCGCAATCCCCTGACAATTTTCTTCCTCTCCATTCCATTTCTCGCTGTCCCAGAGGCAGGAGCCGCTCCTTCAAAAGCCGTCTGCTGGAAAGCCAATAGTCGACGTTTTCAAGTAAACTTGTCGCGTCCCATTCGACCGCGGGAATGTCTCTGCTGTTGTTCATCCGTAGAGCCGTAAGCACACGCGTGAGCAGTGCTAAAGAGTGAACCTCTGCGGTACCAAGGAGCGTCAGATACTGCGCAGACTTCTCCTTTGTCCGGCTGGCCCCCGGCGCCTCGAATCGGTCAACGCTAGCTCGTAGCAGGTGTGGAAACTGGTTCAAGACATATGTAATTTCGGGAGCAACAGTAGCGCCAAGCGCGGTGAGTAGATTGAGCATGAGTGGGAGCATTCCCTTTACCCAGATACCATAACACCGTTGGGCAATTGGTACATCTGCGTACGGCGAGACATTGGTTCTGAGCATGAATTTGGTGAGATTGGCAGACAAGATAGCCCCAAGAACGCCATCGCACGCAAGCTGCTCCGCCAATGCTGGCAGAGTTGAGAGCTCCAGTAGGAACAAAATACTGAGTTCGCCATAAACTGGGTCGCTTTGGTCGCCAAGTTTATCAGCCCACGAGTATAATGACGTTGCTGCATGCGTAACATCGTGAGATGCCATTATGTTCAGGATTGGTGTCTGAGATTGCTCAATGTTGGGAACGCTGAGACAAGCTTGCATGATTGCCGTAAGAAGCGCCAGATCCTCTGGAAATACATCAGCCTCCCTGTCATGGATCAAACTGACCAATGTTCTAAATCCTCTGGCAACCACATGGTCTAGAATGTTGAGAACAGTTTGCGTAACATTTACCATCGACCCTTCGAGATTATCGGGAGTGTTCGTGGCTACTTTGCTGGATGCCGCCTGATACGCCCGCAGAGTAACAAACAGCGTCTTCAAGAGAGTTCGATAATAAGCAATGGACTGAGCTTCAAACGGTTCATCAACGCTATTGATGGTGCCGATCAAGGTCTCTAGTAGCTGGTTGATGTCCTTGACAGCAAGAGTGGATTTTACCAAGCGCTGAACCAAAATGAGAGACAAGTTGGCTCTCGCGTCGACAATCTTGAGGAAAATACTCCCAGGGCCGGGAGTCACCTGGTTGGCATTCAGGCACTGCTGCACAACCTGCATCATCTGCTTCTTAGTAGTATCGCTTTCTGGGAAGCATGTGCTCAATTCAAGCAGCAGTAGCTCCCAGGCGTGGAAAAGAGCCTAAACAAAAAGTAATCAGTTAGAAATTATAATTCTCCGCGTACAAAATCTGGAGAGTACTTACGATTTGAGCATCGACTAGTGACAGGTTGGCGTTTGCAAGCTTCATCTCGTTCAAGAAGCCAGTTCCCTTCCTCTTTCCACGCCACCCCGGGTCAAATCTCAAGACTTCATCGGCACGGTCCAGGTCGTAGTAATAGTTCTCGCCCAGCTCTCTAGGCTCCACCATGGTACGCTTGAAATTGTCCACGGCACATCCAGAGTATTTATTGGAAAAGTTCTTTGCAAAGTTGTTGTGGAGAGACTTGTTGTAGCTTGCCACCTCAACACCATCGCGCAGATAGTAGTCCAAGTCGTTGACTAAAGCTTTGGCAAGCGTCTTGGCATTGCCTAGATGGCGCGAATGATAGAGTTGCATCGCGAATGTTTCGGCAATGTATGCAGCAATTCTTGCTTGGATACTAGCCAGCACTGCATTTGATTTAACTGTCTGGTGTGAAGGTTTCAAGTCGCGAACGTAAGCTCGCAGCCCATCTATGTACGCAGTATCTTTCTGCAGAGTGAACACCGTCCAGGGCCAGTAATTTTGTGCAGATGCGACAAAATCCAAAACAACAAGCGCCTCGCTTGTTTCCAGGTCTTTCAGGGTTTTGAGCTTAGACAGAGCCGTTGCGAATACAGAATCCGCAGACGTTTCGTTCTTAGCATCTTGTTTCATGGCCTCTCTGGGCGTTTGTCCCGTGAGAAGACAGTTGGACATCCACTGCTGGCGGTTCTTTAATATGGAGGAGAAGAATCTCCAAGTAATCTTAACTACTTCCGGCAAAACAAAGGGTTTTCCGATTGTTGCAAGAATCTGTAAGAAAGACTTTGAGATTTGTGGGCCGAGATATCCTAGTAATGAGGGAGGTTCGCTGGCAGATTGGCCAGCGTTGATGACGAGGGCCTCCAGCAGCGATAAAGCTGGCCCGCGGAAGTGGTCAGACACTGCGCATAACCGGGCTGATAAAGTGGAAGTCTTGAATAGGTAAGTCTCAACCAAAATCGACGGGCGTTCCAGATAGTTTGCTACCCGAAGTAGAGTGGTAGAAAAGTCGAGGATGGAGGTGACCTGAGTTTGGATAGCTTGTGTTCGGTTAGGATATAGCGTCGTATCTGGCGCTGTGAGGGTAGAGATGAAAGAGGAGAGGAGAGGCTGGAAACGCAAGCTTCCTGTCGAAGGCGATAAAAAGGAGTCGATGACGTGAGAAGCGGCAGGTTGGAGGCAAGACGTGAGATTGTCGGGCTTGGGAGAATCTCCCATGCTGTACGTATCGAGGACAATTTTGTTGAGAAGGGGAACGACAATCTGCAACAGCGATATCCTGCTGGTTTCTGATTCAAACATCCATGTCGAGGTGTTCTCAAATACGTCAACGGCGGTTTGAGCAATCGAAAAGCTCACGCTGGAAAGTACTTTGTCGGCGGTTCCAAGCCAAATATTAGATTCTGGCTGTTGCCGGCTCGTAGTCTTGGTTCCTGCCCGTCGCTGGACTGCGGAAGACATGACAGTATCGATGAGTCCAGAAAACAGAGACAGTGAGGATGTGAGGAATTCGAATCTCTCTGAAACCAAGTCAAGACTGCCCGTGATTTTGGTGAGTTTGCCAGCTCTTGACTCAGAGTTCAACAGTTCTGTCCTTGCGAGATAAGACCAGACTCGGCTGGGTTGGATCTGCAGAACAGCATGCAAGAACTTGACACAAGCAGTGAGAACGCTCACGGCAGAGTCCTCAGTCATGGCCAGCTCATCTTGCATATAGTAGTCCATTGTTTCACACACAACAGTGACAATATCTTTGCCACTGCTAATGTGTACGCTAGCCTCGGACAATATGCCGCCATCGAAATGGGTCAATGCGCCACTGTCACCCTGTCTCGTAGCCTTCAACTGCTCCATTCGAAGCAGCGAAGCGAATAATGAGATGACTTCGGCCGTCTCATCTGACTGCAGCATTCCCAGCTCGCACCGGTAGCCTTCTTGTGTGAGGCTGATCTCTAACCGCCGTCCCAGGAGGGACAGAGTTGAATGAGAATATTCCATCAAGACAACACGACCGGTATCTGTGATAAATCGCCCATATGTGCCTACCGGTATTCTATAAGCGTCATCTTCGATGAACCTCCGGCTCCATGCAGATGACAAAGTGATCAAAGGAAGCTCCTCCAAAAGGCAAAACGAATTTGTATTCTCGTCTTCCTGGACTAGTTCATATTCTTGAAACGAATCAGGTAGTGTAAATGTAATCGTTGGAGTCTGGCGGAGAAGATCCAGAATAACTTCAGTTCTATCATCCTGAATCTGCTCTGACGCAGTGCAAAGCGTCCGGCATAGCGTGATAAAAGGGAGGAACTCGTAAGGATATCGGTCAAGGGCCTGTTGGAAAAAGAAATCCATGGCCAGGTCATCCTGTAGCACGGATGCGTGGAAGTCTTGGGATGGGGGCAAGTTTTGCAATGCAGATAAGTCCCAGTAACCGCATCCAGGAGAAAGAAGGGAGAGCAGACAGCTCACAGAGTCCGACTGGTATCCAACAAAGGGATAGGAAACCTTCAAAAGCTCTAGGAAGATTACTCGAAGGCGTGAGCTGATTAGCGGTGACATGCTACCGTCTACAGACGGGCCCAGAGTTTGGGTCATCTTCGACATTACATCAAAGACTCGGCCTTGAACCGTGGCGACCGCTGCGAGTTGCTCGACTACCTGCATATCTCTAGGGGTTGATGCGTTTTCGAGAAATCCATCGAATTTTGACGATTCAATGGAATATATGCTCCCAGCTGAGTTTCGCCGTCCTCCGGTAGGCGTGCGCATCACACTTCGAGTTTCAAATCTTTCTCGGGCGCTCTGCTGAATCAAATTGTCTCTTCTATCAGATCTGGTTTGATAAGATACGTTGAGTCGATGAAGGATAAATGACCAGGTGAAAATGATGGGGCAGGCAGTTTCAGAGTCGAGGCCAGCCGCGTCCAAGATGCTTTTGTGAATCTGTTCTAGGACATCCGGCGAGAGCAAGTAAGAATCATATACATCATCAGCCTGTGCCGGATCTTCGTCTCGGTCAGACAGATATGCGAGTGCCTTTGCGGGTTTAAGCAAGCTAATCGATATGGCTGAAGCTAAGGCTTTCATGGGCATTATGAGCTCAGCAGTGATTTGGTCGATCTGCGCGCTGGTTAGCTAGTACAAAATGAGAGAATTTGCGAAAGCACATACTGGCTGAATGGAATCGAAGAAGCCATAGATTTCCATTAGGGAAAACCATTGGTTGATGGCTCCAGAGGGAGGGAAGTCGTTTCCATAACAGTCTACTACTTGAAGAACCACGGACAGGCTGTGAACAATCTCAGTCAGGAGACTTCGAAGCCAATCAAGCTCTACTTCGTCGTTAAGAAGCAAGGCTTCATCTGTAAAGGCTCTCATGCCGGCCTCGATCCCACTCATGCTGCTGGCTACAATGCCCAAATAGGCCGGCAGCAGATCTTCCATCTCATCGCGTAGCTGAGCAGACGGCTTCTTCAGTTTATATAAATCGGCAATACTGTCATCTCCAGGGGCGAAAATAGGAAGACGTTTGTACAATTTGATGGAGGTTGCATAGTCCGCAGCCATTATGAAGAATCGACGTTCGGTCAACAGGGTATCGAACAGGCGACGCTTTTTCGACTCCGAGTTTTCGAATTCTGCTGAAATCTCGTCGGCATCTAACGCTGCAGAAGCGCCCATCTCAGATAAGAATGCTGCTCCCTGGCCATTTTGCAAGCCTGCAGCTTCTTGAAGATTGGCAGCATCGTGGGATGATAGAGGGCCCAAAAGGTGCCTTGAAGAACGGGACTGGTACTCGATGATGACAACTCGCAGAGCAGCTACCAAGTTGACCTTGGCATTCCTGCTGAGCCACTTTGCATCCTCCTTGAAAACGTTTATGTCGTGCCGATCGGTCGAGGCTGAGGTCACGTTGATTGGTGCCGTCTTGGTCTCGAAGTCCTTGTTTGTGGCCTCGTCCGGCGGCGCAAACGCGGTCGACGGCTCGCGCAAGAGGCCACGGACGTAGTCGTCATCGAAGAACTTTGTGATGGCAGAGCTCTTCTGTCTCTGCCCGGCACCGTCTGAAAGCGCGGTGGCGACAAGCTTCCAAGACCTGGATGCTGCTGTTAGTTGCATCCCCATCAGACCCAAGGCGCTGCACTCACACAAGCTCCTTCTCCCCAGAGAGGCACTGTCCCACGGAGGGGAAATAATTGCTATCGGACACCGGCGCCATTGCCACGACTGTCAATAAGGCGGCAGAGGTGCTCGCCGCATCACCTGGAAGCTGTTCGTGCGAGAGCGCTGGCGATTCACGTCTTGACGCGCTTTTGGCAACGGACTACGGGATTCTGCTCGGCGGCAGCATCAACAAGCTGCATGGCTAACTTTTTTGGCAAAGCTCCCAGGAACCCGAGGTTCAGCCGCGATAGTGCCTACTGTGTCTAGAACAGATTGCACTGTGCAGTTGCACTACCGGACCAGCGCTGGATGCGTCCGCATTTTGTTGGTCGATGCCACAGAGATCGGCGTCTTATCGGCAACTGGAATAGGCGTTGGTCAGATTCCTAGCTAGGTGCTAAGCAATTGAATAAGTGGCGCTGCCAGAAATTGTTTCCATTCTTCTTGTTAGTCTGGCTGACTCATTTGACAATAGCAAGGCGAGACATTCTGACATCTGGCCTGGAAGAGCAAACTTTCTTTCTTTCAGCTTACCAGCCTGTCATCCGGAATCCGGGCCCGTCTCTCTGTTCTCGTCGGCAGCTGCGTCCTTTTCATTCAAGTCCACGATGGCTTCTCTCACCATCATCGATCACTCGCCTCACCAGCCGGAGCCGTCTCCGCCAGTCGCTACAGCCTCCAACCTCATTCTCATTGACAACTACGACTCATTCACCTGGAACATCTACCAGTACCTCGTCCTAGAAGGTGCCACGGTCCATGTCTTCAGAAATGACAAGATCACGGTAGAGGAGCTGATCAAGAAGAATCCCACCCAGCTCATCATCAGCCCTGGCCCTGGTCACCCTCAGACGGACTCTGGTGTCAGTCGAGATGCGATTCGCCACTTTGCAGGCAAGATTCCCGTCTTGGGAGTCTGCATGGGCTTGTAAGTCTTCTCCCCACTCATAATTAATTTAGTTGTTCATAAAACTTACATGATGCAAGGCAATGCATGTTTGACGTCTATGGCGGAGAAGTTTCTTCCGCTGGCGAATGGCTACATGGAAAGACCTCCCCCTTGACTCACGATGCCAAGGGTGTCTTTGCTGGCCTGCCTCAGGGTCTTCCGGTGACCAGATACCACTCGCTTGCTGGTACTCATCTCACTCTGCCTGAGCGCCTTGAAGTCACCGCTTGGGTGGACAAGCCCGATGGCTCAGCCGGCATCATTCAGGGCGTTCGACACAAGGAATTTGTCCTCGAGGGTGTCCAATTCCACCCGGAGAGTATCCTCACAGCCGAAGGCCGTGTAATGATCAAAAACTTCCTCCACATGCAAGGTGGTACCTGGGAAGAGAATGAACGACTTCAAAAGGCTGCATCAGTGAGCAGCGCCAAGCCTGCTGCGCCTAAGCCGCAAAAGAACAACATCTTACAGAACATCTACGCAAGCCGAAGGGTTGCCGTAGCAAAGCAGAAGGAGATTCCATCTCAGAGAATGAGCGACCTGCAAGCCGCATACGACCTGAATGCGGCTCCGCCCCTTGTGCCATTCGTCAGCCGATTGAAGCAGACGCCTTTCGATGTATCTCTCATGGCAGAGATTAAGCGAGGCTCTCCATCCAAAGGTGTCTTCGCATTGGAAACTCAGGCTCCCGTTCAGGCTCACAAGTATGCCCTGGCTGGTGCAAGTGTCATCTCTGTTTTGACAGAGCCCGAATGGTTCAAGGGAAGCATCGAAGATCTGAGAGCCGTCCGCCAAGTTTTGAACGGCATGCCAAACAGACCAGCCATTCTTCGAAAAGAATTCATCTTTGAGGAGTATCAGATTCTGGAGGCAAGGCTGGCGGGAGCGGATACAGTGCTTTTGATCGTTAAAATGCTCGAAGTCGAGCTACTGGAACGATTGTACAAGTACTCGCAATCTCTAGGAATGGAGCCCTTAGTAGAGGTGCAGAACGCAGATGAAATGACGATAGCAGTTAAGCTTGGTGCCAAGGCCATTGGTGTGAATAACCGAAACCTCGAGACATTCGAGGTTGATATCAACACTACGGGTCGACTACGAAGCATGGTGCCCGACACTACCATCATCTGCGCACTGAGTGGTATTAACAAATACCAAGACGTTTTGGACTGCAAGAAAGATGGCGTCAATGCCGTCCTCGTTGGCGAGGCCATTATGAGAGCCCCAGATGCTTCGGTTTTCATCAGCGAACTGTGCTCCGGCAGCAAACCACCGCCAAAGGACAACTCCCTTGAGAAACTACACGTCAAAATCTGCGGCACAAGAAGCGTGGAAGCCGCGTTAGAAGCAGTCAAGGCGGGTGCCGATTTTATTGGCGTTAACCTAGTCCCTGGAGCCAGGCGAGCTGTTTCCCACGAGGTTGCCTTGGCCATCTCAGACGCAGTCCACTCAGCTACCAAGTCGTCAGAAGCCTCCGCTAAACTCTCAATCCCTGCGTCAAGTGCCACAGATTTCTTCTCACTCACAACAAACAACCTCAAGACCCCTCGTACGCAGGTAGTTGGTATATTCCAGAACCAGCCTCTAAGCGAAGTTTTGGAAAAACAGAGGCTTTACAACTTGGATCTAGTGCAACTTCACGGCGAGGAGCCGATCGAGTGGGCCAAGGCTATTCCAGTTCCCGTCATTCGCTGTTTCAAGCCTGGACATCCCAGCCTCGGTATCCGAGGATATCACGCCGTACCTCTGCTGGATTCCGGAGCCGGGTCCGGCAAGTTGTTGGATGTCTCAAGCGTAAAGGAGATTCTACGAAAGGATCCAGATTTCAGGATCTTCTTGGCTGGAGGCCTCAACCCCGAAAATGTTGCAGAAGCAGTCAATGCCCTTGGGGAATACAGCAGCCAGGTGATTGGAGTGGATGTTAGCAGTGGTGTTGAGGAGGATGGCAAGCAAAGCTTGGCTAGAATTACGGCCTTTGTTAACGCCGGAAAAGCAATTAGGTAAATGACAAGTATAGAAATCTTGGACTGGGATATAAAAGGATGGACTACGAAGTTAGATTAACTGAATACATGCTTGTTACCATTCATCACGTCATGAAATAGCATCACGTCTAGTATACAAGTCTTGGTGGCTTGCACTCGAATATTGTCTTTATTTCAGTGGCTAGAGGGAAGCAGTTTGTGGCCAACTCTACAAAGCACTTGTCCACGCTGCAGCTGATCTTGATCGCATCTGTCTTTGCAACACCAGATAACTCCAGTCTTTCTTGCAAGCTGTCCACGGAGGAATAACTACCACACCGCCAGTGCATTGCATATTAGCTCGTTCCGCCGCCGCATATTTACCAACCTTGACAGTACACCCTCCTAGTATCGAATAATTTCCTTCTCAGAGTTTACTTGCCTATTTTACCACTTCAAGATCTTCCAGATGTTTGCTAATCTCTTCATCTCTTCGCAACTCATCGCTTCTTTTTGTCTATAACTCACAACAATGCCTCGTCGGATATTCAAAAACCTCGTCATCGCCGCAGCAGGCCCTCTTCCCGGCCAACTCACCGTCGACAGCCTTCGACAATGGACTACAATTCGGAAAGGAGTCTTCACCGAGGACTTTGACGAGCACGTCACGCATCTTCTATGCACCAGAGAACAGTTCAACCAGAAGCTCCCAAGAAGTACATTTATCTATATTGCCATTACATCTCTCAATCTGAGTTATAGAACTTATCTAACCAGATCATAGTCAAAGAGGCGCTGGCCAGAGGCAAACAACAACACATTGTCCACTGCGACTGGTTCGAAATATCTGCCGTTAACGACAAGAAAGAGCCCGAGAGAGACTATTCCATGAGAAATATCCTTGCGAAACAAAACGCCGCGAAGAGAGAATTGGCTCGAATTGAGAAGGGGAAGAGAGAGGGCGAAAGAGCTGTCAATACAAGTAAGATGTACACGTCGTATCTCCAAATTTCTGTTTAAAAAGTCTTTTGTTAAACCAATGTCACTAGATTTGTTCCACATTTACATCGACAGAGAGTTTTTCTCATATCAAATCGACATAACCCGCGATGATGACGAAAAGGGAGAGTTGGGACAACGATATACACTACATGTAAGCAATCTATCAACCATACAACAAAGCGTGTCCATTCAATAACGTGGACAAAACAAAATACAGCTCTGGGAATCCAATGCCAAACCTCATCTCTACTGGTTCACCGCCAAATTCATGAAGAAGAAAGGAGACAGCCAACCCAGCTTCCACCGTCCAAGCCCCTGCTCTGGCCCATGGCGCCGAGAAATGGATCTCTTTGTGGACTTTTTCCGCATCAAGACGGGGATCGAGTGGCAGGATCGCGTGCTGAGGCAGAAAACCATGCCGAACTCATTTTTCCAGTATTCACCGCCGGTAAGTCGAACTTGTCTCAAAGCTTTCTTGCTCTTTTTCACCAGCTATCAAGGGTTTGATTGGATATGAATACTAAAAAAGGGACCGTGGTTTAGACAGGCGGAAAACCCGTCGGACGCCGTCTTCGATTTTGCTACGATTATTGTCTGGAAGTAAACGCCCAGCAGCGAGGCTTGCCCTGGCCACCGATAGAAAAGGTCGCTGAAGTCGAAAATGAAGAGGCAGCTGAAGCCGAAGACGAAGACGAATACTCAGTGACGGAGCTACAAAGCCCCGTCATGAATGTTTACGATCACGACACTATTCCCGTTGACGAAGTCTACATTGTATCAAGCCCCCAGTCTCCCCCAGAATCTAGTGCCAAGGGTGATGACGAAGAGAGCCGTGTCTCGGGAGACGAAATTGAAACAGAAGAGTACGTAATGTCTCAAGAAGTTGAGGAAGTTGAGGAAGTACCGAAACAATCGCATACCGATATGATTTTGGAGTCGTCCCAGTGACTTGGTATCAGATCCAAGTCATTCACAGTTCCACTGAAAAAGGCACAGAGCTAATACATGTACTCAATATGCATCTTCCTTGCGATTTCGAAATATGAGATCGAGCTTTTGACTAAAAGCAGCGACAAGAATAAATAGTTTTGATCGCCTAGTATTACATTAAGCCAAGAAATAATAACGCTTTCATCTATGCTGTACAATATCATTATCGTTACAACTGGTCCTCATCATGATCCCATCATTCAGTATCAACCTCACTCTCGCTCAAAACCTCAGTTTTGGAAATACAAATACAAACAGTATCAACGCCACCATCAAGCCATATACCCACGCATATAGCATCATCCTCCCCCACCACCCCTTCCCCTCAGTCATCTTCTTAAGGGACCCCATCCGGCCCTGTGCCGTCTCCATACTCAATTCCGACTTCTCCATGCTAGCCCCAGCAGCGCCAAGTAAATTTTTGTCCTCTTCGAGAGTTGCTGAGAAGCTTTTGGAGCTCTCCTTTAGCTTAGTCGCCAGATCGAGGATGGAATTCGAAATGGCGTCTTGTTCTGTTCGCTGCTGGTCGAGAATGGCCTCTGCCGTAGCTGTCGAAGCTTGGGGGCTTGCAGGTTTGCGGCGGCTGGCAAATAATGCAGCGCGAGCTGTGCTGTGGGATGAAGGAGTTGGAGAGGGGGCTGAGGAGCGGGCGCGCAATGATTGTGTCGTTTGCGTAGGGAGAACGTCGCTTGTATTCGCCTCAGCAGGTTCTATCGCGGTCGCGGTCGTGGAAGGATCGGGTATAGCTTCATTTTGCGCCGGAAGTTCGGGGGGCTCAGGCTCTGGTATTTTGGACTCTTCAAAGGAGTCTCCTCCCGGCGCATTCGACGATCGTCTTGAGTCTACACTCTCGCTCGGAGTAGGTATGATGTCCCCCAAAAGATCTTCTCCTTCGGATGAATCGTCTTCGTCTGCAGCCACCTAAGAATCATGTTAGCTTTGTCCCAAATCTTGCTGTATCAAAGACGAATTCACCTTTCTTAGGTCGTCCAACCGATCAAATAATAAGTCTAGGATTTCCCTTTGCGCTGTGAGATCGCTCTGTACATCTGCCCTCCTCCCCGGTAGCGTTTGTTCTAGCTTTGTGAGCGCTGCCCGCGCATATTGAAGGTTCTATAAAGACTCGTCAGCAGCGTAAATAGTCGCGACATATTCGTTCAGCCTTACAGCTTCGACCCTCGTCCTCTCAAACTCGCTGGTGCGCAGCCTTCGTTCACGTTCGGGACTCGGGTGTAGCACAGATTGCTTTAATCGGGAGAAGAGCTGCGCAAGCTCGGCTGGAGACAGATTTGGCGGTTCGCCGGCAGGTAAATTAGGAAGTATTGCCATGATGGTCCCGAGATTGATCTGTTTGGGCTGCTGGTGAGGTTTGCGACAGAAGTTGTTCCTGGCATGAGACACCTGACGCCAAATAGGCCTGCGACATGTAGCATTACGTCGCTACAAGGGTCTGTGGCTGAAGCTACTAGTAGTAGGCAGTGCGCCACAATTGGCCAACCAGGCCGCTTTTGCTATACGCGATGTCACTACAAGACGAAAAGGCCTGCGTTGCTCGAGATCAGATTACCGTACAAGGCTGCTACGTAAGCTACATAAGAATTGTAGACTATATTTTCCTATTTGCAATTCAGAATAATAAATATAATATTTCACCCACGCGGGGCTGTTTCGCAATGGATCCAACTTCGAAATAAATCCATTGCGACGCTTTGCGAGCTCCGTACTTGAAAGATGCCTATTGACTGAATTCCATAATCCGCATTACGCACCCCTTGCCAGAGCTCGGCGTGGTTACTGATATCCTAAAACTTTGAATGAGATGTTCTAGAAATAAAGAAACTTGATAGGTCCATAAGACCTTGAGAACGCCGCATGCTCCGTTGTCGCTCAAACAATGATTAAAGAAATAAATTGAACCGTAATGTTGTCCATGGGCTGCGTCTCTTTCTCATCAGCTGGGTAGTAATTGCGCCGATATAGCTCTGATTCTATCAGCCATTCATCGCTTGAACCAGTAGCATAGGAGTCGGTCTCAGGCCCATATCTTGTTGGGATATTGCCAAGCCAGAGCTCTCATGACGCCCTGAATATCCGGAATTATCGCTCTGTGCATATCCGTAATGATCGTCTCCCAAGGCATCGTGAGGCTCATTTACTGGCATCAGTCGCAGCAAACTGGTAGTAGTCAGGTAAATTGCTGCAAACCGCAAGCCATTGACGGTGCCGTGTATGTGAATCAGTCCTTCTCTTCATCTTCATCTTTCTTTGCCAGGGAATCCTTCAGCCTTTCCTCCTGTTTTTTCCAATGCCCTCCTTCTTCGTAGTCAGAGCTAATCTTAAGAGCTCTTCTTAGTCGCTCGCTTTCCTTGATCTTCGCGTCGGCCATCTCGTGCACCTGGTGCTCTTTGAACGTCTTTCTCGGCGCATTGGATTTATTCCTAGAATTCATTTCTGCAAGCAGCTTCGATCGTAATTCATCGCAGCGGCGATCGATCTCCTCTTCCTCGACTCTGGGAAGTATTTTAGAACTGCAGCTTTGCTTCTTAAGCCAAGAGATCCACCTACTCTTCTTCCTCGAGCTTGTCTCTCAGGTCAAACACCTTCACTTCAATTTCTCTCTTGCGATCATGTTCGAGGATCCCTTTATCGGGCTGTCTCTGCTTGTGTCGCATGTCCCGGTCCTTCGGGTACGGCGCGCCATAGTCGCGCGGCCTGACTTGGGCAAGATTTCGCTGGACGTAGCCAGAAGTGCCACTTCCTCGTGGAGTCGAAAGGCCGACGTTGTCTGACATGGCTGTTGTAATTAAAGTCGGCGATGAACGTAGATGCCTTTGTGTGTCGCGTCGAGGTTACTGCGCTCTGCTGAAGTTGGGCCTGCAGCTGCACGCAAATGTCATCATTAGCGGCTCTAGCGGCCAGTAACGACCCGAGACAGTGGAGGTTAGCACCGGGCGGTGAATCCTTTCCGCTGATAAAGCGCGGCAGAACTGGATAACGGAGGGGCAAATTGCCCCTCCAGCACTTTTCTTACCCTGCAGAATCGAGTATGAGTCAACATTTCTGAGCGTAGGACTGAATGCTCATTTAAACGGCCTTGTACATCCCCCGAGGCATCTTTTATTCCTATTCTTTTCCACAACAAACAGTTTTCAACTGGAAGCTTCTTCGAAATGCCACACCTAGCTGATAGTGATCCCGTCGAGGGCGAAGCGGCTGTCAAGTTCCCTCCCATCAGTAGAGATCATATCCAAAATTGTTCATATGAAGCATGGTTCCCCAAGTACCGGAGCTCATGTCTAAAGTCGCGGATAATACCACTATCTCCAGCATTCGTATCATATCTACACGAAGATGGCATCATTCTCGCGGATGACGATGAGACGAACGAGCCAGAAGATGACGAATGGTCAACTGCCGCTGCTACCCATCCGCGAATCACCCCATATGAGTCCGACGAAGAGTCCGACGAAGAAGAGGAGGAGAGCCTTCCACCAAACAAACGCTTTCCGGAGATTCACGAGTTGATCAAGCAGAAAATCGCAGAGCTGGGTGGCTCCGTTGCGCCAAAGCTGAACTGGTCATCTCCAAAGGACGCCAAATGGATATCACCACACCAGAACACACTCAAATGCACATCTCCAAACGACATCTACCTCCTTCTGAAGTCATCTTCTTTCGTTTCGCACGACCTTCTTCATGCGTTTGACGATTGTACCGACGCCCCACCATTGAGACCATTCACTCCGGTTCTCGTCCTCAGACCTTTCTTCACACCTCATGTGGCCCTCGAATTTCGGTGCTTTGTAAAGCATAGATCTCTGATTGGAATTACACAGCGGGATCTCAATCACTACGAATTTCTCGAGCCGCTTCGGGGGCAGTTGTGGAAGAAGATTATCAAGTTTTTCCGCCAGAAACTGAGACTCACGTTTCCCGACTCAACCTTTGTGTTTGACATTTATATCCCTGGTAACTCTTTCGCCGAAGATGGCTTGGGGAAAGTAAGACTTATGGATATCAACCCATGGGCCCCCAGCACAGACAGCCTGCTTTTCTCATGGGAGGAGCTTCTCACAATGGAGGTTGAGAATCCGTTGTATGGGTCTGTCTCGGAAGATCAGGCAGCAGAGAGTGGAGACGAGACTACGGCAGACGAGATGGATGATGACGAGTACGACCCGGACCGCCAGCCAGAAGTCCGCATCGTCAAGAAGAATGATCCGGAAGCGTACAACTTCAGCTCGCCGCAGTACTCAGCTCATAAACTGCCTAAAGAAGTCGTCGACGCCAGTCTGGCTGGAGAAGGGGGTCTACGGGAATTTGCCCAGCGATGGAAGGAGATTACAGAAGGCAGAGCTCAAGGCATCTGGGAGCAGCCAAACTCTAGAGCATAAACCAGAATGAAGTCATACAATCATCAATCCTAGGGCAAAATCAATACAAAGGCTGGTATGCCCTTCAAAAGTGAACCGAAAGTGACTTGGCTCTGATGACATGAGCACATTTGAGAAGCATTGGAGTGACGAAGAAATATGACACAGTGCGAGGTTGGCCAGTCAATGGAAAATGATATGCCAAAGCACAGTATCAGCACAATTTCTGCCTAAATTCCCCACGCGTTCTTCGCGTTGCCAGGTTTCTGCAGCTGCGCCCAGCTGTTGCCACTCCCACCCAAACTCATCGCCATCACATCTCACTTACACGCCCATCTGCCGCGAGCTCGAAGAAATCCCGAGCCTCACTGGGCATCAGATATCGTCACCAATTGCCCGTCATGCCAAGCCGACCGCGCCCCAACAAAGTGACCAAGCCCTCTCCCGGGCCTGGCACTCGTCGGGCCAGCCGCTCCTCTCTATCGATTGCTGCTCAAGAGCAGCTCAAGCAATACGCAAAGGAGGCTGCCAATGCCAACAACCAAGACATCACTGCCCTCGACACCTCAATTGCTGAAGCTGATCCTCTCGAAGAGACTCAAATTGACAGCATTGATAAGTTCACGGCCGTCAACCTGCTCGCAAATGGGGGCTCCATGGCCTCGATCCGCAATTCTCTGGGCTCCTCGATCCGTGACGAATTCCAGCTGGACCACCAGATGCCCGATCACTCGTCGCCAGAAGATCCAGCTGCTCGCACTGCGGCCGACCTCGCCTACGCCGCCTACGGGGACCTGGTCAAAATCGACAGCGCGCTCTGCAAGAAGCTCGCGGCCGAAACGGCGCTGCGTGAGCCGACCCAGCGGCGCGTGGACCAGAAGCTCAACATTGAGCGGCGCAGCAACGTCGAGGCCTTGCTTGCCCACATGACGGGCCAGACGGCTCCCAAGTCCTGCAAGAACTGCCACAAGGGCCACGGTCCCTGGACCCAGTGCGTTGTGTACGATGGCCAGATGTGTGGAAGTTGCACCAATTGCTGGTTCAATGCGAGCGGTTCACGATGCACGTTTCATGGTAAGTTTCTTTTTCTTGTCCCATGTTGCCCACGTGAGTCATGAGCACTTGTTTTCGTCTTGTCTTTGACTGGATTTTCTGTGACCTGAGTGGCTTCTCCCTCCTTCAATCCCCTTTCAATCAGAGAGAGAGATTTCGTATTAACCATGTCAAGTAGAGAACAACCATCAGCAACCGCAACCTTTATTCGCAGCAACCGTCGCCCCAGGAACCAATCTCCTATTCTCACAGCCCACCATCACTCAGCCACCGCCACCCACTGTCAATATTTCGACAGAGGCCAACCACTGGGGTCTGTCCGAGTCGACTAAGCAGCTGATCACCCAGACAATCACTGACGTGAGCACCTTCTCCCGAAGAGATCGTTTCCTCGCGAGAATCGAAGCCGCTGCTAAGGAGCTCGGCATGCGAATCGCAGAATACGAAGAGTTCCTCCGGACTCCAGAGGGTATTGCGGAGCAGAATGCTGCCCTCGACAGAGATCGCACGCAGAATAGAGACACGCAGGCTACTGAGGCCATGGATGATGCCCCTGCGGACGATATTCTTACTTGAGCATTTCTCGTCTTATTCTCGCAAGCTACCCTTTTGGGCATGTCTCACCCTTCCGTTCTTTCAGCATAGAGATGATGTTGAAGACGAGAGAAGGATATGCCATCACATATCGTGAAAGGCATTACATGAGCCCTACCTATCTTGGCAAGCATATGGAATGGATATGTGTGTATATGTGCCCCGAAAGCTTGCGACTCCTTTCTGAATACTAATTCTCTGAACCATAGATGATTCCAGAGGCTATTTTCTTACAGCTTCTCGCTTAACTTTGAGCCGCTGCCATCTACCCGAAGAGGGACTGCAGATATAAAGAGAAGCCTGTGTACATCTTGAAGATTCCATCTCATTTGATCAGCATAAGACGCATTCTGGACGACGACATTGCGACATTTTGACACGCATATAACAAGGGGGCATTTGGAGAAGAAAAAAGGCCCAAGATCTTGCAGATGCTTCTCTACTTTCACTTCTTGTTTTATATATTTCGTTTTGGCCAGCCGACACAGTAGTGTTGTTCCGTTTTCTTCCGTTTTCTTCTTTTTTTTTCATATTAACTATATACTCTCGACATTTGGGCACGTCTCTCTGCCCTGGCTGGCGATTGACCACGACGAATTGGTCACGATTTTACGCGCATATGGAAATTTGATATTTGAGGATTTGACGTGAACCTTTGAAAGGATATATTTTTCAGGTTTTATAGTTTGCGAGCTTAGGAAGAAGCCTTTTAGCACATATAATACCCATTTGGTTCTTACGTCGACCATATACCTGTACATTGTTATAAAGTTATCTAGAGGTTGATATACTATCGTGTGTATAAATCATCTGACATTATTCACTGTTCGCCGCCATGGATGCATACTTCAAACATGACAAAACAAAATATGCTTTACGAAACAGAAGGAAAAAAAGACAGCATGCAGAAAAAACTAGAAAAAAAAAGTATTCATGACTTTATTACAAAAAACTAAAACAATTGCAAAACTACCTCTCATGCAAAAGAATGTTTCTCCTCACCATCTCGAAGACAAGACGGAGAAACTCATACTACACTCTCCTCTCTAACAACTCAAGACACAGAATAAAACTGTATTCCCCTTACACATAGGCCCAGCTCCAAACAAGCAAAAGATGGACGTTAAAGAATAAAAACAATACAAGATAGAGAGCGGAAACAGAAATGTTCACAAGCAAGCCCAACATTAATGATGGGAGCCAGATTTTAACAGAAAATTAAGAGCCGGTGGAACATGAATATATGCAAGTAAATAAACACGTATTGGAATATAATGGATGACAGTACACATTGAGGTTTTGTTTACAACAAGATACAGAGTCGCAGACAGGTAGAGAAAAGGCAGAAAAAAAATTGTGGTTTCATAATTAAACAAAGTAAATGGCCGCCGCCCATTCGCACCATCGTGGTCAGATGTAAAGTAAAAAAAAGAGAAAATTTTGAAAAAACAACAAGATAATAAGTAGTATGTATCCCATCCCCTTTCTTCCCAAAGAGCTGCCGCGCCTGCTTTTTCATCTTCCTTAAGACGGCTCACACAACTCCTCCACGCCCAAGTCTTTCACGCTCCGTTTAGCCTCCCTTCCCCTGCCCGCGATCCTCTTTTCTTTTTTATGAGTTGAAAAAGAAACAATAGAGGAATCAAGTTTTATTTTTGGTAATACACAAGCATCTCTCGACAATCCTTGCGATGGTGGGGTGGCTCTCACAAGAGTGTTGTAAAATGCCGATATGGTTTCGCCATAAGAGTCTCAACTTTAGAAAAAAGAAAAGTACCATTATCTAGGACGGTGGAAAGATTGCCAAGGAGAAGCCCGCAAGAAAAGAAAAGAGAAATTCCTTGAGCCGGCTTTCATCTCGCAAGGAGTACAATCAAAGATCATGAGCCGTATCTCCGTGGCCCATCTGGTGGCGGTCGTAATCGAGTTTGAGGGTATTCGTGCGTCTTTAAAACAAAAATAAGAAAAAAATGAGAATAGAGAAAAGACAAGTCGTCTAAATGAGACCGCATAAACGAAGGTTCTCCTGAATAATGATATCTAGCGCGGAGAGTTAGCTATGGTGAACACACGGAAAGGATATAGACAAGTTTAGAAATCGCATACCATTGACTGCCGCCATGACAAAGCGGATCTGGGTAGTATCTGTGGCGCAAGTAAAGTGCGTGTAGATTTGCTTGGTCTCGTGCTGGTTCAGGCTGACGAATCGGTTCAGGATGTAGTCGCACGCGGCCGCATAGTCATCACCGCCCTCGTAGTCGGGGAAGTAGTTCTTCATGGGGCTGACTGGTAGCTTCTCCTTGAATCTGTCGATCTTGTTGAGGAAGAGAATGATGGACGTCTTGATGAACCATCTTGAGTTACAAATTGAGTCAAAGAGCGTCAGGGCCTCTTGCATTCGGTTGACAGTCTCATCCTCAAACAGCAGCTGATCGTACTCGGAAATGGCGACCAGGAACAGAATGGTTGTGACGTTCTCGAAGCAGTGAATCCACTTCTTTCGCTCAGATCGCTGGCCACCGACATCGAACATTCGGTAGGTCAGATCGCCGATGATGAATGTCGTCTCGGTGATACCAGTAGTCTTGACACGTGATCGGAGCACATCTTGATCGTTGGGCATGTAGTCGGGAGCGGCGATTCGCACGATATTATCGAAGTAACTGGTGGTAGCGGTCAGCATTCGAGCGAAATATAGGCAGTGCCGGCTACAGCGGGCGAGAGGGATAGGGAGAGGGAGAGGCGGATGGGGGAGACTAACTATCTTGCTGAGTCGTTCAGCTGATATTCGCGAGATCGCTTGAAACACTCCTGCACGCCGTGATCCTTCCACAGGGCCTCGATGGCACCTCCGACTTCCGGGGGCAGGACATCGCCTTCGATCTGAGCGGGTTGGATGAAAATGGTCTGGACGTGGTACTCCATGCGCTGGTCCTGAAGGGGCAGCTCAAGAGACTCCATGGCCTCGAGAATGACGCGCATCGACTGCACAGTGTTGCTGAAGATGATTTCCTTGAACGACTCGCGCTCGTCGCGAGAGTAGCCGCCCTCGTGGATCAGCTTCATCTGCTTGAGAATAGTAGACTTTCCAGATTCACCAGCACCTATCGGTAAGCAGAATTAGTCGGACTGCGGATCCAGTAGCTGATGGACTGGCGAAAAATCTCTGCATCGAATGCGGCCAGATGGCAATACGTACCCAGAAGTAGCATCTTGATCTCGTTGCGCTGCATCATCTTGTCTCGCTTGAGCTGGTTCTCAATCTCCTCGTTCCGGGCCTTGCCCTCCTTGTCCTCTGTAGACATTCCGCAACCCATCTTGGCGGTTGTGAGGGCTGCTCTGATTAAATCTTTAAAAGAAGAAAATTGTTAAGGAAGGCGTAAATGAATGATTCGCGTATATGCTGCGTGTCTGGAGTCGCCAATGATGCAGAACGGTAGGTACTGTGGACAAGCAGTTTCTGTTAGCCAAGGGGGTTCGCCGAAGAAACAGGTCGTGCCGCCAGCGGCTCGTACGAGCAATCGCGATGAGATGCCACGCGATGCAACAAGTGGAAACGACAGGGACTCGAAAACGAGAGGTCGCGTCGCGGTCGCTCACGAAATCGCCAGTAGTCGAAGAGAACTGCACAGCGCACGTCGCGGTTGAGGAAGGCCTATTCCACAGAACAAGAGAAGAAGAAAAAGGACAGCTGGAAGGAAAAGGCTCTCCGAGGCGGGATAAAGGCGACTAGAAAAAGCAAAGAGCAATGGGAAAAGGGAGGTGAAGCTTACTGTAGAATACGGCCTGCTAGGCGAGGATGAATGCCAATGACGGGCAATTCAAGACGAGACACAAACAAATAATCGCAAACAAGAGAAGAGAAGATGACCAAGGAAAGAGTTGGTGCGCAGGTTTGAAGACGCAGACTTGGGCGTCGTGGAAATGAGATCCGCGACAGAAATGGAGATTTGGGGGGGGGGGCGAGAGGAGCAAAAGCGGCTGGGGGGAGGATTGAGAGAGCGTCTTGAGCTGGGGACTAACAGCTGGGTATGGCCGAGAAGGAGGTACTATTGCCGTGCAAAGGGGCTATACCTGCAAGTACTTGTACTAGTGCTGGCGCCAGCGCGAGAAAAGGGAGCGCGGGAGTACTTGTGCTGCACCGTACCTGAAGGCGCCCTGGAGACTGTGGAGATGGCCAGGGGGCAGAGCTCCAGCCCAGCGGTGGAGCCGCCGCTGCAGCAGGGAGCGCTGCGAGGAGCCGTCACGTTATGGCGGCCAAAGTGCGCGCAGCAAGGCCAATGTCCGCCCGAACCGGTGGATAATACAGTGCATGGACGCGCGCGGCGGCGCTGAAACGAGGTCATTTCGCACTATGAGTCCCCTTTTGCGCGAGTACTCCGTGCGTACTGTGTGCAGCGCGCGCCAAGCTCCATCTGCTGGGCTCCGTACCTGTACCCGGGCCTCACCTCACCCATCTCACAGTAATTGCAGCAGAGCAGAGCGAGCAGAGCAAGCAGAGCAAGCAGAGCAGAGCAGCAGCATAGCTGTAAGTGGCTTGGCCGGGACGCGAAAAAGGTCAGGTACCTGCGATGAAAAGTCTTTAATTGCACATCCCACCCAGGTTACACAGGCAGTGGCGCGTACTGTGCAGGTACCGAGCAGGCGTCTGAGCATGACGGTTAATTTCATTTGCCTCCATCTTCGCATCGGCAGACGCAGACGCCAGACAAGGCAGAGCCCGCGCAGGCAGCGCTGCCGCAGGGCCTCATGTCGGCGTGGGCGACAATCCTTTTTCTTTTTCCTTCTTCTGCTGCTTTGGGGGTCGGCTAGCCAATCCCACGCAATCCGCAGACAAGGCGCTGCGATGCAACACAGACCAGGCGAGGCACAGCGGAAAAGAGGCTTTGGATGGATGCTTATCGTGGCCAATTGGTCGCTTGCCTCCTACACCTTCGTTTACCTTTTGTCTGCCGTTCGACAAATCCTCCGGGGGCCTCAGAAATGAACCAGGCGCTGGTACCGGTACTTGGCATGCCCAGCGTTTACGGTGCCTAGCTGCACCTATGCACGCACTACTGTGCGGTATCCCGTACTTTAATATCCTGCTCCCACTTCTCAGACCTCGTCGTCCTGGTGAAGCGGCCAATCATCACGCCACATGGACTCTGGGATGCTCAATTTGGCACGAACAGGGGTTGGGGCATTAGCCGGCTCAGTTGTGCCCCTGGTCTGGGCCAGTGAGAATGCCGGGAAGCCTTGAAGCAAGCCTGGAGTCGCTAACCATTCGCGGTGGAGCAGATGTGCTAGCAGGAGGCGGCGGACATGGGGATCCCGGGCTAATATTTGACGCTGCAGCAGGTAATTCAACCACGGCAATGTTCAATTTTAACATTGGCGATGCTGACGTGCTTGCCTCGTTGCATGTTTGCTCTGCCGATGTGCATTTGCCTGGCTCCTGTTGGATCATCTCAGCATCTTAATGGAAGCTACAGGTAGTCACTGGTATACCGTACCGAGTTATTATCCCGTCTCATTTCTTCTTTAGCAGCAGCAGTACCTACTGTAAGCAATCTCAGAAGCGAGGCTTGCGAGGCACATGCTCCTCACTTGTTGACTAGCACGTCTCGCTCCGGAACATTATAGTAGACCGCGCTTCGCTGCTCGCCATCGCTGATGATCGCCACAATTTGCGTCTTCCTGGGCAATTGCTGCACAAGCGGATCCCCTCCAGGGAGCTAGGGGTGTCTCGACCAGGGGACCACAATATTGCTTGCTCCGTTTCTCAGTTGCTCTAGTCGCGTAGCTCGAGGCTTCTCGAACAAATGAAAAGTGCCTTTGCAGTTCCTTTTGCCCCCATTACCAGAACAACGGTCTGGTCTCGGTACCTACGCTTGGACTTGGAGCTCCGTACGATTTCAATAAGTCGGATGGAGAACGGAGCACGCCGTCCGCCTTACCATTACAGGCAATACTGCAGTTTCTATGCTGTTTTTTTTTCCCCCAGGCGACAGTATGTGAGTGTGTACCTACAGTAGATGCAGTCTGGTGTTTGTAACTGCTGACAGAGAAAGGACAATCAACCAGATAAGGATATACAGGTACATGCATACACAACACCATCAGTGTGTCTTCCAACTCGAGACACATGAATTAATTTGATAGATGCCAGTTGTAGCGCCACACAGATGCGTACCTATACGCAGCACACGATGCGGCGGCGCATTAGTCTGTCTGCATGTGAACGTCTCGAGCCGAGCTGCAGCACAGCAGAGTAGAACTAAAAGAGACACGCCGCCATTTTCACAACCATAGCTACAGTACCAGACATCTTATTGTATCTGCACAGTACGTGTTACAGTGTTTTGCCTCTCAGCAGTGCTACGAGCAGTAAAACACAATGCGCCCATCTGAAGCAGAATCGTCGCCATCGAGTCCATCAGTGGAATAAGGGGCCACCCGCTTGTCACGCGAAGGGAAGGGCAAACAAAAGAGGCAATGCCAAATCAAGGTGCGCAAGACCCAGGGGTCAGGTTCAGACGAAATATGGATGCTTGGTTTGGCGCTACGCACCAGCTTTCTCACCCATTATGCCCCGCTACTCCGTAATGCTAGCATGCTGTAGCAGGCGCAATGGCTTGTGGCAATCTGGGGCCAACCGCTATCATTTCTTAGCACGGAGTACGGGGCAGCTACCGGTCAGGAACAAGTGCACTGGATGGATATGGATGCGTGATCAAGCCTGTACGACTGCAGCGGACTTTTGCGTCGACTCGGTCTCGTATCCCGCAGAGAGACATCAGCACTTGATGGCATTCCGCGGCCTCGAACAGCGACTGCGGTAGCACAGGCTTGATCTGATACTTGCTCTGTCCTGCGCTGTCTCTGCCGCCAAGGCAAGGTCACAGGCCCTCTGAGTGCTGTCCTGAGCGCTCAACTGCGCCGAATCGCTAGCAGCCTCCATGTCTTCTGGCCTGCTCCACACGCAGACAGATTTGACTGACTTGACCTTGATTCACTGCCCCGGTTTATACCATGGCCTAGCAGCGCATACTGTACTCCATACTGTGCCTCTCAATCAGTGACGCGGGCTGAAAAGCGGCACGGAGCGTTGATATCTTACACGCAGCAAAGCGGCCGTGGGTTATCATCTGATCACTTACTTGTATATAGCCGCTCTGACAGCTCCAAATCGCAAACAGGACTTGTCAGACAAGATTGCCTCCAACGTATATAAATGACGCTACTGTCTACCAAGGACTCGACGATTGCTTATGCTACGCATGCATCCTCATACAGTAGCACATGCATCTGTTCGGAGATGCTCATAACGAGGCATCGTCACCCGAAACATGCGCCCGCAGCCTCGTGCATCGATGCTGGTCACCGTCGATGCTCCGCTTGGCGCTGCAGAGAAGCCGATTGAACGATTAACTTGGCCATTCTGGTACTGTAGGATTTCTCTGTTGGCAGCACAGCACAGTCCGGCCCATGCCTGCGCCAACGGTCCCATGGCGCGTCGCGATCAGCCCGGCTCCTGGTGGATCTTGTACATTCCAAGAAGATGATGAGACAGTGATCATCCAAATCCAAAGCAGGGCTTCTCGCCTCCAACGGCTTCGTCCCCTGAACCGGGGGCGGGCGGCTGCAAGAAAGAAATGACAGGCAACAGGGCAGTTCAAGGCTTGCCAAAGCCGTTGGTGTTTGTTCCTACGAAACGCAAACAAGCTGTGCATGTACATGTATATTGCTGCTTTGATCAAGTCCCTACCAAAAATGACAATGTGTATAATAATCCTTTCGTTCATTACAATACGATGGGATGGCAATTCTGTTCACGCAGAAAGATGAAGTTAAAACCAGCACCATCATGAATGCATGAGCTTAATACACAATAGGGCTTTTGCATCTAAACTATATTCAGGTTGTAAATCCGATGAAACCTAGTTCGTTGCACCGTGATCAACGACTCCGATAATCTGTTTCTTCTGAATCGCTACAGTAGAGACGCAGTACTAGTGGCCTATTATACCCCCCAGGATGGCGATGTGATCATCATGATCTTCGGTGAAATCCTGAGAGCATGACTCTCTCTGTACGGTATACAAATCTATTTCCTACGGGATGTAAATCGATTACATTTGCAACCCACTAGCCACTCCTACCATGTGTTCTTAAAATAGTAGATAGGCAAACATATGGTGGCATGAGATATAATTTCCGTACCAAAGTAAACGAAAGATTAAAAACTGCCGAGCAGGAATAGCAAAAAAAGGGAACGGCAAGGTTGTTGCAGACAAAACCATGACGAAAGTTGTTTGCAGCGGCTTCTCAAAAATTGTCCCTGGCGCGATGGCGTCCGCGATCTCCAGGGCACTCGGCTAGGATACGATGCCCGTCTCGTTCCCTTGTCTACTTCCGAAACTCGTATGCTCCGTAATAGGGCTGGGAATCAATGACAGATCCCTACCTAATCTTTCTTTCTCTTCAACAGTCGTTCGATATTGGTGATTTTTAATACGACGCGTGTCTGGATACCGTCTCGGCCGCGGCACGTCCTGAGGAGAAATACATTTAAGCGAGCGTCGAGACTAGGGTTCTATCAACATCGTGATGCCGTTTGCAAAAAAAAAAAAAGGTGATGAAACCAGCAAATGCCTGTCGGACCTTGCGTATAAGCAGGATCAATAACCTCTACACCGCTTCTTTCGCTTTCCCCATATCGAAACGTTCATCTCGCCTTCTTCAGCTCAATCTCGAATCATCCGGCGCATCTGCACCGTTACATCCACGTGGATAGCTGGTCGGTGCTGGCCTCCCTCGTCTCATCTAATTCGAGTTTCAAGATATTTATATGGTTTTCTGAAATGAAAAACTGCACCGTGCATGTCTGGAGTTCTCCGAACACGCATGGGAGAGAGACAGAACCGACCGCAGAGTGCAGCCCCCTTTAGCACCTTAGCCTTAGGTAGGGCAGAGAGACGTGAGGTTGAGGTTGTCAAAGTAACGGAAACGGGCAGTCCATGTTTGATTACGACGAGATTTTTCTCCAGGAATCGGAAAAAAGGCACTGTTAGGCACTCCGTGCTAGTACTGATTTTCTTCTTCTTTTAATTTCATCGCCCTGCGCCAAGCCCGTACTTGTAATTCTCCATCATCACCGGTGCGGGCCCTGGCCGGCTGCTAGCATGAGATGGGCGTTGCTGGTGCCTTCACCAGATTGCTAGTCACGCAGGGATTAACACATGGCTTCAAGGCAGCGAATCCCATTGCAGGCTGGTTCGACGGAACTATCGTATCAAGAGCACATGTTTAGACGCAATCTCGTGCATTCTGGAGATTGGAAGAGCTTCTGGGGATTTAGCCGAATGCTGGATGGGGATATTTAGGGTACGCACGTGGGCAGCATGCAAGGCGATGGCTGTAACTGTAAGCGCGATGGGAAAAAAAGGGCAGAATACGACGAGATGATTCAAGTGTGATGAGACAGACGTTTTATACTCAGTAGGATTGTTACTGTGCCCAACACGTGTCAATGTAGCAGCAATGTCCATACATGGATTCTTCGTTATGAGCCTGTTTATACCATGGTAAACTCAAACGTCATACCGTAGCGCAGCATATCATCACATGCAGTTGATCAAACTTACTAAATAGCATGATATGATGAAATCATTTTCTCACAAGAGAATCATAAGTACGTTTAGAGTATCATAGGAGTTTAAAAAAAAATTGACCGAGAAAGGTAAAAATGACCTAAAGTTGGAAGCGAAAGCGAGGATTGCACATGGCCCTTTACACTCGGTGATGATGCAAAGTGCTTCATACGTTCAATATCCAGCCTTTCGACTGATACCACTTGTTTCTCACAATGATTTACAAGTCTAGCTTGATTCAATTGGACGTGCAGTCAAACTTGCCAGATTTTGTAGCTATACGATGCTATTAAATGCAAGAATGCAAATCCATACTTTGAGCACATCACCAACATTACAACGCGGCAGTCAAGTAATCTTCATCTTGACACTGGTGGAATAAAAGCCAGTAAGCTTATTGAATGCTGCGCTGTCAGTGGAGGCGCCGATCTGCAATGCGACCGATTTCCTCAGATATGGTTGGCTCGGGTTCAAGCCGACTCGCCGGCGCGCCAACAATTCGAAGCCAGGTACCGCCCTCAATCGGCCTCCCGAAATCTCCAAGCGCCCAGCTCTCCAACCACCGAGTTTTGCTCCAGACCACGGCGCTTCTTGTCTGCGCAGCGTCGCTCGTGTCCCAAATCGCTGAATTGAGCATCTTCGAATCTCTTTGGAATCTGTTCGTCTAGACAAACAGCAAAAATGTCGATTCCTATGACGCAATTGGGCAGTCGCGGTAAGTTGCTGGTTTGCCCTGCCTGGCTCTCAAATTGGCTGACCAAAGCATGTCTAGCCTTCCATCATGAGGAGAACCCCGACGTTGAGCGCGAGTACGACCATCTTCGCGACATGGCCCGCGCCGAAGCCCAGAAGCGTGGCGATTGCTTCGAACGTGTACGTTGAACCGTCGGCCGGTGTGGCTCTTTCTATCTAGCCTTGCAGCATGCATTGGGCGCTGGTTGCGAAAAGAATAGACTGACACGCTTTTTGGCGGATGCTTCTAGTCGAAGCGCGCGTACGAAGATGGCGACGGCGCCAGAGCAAAGGAATTATCCAACCAGGGCAAGGCTCACGGTGCCAAAGTGGACGAGTACAACCGCCAGGCGTCCGAGTACATCTTCCGCGAGAACAACGCCCCTGGCCGTGTCGACGCCGATAGCATCGACCTCCACGGCCAATTCGTCGAAGAGGCGGAGCGCATTCTCGAACAGCGCATCCGCGCGGATCAGGCTCGAGGCCAGACGCACTTGCACGCCATTGTCGGCAAGGGCAACCACTCGGCCAACCACCTTCAGAAGCTCAAGCCCAAGGTGGAGGAGCTCTGCCGCGAGCTGGGCCTCAGTTATAGCACAGAGGATAATGCTGGGCGGATATACATCAATCTCCAGGGCGGAGAGCCAATTCCGCCGCAGCATGGCGGATATGGCGGCGGCAATCAAGACCAGGGATACCAGCCGCATCACGGACAGCAGCAGGGTGGCCAGCACCGGCCTCCCCAGCAACAACATCACCAGCAGCAGCAGCAGCAACAGCAGGAGGACGATTACGACGAGGGCCTTCTTCCACTTCTCCTGCGCAAGTTGGAAAAGGCTTGCTGTACGGTTATGTAAAGGGGATGTTAGGGACGTTAACAATATCAATGCGACAATGCTGCTGAATCTTGGATATAAGAGTAGCATTTGGGGCTTTCTTTTCTGCTTCAAGAAGTTTTTCTTTTTGGATATGCACATATACCACATGGCGTTTCAGTTACATCTAGACGAACGACTATGATGACTTTTAGATAACGGAGCCAATGAGAATTAACAAGATAATATCTAGGAACTAAATATAGTCAAAAAAAAAAAAAAAACCAATGATTCTTTTGTGAAAAGAATAAAAACGATCTAAACTTTGTATAGGTATCACTTTGTCTCGCCATAAACCTCAAGAGAGTATTTATCACTTTAATAATCCCATTCCCGTTCCGCGCTGACCCTATTGTAACCTTTGTTCGCCCTTAGTAACCCATACTGAAAAACCATCCCCACCATTGAAGTCTCTCGAAAAGCAGTTATTCTACTTACTGCTAAAAGCTTGCCCCTCTTCGTCGTTTCTAGGAACTGGCTGCGGCCCCTTTTTGTCCAAGCTGAACCCAAGAACTTCCGAGAACAGCGTGACAATCATCTCCATAAGAGACGACAGACCCAGATAGAGCCAGGCAGTGGAAGTGATACCGCCATAGATGAGGAGGCAGGAGTAGATGAGGCGAACGAGAATGAATGGGAAGCAAACAGCCACGGTGAAGATGATGCGATGTTCGCCCACACCGACATATTTGTGGTTCAAGATGGCAATGACAATGGCAAGGGCCAGGAGACCCGCGATGGCAATCAAGATTCCCTCGGCGGCGTGGCTGATGGTGGAATAGTCCACCTTTGGCTTGCCGTCGGTGATTGTGAAGTTGGATTGCGTACCGCCGACAATCAGGAGGATAATGGCAAGCAGCATGAGGAGTTCAACAAATCTCTGGTACTGAGGCCTGATGATGACGCTCCCCTTTCGCTGCTGGATTGACTCGAAAACGCGAGACAAGAGACCAATGGCAAGCCCAATCAGAGGCGCAAGACCAATGCCGTTGAGCGTCATCCACCCAATGTAAAGATCGATGTTGTCGGGCGATGAAATGGTTGCCAGGCGAAAGGAGGCGCCGATGATTCGAGCGAGAGAGAGGAGCACGAGGGATCGAAAGCCGGCGTTTTTGGTGAAGCCATGCTTGACGCAGAGGAAGATGCCTCCTCCTAGTGCGAACACGTAGAATGCGAGTTCGGCGATGGCGATGTCGTCGTATGTTTGGAGAGGACGGCCCATTGTGGTGTTGAGAGTGTGTTTGCGCACGTCCAAGTCGGAACTCGAAGCGGAGAGGAAGATGAGTCGAGGTAAGCAAAAATTTGCAGACAGGACAAACTAAGCAGATATGAATTTCTTTTCTGAAATAGAGTAAAGATGTTGCTTGAGTGAGTCTATTGGGAGTTGAGTAAGATGATAGTGGTGTAAGTCTTGTTCCCAGTAACAAAGCGAAGCATGCTCAAGTTATATAACTTTTTCAATTAAAAACTATCTAACCCTCCATACGCATTAAAACATACTGACTCCGTTAGGCTGACAGCAACAACTGCACCCTTCGTCAGCTCCCTCCACCCAAAACACTTTTAATGAGCCCGTCGTCGTCAACGCCTCGAAAGGAGCAGCAAAAGGTTGGAGGATTTCCCAAGTCCCAGGGACCGACAACGCTCATTGGCTGCGTCGAATAGATTACTTGTTATGGAATAGCGCCATCTCCAATTCCCCTGGTGGCTTTCGATCCTTATCGCGCCTTATCAGCTTGCCGCGACCCACTGAAGTCCACTTAATCGGCAGTCGGGGCTAGTCTAATACGGGCATCGGGCTTTTTTGCTCGAATGGATGGACGTTTTGAGAGCTAGAGCGCTGTAAAAAAGGGCTGCGGCTGGCGCGTCGAGGCGGTGCAGCAGCTTGCAATTGCGCCAGCAGTGGCAGCGAACCCTCGAATGGCTTGTTCGAAAAGGGAAATTGTTTAGTTCAGAGCGGCTGCCTCAGCCGCGTACATCTTCCTATTTGGCTGCATCCTCTGCTCTCTTTGGTTCGTTGCTGCGGGACGGCGTACCCGAGTTTACGCGGAAATCGTTTCCAATTTGCCAAGGCGAAATGCTTGTTTACGAAGCCTCGTGGTCTTGGGTCATCTCTAGAGAGCGCTAGCGAGACTATCTTGTTCATATGCCTCCTCAGGTATACTGAACGAGACCGACTTGGGTGGCTCTGCAAGGAGAAGCCCGGCTTGTGACTGTAAGCAATATTGGACCAGATACTCTGTAGATCCCCCCGCAATTAACGGTTCTGCGGCCAAGGCGAAGCTTGAACGAAGCTTGAACGATTTGCCAGTGGCTCGGCTAAGGATATTATAATATTGTCCGATATCGAAGGCTCTTATTACCACAAGAGTATCAACATATACAGTACACCTCCCCTTGCCACTCTCGTGCCGCCGTCTATGCACTATCCAGCCGTTTTCTCTTTGCCTATTTCGTTGGTTATTATTTCTTACAATCCATCATAACAGATCTTGGGCGCAAATTTCGTTCGTGATCGCGCCCAACTTGTACTGTCGACAACCGCTGTCAAATCCAAACCAAAGCAACACAATCCAAATAATTGTAACATGTATTATTTCAACCTCCCTTTACACTAAGCGATTTTATTTGATGGCAGCGCAAAGTACCCACGCATATACCGAATGGGATGGCGTCTGTCACCGGCAAACATTTCACAGTGACGTCGCTCGGCGCCTCTCATTCGCACCGCCAAAAACGGCACTAAGCTAGAGCACATGTACCGCCACACAAAATCCTTTCCACCCACATGCATGCGACAGCTTCAAGAAGAATTCCAGGGATAGATTGTCCTTGACTTCGGCAACAAGATGCCGGTACGTACGTTGTTCGCTGCGTGGTTTTACGCACAAAGCACCACGCCACCAAATCCTGCAAGAGAGGGGTTCCCATTTTAACATGGCTGTCATGGTTTTCTCTGTAGCTCATCATTCTCACGGGTCTGCCTACGTCGGGCAAGTCGACGCGGGCGAAGCAACTACATGACTATCTCACCGCCCGCATAGCCGGAACAAAGTACCGGCTGCATCTGGTATCAGACGACTCTCTTTCGATATCCCGATCTGTATACGATCTCTCTACGGTGCCGGTGCACGCAAGATCAGCAAATGCGAGCGAAAAGAATGCCAGAGCAGCCATCTACGGAGCTGTCAAGAGAGTTCTGAGCGACAAGGACATTGTCATTCTGGATGGACTAAACTACATCAAAGGCTGGCGGTACCAGCTACACTGTGAAGCGAAAGCGGTCCGAACCCCGAGCTGCATTCTGCAGATTGGATGCTCCAAAGAGCGCGCACAGCAAGTCAACGAAGACAGGTTAAAACGAGACCAGGCTGCTGTCGAGCAAGAGGGAAGCGAGGCACCAAGCGACACCACAGAGGCATATGCGCCAGCAAACTGGGAGAATCTAGTCTTCCGCCACGAAGAGCCCAATCCCATGACTCGCTGGGACAGCCCTCTGTTTACAGTAATATGGGAAGACGACGAGGAACAAGTAAAGAGAACGTTTGATTCTCTCTGGGAGGCGATTGCTGGAGAAGGCCGCAAGATTATCAAGCCAAACCAGGCCACAGAGCCACGCGGGCGCGATGCGAGTGGCGATTACTTATACGTGCTAGATCGTGAAACACAAGACATTGTGAAGCGAATCTTGGATCAGCAAGGCGACGATGGCGGCGGAGAGGTCAAAGTGCCCCTTGGCACCGGTGGCAAGAAGGATCTTGTTATTGAGCTGCCGGCGGCGAGAAAGGTTGGCTTGCCAGAGCTGCAGAGACATCGCAGGGCCTTTATGGGGCTGAACAGAGGGGGGATTGGGCTGGAGAAGGTGACGAACATGGCTGCCGATTCGCTACGGGAGTCGTTTGTCAACTATCTCAATAATACATTTGAAAGCGAGTAGGAAGTTTAAAGAAGCCTCAGAGGATGGCGATAAGCCCGTGTATACGGGCAGCCTGGGTTTTAAGTGTGTTGCAATATAGGAGAGAGCTCAGACCCAGCATATTACGTTTTAGGGTAGGCGATATTGGATATGCCACGAGCGACACATGGGCGGCCATGAGACTTACCACGATGGTTGTGTATTGGCTTATAAGGGCAATGGCTTACGCTGGGTGGATGCTTGATGCAAGTGGTCGTGGCTGAAAAGAGAAGCTTGGAATACAGGCAGCGAGAAACGAAGTCAGACTTACAGCATAGATATGTTTACAGCAATGACAGAAAAGGTGGAAAAAGCAGCATTGGATAGACTGGCGTTTGGATGTTAATAGTATCATCGGTTACAATATCTGAGCAGTGAGAATATAGTTGGAGCTGCAAAAGTGAATGGAGCTGTCAAGGGTTAGCTCAACAAGTGGCACCAATATCTGGTACCTCGGACGTATGACTTCATCGAAACAATAGCTACGGCAAAGTGAAGCCATCAAGGTATTGAACGGCCTCGTCCTATGCTTGCCCCCGTGCGGCGAAAAACCGCAAAAGAGATTGGAATTCACCATGGTCAATTAGTTCTCTTTACCATCAATTGCTTAGCTTGCATCAAGGGGCAAACTGCTGCCTTCCGTGGCAAGACGTGGAACTGTCCTGAACGTGTCTTGAACCTGCTCTGCTTAATAAACCGTTCCGCCAGGCTGCCGCTGGTTATCGTATGTACACGCTATCAGCTGGCTGTTGCGCGTCCCCAGTTGCCTGGCGGCTTTTCAGTGGAAGGTGGCAGAAGATTCCACTCTGTTGGGGCGAGCTGCAGCCTTGCAGTGACAAAACGACCGCTATAGCGCAGCGCAGCGCCCGAGCATCATTGATATTCCGCTCCGTTCAGGGCAGCCGGCGCTGTCATTGGCCCGTGCCCCTCTGCCGGGTGCCTTTAGGCCGTCAGTTGTGTGCCAGATCGCTGAGGAACTCTCCGGACACCTCTAGCTTTCGCCGCTGGACTCTCTCTCCTTCATATCATCCTCCCCGAAGCCAAATCCGAGATCGAATCCTCCTTCTTCTTCCCCCATAGACCACTGTTGAGGAGGAAGCACATTCGCATTTTGTTTTTTTCTCGACTTCCACGAACCCCGGCTTTGTTTCCGTCATCATCCCCCCACATCGTCGTGAACTCAGTCGTCATTAGACACCATGGCTTCTCAGCCTGAAGAGCACAAGAAGAAGGTCAACTTGACGTACGTGATCCCATCTGGAGGCCATCTTGGCATGGTTGTCGAGAACCTGGAAGCATCTAACCGTCTCGCAGCGACCCCTCCGGTGCTGAGATCAAGCACGTTCGTTCAGCCCGCCATGCTTAGATATCCAGGGCGGGGAAGCTAACTCTATGACAGGAAGATGACACCGCCACTGCCATTCTCAAGAAGAAGAAGAAGCCCAACCAGCTGATGTAGGTGTCCTTCCTCAGACACAGACGACCAACTATATTCTAACTGAAACCAGGGTTACCGATGCCGTCAATGACGACAACAGTATCATTGCCTTGTCCGAGGCTACCATGGACGCCCTCCAGCTCTTCCGCGGTGACACCGTCCTTGTACGAGGCAAGAAGAGAAAGGAGACGGTCCTGATCGTTCTTGCCGACGAGGAGTTGGATGAGGGAAGCGCCAGAATCAACCGTGTTGTCCGCCACAACCTCAGAGTCAAGCACGGTGACGTGATCACCATCTCCCCTTGCCCCGACATCAAATATGTGAGTCCACTCGATATCTTGAATTGCTATTGTTGCATATCTAATCATAGAATAGGCCAAGCGAATTGCTGTGCTGCCCATTGCCGACACCGTCGAGGGCATTACTGGCTCACTATTCGACGTTTTCCTCGCCCCATACTTCCGCGAAGCCTATAGACCAGTCAAGCAAGGAGACTTGTTTATCGTACGTGGTGGTATGAGACAAGTTGAATTCAAGGTTGTCGAGGTGGATCCTCCGGAATACGGTATCGTGGCTCAGGATACCGTCATTCACTGCGAGGGCGAACCTATCCAGCGAGAGGAGGAAGAGAACAACCTGAACGAGGTCGGCTATGACGACATTGGTGGATGCCGCAAGCAGATGGCTCAAATCCGAGAAATGGTTGAGCTTCCTCTCCGCCACCCCCAGCTTTTCAAGTCAATTGGTATCAAGCCGCCTCGTGGTGTCTTGCTCTACGGTCCTCCCGGTACCGGTAAGACGCTCATGGCTCGTGCTGTTGCCAACGAGACTGGCGCCTTCTTCTTCCTTATCAATGGTCCCGAGATCATGTCTAAAATGGCCGGAGAGTCCGAGTCCAATCTGCGAAAAGCCTTTGAGGAGGCAGAGAAGAACTCACCTGCCATCATCTTCATCGATGAAATCGATTCCATCGCTCCTAAGCGTGACAAGACCAACGGTGAAGTTGAGCGTCGTGTCGTCTCTCAGCTGCTTACCCTCATGGACGGTATGAAGGCTCGTTCCAACGTTGTCGTCATGGCCGCCACCAACCGACCCAACTCCATTGACCCGGCTCTGCGACGATTCGGTCGTTTCGACCGTGAGGTGGATATTGGTATCCCCGACCCAACTGGCCGTCTGGAGATTCTCCAGATCCACACCAAGAACATGAAGCTGGGCGATGACGTCGACCTGGAGCAAATTGCTGCCGAGACCCACGGTTACGTCGGTTCTGATGTTGCTGCTCTCTGCTCTGAGGCCGCTATGCAGCAGATTCGTGAGAAGATGGATCTCATCGATCTCGATGAGGACACCATCGACGCCGAAGTCTTGGACTCCCTGGGCGTCACCATGGAGAACTTCCGATTCGCTCTTGGCGTGTCCAACCCATCTGCTCTTCGCGAGGTTGCCGTCGTCGAAGTCCCCAACGTTCGCTGGGAGGACATTGGTGGTCTCGAGGAGGTCAAGCAGGATCTCCGAGAGAGCGTTCAGTATCCCGTCGACCACCCCGAGAAGTTCCTCAAGTTTGGTCTCTCCCCGTCCCGAGGTGTTCTTTTCTATGGACCTCCTGGTACTGGTAAGACGATGTTGGCCAAGGCCGTCGCCAACGAGTGCGCTGCCAACTTCATCTCCGTCAAGGGACCCGAACTTCTCAGCATGTGGTTCGGTGAATCAGAAAGCAACATTAGAGATATTTTCGACAAGGCCCGAGCGGCCGCTCCTTGCGTTGTTTTCCTCGACGAGTTGGATTCCATTGCCAAGGCTCGTGGTGGCTCTGTCGGCGATGCTGGTGGTGCCTCCGACCGTGTTGTTAACCAGCTTCTGACTGGTAAGTCTACTGCATTAACATTCCGCAAAACTTGGATTACGTGAGATCGTTTGCTAACATCATGAATAGAAATGGACGGTATGACTTCAAAGAAGAACGTTTTCGTCATTGGTGCTACCAACAGACCTGAGCAGCTCGACCCTGCTCTTTGCCGTCCTGGTCGTCTGGATTCGCTCATCTATGTGCCCCTTCCTGATGAGCCTGGCCGTCTTGGTATTCTCAAGGCTCAGCTGCGCAAGACCCCTGTCGCTGGTGATATCGACCTTGGCTACATTGCTTCTAAGACACATGGCTTCTCTGGTGCCGATCTGGGATTCATCACCCAGCGTGCCGTCAAGATTGCCATCAAGGAGTCCATCGCACTTGACATTGAGCGCACCAAGGCCCGTGAGGCTGCTGGAGACAACATGGATGTCGATGAAGATGCCGAGGACCCTGTTCCCGAGCTGACAAAGGCTCACTTCGAGGAGGCCATGCAGATGGCTCGCCGTTCCGTCAGCGACGTGGAGATCCGAAGATACGAGGCCTTTGCACAGCAGATGAAGAACGCTGGTCCTGGCGCCTTCTTCAAGTTCCCCGATGGAACCGAGGGTGGTAACGCCGGCAATGCCGGCAACTCTTTCGGTGATGCAGGCAACGATGACGATCTCTACGACTAAAGTGCGATGACAGAAGGCAAAGGAAGAAGTTATTCCCCGAATTCTCTTGTAATTTAAGAAAACAGTCAAAGACCTCCTTCCTGCATCTGCATCTATCAGCATCAATTGATTGGGTTGAAGCCCAAGTCACGGTATCGTATGATAAACTATTTCGGCTCAGGAAGGCAGCAGAGGATGGCCAGAGTTGGGCCAATTCAAAACATGGCGCTCGGCCACTTAAGATATTCTCAGGACATTTTGATATTAAACAGATTAAGGGATGGGAACACTGGGAATTGAAAACACCAGAATAAGTTACTTTAGCTTGATAGAAGAGTGCAATTGATTCCACTTACACCATTTTTACGCCAGCCGCGAAGTGAGCAACCCACTAGTATCTTATAATTCAACGAACGCGTAGAGGAGATGGTCAGAGATGAACTACTCAGTCATTTGCTTGCTGATGAAGAAGCAACATATTTTGTGATGCTAATACGACTGATATAAAATTTATATAAAGCTGCGGTGGTCTGTATGATAGTTCCACCTAGTAGGCGTCTCCAGACACTTCATATGCGCCCTGGTAGCTCAAAATCATATAATGCACCATACGCTCCCAAAAAGCCACATACAATCTCCTTGCCGCTCGTCCCAAAACAGGAGAGCGGAGGAAGGACAAGAAAAAGAAGCTATATTCCCCGATAACCCCATCTCGCGTGCCCTCCTTATCTATACCACAAAAGAAGAAATCGAACCAGAACAAAATAAACGAAGAGAAGAGCAGAGAATCAGCCAAGGAAAAAAGAAGAAGAAAAGGGAAAGAGAAGCGATTAATTTTTACTCCGGCGGCAAGCGACTTGTCTTTAAAAGCACTCGGCGCCGTTTCTTCGCAATTGGAGCAGTTGTATTAATTGAAGCAATTGTTGGAGGTGAGCTAAACATTGATGTTTTTGACGGAGAGGAGTGAAGAGAAGGAGGTAGAGGTAGAGTGACAACGAGAGAAGGGGAAGAATGAGGAAGAGGAGGAGAGGACTGAGATGTCTAGCCGCTGCCCTTTTCCTCGATTTCGCACACAGAGTCGAGGCATTCTCTTGTGATTCTCAGGGCCTCTTCTATTACAGACGTGGGGATGGCGAGGGGCGGTTTGTCGGAGGCTGGTGTGCCGTTGGTTTTCTTGGTGTCGCCATTGCCGTTTGTCGTTGCGGCGGCTGATGATGATTTGCCGTTTGCGCTGGATGTCGAGGAGGGCTGGCCCTCGCGGACGTCTTCGAGGACGCGGCGGAGGAGAGCTGGGTATGTGGTGACTTCGCCGGAGCGGAGCAGGGCCAGGGCGTGGTTCTGGATGGTGGTGGGCCAGTTGGAGGAGTTGGAGTTGAGGGCGTGGAGCAGGGCTTCTTGGATTCTAAGACGGGTAGTATTTGTTAATGGATGGGGTTCTTTCTCTTTGTACGGAGTGGTGGTTTGGCAAGCAACCAACTTTGTAATGTGCCCGTCCTTTAGCAGGATTGTGTTTATCTGCGATCGCAGGTCTGGATCTAGCGTCGCGGGGGTATAGTTTGCCGCCGATGACGGCACCTTGACTGGTGTAGACGGCCTCTGCGACATGATGGATTATGTGTGAATATGTGATGCGCAGTGGTGGTTTGTAAGCGAAGAAGCGACGGAGAGGCGCGCGCGTGCGATATTCCGAGCCAAAAGAGGAGAGAATATGGAAGAATGTGTCGGTCGGGATTCCGAGAGTCGAAGTAGGAGAGTTTAGATGGAGGGGCAGATACGAGGCAAGGCCCGCAGAGCGTGCGATGGATACGGTGATGATGGCAAACGGATGGTGTTGAACCGAGGGACAGCCACCCTTTGGCTTCTTCTTCCGCCGGACAAGCTAGAGCCATTGGGTCAGCAAAGCAGGATCAATAGTACAAGACGGGACAAAAGAAGAGTCCAAAGCCATGAAGACGGCGATGCGATGGCGTACCTGCCCGAAACTCGGCGAGGCAAAGAGGCAGCTTCTCTCCCGCCTTTGCAGTTCTGCCAACACCACTTCCCGGCGGCGCGCGCAATCAGACGGGGCTTCGATCTTGGTCGGGGGCCGTAGCAGGTACTTGTGCCCAGGCCTTGTATAAGAAGGGTAGAAACTGAACAATGAAAGGATCGAAAATAACTGGTTTGGTAAAATATATGAAAATCAATTTAGTTTCCCCTTCTTATCTCGTGATTGGAGGAAACAACGTTGGTAAACGAGACAAACGAGGCTGAGGCGGCTTGCGTTTTAGAAAAAAAAAGTAAAAAAGGTACATTGATGCTGCGCGCGGAGGAGGCTTGTGAAAGGGTCGCTCTTCCCGAGCTTAGGCGCTTGCCTGCTTACTGTGCTGGAAGCAACAGCGCTTTGCGTTGTGGCTGGATGTGGCTGGTGAGATTGCCGGTTCCCCGCAAGGCTGAGGTGGGGCGAGATGAAAGCTGCCGATGCCGCTGGTCTAGGAATCTATTCTATTCCGTGTCTACTATATTGATGAGATTTGGAAGCATATTTCGTTTTTGCAGTCAGAGATTGGGCCCAAATGATGATAAAGATTGATATGTTATTACTTCGGACTATGGTGTTATTGGATACGATTCATTTGCTGGAGAAGGAGAGTATACCTGAATCTATAACTGGAAACTATCCCCTTGAAGACGTCACATTCTAGCTGGCAAAGGCCTGAAAAAAAGAAAATATGTCTCCGGAATAATCTTTTTAGTCGATACTCCTAGCACAGCAGTTGCTACAATGGAAAATACCAGCTTAGAAGAGGCCATGCTGCGAATCATGTAGGGAACTTCTAGCCAAAGACAATAACCAATAGGTCCGTCTTTACACTCTTCATCTTCGAGCTTCACAGGCGCTCATCCGTTTGTAAGAGGATCATTTCCGGACTCATGTTCAATAAGATGTATGAAAATGAAATCTGCATTTCCCATTACTTAAAGCATTGCATTTCACGGCACGTATCATCTTTGTCCTGTCGATGGCAGCGTCAACACTGATATGATTGGGGCCGCGAACCAACCCAATGGTGTTCAATTCAATATATGCCAAGTTGAGACGTTAAAGAATGATGATGATAATTAAGCAATGGTATAATAGAAACGTTTTGTTGGACAGGTGACGGAAAAGAAACGTTTGCAAGTTTGCATGCTTAAAACATGCATGTCCAACGTAATCTACAACATCTTGAAACTCGCGCTGTGTATGCTTCTCCGATGGTTCGTCAAGAAAAGTTTGATAAGAATTGTTTCATCCAAGATATAATCGACGAAAATCCAACCTAATCCTCCTTCTTTTGGCTATAGAGATGCTACGTTTTGGTAATTATCGTTTATACGTCTTGAGAGATAAAGCAACATGTCTGCCTACTCTTTCAGAAGCCGCAGTCTACGTTTATACAATCAAGGCTTACAATCATATATGCATAGAATAACAAACGATAAATCTGAAAAGGAAAAGAATGAAATAAGAATAAAAGACAATTTTGATCGTCTCTTGTTCCTATATTGCTCGAGTGGACGCCACATGCTTATAACAAGTCATCTCATTCGTGGTCGAAAGTTTATCATTCCTCAAAATAAAACGTAAATTATCCCCTAACTCGTATGGACGCCCTCACAACATCCATCTACACATTCAACCATGCTGTCAAAAGCCATCTTTTCCTATCTTCTTCCAATCCTCCAAAGAGAATGCGCTTTACCCCCCTTCTAATCCTCGCGAAAAAAGCAGCCAAATGCAAGCCTATAAATATCATCTAAAGAGATGACCTGCTCGAGGCAAACAAAACATTCGGACCACCGCTTCTTCAGCTGCCAGTACCCCGTTTCAGCATATGGAGCCGTCGATCAAACGGACTCCGGAAGCAAAACAGAAAGAGGAGCGAGGGCCTACCCTGGCCTGCGAAAAGCTTTCTTCTCCAAATTGATCGACATGGCCGATGGCAAAAGAGAAAATTATTATCGGCCGAGAAGTTTTCATGACTTTCTTTGGAATCTACGATCTGTATCTCTACACTGCCGCTCGGGTTCAAACTATGCCCACAGCTATTCAAGGTTCTTTCAAGCGGCAAAGACCAAATCTGCTATGTTCATTTTTACGATGGTATATAGCATTTTAGATGGAGTAGTTGCTCGGAATACGACACATTTAGATGGAATTAGCCTGTCATGGAGCGCAAATTGGCCTTTTGCAAGAGATCCGAAGAGTCTGCGCCAAAGGGTCTGCTCCAAAGAGGCCTCTCGCTGCCTTGTCGACTACAATCTTCTCAACCCACCACAATTGTGATACGAGCAGCGGGAGAAGCAGCCACAGAGATAACATATTCTATGCCACCATTAGGCGGTCAAGAGTCTAGACCAAGGCTTAGACAAATGACCACTTCCCGGCGCACCACTGCAGCTGTTATCTGGCCAACCAAGACAACTCCAAACCGTGTAAATAATACCATCGAGGCCCGCAAATGTCGGATCCGAGGATTGTGTGCTAATGCCGGTTCCCCTCTGGCGGTACTAGTACCGTCTCGGCACTCGTATAGCCCGTGGAGAACGCTTCGTTTGAACCAACAACAACGTCTGTCTTTTCCTTCTTCCCCTCTTACGCCCAGGTCGGGGATTTTCCAAGACACACATTGTACTGATACCTACTAGCCGAGACGGGGGAAACTTATCAACCCTCGCCCCTCACTTTGGGCGGCCACATAATCGGACTTTTCCTTATTACACACAATGTCTCAGCTTTATGTTGCGATCTGGGTTGTGCAGTGCGTAGCATCGGTAGGCTTGGCTGCAGGAGGCTTGCTTTTGGCGCTGCATAACTCGCCTGACCTCGGAGTTCCAATGCCGTAAAACGTCCAAAACTTGTTCTAGACCTGCAGAGTCAAGATCTCTTGTTCTCATGGGGGGGCAGAAAGAGAGGAGAAGCACAGTCAGTGACTTGGCCAAGCAGGCCAATCAAAGTCGGCTACATCTGCAAGGTTGTAATTGGGCAAATCAGAAAGCTGAGGCGTTTGTACGCCCCGAAACTGCCAGGAAAAAGGAAAGAAACACCGCGTGACTTGCCCGGGTACTGGCATCGCGTCCTGTATGGGTGAGAGCTCTACTCTTTCACACCATGTTTACAGTCTGTGGGGGTGGAGGTGTCTTTGTATAAATTACTGTAGGTACTGGTTGTAGCAACACTGCGTGAACCCGGGGTGTCTTTGGATGTACAGGAGAGAGAAGAAGAAAGAAAGTTATCCGACGATGACAGACGCCCTGCTGTTGGCATCCTAAGCCAAAGTAAGAAGACATTGATGATTGAGTTGGAAACCATGTTCCACCTGGTGCGAAGTATTCAGGCCCCATGATGAATTGATGTGTTGGGGGAAGGATTGTGGCAATCCCAACACCCAAATCAACCGTAGGCCAATCGTCTCTATTGCAACAACAGCTTACACCAAGCTGTAATTTGCTCACGTCTTAATGCCCTTTGTAGCTGAGAAGCTTCAGCCAAGCAAACTGCTGATTTACGAAAGCCTGATAATATCGGCAGACCAGGAGGGGCGACGATCCGGAGACCTGGTATTCCGTACTCCCACGTACAGTATCAAGTTGCGGGGGAAAGCAACGCCAAGACAAGTAACTGCTTTGGGATGAGTTTGGAGGGAATATCTCATGAAAGAGGAACTCGGTGTAGAAGGTTTTGGTATGCATGACGTGCTCTGTCTCTAAAGGCTGGCCTTGTTCCCTCACCAGGTAAGTGATAAAGGAGGTTTCCAACCATGCATTGATTGTGAACTATCACATTTCCAAGCAATCCCAATGTAAAGAGGGAAGGAGAACCCAAATTTGGCGACTTGTAATGCATGATTTTTTTTTTATTCTTAGAAACTGACATTGGGACGAATTCTAGAACCATGGATAAGATCGGGTTCCAAGGCTCAGCTGCCTGGCAAGGTCAACCGCTTTGACCCACAATACATATGCAGTAGAGTAGCAGCGGTGGGATAGTCGTACTGTAGCTATGCCATTGCTTGCTTGCTTGCTTGCTTGCTTGCTTGTATTGAAATTTTGAATGGGGGAGTGGCTGGATGATGGTATCTCTGAGAGACGGAGAGTCGATATGCAGGCTCGAAGCTGTAGGGAAAGCTCACAGTTTTGTGTAGGCCATGTGCTTTGATTATCCACGTCACAGACAACGCAGCAGTGACGAACCGACGTGGCAGAGCTCAAGTGTGTAAGAAACAAACGTGTCTGGGACAATTTCTAGAGATGTGAGAGCGCACCTTTTCTCAGATTTTCGCCAAAAAGCCTCCGGCCGTGACACACGCTGTATTGCATGGAGCAAAAAGCAAGGCCTTTGAAAAGTCGGGCTGGCCGGCTGCAGCTCTGCCCGACGCATGTGAAGACAGGCACTAAGCTATCTCACCGGTCTGGTTTCTCTGCATCGCTGTCCGTCTTTCTCAAGCCATGGCGTGACTAGGTTCGGCGACCTGCTGCTTCATCAGGCCGAAACCGAGACGCACAATCCCAACTGCGTTGACACTTTTCGCAAAAAAGATGCCTGATACTGCGATGATATTGTCATCAAGGCTCTGTATACTGCCCGTGGAGCGCCCCACAGCTCCTGAGCAGTTGCTGGCTCCGCTGATGACGCTGGGCGGCCAAAGGATAGAATGTATGCAATCCGGCCCATGGCGGTATGTGTTTGCGCCTGGCGAGCAGGACAACTCTCAGAGATCCCCCCTTCTCTTTCTCTCTCACTCTCTCTCTCTTTCCCTCTCTCACTCTCTCTTGAACAGCGGTGACGCCAACACCTACCACCAGAGCTCGGCGTGTTGAGGCAGGGAGGGGAGAAACGGCCCCGGCTCCTGCAAGGTTAGTTGACCGGTTGACCGGGGTTGCTTGCAGGGGGATGGAATTGGATGCTTCTTCATGCAGCTGGGGGGCAGCGAGTGAAACATGTCGCAGCCCGGTCAATGAAAGCCGCAATGTCAACAGGTGAGACAGGCAGAACTCGGAGACAGATTTCCGTTGAGGCGTCGGGCAGCTGGACTTGAGGCCATCCACATGGCGGCTTCTCCACCCTCATCTATGCGGCGGCCGAGATTCGCTCCGGGTCCTGGAGAGAGAATGATGAGCGGTAAGCAGCCATTGTTGCACCAAGTTCTCGCACAGGTGCAGTACAGTATGTCGCATCCCGACGAGTGCAAGAATGAAGCGGCAGGCCGAGCGCGAGCAGCGGCGGAAGAGGCCTCTCAGATGCCCAAGAGAGGAGAGGGCATCAGGTGCAGTTTGGAGCTTGAGCCTGCATCTGAAAGCTTTTAGTACGGCACACGCTTGAAGTCTCAGCTTGTATCAGAAACTCGGTGCAACGCGATAGGGGCGGAAGAATGGCGCAGGCAGGCAGTACCTTGTACCATGACGAGACCGGCATGAAGCCCTCGTGGCTGCGGATACCTCAGGCTAGCACCAGTGACGATGCATCCTTCCTTGTACTTGTAGAACTTGCAGCTTCCTAGCTCTCTGCTCGAAACGGCACGGGCAGGCGCTTCGAGGCCAAAGACGGCATCAGCACCTGCACCTTGACGTGAAGCCCGCCGGCGTACGGGGTACGAGACGGGTACTCGGTGCATTCGGCGTAATCCATGCTCGATTGAGTGTAGCTCTGTTGTTGATGGGAGAAGCTGAGAGGCTCATTCGCATCCATATCTGCCAAGGTACTGTAAGTAGGTACGGCTGACACTGGCAGCTCCAGAGTTGGGCTGGGGATTGAAGCAACGGTCAAGCGACTTTTTTGTCTACACTTGCTCTTGTTCGTTTAGGCACCAGGCTATTGTATTTTCTTTTCGTTTCAATGCCAGATGGTCACCTTATTTATACTGCTACTATGGTTTCGAAAACAATGGCGGCTGGCAGATTTGACATGGCGTTATGTCTGCGTTTCCGTGTGTACAGGAGACGAGAACTTCACCCAAGTCTACTAGCGCTCATATATCATGCATCTTCTTTACCTACCTTGCCAACTTGCGTCCTGAGAGAAAAATTTTTACTCCCCCTTCTTCGAACTATCCATGACCATGCAGCTGTCCAGGATTCTCCTGGGCACCCATTCTATCTGCTCCGTACGACTTGTTTTCAAAGGGCGTTTGCTCGCGTTGCACAGCTTCCAAGCCATGGACGCTTTCGGCATCGCCTTTGCGTCTCTCGCACCAATCCATCCACATGGAGTCTCACATCCCTGTGGTCTCTGCTGTTTTGTGGGAGAAGTCGGGGCGCCCGAGGAGCAAGTCGAATCATGATCTGAGCGTATATCGTACTACCACTACACTACCACTACTACCGCAACTGCTAGTAGGTGTGTAGCAGCTGAGTTGGCAACATCCTAGAGCCCGCATCCCCGACCGCCTCTGCAGCTACAGGTATGTTGTCCTCTTGTTTCCTCTCCGTCCCACTGGCCGGTTGCTGGATGTTGATGAACGAAGGACGACTCTCTTCCACATCAAGGCAAATGATGACGGAGATGTTGCCGCCGAGTAACGACGATCCGCAGCGAGGCTACATCACAAATGCCCTTGCTATGCTGCTCATCGGTGTTGGACCTGCGATGCCGCTAGAATCAAAGCTTAAAGCCCGCAACCTTCTAGCGTCTAATCGGCTCCCATCGGGAAAGTGCGAAAATGCTCCGTGAACCAACAAGACGATCGTTGTTGGCTTTGCTGCGCATACCGGTACCTTGGCTTGGTCTTGGAGGTAACTGATCTGCCTCTCGCTGGTACGCTATAACCCACTGCCTCGGTATCTCAGTTGGGTAAGTGTGTATTGCCTACTTACCTTGGTACTAGTAGGTATTATCTGCTGGTATGAAGGAAGATTTGAGATAGAGCTGCCATTTACAGATGCTCTGATGTCAGACAGAAATCGCCGGTCAGCGACACAATGCTTGTAGGTAATATTTCGTACGATGGATGTCCTTCCATGGTGTCTACGAGCTATAAGCAGCAGCACTTTTATTATGTATTATTGCGCTCTCTGCAGCTCGTTCGACATACTCCAGCAGCACAGCTCGGACTAGTCACTGGCTCTATGCAAGTCGGGCTCGCTTTCTGAGCGATATAGTGGTCCATGACAGCGCAGTTCCGCGATTCTTTTGAGGTTTCAGGTAGTGCTTTGGGCTCTGGCCACACCGCGAAGTGGCTGCCATGGTTATGTGTACGAGCATGCATCTGGGTCTTGCATTGTGCATTGGCGTGCATGACGGGGACACCATCACAGCTCCTTGCGACGGCTTGAGTGCAGCCGCCGTGTGTCGCTGGCCGGCGGTGAAAACGCTGCTGCGACGGTATGGAGCTCGCGCTTCGCGAACTGACGTCTTGTTCTCGTCAGAATGCTTTCAGATGCTCGAGCTTTCAGCTGGACTCGGCCAACGGAGTACCCCAGGCACATACCGTTTCCACGGGAAACTTCCGTCAGAAGCGCGACGAGCCAACGCCGCTGCTGGCGATGCTGGCGATGCTGGCACCTGCATCTCGTCGGTCATTGCGGCGACAGCTTATATGATGCTGGAGCGATACCTGGAGAAAAAAGAGACAACAGTGGCGGAAGTCCAAGCTCCACAGCTATCGCAGCCCTACCTGGCAGGCATCCTCAATTGACTTTTACGGCAACATAGCCTAGCCCTCCCTCCGTGATCCTGCGGCATCTGCCTGTAGCAAGCCTGCGTCTCCCGCGGGCTAACCAGAACAGGCCACTAGCCGAGCCCGTTTTCTCTTCTCTCAACTTCATACGAAACACTGCGCGATCCGGAAGGCTGGGGACCTGCAGTAGGGAGAGGAGCCGTTGACTGTCGGGGCCGGCCAAGCTCCTGCTAGCAGCAGCTCTAAAAGCTTGGCTGGAGCCGTTTGAGCTCGTACGTGGACCGCTTACAATCGAGAACGACGTAGCATCACCACTCACTCTTGTATGTATGACGGCTGCAAGCTCTGGCCTCCGGGTGGATGGGCCAGCAGAGGCGACATATTCCAGCGCACACACCTTCGGCTGCACGGTACGCTTATATACGAGCGGTGCGACTGGATCTTAGACGCCAGGCCAGACCGCAGAGCGCCTCCTGCATGCTGGCAACCCCATGCCGTTCTGGAGTCCCCACACATGCAGATGGATGCAGAGTCTTGAGTGCTGGGTGTGCAAAGAACAAGTACTTTACTGTACCTGCTCTGGACGATTACAGGCATTGGTGCGCGGAGAATTAACAAGCATTTTGGGATTCTCTTGAGCTACAGAGAGGGCATGTGAGAGATGCCATGCATGTATGCCTCCCTACTAGTATCTGGGCATCTAGCGATGAGGTAGCGCGAATCGCCAAGGCGCATCGCCATTCTGCCCTTGCCATACCCATATCCCACAGCTTGTGTGTTTAGCTGTACGAGTACGGGCTCCTACACTATAAGTCTATTTCTTTTCCGTGCTAAGCGCACCAGCAACTGCAGTCACTCAAGGCGGATGTACCGCATAGACCCGGTTCTCTGCTAATGCCGGGCTTGAGGACTAGGGACGTTGCATCGACAACGGCCTGTATAACAGGGACTGTCCAATCGGCTGGGACTGAAATGCCCGCCTCGCTTTTCCTTTGGAGGGGCCATTCCAACACAAAGGGGAGCACCATCTGCTCCTCTTCTTGTGTCTCCCCCTCCTCTTCCTACTGTACTCCTACGCCTCTAGCCTTGCTGATGCCATTGGACCCGGGGCCTTTCGGGCTGGAGAATGGACAACAGGAGACAGACCCGTTTGAGGTAGCGAGGCGTGCAGCACACAGCACGCAGACGCATCCTCGCATTGATGGCATGGAGCTTGGCAGACTGGTAGCATGAACTATCCCGGGTCTGGACAGCTCCATGCATCTGCACCTACTGTCGAGCAGCATTTCACATGCAAGTACGTACATGTAAGTGAGTGTGTGCTGCAGTGGGAGCGGCACGTGTGAACAGGTCTATACTGTAAAGGATTTTGCCCATTCTGTACATGTCCCCAAGGCAATGCAGACAGCGGCGGGCGTATTCTGTAGAACCAGGCCATTCCACCATATCCGTGTAGGTACGCGTACGACTAGCAATCCCTTCCTTCAGGGACTATACGCACTTGGCAATTGGGCTGAGAAATCAATCCAGCGTTTGTTACTGCTCACAATAATTACAAGCAAGCTGATGGGCAAGCTGATGGGGTGGCAGTATAGCCGCAGGCGCCATGGAATCTGGTTAGTGGCTCGGGAGGCAGCTTATCTTACCTCGTAAACGATGCCGCGCACACCCACAGCTCCGAATCGAAGAGGACAGGGCGGCGGGAGGCGTCCAAACAGAACGCCTGCTTGCTGTCACCACCATTCTCTGTTACAGTGACAGCCATTTCAAATGGACTAGCTGGTTGGAGCGATGGTTTCAAGCAGGTAGATGCTACATGTATTCGCAGACATGGCACGTACAGTGAGGAAACCAGAGTCATAGGCACACCTCGTCGCAGACACCACAGGCATCACGGACATCAAAGACACAGACACACAGACATAAACGGCCATTTCTCGCAGCCAACCAGTCAGCTCGAGCCAACTGACCAGCCCTTTTTCCCGTCGCCAGCCGCGGTGCCTCCCTTGCTGAGGCTCGCATGCTAATCATGCGGATCGCGGGGCTGGTTCCGATTAGATAGATCCCCGATTCAAAGCGCTGGGGGCGTGCTGCATTGCGCACGAAGCGCTAATCTATCGCTCACGGTTATCTATCACATTCGTTTCGCGATGGACTATATGGAATGGGAGGCAGCTCACAACGAGGAAGCAATGCAGTGCCGATGCCACGAATGCGCGCATGGGGCTGCTGAGGGCGCCGGCTGTTGTAGCTGCCGAGCATCTCCCACCCTTTGAGCGAGGGCTGCCACAGGCAAGATAGTTTTGAGCTTCGGAATTGTGCTATTCTGTCGGCTAGATGTTGGTGGCATTTGCAGCGGACGACCTGATGGGCAAGACAAGACAAGGCATGGCCTGGCAAGGCATGGCCTGGCATCAATGCTTAATCGAGCACATCAATCATGGCGACAAGGTACGGCTGCTGCGCCAATTTACAACAAAGCTGCAGGAATGAGCAATTAAATGGCCTCGGTTGGCAGTGGAAGAGCTCAGAGCAACATGCTGCTTGTAATTGTCCGGCAGCATAGCCACATCTACATGTCGGCAGGCAGGCAAAGGCAGGCCGCGTGGACAAAAATTTTCCTTGATTCATGATTTTTTGCCTCTTTGGCGAGAGCTCCTTGTCCTCGCTTAGAACCTGAATGTCGCCCAACGTCGACCGGATGCTGGTCCAGGTATCTTGATGGGCATTAACGGAGGGAACTTGATGCCTGCGCGCGGGCGAAGCGAGGTGGTAACACAGCATCTGCGGCTGCAACTTTGCGTTGTCATGGCTGTCGGTCGACTCGTGACAAGGCAGGCTGCAACTTGAATGCGAGTAGGCCGCCCGCTGTGAATCTTGTGTGAATCTTGTGGATGGATGAGAGCCATATCGCAGTGCCTCCCAAAGCGGCCCCCATACCTCATAACTATTTCCTACATCGGCCTAGACATCATGGATCTCTATAGTGCCACCTACAGCGGCAAGGCGGATCCGCCCTATGAGGCGTGCAGAGTCGAATGAGGCAGAAAGGACGAGAGAGCTGTTGGGCTGAATAAAACAGCTCCATCTCCAGCTCCAGCCCCAGCAACTGGCTCCAGATGCAGCTCCCAGTTTGTGCCCCTCTTCGCACACCATCCAACAACGACCACCCTGGCTCCGATTCTTTGGGTTCGGCGCAGATGAAAATCAGCGAACCAGAGAGCAGGCATTTTGAGGCGTTGTGGTTGGCGCAATCAAGGCATTGGAGCCTTGTTTCTTTTTCGCAGGGGAGGGTTACCTTTTGCTTGCATCCGGTTGCAGTCACTCAATCAATCTGATGTGATTTGACCAGCGCAGGTATAGCCCGCATATTAGGTACTAGTAGTTAATATATTTTCCCATTTAGCCACGGTCATGGATCACGGTCAGTCAATTCGAGTGTCAGGGTTCCCTTTTGCCGACCGAAAGCTGTCTGCATGTAAACACACACGCACCCTATGTATGGTATACTGATTGTCTATCCGTCTATTCGTCTGCATGCTCGTTACACATACAGTAGCAGAATGGATGTCATGTCTTATGTGGCACGTCAAAGAGACGGCCGCGTTGCTGGTTCTGACGAGAGCCGTGCCCCGTTTATTACTGCATCGATAGCTGCCGTAACAAGTACTAGACCACCCGTACTATATACAGGGCTATTAATACATTAACTTTCCAATAAGCTGCTCGTGCCTTGTGCGCTGCCAGACTATGGCGTCCTAGTCCCGTCCCTTTGCGGTCGAGGTCGCTATAGCGCAGCGACTCCTCAAGCTCTCCTGGCGGGTGGCTCGCCCATCACTCACGTTTTCGCCACTGCAGCATCGCTTTCTAGGCCTTCTGACCACGCCCCCCCAAGTCAGCTGGTTGGTGCGGTCCACCAGCTGGATCCCCGGACAAGGGCGCCAGGGCCCCAACTGCATGCGGGCCTGTGCAGCAGCAGCAGCAGGCCAGTCCCAGGCCGGTCCCAGCGCGGTCCCAGAGCGGCACTAGGCCTGCTGGAGCACCGGCCTGCACACGCCCCTGCCACTTTGGGTCGGCGGCCAGCCAGGCGCTGTGGCCAATGGGCGGGCGCTGCAGCCAACGACCTGGCCAGGCCACCAGACTGCGACAGTGGCAGCAACAAGGGCGCTGTAGGTACGGCTAACGGAGCTCTGCAGCGTGCAGTGCCGGACCGGCCACCACCGAGAAACACTGGACCCCTGGCCCGCTAACAGGACGCCCAGCCCACTCGAGGCCACCTCGCTCCAGCCAGTAGCAGTAGGGACCCAAAGGCGTCCGGTGCCGATTTGACGTTGTCTGCATCGCTGCTCGTTTCTTGGACCGCGAAAGCTTGGCCATCACCGGGTTTCTGCCACTCTTCATCGTCAGCCTTTTGCGCTCTGGCAGCTGCTCAGCTTCCTCTCGACATCCCCTCACTTGCACTTCACTTCCCCCTCATCGCCAGCTGCCAATTGCCAGCTGCCACGGGCAATGATTTCGTCTCTGCGGTAACTGGCACTTCATCCCCCCGACCATTAATTGTAAGCCTTGGTCCCCTCGCCCTCGTATCCTTTTTTTTTCCTTCCTTTCTTTTTTTCTCTACCCTTTTATCCTTCCTCGTGACGAACACACCTGACATCGCCACGCCCCTGCAAGAAGACCATATACCCTGGCTCGAAATCACAACAAACCTCCCCGGTCTTCCAGCAGAGGCAACTTCTCTCTCTCTCTCTCTCTCTCCACGCCCTCACGCATCGTCTCACGCCTACGAGTAACAGCAAGAGCATCACGCAAACCAGCCGTCCTTGACGACTACTCTCGTGCCAGTTGTTCTCCCTCTCTGTCCCCGATTTCTTTCCGTTTCTCCTTCTATTTTCCCTTTTTG